AAAGACAAATATATTTATTTATACTTCTAATATAATATATTTATTTATTATATTTCTTATATTCCCTAATATAGTTCTTTTATTTCTATTAAAACTCTTTTTAATAGATTATATTAATAGATATATAATTATATAAATTATCTCTTTAAAGTCTTATAATATTTTTTTATATTTTTAATTTTTTTTTCTTAATAAGATTTTTTATTTACTCTTAATATAGATCTTCATAGATTATTATTATTAATCTATTATTTTATAATATTAGTTAAGTATTAAATAACTTAACTCTTTTAAAGAGGAATTTTTTCTATATCTTTTATACTAGATTTTCTTACTTCTCTTTTTTACTAGAATAATCTTTTATTCTAGATAATTTATAAGTACTATCTGTCTAATTAGTTTATTTTTTATAATTATAAAATTAGTATTTTATTCTTATATTAATATTTATTTAATATTTTTTCTCAGACTAAATCTTTTTTATTCTTTTTTTTATACTTTAATATTTATTATATCTCTTTTTTATTTGAATTATTAAGTATTCTTTTTAATTATATTAATATATTTTTTTATCTACTTATTTTATCTATTCTACTTAGATTCTTTTATAATTTATTATTTATTTTAATTATTATTCTTTATCTTTAACTAATTATTTTAAATCTTTATTAGAATTAATTTTATTATTAGTTATTCTATTAGCTTTATTAGTATTAATTAAAATTAATAAAATTATAATTATAATATATACTCTTACAAATCTAAAATAATTAGTTTCTAATTCTTTTTTAATTTTTAGTATTTATCTATAAAGTAATATAGTTTTTTATAATTAAAATAAATTCTATCTTTTCTTAGCTTATCTTTTTCTTTTTTAAATAAGATTATATTTAACTACATAATTATATCTTTATTATAATCTTTTAATAGATTTTATTATATTATCTAGTTTATTCTAAATTATAAAAATTCTTTATATATTTTTTATTATTAAAACTCTTATTTCTTTTATTTAATTTTAAATAATTTATTATTAATCTTAATTATTATTTTAATAAACTTATTAATATCTAGTTAATTTATTTTAATTAACTTTATTTAAACTTTTTCTTTTAATATATTTTTAAATAAAGTAATTTATACTCCATTATTATATTTTAATAGTACTATTATCTTTTGAAATTCTATTACTAATCTCTAGACTAATCTAATTTATTATAAATATTTTAACTTTTATTTAATAATATATATTTTATTAATATTTCTAAATAACTATATAAATTATTTTTTAAAGCTAGTATAATTCATATCTTAACAATAATTATATTTTAATCTTCTTATACTAAGTTATAAAAATTATCTTATTATAGTCTTATTTAATCTTATTAATTTTTATATACTTATATTTATTATAAATAACTTAAGTTTAAAATATATTTTATTAAATTTTATTAGCTTTAGTAGCTTAATTTTATTAATAATTAATAATAAACTTAATATTATCTATACTTTTAATTATTTAATATAATCTTTTTATTTAGATCTTATTTAAGTTATTTAATATATTTTCTAAGCTAATTTATTTAGATATTTTTAACTCTTAGTTTATTTTTAAGTCGCTGCATATATTTAATTATTTGGTTGAATTATTTCTTAAGAGTAGTATAATAAGTTAATATTTTATTATTATCTTCATTATAATATATTACTATTATATATTATTACTATCTTACTATAGTTTAGGCTATTTATTACTATTATTACTTTAAGATAGACTGTTATTATTTATTATCTTAAATATTCTTAGATAAGATTTTATCTTTTATATTAAGGGTCTTAAATTATTAGAAATTTTAATTTAATTATTATTAAGTATAGCTAAGATAGCTATTAATAAATAAAATTAATAGACTTCTAGTATACAAAAGTTATAGAAATAAATGAAGTTTTAAATAAAAATAAAATATTCTAATTAATAGAAGATTATATATTTAAGTTATTTTAGTTAAAGGATACTTAATATAATTAATTTAAAATAATAGAAGAAAACTAAATATATAATAAATAAGCATTTTTATATAATTTTCTTCTATTATAATTATCATAAAAATCTTCTGATTTCTCTAATTCTCAGATTATAGCTATTTTAGAAATCCTCTGATTTCTTTAATACTTTAACCCTAAGATTTCGCGGATAATCCTTTATTCCATCATGCATTAGTTCCCGTAGAGACTTATCCAATCCATTGGCTGTGACGTTCTGATTCTCTGACAATTATAATAGATTTTATATAAGGCTTATCAGAGTTAAAAGATCTTATTTTAGGAATTATATGTACTAAAGTTATTGTTATTATGAATAATCTTATAAAATATATTATTTTAGAACTAATACTAAAGAGTTTAATAGTATAATAATATGTAATATTAATATTATAAGAAGTGTTTATGATATTTAGATTATTAAGTGAAATTATATTTAATAGAGATAAGTTATTTATATTTAAATTTTAGTAGATAATTATGAAAAATTATAGAATAGAATATAATCTATTAATAGCTTATTATTAATAAACTAATAGCTAGATTAAAAGAATAATTTAAGTAATTAAATAGTATCTAAGATAATATTTAAATTAGAATTAAAATAATTAGATAGAGTTATTACTAATTATTTAGTTTTATAATAAATAATATAATAAATATATTAATAGGATAAGTATTATATTTTGCTAATCTAGAAAGAATTCTAAGAATAAATTAGGAAAATATTAAATAAAAAGAAATATTAAATAAAGTAAATATTTAAGTAATATATATATAATTAATATATAATAATTTATTAAAAGATACTAAATAGATAGAAATAAAAATAAAGAGATATTATAATAAAAAGTATAAGGATATATTAATACTTAAAAAAAGGAAAAGAGTTTATTTTTATAATAAATATTAAAATTTTTTAATTTTAATATTAAAAATATAAGATTAAGTGATAGATTTACTATAATTAAATTTAGATTATTTATTATTAAAGAAAAACTCATAAATAATAATTATAAATTTTAGTTATTAGTAAAAATATAAATATATTTAATATTTTATATCTTATTATTAGAACTAACTATTAATCTAATAGATAAAAATAAAGTAATAAATAATAAAGAATATAAAATTAAAAAATACTATAGTATAAATTAAAAAAGCAATATATTTATTATCTTATAAGATAAAAAGGATATAGATTTAAAGAAAATATATAGAAATCTATTAAATACAAATTATCCTAAAAAGATTTAGGAATAAAAATAAAAATATAATTAAAAAAAATAAAAAAATTAAAGTTAGTATTAAGAATAAGGTTATTATTTTATAAAATAAATATAATAATAAAAAGCTCTTTAGTCTCTTATTATTTTTTTATTTATCTTTATCTTTTCTTCTATTTTTTCTAATTTTTCTAACTCTTTAATATTCTTGATATCTATTTAAATAAACTAATTAATATATTTCTATAATGATTTCTTTTATTTTTATAAATAGTTAAGTCTAATTATAAAAATTATAATTTTTTTATAAGCTTTTTTTTTATTAGTCTTAATTTTATCTTAAACTTTAGTAAGCTATTTTTAAATAAGATTTAAAATAAGTATTTTAAAATAGTAATAGTTATTCACTTAAATATATTTATTATAATATTTTAAGAAATTTACTTTAATATAAGTCTTTTCTAAACTACTATATTAATCATATAAGAAATAATAAATAATCTTAAGTTACTTAATATATAAAAAAAGAAAATTTTTTAAAATAGACTTCTTTAAAGATATAGTTAATATAAAATTATAAAAATTATATATCATAAAAAAATAAGAGTTAGGATTAGTTACTTATATATCTGGAGGATATAAGCTATTTATTAAGCTATTAAGATACTAGCTTTTAGAGAAGGGGATTATTAGAGAATTAAAATATTATAGTTAATAAATAAGAGAAACTAATGTATGATAAAATAAAGGATTATCTATAATCACTAGAATTAAAATATTATAGAAATTAGAGTAATAGTTATAATAATTATTATATAAGAATTATAAGATTCTTTATAATGACTATAATAGAGGAAAGTTATATAAAAATACTTATTTATTCTATATCTAATTTTCTTTTATTATCTTAAATTAACTAAGATAATCTAAATATATAATCTTCTATCAATTAAGATATTCTATCTTTGTTTAAGACTTTATTTATTTCTATAACTTTTATATATTAGAAGCCTATCAACTTCGCCCGTTAATAGCTATCCTAGCTATACTCGACGGTAATTAAACCGAAGTATCTGACACATCTATAAAACCAAAAAGATATCTTTAAATAATCCATATTTATATCACTAAGAATTATTTAAGGAAGTTAAATTTCCTAAACCTTATCTAAAATATACTTAGCTAGATATTTATCTACCTTTAAAGACTCTAGTTAAGTGGAGGGTTAATTAATATATATATTTTAAAGCTATTCCAATCAAAATTGATATTTATATGAAAATGATATTTAAGTATAGCGCACCCACAGCGCGGAGCGGTGTGAGGTGGGTGGTGGCACGGGTATAATAAATTTATAAATTTTGGACACTAATAATATATACACAGTTCTAATATAGATTATAGATAACATAGGAACACTTGTGTTGAAAATTACAATAATTATTAGCATATTACTTAATATACTACTATATAATAAGCTTTTATATATCTATTATTTATTACATTACGTTTTTATGCTTACTTTATATAAACCTGTTGAGATTGCGGGGGGTTAAAAATGGCTATATTGTATAGGAATTACAAGTGATTTACTCTAGCTTGGGTGATCCGTTTACCCATTAACTAATTACGCTGTCTATATTATACAAGATAGTTTAATTGTAGTATTCTGAATTACTAATCCTTCCATAATCTGCATATCTTCCAGGACATATATTATACCATAACACATCAAGCAAATAACTTATCAACAACACTCGCTTTCTTGCCCTCATGCTCAATCGAATATAAAACCTCATATTTATCAATCTCATCCTTCAGCCCACCCATGCTCAAGTCCGCTGTCCCAGGCCAGACATATTTTGTCTTAAAGACGAATTTCCAACCCAAAAGTGTAACAACAAAGAATCCGATCATAGCGTAGTCCAAAAAAAACCACATTGTGCTCCATTCTCCTTTTATAAATACGTCATATCCACCTGCAAAGAGCATAAATAACGTGCCCCCGATGGCTAAGTAGGATGTATATGGTTGAAAGCGTCCTTTGTAAGGAAGACTATCTCGTGAAATCCCTTGCTTTTGAAGGGAGGCGTAGAAATGCCGATATGTGACAGCTGTGAAGCCGTAATTGATCAATTGGCAACAGGTGACGAGGTCCACAAGGTACGTCATTACCTCAGCAGACGAGCTGTTGACTTGTAAGAAGGCTAGGAGGCAAAATAAAAGAGAAACCATGAGCGCCCAGATAGGAACACCACGCTTTGTGCAGTACGATAGAATTCGTGGCGCGTGACCTGTGATAGACATCCCATGTAAAGTGCGAGTGGCTGTGAAGAGGAGGCCATTACCAGCACTTAAGATGGATGTCATGATGAGTGCGTTCACAATGTGTGGAAGGACATGAATTTGTAAACGTTCCATGGCAATAACATATGGTCTTAAATAACTTATATTAGTTGGGAGGATTTGTGAGTTAGCGCTTGGTGATGAGACTTACGACGCAGCTCCTGTACCGGACCCAGAGCTGCTACCCCCGAGGATGGCGAGGAGAGTCGGATCATTGTAAGGAATGACGATACCCATGCAGAACGAAGATCCTACAAAAAATGCAAGAATACGCCAGACGAATGATCGGTATGCTGAAGGTAGGATCTTTCTAGGATTCTCTGCTTCGGCAGCTACCATCGAGATATACTCCGGGCCAGTAATGCTGAAACTAGCTTGATATAAGCATGACAATACCCCGAGAAATTTTCCCGTGCCGCCAGACACTAGATGTTCTGCAAACGCGCCAGGATGATTCCAATACCGGAATCCATAGCGATCATGAATCGGGTTTCCACCAAGCATCGTAATGAATGTAAAGAAAAACAATCCAATCATTAAGAGCACCTTGAAAATTGAGAGGTAGAATTCTGATATTCCAAAATACCTCACGCTGAATATATTCAGCAGAGCGTAGGCGATTATCATAATCACAATAACAGCCTCAACGGGCACTTTGTTTGTCCAGAAAGTTATCATGATGCTCATCGCGACAATCTCGAAGGGTACTAGAAAGGCCATATTGAGGAAGAAATTCCATGCCATCGCGAAGCCTAGTGCGTCATCTACCCATAGACTACTGAAGCGAATGAATGGCGAGGGCACGGGAAGATAGGTCACCATCTCTGCGAAGCATTCGTTCACTGCCCACATGACTGACCCCCAGATTAGGAATGCAATGAACAAGCCGGCGGGACCGCCGTCGGGCAAAGCTTCGGCCATTTGTACGTATAGGGCTGCCTCACTAGTTAGTTTACATGACTTTGTACAAGGCAATTCTTGGGAAATGTATTCGAACTCACAAGTACCAATTGCACCGCCAATTGCGAACAGTTGCACTTCTTTCCCTCCCAACTTCCGATGGAGAGCCTGCGAGCCAGATGTGACATCGGACACGGATCCCATACCGGCATCATCACTATTATCATTGCGATTGTCTTTGTCAGATGTAGATATTGGTCTCTTCTTCTGAAAGGTTGAGGACAGCATTATGTCGGTAAATCTCGGTTGGAGTGCAAGGTTTTCTCTAAATGGGTTCAAAATATGGAGTAGATCATTGACATTATGAATATCTATATTAACCACATCCTTACAGATTTATCCCCCAACATTGTCGAGCTGAACGCCGCCTTGATAAACGAGATAACGAGCTACCTTATCCGAAGTTGGTTATCTAAACATCATCGGGCTGTCCGATACTGTGCATATTCCTTAGATTAGCTTAGTTAGCCTAGTCTCTAAACTCACAATTGTTGCGCATACCTTGGGCTAGAAAGCTACAATGGCCAAATTTCTCAGATCTAGGTATTCATGCCTGTCGTTGCAGTTCTGTTACATGATTCATGCAAGTTTCTGCGCGTGGCATAGCCCTACTGAGGACCAGAAATCCTAAGTTGTCTGTGTCTCATCACACCTGTCACACCAAGCATATATATTGGCGATTACAAGTGGCATATTTGCATACAGCAAACTTATTGTCTATCCGTTGTAACAGGTGGTTTTATAACAATCCTAACTTGGAGGATGTAAAGCCGCCCTTGGTGTTTATCGGTCCGACCAGCACTTGACTTGGGCATGCATTTCATGTAAAAAGGACTCTATCAAGATTGCAATGTAAACTAGAAAGTAGACTAATTGGCAAGGGTCGATTATATCTCAGACTACTAATTCTTGAAGTCGCCGTTGGATAAATACTCCTCGTATCGATAATGTGGTTGGAACTCAACGTAAAGCGTGTCCTGTAGACATGTAAGAAACACTTCGGTAACATATAGGATATGTAAAGGAGATTAGCATACCGGAGTGCTAGCCATCTCGAAGTTATATTTTGCCTCCTCATCGCTCACAATCCGCTTCTCGAGCCCTGTCCGATCCACCAACAACTGGACTTGACAACTCCTCTCCATCAAACAGAACAAAAAGGCTGCCTCATCCACCGTCTGACCAACAGTGAGGAGACCATGGTTCATTAAAATTACAGCTTTCCCATCTCCCAAACTCTTTGCAATTCTCTGCCCCTCCGAGGATTCATTCGCAATTCCCCCGTAATCTGAGTACACGGAATGCGCCTTATAGAAATAGCATACATCCTGATTGATCATCTCAAGCGGTTTTGCAAACGCCGACCATGCTCTACCATGAACCGAATGCGTGTGACATATAGCATGCACATCCTTGCGGGCCCTATGCACAGAAGAATGAATCTGAAAACCCGCGGCATTGATTGAACCCTCTGTATTTCCACCAACAACATCCCCGTCCACAGTTATACAGATCATATCACTCGCTTTCAGCATACCAAAGTGTACAGCCAGCGGGTTTATCCAAAATCGGTCTTCGAACTCCGGGTCTCGTACGCTGATATGCCCGGATATCCCCTCGGCATATCCTTCGCGCGCAAAGACGCGAAATGCGCCGGCCATGTGCTCTAGCTGCCACTGGCGCTGCTGAGCGTAGGAATCAAACGAGGGGATACCAGGGAGCGCCTTGCCTTGGTGGGCCATAGCGGCCATGGGTTCGACATCTTTCGTTGGGATGGATTTAGGTTGAATTCCTGATTTGGGGTTTGCACTGGGTGCCATGACTATGTTTTTGAAAGATGTATAAAATGCGACAACAATTCTTCTCTCAAATATCTTTGGAAAAGCACGGCCGGTCTAAGTCTTGTCTGCTTTGAAGATGGAACGTGGTCGGCAAGTCCGATATATAGTAGTCGGAATAGTCGGTTCGGGGTGTCCGACAACACATAGCATGGGTGATATTGAGGCCTGGAGTGATGCGTATCCTTCGCTGTGGATGTACATCACATTTTTAAATTTACAGCTGGCTGACTAGATCAGGAAATAAACGGCTATATCAGATATTGCGGCGTATACTCAAATGTGTATGAAGATCTCATCTACGCAAAACGCAATCATGTTAAGCATTTCCGTGACAGCTTTCGTGGCTGTATTAATATTTCTCCTCTATTGCCTCATATACAGCCCGCTATATACAAGTCCCCTGCACAAAATTCCAGGCCCAAAGGCCTACGCAATAACGAAATGGCGACTCGCACTCGATGACTACCGTGGAGTTAGAACACGATCTATACATGCCTTACACCAGAAATACGGAAAAGCAGTACGAATTAGTCCGAATGAGGTGTCATTCTCCTCCCTTTCTGCTTTGAAAACTATCTACGGCGCCGGCTCGGGTTTTGAGAGAACAGACTTCTATAGAATGTTCGACGTCTATGGACGCCAGAATCTGTTCACATTTGCGGGAGTCAAGCAGCACGCTGACAGGAAGAAGCTGCTTGCCCACGCCTACTCCAAAAGCGCTATTCTGTCACCCAACGCAATTGCTAAACCCCTCATTGAGAGAAACGTTAATAGCTACTTAGAACTCCTTGAGCGCGAAAAGTGTGTCAGTGAGGAGATATTTCAGAGTCTACATTGGTTCAGTCTTGACAGTATCACTGGGTTTCTGTATGGTGATCAACACGGAGGCACGCGCGCGCTTAGGGGGGATTTAGAGCATAGAGCCCTCCTATATGATATTATGGACCCTAGTCGAAGATTATTGAGCTGGTATGGCGTACACTTGAAAGCATATACGAAATGGCTTTACACACGGACGGGACTCATGGAGAGAATAGTCGCCAAATTGGGGCTGCTGCCCATGAAAAAACCGGCAATTTATACAGGCATTCGAGCCCATGCTCTGAAGGCTTGGACTGGATTTAAAACCACCACTGGGCCGGAGAATTTCTCAACAACAGCAACAGCTCAAGACCCATCCATCATGCAGAAGTTATGGAGATACAGCCAGTCCGGCAAGGGTGACCTGCTTGACGGTCTTGACATAGCTTCTGAAGCAGCAGATCATTCCTTAGCAGGTATCGATACAACAAGCGACACTCTAATGTTCGCAATATGGGTACTCTCACTCCCTGTAAACAAGATCTACCAAGAGAGATTAATTCGGGAAGTCGACAATATTCCGGTTGTGGATTGTAATGCAGAAGGTGGCAATCCCAGGGCCGAAGTAGCAGATAAATTGCCATATTTGGATGCTATCATCAAGGAGACTCTTCGTCTCTATGCACCTTTGCCGGCGTCAGAACCGCGGTCATCCTTGGTGGACATTGAGATTGACGGATATCTAATCCCGGCGGGCACAGTGGTTAGTATGTCGCCATACACACTTCATAGAAACGCGGAGGTGTTTCCGGAGCCGTTAAAGTTTGACCCGGAGAGGTGGTTAAATGAGGATTGTGTGGAAATGAAGAAGTGGTTTTGGGCATTTTCGAGCGGAGGAAGGATGTGTATTGGGTTGCAGTATGTTTGTGACACTAAAATGGGATAAAGATAATGATCTGACAGACTTTGGTTCCTAGCCTTGCTATGGCAGAAATGACGACTCTACTTGCCGCTATTTACAGACGGTACACAACAAGTGAGTGCAAACGACAACGGGGCGTAAGCCCTGGAATCACGAGCCGGTTTGAAGTCTTTTATGATGAGAGTCAGCCCAGATTTAAGGTGAGTAAATAGCTGTCTGTCTTATGTAATGGGAGATACTGATGGCTACAGGAGCATGAATGTTGGATTAATTTCACGAAGCGTGATATATGAAAGGAAAGTGCATTTGATGATATTCATCCTTATCCAATTGCAACATATTCTTGCTCATGTTATACTGGCTAGCGACGGCCTGGCCAACTGTCCTAAGGATTTTATGAGTCACAATTCCCATATGCACTATTATTGACACTTGAGGCATAGTAAAGTAATCCGAACCTTGGACCATTTGGAAATATTCTTTGGTATTTTTTGGTAAAACGAAAGAAAGGCAAGGAGAAAAAAAGTAAAATAATCCGGACGTGGCTCTAACTAGATTCCCTTCACATTGTGCATAGGGGGTTTTCCACGCATGCAAATGTCTCCTAGCCGGAGTTCTAACTAATTATCGGGATCGTGAAGATCAGAAAGAAAAATGACTTGGTCTAACTCGAATAATTTGCTGGTGCCAGAGGGGCTTGTGGTCAGCTTTCCGTTAACAGATCTCGATTATTTTATTGCTAAATCAGAAAAGGTAGGGAGACAGAAGGCACTGATAGGGTGCTAGCCTGATAAGCAAGAGGAACAAGTACTTAAGGTATTTATTTTATCGTACAATAAAGGTGCATTCATTTTCGAACTCATCTATATAGCACCGGCCTTGGATTATGGAATGTCCAACGGCTCATTCTATCACAAAAAGTATAGAATAGAGTGTCGCTTCACTCAAAAAAAAAGATAACGATAATCTCAGCAAGCAACTCTATCCAGTAATAGTGAAATGGGTGACAGTTATCAAATAAGACGCGAATTGAGCCAACACTAGCCTCGCAGGCTAGATGGAAGTAATTGTGATGATGATGTACATCACTCTATATAGATTCCTCAGCTGCCTATCTATGCATAAAATAAGACAGGATGTCTTTCAAGGCAGAAATATGCAAATTAACCAAGAGAATCAGGGAGAATGATTGGATCTCGCCCGCTCTTGATGACGTCTTCCAGCATCTCCAGTCGATCTTGTCCCCAGAATGGCTCATCCCTATACAAGTAGAGAGGAGCCCCGAAAAAACGTTTTGCTTTCGCTTCTTCTGTCAGTGCAACCTCCTGTTCCGCCAATTTCTCCTCGTTCTCGGCCCTTTCCAACAACCGAATGCCATCAAGCCCGGAACTTTGTGCTAGGTCCGAAATGGTTGTCTTATCTGCAATGTCAAGCTCATTGGCCCACACAGCCTCCAAACTCCTGTGTACAAACTCTTGTACCGCCTCACTTTCGTGCCCTAGCTCCTCAATGGCAGCGAGAAGAACACGGTGGGCGAGAGACGGATTTGCAGGGTAGAACTTTGGATGAGCTTGAATAGGGATACGTCGAACTTTGGTCCACCGCTCCATCTCTACGAAGCGGTACGCTTGACGTTGCGGTGAGCGCTGTTTGACTGGCAGGCCACCGGAGACGGAGAAGATGTGCATTAGGTCCACAGGCTTGAAGATGATTTTGGCATTGTTCTCTTTGGCGAGGAGTCGGAACCTGCGGCTACCGATATAGGACCAAAGTGAGATGAAGGAGAAATAGTACTCAATAACTGGGCGGGAAGTCATTGTGAATGAAGCCAACACACTTGTGGACTTAAGGCGGGACCGATTTCAGCAAGGGTATATTTCATAGTAAGACTGTGGATGGGATGGAAGTCATAGCGCTCTTATAGTCAGTTGTTATGTCTTATGAGCTCCGATAATGGTAGCGATAGTGGATCAGTTACATTTAGGCCCAGCACGCCATTTCCCTCTACTGCTTTAGGTATGCGAATTTTTTACTACATGCATCTAAATGACGATTCTGCTTTTGCGCGGTTTCCCGCTCCCTACGTTACAAGATTAGAAGTCGAAAACCGTTTGGAGGAAGAACTAAGGGGCTAAAAAGTTATCGCTAGTCTAGACCATTTATACGATTGAATTTTTCGCTGTTTCTGCCTTCTCGGCGTCTTTCTTCCACCACTCCTTTCTCGTGTTGACAAAGTCCCAGAATGTTTCTTCCCACTTGGGATCGTACTTGGGAAGTATCCTACCGCAGGTACCAGATGCAGGCTCTCCTGCCAAGGCCCTGTAGGCTTCAAAATACACTTCGTAGTCAGGCATCAAGGTCCAGAAGGCTGCGCTGTCGCCACGTTCTTCTATCCTAAGTTTTTCCCACTTCTCCATATCATCTCGTGATGGAAGTGTGGCACGCCCGGCTAGCACGCGCGCCGCAGCTACAGCCTGCCATTCAAAGATCCGTATTCCAAAGCAACCAGTCACCTTGTTTGTGCACCGGTTAGTGTCGTTGTTCTGATTCGGTGGCAACGTCTCTTAATGATCAAGAAATTGGAATTTATAACTTACCATACCAATAAAAACCAAGCTGGGGTTATCAATCTTGAAGACGTGTTGATATAAGCCCGGAATTCTTCTATTCACTGGCTTCACATCTGGGAGGAATGGGAAACTGAATTCGAACCCTGTCGCGAACAGTATGGCGTCTACGTCTTCCGCTATGGAGCCATCGGAGAAGGTGATGCGTCCCGTCTCGGGATCAAATTCGGAGATCTCAGATCGATTATCAATATCTGGATGAATAAATGGCGTGTGGCCAAAAATCCCCGAGGGATGGCGAAGGGCGGATATAACTGGAAGCTTTGAAACTCGACATATATCGTGTAAGGTGTCAAAGGCGGAAACAGAGCCGCCCACCACGATTACACGCTAGAAGAGATTCCTCGAGAGTTAGAAAGAAATTCATTCCTGAAGATAATTGGGGAGTAGTTCGGGGCTAACCTTTCCTATGAAGGGCTCGGTTGTGCGGTAGTGCTTGCTATGCCAAATTCTGCCTGGATATTTCTTGTCGTACTCCACGATGCCAGGAATGTTTGGTATATATGGTACGTTATAATGACCGGTTGCAACGACAACCGCATCAAAGTGTTCCTGCTTCCAGAAGTCCCTTTCTTGACCAGGAACAGACTGTCTCAGAGTAAGTACCCATTCCTTGCCAGTGTGCTCAGCTCGTTCCACCGTTGTGCCAAATTCAACAAGATGGCCATAATTCCCGCGGTTCAAGACATCTTCTACCCATTGACGCATTACGTCTCTATGCCGGAATGGTGAGTCTGGACCATACCTGGCCAGAGACTCATCGGAGAGAATTTTGGGTATAGGTTCTTGAGAAAAAGCCATTATCTCCGGTGGCAAGTTGCTGTGCAGATGGTTGTGAGCGGCCGAGTCTGAGAAGCGTAATTGGTGCGAGTCAACATTCTTGTCCTTGGGCTTCTCGCATGGGTAACTTGCGGGCACCTGTATGGGCTGATCTGCCCGCAGCTCTAAGAGATCCTGAAGCGATGGGATGCTAGGATCTAGGTCCGAGGTTAAAATCCTAGATGTGAAGAATGGCATGAGTACAACGCTGCAGGGCAATATGCAAGGGCTGCAAGATGACGAACCATGTGCCTCCTGCAGCATTGCGCCTTTCGAACACCCGAATTGTGTCAAATGCCTGTTCTTTGGCCAATGCATCAGTCGCAATGACGCCTGCCGGGCCAGCACCGATGACAGCAACACGAGTCATGCTGTGAATGCAATGTTCTGTTTTGGATAGAAGGATATATAGATGCAGAATAAACACCAAAACTTCACGACAAAGCGTTTGTTGCTAGCTTTGCCGCTGCAATACTTTTGTGCTGATGCCGACTGAAGATTTTGACTTCCATATGATTTTACCTCGTTCAGTTGATTCACAGCGCACAATATGCTTTCGCACGAAAAGAGCTTCCGATGTGCGTACTTCTCCGGAAGGACGCAACTACTCCGTAGCGTACTTGAACTTTGAGCTTCTACTCACGCATACATATCCAGCGGGTTTGATGCCAATGAGGCCCTCTGACCCGCCTAAGACGTTGTCTCACAAGCAATCGGGTTGCTTGGACATTGAAAATGCGAGAGAACAAGCTCCACTTGTTTTTTTCCTCCTTTTCGTTTCCCCCTGCCATGGAATGCCTAGACTTGCACAATATCACGCCATTCTCCACGTGCATCGCGAATTCGGCAGGCTTTTATCATCTGAAACGGACAGACAACTAACAATATATATACAAGTTTATCAGTATTGCCAAATATAGCAGATAATTGATCTTTGGTAAGAGCGAAGAAATTTTTTTGGAAAAGTCCTTTCGGAATCTTGCTAAAATCTGGATGGATACTTACACGGGCTCAACCCTATTTACATATACAATAATGTCTCACCAAACAGTTGAAAAAGTAATGACACGTGTATGAGCTTAGCTAAGTAACTAATTCATGTACAACCTACAAACCTCAAGATCTCGATATCCCTAGCCTCCAGGAACAAAAGACCATAAAGCCAGAGATATATTACAGCCATGACTATACACCAACAAGCAACAAGATAGCACCATTTCTAACATCCCCAGTGTAACTATGTATAGAGAAATGAAATTAGAATTAAACAACAAAAGAATTTTATGTGAAAGATTTCTATAAAAAAATCGCAGAGAGTTTGCCCTGTGGTTTCTTTTTCCCCCCCCTAAACAGTACCCAATCTTTTGGCATGGATGGAAAATGTTATAGTAATAGCGTTCATGTCCATTCCCAAAGGCTACCTCTTGAGAAGTCGAGCACTACTTTGAAGACTGGACTTAGAGAACATATCTAAAGTACAAGTTCTCCTTGTCCGTTAAGTCCTTGAACGCAACTCTCTGGCGTTCGCTTTCATCCAAGTTCAGCTTATCTCGCCTATTGTTCTCTCTGCGCAATATCACATACAGCAACGAGGCAAATGCAATGGTGAGACAGTAACTATTTCGTGACAGTTAGCATCAAAGACCTTTGGCTGAGATACAGTAAGAGTGTACGGTTTATACCAGATAATCAGTCCCAACCAGAGTTCGGGATAGTGCTTGGATTTAGTCTGGCTATGAATCAACTGTGGACCAATGATATTGCCTACACAGTAGGCAACAAAGACCGCAGCCGCCATGAAGCTTTTCTTCGTCTCACCAGCAACATTGCCGGAGCCAATTGCGATTGTAAGACTGACAACAGGGCCAAAGAATCCAATCATCGAGTAGCCCGCAACGGGTGTAATGGGTTTATAACCCCAGGTGGACTTCCAGATCATGATAAAGCCTGCAATGACTGGAAAACAACAGGAAATTAATAGCGGGATCCGGAGGTTGCAGTAGCGCGACGAAAGCCAACCAGTTAGTGGAATGCCGATAGCACAGACGGCACCTAGAGGAAATTGAAACAGAATACTTTCAAGTGACGAGTAACCAAAGGTCGAGACAATTAGAGGACCGAATCCAGACACCGCGCCATTGGTGGTGTACCTAGAGGTGGGTCAGCCTACATTGATGTATAACCATGCTTCCCGGTTGACGGGTTGCATCAGACTCACGCTGCAGCCATAATCAGAGAAACAAGCCAGACCTTGATATCTAGGAGTGCCTCCTTAACCTGACATAGCTTAATTGTTTGGTTCCTTACTCCGGTCTGCCCCTGGCGCAGACGTTCCACTGCGACGAGTCGCTCTTCGGGAGTTAAGAACCAAGCTTCAAGAGGTGAGCTAGGCAAGTAGAAGCACCAGATACCAAACAAGAAGGTTAAGCATCCAGAGAAAATATAGATGTATTGCCAGGTCTTGAGCACGCCACTCTCGATATGAGCAAAACCATAGTTGATCGCACTTCCAATTATGGTAAACCAACCGGTGCCTGAGAACCACCAGCTTTGGCGTAAGGCTTGATCAGACTGCGTATAGTATCCGCTGACAATGACCATGAAGGACGTGGGAATGATAGACTCCGTGAAACCTAAATGCCGAGAAGCTAGTAAAAACTACAGTGGTCGAGGCCTAGCAAATCCCAAAATGGCAGTGCAGGGCTTTACGTACCAAGGAAGAATCGCTGCACTAGGAGTCCTTGCCACGTTGTCACTCCTGCCGTAGCAGCACAGATGATAGCCCAAATCGATACTGCTGGGCCGAGAACCCACCGCACCTCAAAGTGCTGCACTATGTAAGTCATGGGAAAGGAGCCTATAAGCTGCCCAAAGTAAAAGATTGAGGTTGCCCAGCTCTGCCTTGACGTATCGGATTCAACCGCGAGATGTAAATCCTTCGACATCCCGAACAGAGCTGCGCTTCCTAAAATGGCTTTATCATAATAAACCAATCCATACCCTTGGGAAATGTTAGAGATTTGTGTCCATCCAGCTTCGAAAAAACAAAAAAGATCATAAGCCTCGCTTGTATCATACCTATCACCATGGCCGGCATCAGAAAGAAATCAATCTTGCGCAAAACGCGTCGCTCGACCTCGGGATCAATTGGCCTCGCCTCGTCCCCTACAACAACCAGATCTAGACGTGTAACGGCGAGGCTCTTCTCATCCAAGTCTTCTACTTGAGAAGGGTTAGGGTTACCAATATCATCGGTGGCCGCCATGATCAGTTGTATAGTAGGTTGATTTTATTTAGTGAGACGGATGCGGGCGACAGTCTGGAAAGCCTAACTCAGCGACTCCTGGGATCTTGCTCCATGCGGTGTTCATACTTCTAACAGATGCATAAATACTAGACAAAATTATAATTTTAGTGCCGTCTCCCGACCCACATTGCGTCGACGGGTCAACGCATGGTGTGTTTAAACTTTAGTCTCCGCTGTGGAGAACGGACACTATTCTGCAGGCGACCGGTCGTTCGTTGGCAGTGGACCCACCGCAGTGTATCTAATAATCTATGTATGCATCGCGCAATGCACGAAGAAAATGGCGATTCAGCTACATCTCCAAAAGTAGTCATGTATTAGAGACATGACTAGGGTTTTGCGGTCACGTTTCGAGTCTTGGCCTGGGCTCAGCGCTTCCCATAAACAAATATCAATTCAGATATCTGGCTAGTAATTTACTGTTAAATCAGTCTTTATTTGAGGATATTGTCTCACACGATATATTTTATCAGGCACCCAAATACTCCCTCATACTGTCTTATATATATTTGTTCCCTTATATAATGGCGGCTCCCACGAAGTTGACCTACGTACAGGCACCCGAGACATCCGCCTCTCTCGACTGGGCTGACTTGATAACACTGGACCTCTCCAAGTTCGATCAGCCTGGCGGGAAGGAACAATTGGCCCAAGATCTGTCTAGGGCTCTGGAAGAGATTGGTGCGTCACAACACTAGAAAGAAATCAACCCCGCGTACTGCGGTGTAATAAATCTCTACCGCACACACATAAAACCTTCAATTCTGGATTTTCGTACTGAGCTCTCACAGGGTTTTTCTACGTCAAGAACCATGGTCTGAGCCTTGCCGAAGTTGACAGCCAATTCGCCCTCGCAAAGTCTGTCCTTTCGTTGTCCAACGAGGAAAAGGCACCCTACCGAGCAGCGCTTGAACAAGGTGACTACAACGGCTGGAAGCCGGCGGGCACGCGAGACCTGATCCCCGGTGTCAAGGATAATTTCGAAATCTACAATATCCCCAAGTTTATTCCTAAACACGCCAACCGCGCCCACCCGGAGATTGTGAAACAACACTGGGAGGAAATTGAAAGATTCTCTAAACATATTCACAATCACATAGTCAAGAAGCTGCTCGTCATATTTGCTGTCGCGTTAGGCTTGCAGGACCAAGACTATTTTGTCAACAAGCACCGGTATGAAGAAAACAGCGGGGACCATCTACGATACATGAAATACCACTCGAGAAGCGAAGAAGAAAACCAAAAGCTGGGAGGCGTCTGGCTTAAAGGGTAAAACCTCAGATCCATGAGCATTTCCCCGTTTGCATAAACTAGCTAACAGCTCGGTCTTTTGATGCTAGTCACTCGGATATGGGAAGTCTCACACTCCTCTTCCGCCAGCCCGTCGCGGCTCTTCAAGTATTGACCAAGGATGGAACTTGGAAATGGGTTCGCCCGCAAACAGATGCGCTGACGGTCAATATCGCCGATGCTCTTCACTTCCTTACCAGTAAGCCAAATATAGACATTCTGCATTCCATTTTTTGGTCGTTTTTTTGTTTCCAGAAATTTCTGTTTCGATGGAGCACAGTTAGTAGGAAGCAGCCTTTGCTAATCTGCTCGGCTTTACTGCATAGATGGCTACTTAAAATCCAGCATCCACCGAGTTGTTGCCCCGCCAAAGGACCAAGCACACATCGACCGCCTAGGCGTCCTGTACATGGTACGCATTGAAGACGACACAGACCTGCTGCCTATTGAGGAATCTCCTGTCCTTCAGCAACTGAACTTGATTCAAGAAAAGACCCTTGATGGAGATGGCAAGCCAGTCAAGGCAGGGGAGTGGGTGAGGCAGAGGGTAATCAAGAACTTAGGATCTGCTAAGGCTGAGTCGGCGGATAATGAGGTAAATGAAGTCGAGATTGTAAAGGGTGTCAAGGTCAATTATTATGATTAACATAGTCTATTTCTAGCATGAGGCGAGAAAAGTGCTTACTATTGAAGAAAATTAGAAGAAACAAATTGAACTTTCTCATCTCAATTGTAGCGGGGTTGAGATTCTTTTATAATTTAGACACATCGCTTCCTCTTAGTTGGAAGTAAATAGAAAAGAGAGAGAGAGAGAGAGAATAAAAAAAGGGACGTTATTGAGTACGAAAATATCAGGCCCAAACAGGGGATCACCCGGGTCTCCGCCAGCCAGTTGATTTAGTATAGCGAGAAGCAATAATATATGTCCGAAGACATATATAGCATACCATTGGCCCGGAATTGCTGTTTAATGAAGATTATACTTCGACCAAAAACATCCCTCAACGGAGTCCCGAAATATACAGTCTCAAATGAGATTGCAGTACCTTATCTTTGTGTAGTTATCAACGCTTCGTTGGTCCAAGATTGCGATATGCCCCCGTTAAATGTCGACGAGACATTGACTGGGTTTTGTTAGCAGCCACGTGGATCTTAGACAATTACGAATCACAAATTAGGATATATTTAGGCTCTAACATTACCGAGTGAAATACCTTACTATTGCCAAATATTAACGCATTCGAAAGGTCCATTGTCTGACATCGGTATGAAAGGATTACGATGGATATCTCCAGGATCCATATACTGCACTAAGATGATCGAATGTTGTGATTGTTTTCCTTGGGTTTCGGACTCGTGGCTGGGAATCTCTAGAGTAATTTTGGTATCCTGGCCGGCTCTGGATATCAAATATAAATAGACAGAGCATTGCCACATGCCATAGTGCTTCAGCACTGACAAAAGCACAATCGGTTGAAAATTTGGGCAAAATTACCCAGATCTATATTGGAAGTTTGCTCAGCCAGATGTGGTTCAAGTTTCCTATCTTGGCGATTCTGGCTCTCTCGACCTCGGCCAGCTCGAGCTGCGCTGCGGAAGACTCAACACCACCTGTTGTGACGGTCAAGAACGGGTCATATGCGGTCATCCACAGCCCGGAGTACAAACAGGATTGGTTTCTTGGTATCCGTTATGCCGAGGTTTGTTGCCTTCTATTAAGCTTTGGATTGTAGCAAGCTGAGATTTACATATTCAGGCAAATCGGTTCACCAGGCCTAAGCCACTCAATGAGACTTGGGTCGGGACAAGGAACGCTACTGTCTATCCACCTCATTGCGTTGGCTATGGGAACAGCGTAGCCTACCCGATGGTTGAAGACTGCTTATTTCTTAATGTCATCCGTCCTGCAAAAATTGGTGAAGATGCCCAACTTCCCGTGGCTGTATGGATTTACGGCGGAGCACTACTGAATGGAGGCAGTGCTGAGCCAGAGTACAACCTGACCTTCATTGTGGAAAATGGTATTCGCCAAGGCTCTCCTTTCATAGGAGTAAGCATCAATTATCGTTTGTCAGCCTTTGGCTTCCTCACCGGGCAGCAAGCCGTAGATGAGGGTGTAGCAAATATCGGTTTCCGCGACCAGCGCCAGGCCCTGCACTGGGTTCAATACATAAAAGAAGACAAATATCGTAAATGAAGCTAGATAGCGCTGACCTTCTACAGGTCGCGATGACGGTCTTTTCTACGCAGCAGTTGGTGAGTCTGGTTTTGGACATCGCCTTCCACGTCAGCCTGACTTCCCCGGCAACTACAACAATACCGCCAGAAACCAGCAAGTTTTTGACAGTTTCGTTCTGAAATACGTCTTGCGCTGCTACCGTGAACACGTCAGATGCCATTCCTTGTTTGCGGAATTTGCCGTTTGATGAATTAGACGACGTGTTGAACGTCACTAGTCTTCAGTACTGGCCGCCTACGCTTGATGGCGAGTTCATCGCTGACTTCCTTACGAATCAACTGAACAATGGCAATTTCGTCAAAGTTCCAATATTGATCGGTACCAACACCGACGAGTCAACTATCTTCTGGGGTCCTTCGGGCATCAATGAGACCGGTATCTATACGGAAGCCGATTTCCTTGCCGATGTTCAAGAGCCATTTGGTGCAAATGTCAACATTACTGCCAGTAAAACCAAGGAACAGCTTGCCGCAGAAATCTCACTTCTGTGGCCTAACATTCAAGCCATCGGCTTGCCCGATTTTGAAACATGGCCCATCATTCTCACTCCAAAATCTACGTATTCGCAAGACCTAGGCTTGCAATGGCGTCGTGGCAGCGCCTTTTGGAGCGATTATGTCATGCACTATGCTCGAAGACGGAGCAACTTGGCCTGGTCGAAATTCGGGGTGCCCAGTTATAGTTACCGGTTCGACGTGCCTCCTAATGGTGGCGAGCCTCACCTCGGAGTTTATCATGGTACAGAAATTGCTTTTGTATTCTCCAATATTAACGGGGATGGCTACTCTGTGAATCTAATTGGCAACCTCACCTCTCATCGGGAGGTTGCCCTGGATATTTCACATGCATGGGTCAACTTTTTCACCACGAGGGACCCTAATGGGAAACGTGCATTGCGCGTCACATGGCCAGCTTACAATGCTACAGAAGGCGGTGGTGTAGGCAAAAACATTGTCTTCTCAGCTGCTGATGGAAACCACGTGGAATATGATGACTTCAGGGCGGAGGGGATCAAGTGGCTGATTGATAACGCTTTGACCGTTTTTAACGTCTAGTCAAAGATTGAACTGAATCTATATATTTCTATAAACTCTTCCTCTAGTAAATCCGGGTTCACTTACCTATCGTAACTCTATTGACTCACACTTTGCTCCTCTATACTGAGATCTCGTGCATGGATGTGGTTACCTTTCTCTGTCTATTAATTAGGAGGAATTTTGGCTGAGTGACATCGAACTACTCTTGTAGTACTGTAGAAATATACCTTGAGTGAGAGATCTTTTCGCGACGGAGGACCTCTCACTGACAAAAGTATAAAGCACCCATGTTTAGCTATCATCTAACTTCTTAGAAATCCAGACATTATTTTTGGGCTTCGAACATAAGTTCCTCAGGGAACTCGAATTCCATACAATTTATACATTTATTTTTACATACATTCTTTGAGTATATCACGCAAATTGTCGCCCAAGCTGTCTGCAACCCCAACCTGGAACAGATCTTTCACACCGAAAGTTGCAAGAACATACTTCAACGTTGAAACAAGTGCCAATTGTCCCATGAATCGAATTTCTACATGTACTATAACGTGGTCAGAAAAGATGAGCCATTATCATATACTAGAGCTATTCTCTAAAGCTTTGAGGATGATATATACACATTGATTACTATAAGAGAAATGATAATGATAACAAATGCCTAATCTTAAAGGTTTGGTCATAATCGCCGGTAACCTCCAAAGTCTCGCCACATAGTAATTATTATATACAAAAGTCGCCTCGGACGCATCCAATGCTCACTTGCGCAGCCGCTTAATGGTTGGTCCCATCGGCTCGCCTGCGCGCAGGGCTGCAAATGTCTTCTCGTCAATTTCGAACCGTTCCTGGCAAAGCACGACTACTTGTTCCATCAACGAGGGGGGCACTACCACGACCCCGTTTTGATTCCCGACCAGGACGTCATTGGGATGGATCCAGAGGTCACCATGAAATTGTACGGGCACATTGATTTCGGACGATCGGGTGAAGGTATTTGATCCTAGGACGGATGTTCCGCGCGCAAAGACCTGGATTTCCTGGCGTTAGCGAGGACATGAAAACCTCTGATCAGAAACTATGGTAATAGCTTGGACATACCGGGAACGCCATCTCTTGGTGCTCGCTAGTGTCTCGCATCAGTCCGTCGATGATAACACCCTGCGAGACCAACTTTTTTGGCCCGTGTCGACATTAGACCACCCCAGCAGGCTGAACATAAATCCTTTGGTTGTTGGATATACATGATGTGGTCCTCTTTGTTCGCATCGGCAAAGTGCACTGGCAGAGTCGGCCCCGGGCTGTTAGTCTCAACCATCTTCACTGTAATGGCAGGGCCGCATATTTTGGTGTCGCCTCCCGGGGAGAACATTTGCAGTCCGCTGAGAAAGCCCCCTCGAGGGTACTTCAACTTGACGAGAGCATCGCCGATCTTGTGAGGTTAGCGGTACCCCGAGCAGGTCGAGAGGAAGTCCAGACATACATCGCACGTTGAAAAGCGCTTCAGATTCTGCAGAGCGGTTTTCACGGACCATGGTACAAGTACCGCGGTCATCTTGAGAACATCAGCAATAATATGTTGACGCCCGCTACAAATGCCTTCATGCCTAGCGATGATTCTCAGATGCTTGGACACACTCGACACCCCATGACATCAAAGATACAGCTCGTTCACGAAGTAGCATGAGATCTAAAAGACCGTAAGGTTCGATGGTGCATCGTTGGCGACAACAATTATGGTGAAGGCAGTTCACGCGAACATGCAGCCTTGGAACCTAGATTCCTTGGCGGTGTGGCAATTATTGCGCGGTCTTTTGCTCGAATTCATGAAACCAATTTGAAAAAGCAGGGCATGCTGCCACTGACATTTGACGATCCTGCCGATTATGATTGTATTTGTGACGGAGACCGTATTACCCTTCTTGGAGTTGAAGAGGGTGAACTACAACCCGGAGTACCGGTCGTGATGAAGGTTACTACACAGCAAGGGTAGGTCTGGCAAGCGAAGCTGAACCATAGTTATCATGTAGGTCAGATATTGTGCTAGTATATATCGTTTTATCTAATTTTATTTAAAGAGTTCATAATTTTTTGTAGCAACGCCTGGGTCGTACACGAAATCCCATGCCTAACTCGGCATATCTTTCCATAATGATGAGACTCCTTGCTATACCCTCTTTTCAATTTTGCCCTTCATCATTTTCAAAACTCGCAGAAGAAGCATCCCTGAATACACACAAACCAAATAAATGAGGAATTTCAAATATTCTGTTCGTCCTTGTTGGTGTACTCGTTGTGTTGACTTGAAATTTCCTTTGCTTCTTCCTGTAATTCCTTACTCTCGTCGTCACGAGAAACTGGTGCAAGCCCAATCTTATACCAAGGTCTTTCAAACAGCGCTTCAGTACTTTCCATATTTCGCCCCTTGCATTCCGGGAATGCGAAGAAGACCCATGCAGTTGAACAGAAGGTAAAAGCTGCAAATAAAGCAAAGGGGCCGTATGCATGCATTGACTCAGTCATGTTAGGAAATCCACGGGTGATTCTGAAATTGAGCAAATTCTGATAAAGAAATGCTATTGTTACTACCGAGCCACGGATTCTGGTAGGACAGATCTCTGCAGCTGAGAGAGAAAATGTAGGTGCCCAGCCAAAGCCATAACCAATAGCGAAGAGGCACATTGCTACTACAGCAACAATGGCAGCGGGAGAAGCATCACTGGAACTAATTGCATTGGAAGGGTTGTTTTTGCCGAGATACGCTGCAAGATAGACTAAGCACGCAAGGTTAATGGCAGAACCGATTAAGAGGAGAGGTCGGCGACCAAACCTTTCCGTCAAGAAAACAGCATAGAAAAAGACGGATATGAATTTAATTGTGCCGTATACCGCGGTGAAAAGCAAAACCAACTCGGAATCGAACCCGATTGATTTTAAGACCGTAGGTGCATAGTATGTGATAGAATTTCCGCCAGACATGATGAAGAATGTCTGTATCAGAAGAACGAAGAAAAGTATTTTTCGAGTAGACTGATTTTGGACACATTGCTGGATGAATTGCTTCAAGGTTTGCCAGCTGCTTTGCGTGTCGGGTTCGACATGTCTGAGAAGATCTTGATACTCGTGGGAGAAATATGGGTTACTCTCATCTAGTCCACCTCGAAGTCTCATCAGACTGTTCTTGGCAGCTCGGACATTTCCCCGTCGCATTAGATATCTAGGGCTTTCAGGGAAAAATGGCCATCCCACAATCAGAATGGTAGAAGGAATCATTTGGAGTATCATGGCCACTCGCCACTGCCAATTGCTAGACATCGGAAGTACTTCAGAGGCAGCAAGATTTATCCAGTAGGCACCAGCAACGCCACTCATGATTCCCGCATTGTAGAACGTAGATATCATCCCGCAAAGCTCAGTAGGAGCGATCTCGGTTATGTATACAGGGCCTGAGGAGTATGCAATACCTGACCCTATACCGGACACAACACGCGCAGTCAAAAGCTCTGCCAGAGATCCAAAGTTGATGGCCATCAAAAGTGCCCCAATTGTATATACAACGGCCGCCATGAGAATGACAATTTTGCGTCCGCGGCTTTCCATGATCGGGCCGGAAATGAGAATGCCGGCAGTTTGACCCTAAGACTTTCAATGAGTAAAGCTCCTATGAATCCGAAAGGGTGTGCAAGGGGCATCTTACCAATTACATTGAAGAGGTAACCCATCCGCTATAGTTGGATGTCCTCACGGACGAGTATTTATTCCAGCCGAACGCTTGTTTGAAGGACGACATAGCCATCACACCTGAAATGTTTGAAGAGCTAAATCCGTGAAGACTGCCACAATAAGATGCCCATATTGCGGCTAGCCATACGTAGGGGCTCCGGGCAGCCTTTGGGATTTTTTGTAGAGCAGTCCGTGACACTCCACCAGGGGCTGGCATTGCTGGTTATGTAGAGGAAGTTTGTATATAACCGAGAGTTAAGTAACAGAAACGATATGATGAAAACGACGAAGAATGGTGCGAGGGGATGTAAGAGTGGACAAAACCGAAGAGCAGAGAGAGGGTGGTATATATAGCGATGAACGTTATGCCGTTAATCCGGGGTTAAGCCCGGAGACCATCATCTAGATCATGAATACAGAGACGGGAGCATCCTAGCATAACTTTGGTGGTCTCTAGCCTCGACTGAAGCCTACCAAATTCCCGCATTGAGAGAACTGACACGCTTCCAGTCAATGACACACCGTCACAGCAAAGAGCGGCGCATGACCCCACGGCATACAACTATGTGCCAAGAGGTTGTAATAATGATTGGACGACGTAAGGTGTCGAGAGGTGGATCGGACAGCAGTGCTAAAGAATTCCATGGGCACGGACTATATGACTCCGTTCATTTATTCTCATCTAACCCTTGCTATGAGTTTGTAGTGGCAGAATACAAGCTTCGTCAGCATGAGTTATGCCAAGACACTCGTAGCTAACTCACATATCAATTTTTGGTCGGAACGTTTGTAGGTGGCTTTATTTTCGTACCTGCATGAATATCAGAAAATAACCTCATGTTTGTCCCAGAGACAAAGTCCAAGTACCCATAACCGATGCTATGGAGAATCCGCAGATTCAGCTGCTTTTTCCCCAACGAATCAATTTGTCCTTCTAATTGACTCGAAATATTCCAGCCTTGCATTGTGGCAAATAAAAAATATTTACTCGGTTGGCAGCCGGCCCATAGCGGAGAGATCCAGGCGCCATGAGAAATCACGGAGCAATCCAGGGCAGCACCTGCGAGCCTACGGTGTTGAGGATGGAAATGACGGCTATCCTCGGTTTCCTTCCCATCAGGGTTCGCAGTTTATAGATGATTCGGAGAGCAGCCCGATGGTTACTGTGACATCTTGAGATTACCACAGGTATTGTCTATGCCATCCCATTGCTAATTAGGGCTGAAACCCCTTTGGGGTTTAGCCCGGCTAGTAACGGCAAGGCTTGCTTGGAGTTGAGAGAGGCGAGAAAAGAAAAATAAACAAGGATTAAACACCGAGATGATTGTGGCAGAGTGCTAGTTTTCAATATTCAAGCTTGTCCTCTAAGAAATTCTTGATATAGGCCTAACTTGTTCCAGTTTGGTGAAATCGGAGGAAATTTACATATCCCTACTCTCTAGCCTGTATGGTTCTCTCCGGAATCGGTTCTAAATAGAGAAGCCGCCTTTTCCCCTCTGTTAATACCTAGATGCTGCCACTATCGTTGATTCGTAGTCCGATAATGGCAAAAACATCATGGGGATTTCGCTTACATCAAATAGACAATGTTTAAAGTATGCAGCCCATTAACAAGGGGCATTTTACAGAGGCCATGGCCTAGGCGTTAGGAACGTATGTCGTCTAGTGCAATGTCTAAAGATAACTACGAAACTTCTTGGGGAAGTATCATCTAATGAATCCAGAATTGTTTTAGAACATCTCTATAGACCAAGAATCAATGCATCGCTGGAAGTGTCAAGTGCAAACTACTACGAAGCATAAAATGCTTTCGGATTAGAAATCATCAAGGAGTTCCATTCCTCGTCGGACAACCAACTGCGTAGACTCTTAAGCCAGGCCAAATTGTCAACATTCAAGAATGGAGTTTCGGCCATCGCTTCTTTGTGTGAGCGTACTTTCATGCGCGGAGTATGTGGCCTGTCCAGAATGTCAATGATCAATCAATATACGTAAACTTATGACTCGAGACGACGAGGTCATGATAACATACCAATCACTTCCCCACAAAAGCTGTTTCGGATTCGCATCAAATAATGCTCGGCCCAGAGGTTCAAGATCTTGATAACCTGGAGCTTGATTGCTGACTCGGTATGGAGCACTGATTTTGACAAAAAGGTGGCTGGCACGCATCAAATCTGTGATTGCTTGAAATCCCGGTTGCTGAATTACGTCGACAAGACTATCGGCGGCTTCTCCTTCATTTGATAGCATACTAGACCCCTTAAGCAGTGCAAAATGATCAGTGACCAGTCTAATACCGGTGGGAGTTATCTCCTGCTCAATGAAAGGTTTCAGCTCTGTCCAGAATTCTGGGTGTATGTGTGTGAACGCCATGCTCCAACGAGGACAATGTTGCTGTAAAGCCCGTGCATGATCGCACAAAGCCGTTTTTTGCCGCTCGACATCGTGCATTGCTTGGTATCGATATAGATTTACTCGGATTCCACAAATACCGGCATCGCGCATGCCCCGTGCTTCTTCGGAAGTCAACGTGTATGGGTCTATAACGCCGATGGCTTTAGTGATCTTGAAGTCAAGTTCGGGCACAAAAGTACTCAGAGAAGAGCAGTCATCGCCGTAAGAGAGCCCATGAGTCAAGACGGAATGGCTTAACCCAATGCTTTCCCGAAATTCGATGTATTGTTTGATCGTTGCAGCCGGTGGGGTTAAATGTCTGTCGGGGGAATATGGGAATCTGGCAGCTGTGTACGGAGTGTAATTATAAGAGACTGAAAACACCACAAGTAGGTAGCCCAGTTAATACGTACGATCGAAGATGTGGTGGTGGACATCCCAGCCACCATTGGGAAAAAGACTCTGTGTAGTTTGCATGGCTTGATGGGGTTTTATGGCCTTGTTGATGTAGGACAGCACTTTTCTCTCAATGAAAGATGAAGGACTATCAACATTATTCCAGGCTATATGTAATCTAATCACTTATGCAAACCGCCTTTGGCTAGCTTCTGCAACGACGGACTTGAGCTGTCGCATTATCCCAGTCCCCCGTATTTATTATAGGTATTCGATGGCAGTTCAGACTCCAAGGCAGTCCGGAGCAGTCCGGGGGCGGCGTTCGGAGATTTCCAGGAGCCGGCCAGTAATAACATCCATCAACTTGTGTCAAAAGCACAATAGATGAGCCCGGGGCCGGAGATTTGATATCATCTGATTAGTAGATGTCTGAATATAGTATTGAACTGTGGCTAAAGACGTACTTACGTCGCCTTTAAACAGGTACTAAAACCTCTCACCTTCGGCCTAAGATCCCACAATTGCCAGCCCTAACCCTGACTGACTACACTGATGTCCCAGCAAAAGGTTTCGGCGTGGCAGTCAATCCTGGCTGGAGGTGTGGCCGGCGGTGCAGAAATTCTGATCACAGTATGTAAGCAATTTTGGGAAGCTACTCAATAGGTCTACATTCCATCTGACCAAGCCAAGTATCCTACCGAGTACCTGAAAACCCGTCAACAACTCCAGAAAACAGCACATCAATCAGCACTGCGAATCTTGATCAGTACCGTCCGGGACCATGGCATCTCTAATCTTTACACGGGAAGCATGGCGTTCTGTCCTATCAAACTCATGTAAATCGGGCGTTAGATTCTTCGCATTTAACACTGCTCGTCAATGGATGCCGACCGAAGGAGCGACAGCGAATTCGCCAGGAAAAGTGACTCCCCTAGGAAACTTGCTTGCCGGAGTACTAGCAGGCGTCGCAGAAAGCATCTTGGTGGTCACGCCTGGTGAGACATTGAAGACTAAGATCATTGACGACCAGGGCCGTCAGTATAAGTCTGCCGGCCATGCTGTGAGGTCTGTGGTGGCTAGTGAAGGGATAGCAGGTCTGTATCGCGGTGTCGCTCCTGTCACACTCAAACAATCTGCCAATGCAATGGTACGCTTCACCAGCTACAACCTTTTACTGAGCCAGTTGCAAGCTTGGGGCTCTCGTGGTGGCCCTGATGGTACGCTTTCCAAGACAAATACTGTTATCGCGGGTGCCTTGGCTGGAGTAGTCACTGTATATGCCACTATGCCATTTGACACACTCAAAACCCGACTTCAGGCTATTGATGGCCGGCAACGATATTCTGGCACTTTTGATTGCCTGAAATCAATCATGTCAAATGAAGGCGCTACAGTTTTGTGGCGTGGTACAACTCCTCGTCTGGCAAGGCTAAGTGTAGGTTTACTATTCATCATGAATTACTCTTAGAGTTATCGACTCACGCTCACTGAATATAGATCTCCGGCGCACTCAGTTTCACTATATATGAAACCGTCATCGAATGGACGTCAGGGTCCTCACCAACCAAGTTAAATTGTAAATCTAGTCTGTGACCTCGAGAACCACTCGCAACATATTGTTAGGTCTGAACCGCGCTACATGAGCATACAACTTCTCTAGATAGCAAGAGGAATACATTGATACTCTGTCAAAAATATTGGAATCTGGCTTGGTTGGGAGGACCTGCTAGTAGATTCGGTTTTTAAATTACAGATAGTGCACTCAGCGTATGTTTCAGCGACAGGTGTCGGAGTATCACTGGTATGGGATCTTGTTGTGTGTGCATATGCTTTCTTTTATTTTGTTCTCAGGAGCACTGTCGAACGATTAAAGCAAAATAGCTACCTGGAATGAAGAATGAGCATTTAAAATGTTTAAGTATTTCCACGCCGTAGAAAAATCCATCAAGGTCAAAAAGTAGCTCACCAACACCATCATCATGGTGATCCGCTCCTTCAGCTGCCTTTATGGCTGGAAGACTTCTCTGAGTAGGGGCACGCCATCTGGTTGAATTATGAGAGCTCAGCATCTGCTATAGTGACCAAGAGAATGATGATAATGATGATGGCGGTGAAGGGAAAAAGAAGAGATGAGAGGGCGGCTCGGAAACAGGTGATCTCAACTCATAAATCAGCTGTCCTTACAAGAGAGTTGACTCTGGTGTGCTACGTAGCTGAGTTGCCCATGAATAGTTAGTCGGGTGGACGTTGGATGTGACTGTTTGAGGAGATTCTGATGCTGAATGCTTTTCTACCTCGTAGAAATACATGCGCATTCCAGTCGTCAGCAAAAAATCTTGCTCTCATAACGATCATACTAATGTAATATGAGATTCTCTTTGTTTGACTCGAAATCTACCTGGTTGATAAAATCTGCATAAATCATGTCTAATCGTAATATCTAAATTTTCTAGGTATAACCATCGCAGGTACAAGTTCCCGGCACCATCCACATAGAGGCAACTGCTAGGTAATTGTTAATGTTAGTTAGTCGAGCGAACCATCGGCCTTCGTAGGGGTCCCATCAGTCGTTGTAGGAGCCTTTTTCCAAATGTCAACTTCACCACCGCCTCTTAGAATTGCAACTCGCAAAGTAGCCAACAGATTGCGAGCCGCATTCGCGTGATTGTATACACCTCCATTGAATAGAGCTGTTGCGTCCTTTCCGATGGCTGACTTGATAAAGTTCTTACCGCCAGGATGCTCTTCAATAAAGTTAGAGACATCATGGATGACTCCTTCGATAGCAATGAGGGACGGCCCATCAGGACTCTTGCTCGTCTGGGTAAAGTCATCCCATTCCATTATTGGGAGGTCTTCGATGGCTGGCCCCCAGTTGTATTGACGGCTCTGAGTGTCTATACGCTTCCGAACCATTTGGATTTCTCCCTTCCCAATCTCATTCTGAGGAAAGCGTTTCAGGTTGTCCGCCATGCCAAAGAGACTAGATAGCCAAATAACCCATTTTGTGGGATCGAATTGATACCACCTAATAGCATTGCGATAGTCGGATGGGAACTCGTGGTGGAAGTTATGGTAGCCCTCACCAAGAGTAACAATGGCGGTAAACCAGTGGTTGCGAGGGCTGCGTCGGTCGTCGTACGGTTGCTCTCCGAAGGAATGAGCTAATGAATTGAGACAGAAAATTCCCTGGTTGACAAAGAAAGTGCGCAGAATTCCGGCATAGATAAATCCTCCAAACCAGTCATTCCACCCATATCCAGCGACAAGAGTAGGAAAGACCCAACTCATGAAGATCGTGCAAGGTACGTAGTACTTATGCTGGAAAGCTACTATCGGATCCTTCTTTAGATCAGACACATCCACCTGAATATTCTTACTTGGTTCCTTGACCATGGTCCACAATATATGTGCATGCAGTATTCCCTTATTTATACCATATGGATCAAGCTCGGTGTCAGTATAGCGATGATGCTCTCGATGTTTTCGAGCCCAAAAGAAGGCAGATCCCAACATGGACCCGGCCCCAAGGGCCGCTAGGATCAATCTCAGAGGTGCATGAGCAACAAATGACCTATGGGACCACAACCGATGATATCCTTTGTGTATTCAGTCAGCACAAAGATGCCAGCGTGGGAGATATCAAGGAGTATTGCTTACCTGCTGTGACAGCGACCATAGTTGCCACATAATAGACAAGTGACCACTGAAGGGTCCTCAGCGTCAACGGCACCCACAAGGCTTGGGTGAACCCATACACAGGGATAAATATCAAAGTAATGACACTACTCCATCGAATTTCTTGATACCAAGCGCCCTTAGGCTCGGCGGTATCTTTTTTAGGGGTTGCTGCCATATTTGCGAGAGGTCCAGCGAAATCTATGAGCAAGCAAACGTGGAGATTGAGAGATTCGTGAACAATGGTAGAGTAGAGTCAGTCTAATCTGGTTATATAGTAGAGATACGAATGGATATCATCTCTCTTTTATATCCCAAGCGAGCGTATATCAAAGACACCTATACGGGAAATATCATAACTAGCCCAGGAATTATGAAGCGGACCCAGCATGGAGAGTGCATCCGCTGAGCACCCATCTCATTCCTTAGTAATCGAAAACTGGTTCCGTTGAATACGAGAAGTAGAGCACGATATAGATAGGGCATAGTTGAAAAACGCACGACGTCGATCATACAACCTAAAGTCAAGCCACAGCCCGGCAGGATGTGCAATTTGCAAGTGGGCTAGTTGGATCAACACGAAGTCTGGTTCCCACGGTTGACAAATGCTCTAGGCTTATTCAATCAGAAAGGCAAGAAAGCAGCCACGGCCGGCGATCATGCATTTGCCATCGGATAGCTGTACGAGCCGGGGACTCTACGGGCCGCACCCCACACGGTTGAGTTTTAACCGGGTTGCCGAAGTAAGTATCAGGACGAACGTCTTGGCTTTGGAGTCGAAGTTGCTTGCTCAACTCGTTCGACGCCCTCACTCGGGATGGCTGCAGCCTGGCGCTATAGAATGCTCCTCTATTGTCCGGGGTTCATGTCTTGCCGTGCCTTCCGGCGCCGTTGATGCGGGTCAGTGGATACTAACAGCAGTAAACAGTCAGTCATTTCTGATTTCTCATCAACATATGTATAATGATATGGTGTATAGAGAGATGGTGCAACTACTATTGCAGTGAGAAATAGAAAGAGAAATATATTCGCCTATTGGCAGAAATATCAGAGATCTTATTAACATTTATTGTTAATATTTATTTATGGCTCAGATGCCAAGACCCAAGATAAGATCCGGCAGAACGCCAAGACTTCATAAAACCGCCAAGACTACGGCGCGCCAAGACTTTTCTTATACTCGCGATGTATAACTTGCTCTGCAGATTCCGAGGTTCTATTGAAGTCTTGATGTTTTTATGCCCGTTATTCACAGGAGGTGGATCATATGTGGATTCATACTATTTCTAAGCGTCATCGTAAAGCATTCATAATTGAATGAATGCAAAGAGGTAGTCGTAGCTGTATATCGTGCCAAGCGTTGCACTATTCGAGCATACACCCTGATATCTAGCGGCTATGAACAAAATCGAACGAGGCTGTATAGTATGATGGTACATCCAGCTTCTAGGTGGACAACTGCTAGAAATGCTTGCATAGATTAATTAACTTTTGAATGATTCTCGCTGACATTATATTATCATTCCTCTTGAATAAATTCACCTCCCACTGGGTCAACCTGTCTTTTTGCTGCAGGCACCAAGTTCAGATACAATGGAAATATCGCTCCAGCACTCCAGAGCGCAACCACAATAGAGTACCCATACGCCACATTGTGAGCCAGTTTAGCAGCATGCTGCGCAAACAGGAAGAATGCACCGCCACTAATAGCCGCAGCCAAGACAGTAGAAGCCGTTTTTGCATGCTGGGCTGTGCCTCGCAGTGAAATAGCAAAAATGATGGGAAATATCCCACCCTCGAAAAGAAAAACCAAGATAGCCATTGTAATAGCCACCGAACCTGTTGTGCGCATGCACAGAGCTCCGAAGATAATTAGGCAAACATATAGGACTAGAAGGGTCCGTCGGGGATTTAAGAACAGCCAGATTATCAAGGCTGACAGGAAACGGCCAATCGTAAACACCGCATTGCCGACACCCTCGAGATCAGATGCAGAAAGACGGGAACTTTTGTTGCAATGCATGTCAGCAAGGATATTTTAAATCATCCCCAATGGTTTTGAGGCACAGATATGGGTCTATGTTGCAGATTCCCGGGAGAAGTAACTACTTACGTGGGTTTAGAACCGGTCACATATTCATAGAAACCCACAATGTGTACTTCTTGCCCTCCAACATAAAGAAATTGTGACCATACACCCAATCCAAGCGTGACGCCAAATACCGGCATTCCTAGAACAGTAGCCTTGTTTTCCGGCCGTCTATCAGCCAATTCCTTTAAATCCTCATCCGGTGCTTCGGGTATTGGCAGATAATAGAAAATAACTGAGAGAAGCACATCAAAGAACGAGATGCCGAGATATGCCCATTGTGCATGAACTACCTGTATAACATTATTAGAACTTTTGAATATGGCCCTCTCTGCAAGTTCGTAGGCCGCCGTCCCTCCGATACCCTGGAAACCTTGGGCGACGCATAGCCGGATCTCGGAATATTCCAGCGGTCCGCACATGGAGATGAATGAGTTTGCTGTTGTCTCCAGCAGGCCAAGCCCAGCTCCGGTCACAATATTCGACACTATGAATGTGGGCACAGATCCTAACACTGCAGACGGCCAGAATAGGAGCGTCCCGCAAGCATAAATGTAGAGGCCGACAATAAATGTAGCCGCATAGCCTAGCCTTTTCAATGTGTAACGACCCACTATAAAAGGCCCTATCAGATACCCTCCAAAGTACGCTGCATGGAGTCCATCAGACTCCCAATCGGTGAGCTTCGCAACCACCCCGAACCTGGTATTGAGGACGTTTATAAGTCCGTATGAAAACCCCCACAAGCAGAAGAGGGTAGTGATTAGTATATTAGGAGGCAGGGACTCTCTGTTATTCAGTCTCAGCATGGATGCTGGCCGCATATTTAGTACGTTGACGAACGACACATGGTGTGCATATGGATCACGAGCTTCGGCCGTTCTTTCTTCCGGATGAGACGTTATTACTTCCATCATCTCACCGGCCATATTCTCACCTCTGCCCGGGGCTTGCGTAAACTCCTTTGATTCCCCTTCCTCTGCTTGAGACATTTCCTTGGCATTTCCAAGAAGAAAAGGGCTGACTCGAGCGGCGAGAGGTTTGAGAGTCGGAACACATGCGCAGGTTATAGTCATATTCACCTCCACAATTGACCACATGAAGGCATACGCAGCATTATCTATATTGTAATATTTCGGATTAGAACCCTGCTGTAAGGGGTAAGCATGACTTCTGGAGAAACGAACAAGTATAATCTCTATTCCCAACCTCCCCTACATTGGTTCCATGATGTCGTTGTAGTTGTGCTATGGCAGTATTCTCAAGAAACGCAATACGAACGACATCCACCACAATCACTAGGATGGCTATACCGAATGTGACTACCAATATCAATTTTTGCCTGAGGGGGAGTGTCATCCGAGTCAAGAGTGGAATTGGTATCAGAAGGATAGCAACATCGGTGGCTATGTTGTAAGGGGAGGAGCCGAGGAATGATGGGAAAATACCAGCACAATGTTCTTCCAGAGTTTCAAACCTAAAGCCAGCCGATACTGGATGACAGTGAAAGATCTGGTCCATTGTCAAAGCAAGTCCAACTGCATTAACAACGACCAGTGTAACAATATTTGCCCAGAAGAATGTTTTCTTGCCATGAGTCAAGGCAAGAAAAAATACCAAAACGGAGTTCTTGGCGGCCATGGATGTAGGATCCTTCAAGCACATCGATCTTAGTGTACGGCCTTCCCAAGGAACTGGCAGAATTTTCGAAGATGTTGGAGGATAGATACATACATAAAGGACTTCAAATACGTACGCTGCCTTGTTGAGGGCAACTTCATTGTGTGACTCGATATCATGTTCGTGCAGCCCGAAGCCCTTTCCCACTGCGTAGAACAGGGAAACCGCCATCCCAAGATCAATCAGCTGTTTCAGTTTCAGCTTCGAATAGCGAGGCGAGTCTCTTTTTGGAAAGACTTAGAGTTGCAACTTACCCATGCTAGCAGCATCAGATAATCGGCTAGCCTGACTTTCTTCACCACAAAAAGACAGGAGCTGATGTAAAGGCCCACGAAGATGCTAGCCAAAACGAAGAAGACTGCCGACACTGCTATAACGACTGTTTGACGGTTGTCCATGTTTTATATGATTGACAATATCATTTGGAAGTCTGGATTTTTCTTTGCAACGTTGACAAATCGTTGAATTTACATGTAGGTAATATCGCAATGGCAAGACGCGGCGCCACAGTGACGTCCTGAGTGCACGATGGCGGAGGCGGCACTGAGCCGACACATTGTTTTGCGGAAGGAAATCATACGTGAATCATGCAAAGCAGTGGTGGCGTGGGACCACGCGTAGAGAAAGGCAAGAAAAGGATCATCCTAGACAGTTGTCTGTCTGTCGTGGTTAGAGCCCTATACAGCCACCGTGATGACTGACCATACCCGATTTAGAAATGCAAAACCCAATCAGGCAATGTTCAGTTTGACACATGAGCATTTACATCAGATCCTACGGATGGTAGAGCTGAGCTGTAGACGAGAGAAAGAGGAGCAAAAGGATTGAATTATAAGGGATCATGTAGTGTAGCGTGAGCAAGCACCATTGAAAACCCACTACTGATCCGAGGATTAACTGTGAAGACATTCTTCAGGACGCCTTAGGGCAGGGGTGTCGCATACTCATCAGCATTTCGACCAGGCAATGCATGGTCTTTCTACTGACGGCCAGGTAGAATGAAACGAATGAGCGAATCGGGCAGCCAACCAATTCACACTATCTATCATTCTGGCCTATGCAGTGTACCTTAAGTGAGAGGGCGCTGGATAGCAGTGCTAGTTTAAATCATGTCCCCCTCTCAAGTATGACTGCTCTAGCACCGCTATCCTGATCAGTCGTAGTGTAACAGTCGTCCCAGATGTACGCGTATTCCTCTTTTTCATCACCGGCTATCCCGGGTAGTTCGTGGGCCATATCCACGACACGCTGGGCCTGTTGCAAGTCTCCGCATTCTAGTACGGCAAGTTTCACATCCAGCTGACGCGCAAGAGACAATAACTTGGCATAAAAAATATCTTCTGGCACTATTGTCTCAAGACCTAGTGCCTGCCAAATCGAAGGATCAACCACGGGAGGCACAAGAGCTCCTACTGGCTCGAATCTACGCACACTTCGAGATGTTGTCCCGTTGACGAGATTCAATGGGGATATGTATGGTGGGTTGGATATGAGCACGTCCCAAGTGCTTTTGCCGCCAGCGCTGTCAGGATGAGTCTGCAGGATATCCATCAATGAGGGTATATCAGACCCGGGGTGATCAAGGATATCAGCTAGTAGAAAGGAAACCTCTTTTTCCGCTCGAGGGGATAGAAGACCACGTCGTAAGTTGTGTGCTTTATTCTTGTAGCCCAGGTTGATGGCTTGCGGGCTCACATCAACACCGAGGACCGTGAGATTATCAATATGAGACGCTAGAAGCGAATGCAACAGCAGTGAAATGCACCCACTTCCACTGCACAGATCCAAGATACGTAAAGACGCCCCGAACTTGTTGGCCCGGCGTTTCTTTAGTATAATGTCGCTGGCATGTGACGTATATGATTCCGTCTCGCCACTAAGATAAATTAGAACAAAAATACCCCAGAATCGACGCCACGCTGAGCTCTAAAGTTCATAGCCTTGCACACAAAGTCAGGAACGAACCGAGGTATAAGAACTCCTGGCCGGCAGAGAATCTCCAAATCCCCGAAAGGCTGATCACCCAATATGTACTGAAGGGGCTTTCCTCTACTGCGATCTGTACACATCCTTCTCAATTCATGTCGCCAATGTTTGCTGTATGTTCCTGCATTTCGGCATTTCGAAATGGCACCCTCGCGAAGCCACCGTAATTCGTTGCGAGCCTGGTCGAGCGTTCGGCATTCTTTAAGGACGTCGAGTAGCAGAGGGTTTTCTCGATAAGCTTTTAGAAGAAGGCTCGTCGGTATCCTTGGCATTAGAGCTCGAGAAACAGTTCCCCGAAGGTAGTATTGCGACAAGTACTTTCAAGTTGGCTGGCGAAAGCACCTAGAACTGTCAATGGCGAGAAATAAAGGTGTTGATTGAGAGTGCAATTGCAGGACCACCACGGGAGGTTTTACTTTACCCGGTAATAAATATAGTACGTACAGTATGTGACGGTATGGTACCGACTATATGGAAATTGGCGGGTCTTCCCGTTTTACTTTGAAGGGCTGAGAAACAACTTTTCAATTTGATTCATCATGATATGCTATTATGAGTAAGTATCCTGAGGAATGGACATTCTTTGCGCTTAACAACAAACAACGAGTTTATAATGCATCTATACATACAGCCAAACAAAAATCATATCTCTACAGTGCCAGCAGGATACCTGCCCCTGCAGCACCAAGAGCTAGATGATTAGGTAGGCTGGTTGCCATACTATTTGCCGCGCCCTTGCTGGAAACACTCGCGGCCTTCGTCGCTGTTGTTACCGTCCAACCCACTCCCTGGCCGGTGGCGACGGTAGTGACAGGGTTGGAAACAGCAGTAGCCCCAGGCACACCCGCGGTGCCGTTCGTGATCTCGAGGACATTCGTCTCATCGGAGTTGAATTTTGTTGGTGCTAAGGATATTTCATTATTCGTCAAGTCGTACACGACGTATGCGCTTCGGAGAAACGTGTCTCCAAGGATGGGGGTTGAATCACCGGCTGGTGCAATGCCGAAGACACATGCAGCGGTGCCGTCGTCGAATGTCAGACCGGTTCCGTCTTCGAGAACCAACTCACTAATGCTGACCGGGATCGCGGGGCTTGAAAATGTGTATGTGATGTTGATATCCTTGTTCATCATACTGCAAGGTATGTACCCCGCTTCTGTCGATTCTTCATATACCACTCCAAGATCATTGTAGAGACCCTCAACAATATAGTCCGGAAGGTAGGTTAGACTGCTTCCAGAATCCAGCAGAACTGCCGCTGGAAGCGAACCGGAACTGTAGGACGCGGTGGTGGTACTGTTACTTAACGTAATTTCAGTTAAAATAATGAGAAATTCCGCATATTCGCCGTAGATGGTCTGAATAGGCAATGTCTCGAGAGTGCCAGTGTATTTTCCAGAGTCAACCCCTCCAAAGAGGATGGAGCCAGTATTCGAGTCCAGATCATTGAGCCACAAGCTATAAGCGACTGAGTTGATGACACCATTATTGACCAGCGCTTCTGGAAGGTTCGCATAGGGTGTTTGTTCAGCATAATTGACTTGAACTTCGTCCGCAGTATAACCGATTCCAAGAACACCCGCTGTTTTCCAAAGGAAATAGGAATTAGTGATTAGAACTTGAGAACTTGACCGCCTTTCGAGGGTATGAACTCACCACTTGACGACGACGTAAATCCTACTCCAAACTGAAAGGACGAAATTGTTGTTCCGCCGATGGTTAAGTTATCTTTGACATAATCTCCGGTAGCACCGCTACCGTCAACATAAGTGATGTTAAAGTCAGACGAGACGAATTCGTAGGTTGACGAAGAGCTGGGATCATATGTCCCAGATGAGTCGCACGGGTCTCCTTCGCTAGTACAGTAGGTGGAATTGGCAGTATTACACCACAGATCGCTGCTGCCAGTGTCCAGTGTCAAACGTAAACTCTGCGCGGGCGTCCCTAACGTGACATTGCAATAGTACAGTGTTTCCTAGCGAGCGTCAGTTGAGTCACTTCCTGGTGTTTGCTAGCTTTAGGCGGAAGTGTCGGGGAAGTGGAATATCCACACTATACAAAACTAACCTCATTGTCAAGTGTTTGGCTGAGGGTCATACTCCTTTTCCTTCTAAGATCTCTGCCCGCGGGATCTGTTACATGATTGCGCCCAACATCTAGTGCCACCACAGCCGGAACATCTCTTTTCGCAAGTGATATCGCTTTCGCCGTATCAAACGATTGGATGGCTAGGCATATGGCGAAGATGCTCCGCAACATTATTCCGTGTGTATAAACGGCGAGGCTGAGTAACCGGACAAAGAAAAGATTTAAGAAACAAGAAGGGCCAAAATAATTTTATCGTCGAAGGTATAAGCGACAGGCTATATAATAAAAAGTCGTTAAATTGGCTTGATGGGTGGAGTTATCGGCTGTCTCCATCGCATGCTTGCTGGTCGCGGAAGTGTGAGGAGATGACGCTCAAAGAAGAAAGGATAAATATATAAGCATGTAACGGAGTGGTTCTTTAATCCCACTCCTTAGGTAAATAGATCATTCAGCGTTGGGCTCCACATGATCTATCTTCAAGCTTCTTGTCAGACAAATCGACAACGGCAGTTTGTTCATGAACCTGTCACATCCTAGCTGCAACGCTGTCAGAGCTGGAGCAGCTCCTAACCAAGCCGCGTACTTCAAACGCTTGCCACGCACCGAAGGCCCTATCAAAATGGACATCGCGCTCGAGTTTTTGGGGGCCCACCGCTTGTTCGCCGGTAGCGCAGGCTAGGCTGCGAGGATAGTTAGGGCCATGTATCTGCCTATCGTATGGCGCTGCGTTTTGTATGCCGGGCGACGACGGAGCTGACGTGGACGCTGACGAGGATTTGGATTGAAGGGAAGCGCCAAGTTGCGACAAGCGCTTGCGTAAACCCACCCTGGATTATTTATTGATTTGCGATCCGACGCCAAGTACGTACGGACAGCGCGAGCGCGAGCGCGAGAGCGGAGTATGTGAGCATATCAGCAGCGATGGACAAAACATGGATTCTTGTCAGGAAGCAGGAACCGAAGAAGGTGCGTTGCCAACAATAGAATATAATACAGTTCGATATAATACAATAAATACGGGAATTAACCATCCTTGACATGTACCAACTTGTATGCCAGCGTAAGATACCAATACCGCCAGCCCCACCGTTTGGCTGAGCAACAGCCAATTAGCGATTAGCCATCCCTTTTCTTACAGGACACGAAGTATCCCCATCGACTACAAAACCATGCTTATTCTACACATATAGTACAATGGCAGTTATCTAGTCACTGCCTTTCCGAGGTTCGCCGTTTGAACCGCCTCAGATCGACCTCGGCATCGTATGCGTCCAATTTCGTATTGTTACAAGCCCATGGCAGACCGCACGGCCTTCATGGTGTTATTCGCACTTGTGCGAGCCTTGACAGCGCCTTGTTCAGCAACGTCTTCAAGATAATTGGCCTCCTTGCCAATGATCTCGAAATACCTGTCGCGGATGGGCTGAACATGGCTATTGATCGCCGCTGCCACAAGGTCCTTGAGCCCCTTGATGCTAGTCGATTGCAAACCCGAGGCTACTTCATCGCAAGTTCCCCCGGATGGTTCTAAATGGCTTAGTATCTCGATGAGATTGGAAATTCCTGGCCGTCGAACTGGGTCATACGAGATACCAGGCTCGGAATCGGTGAGTGCGGATTTGATCTTCTTTTCAATGTCTTTTTGTGAATCTGTCAGGAGAATCCTGGATTTTGGATCGACTTCCGACTTGGACATTTTGTGAACTGGGTCCTTAAGAGACATAACGCGGCGAGCCGGTGCTATTGAGACCTGTTAGCTGCAAGCCCGCAACCTCGTTCATCATGATTGATCTGCGTACAAATTAAGCCTTCAGGTGCTGGGAATAGGGATCCAAAAAGGTGGTTGAAGCTGTTCGCGGTGTATCGTGTGAATTCGATGTGCTGCTTTTGATCCTCGCCGACAGGTACGTGAGTTGCCCTGTCAATTCAAGTTAGTCATAATATGCAGAGATACGTGCTGCAATGGCTCTCGTTACCTGTGTACAAGGATATCTGCCGCTTGTAAGACTGGATAGGAAAAGAGCCCTAGTCTCAACTTGGACTTCGCTCTGTCGCTCTCCAAATCAATATCGTCTGGCAATTGTAATTTACTCTGCTCAACAGTCAACCAGTGCGCAGGGCGATCCCGCCAGGATTCAAAGTGCGATTTTGCATACTTTCCACTGCGTCATCCGAGAAAGGTAGCCCATAGAAGCTACTGTGCTCAAAATCCACATAAGCTCTGTATGTTCTGAGACCTGAGAGGAAGAGGGGAAAAACACCGTTAACGCCGAAAAAAGGATCAAATGGTAACAATCATCATATTCAAATATATCACGTACATGGGATTGGTAAAATAGTGTAGACCGGCTTGGATCAAGACCGATTGCGAGAAGCATCGCAAAGCTTTCTTTCCGCCATTGCCGTAGTTGTGTAGCATCTTGGGGCACCGTCAAAGCATGTAAATCAACAATCGAATATATACATTTGTTCTTTGCATCCGCATCATCCTGCAATCGAACCCATTCGCGCAGGGCTCCCAAATAATTCCCTAGATGAGGTATTCCTGTCGGTTGTATGCCAGAGAAAATTACTCGCTCGGGATGGGTGTGCTTCAAGGTGTGAATCGTACGTCGTAAACGAATTTGGCTGAGGTTGCGGCATGGGCGGAATGTAATATCAGACAAACTCTTTATTTGCCTTCCAATAGCCCCAACAGACAGATAATTGCGCGTCATATTCGTGTATCGCAGGGGAAATGAGGGAGAGATCCAGCGCTTGGTCGGCGGAACTCCGCATCATTCGGGGATGTCACGTGAAAATTTCAACTCTATTGTTGTTCATGTACTTTAGAATGCAATTAAAAAATATGATATATGTGATCAAGGCTACGTTGATAGTAATTTTTTGAGTGTATGTTACAAGCAATAAATTGAACCTGTGATATGCTATGAAATACCACCCAGAAAGAAATGTACTCTATGTTACAAAGGCGCCGACTGAGGAAAATTACCCCATGACTTTTCAACCCTTACGGACTTCATTCATTGGGCTCCGAGGATTCAAAAACCTTTCACTATTGATCTGATCCAGCATTGATTTATCCTTTATGGCGTCAGGGCGTTGACCGAACTGAGCGAAGTATGGTTCCAGTGCCTTATTGACGTCCTCGGCTGTCGTGTCAAGTCCGCTGGCGACATCTATCACGGGATTAGTACAATTGAATTGCCTTGCAAAAAAGTTCAATAGAGCCCAACTTACCTAAATCATCAAAGTCCCAAACATTGGCCTTCATTCCGACACCGTAAAATGCATGTCGTCTTAAAAATGCCAGCCACAGTTGCACACTTTCAGGGTGACCATCTTTGATCTGTATGAGGCGTCGCAATGTTATACGTTCAAAGTTCTCTTGGCTCTTTTTATGCACGAAATTGCTTCGAGGAACTGTCCAGCGTTCAACGATGCGTGGAAGAGGAATGGGCCCAGAGACTGGAAGGTTGAGGTAATATGCGGCGCGGATTGCAAAATCGGCGAAGAACTCCACATTGCGTACACTGTAAGATCGAAGTTGAAGGTCACAAACTGGAAGGCCGTATTGTGCTTTCCTCCTCAATGGGCGCAAATAGAGTGCCTGAACACTCCTGGGGAGCCGAGTCTTTTGGCGGATATCTTTCAAGCGTTGGATCCTTTAAGAGCAACAAAGGGCGAATTAGCCAATTTCCACGACGGCTTCTTTTCTAAGACATACCACGGCTTGACTTCATCTGTTTCATTTAATCGGGGCAATTTGCCAGAAGGAATTGGAGCCTCAGCATCTTGTGCCGGTTTGGGTGTGTTTGTAGATGCGACTGAAGGTGGTGGTGCCTGTTCGGAGGTGGTCGCCAGTGTCCTCGTGAATCGCGCCGTCTGCTATGCTCAGTAACCATCACTCGAGTATGGTAGAGTTTCTAATCCTTACCTGCAATGCTGTGAAGGTCGGTCGAAATAGCGTTTTGGACAGCATTTTGACTGATCAATGACTTTTATTGACCGGCCTGATCGTTACGGAGTGTAGGAGTACGGGATGTCTCCAGCTTTTTCCAAGTGTGCTCCCCGCACACCGCCTTCCACAATTTCTGCCGGTGCTTTAAAACAAGCCCTCTCAGCCCACCAGGCCTTATCAACCAACTTGTGTCTTCAAGCGTCTCTGAATTGGACCATTTTCCTATACAAAGCCATCTGTCTAGGTCGCTCACTGTAAGTAGAGCAGAGTTGTCTGACCTGGAACTTGAGTTGGGCATTACCACGTTCACTCACCCACCAACAAGTACTATTCTCAAGCGTTGCCTAATAGTTTCACGAAAGAACACCAAAGATTAACTTCCTAAAAATCAATAGGATAAAGAATTAGAAGGTTGCTGCTTAGATTCCGGCTCATCAAATCAAAGCAAGCACAATATCTAGTGAAACTATCTAATATAAGTCTTTACCTTGGATAGCGCTACCATGGCATCGGCTACGGTATTTTCCAAGGCGCAAGAGGCAGCAAGCTTTTTGCAAGGCCGTCTTGACCCAAAGTTGCAAAAACCCAAGGTCGCTATTGTTTGCGGCTCTGGACTTGGTGGTCTAGCAGACGCTGTTCACGAACACCCAAGGAGAGAGATTCACTACTCTTTAATACCACATTTCCCACAATCCACAGGTATGGATATCTGCCGTCTTTTCGTCCGTGATTTTCATTTGAATACTTACAGTAGCGCAGTCCAGGGACACGCAGGGAAGTTACTTTTCGGATTTCTCGGAGCCCAGACGCCAGTCGTTTTGATGGTTGGTCGATTACAGTCAGCATTCCATTGATTAACTAATGAGGCTAAACGTTGGCTAACCGAATCCTAGCTACTTTGAGGGCCATTCTATAGAGGATGTGACCTTCCCAGTGCGTGTTCTCAAGCTTCTTGGAGCGGAAACAATAATATGTAGGAAGACGATTCCATATCAACTCATCCAAGAGCGTTTCTTCTAACACACGCAGTGACCAACGCTGCGGGAGGTCTTCATCCAGAATATGCCGTTGGGGATATTACACTTTTGAACGACGTAGGGGCAGCCCGCACTGGAAGTATACATGAAATTCCTCGGCTAACCTTTCACCTCAGCACATCTTCCTTGCCGGGCTTGCAGGCCAGCACCCGTTGCGTGGGCCGAATGCAGATGAGTTTGGAGTTCGCTTTCCCCCACTCTCAGACGCGTATGACTTGTCGCTTCGGCGTTGTGTTCATACGGCATGGCAACAAATCACAAAATCAAAGACAAGGCGACTCCATGAGGGAGTTTATGCCTATGTGTCAGGACCAAGGTATATTATATGTACGCTTGGTAGTTGATGAAACATACTGAGATATGGCAGTTACGAGACACGCGCTGAATGCCGCATGTTGCGACAGCTCGGGGCAGATGTGGTAGGTATGTCAACCGTCCCAGAAATTGTTGTGGCGAGACATGCTGGTATGCGTGTGCTAGCATTCAGTCTCGTTACAAATAATGCAGTTCTCACACCTGTGCCCCGAGGTGATGATCACCTTCTTCAATCCTCGACAACTAGCCATCTGGCAGATATTTTGAACGAAGGGAAAGCAAATCATGAAGAGGTCCTCGAAGCCGGAAGACTCGCGGCTGAGGACATGCAAGTGAGTCAAACAGCCTTCCCCAGAGGATTGGAGATCAACGACTGACTAAGAACGAAGCGGCTCGTTGTGCAAGTCATTACGAACGTCTTTGAACAAGACCAGAGTGTATGATAAATAGCATAGAATCTGCTATCAATCTCCTCACAATGAAGATATTTCAACGACGACGTTTCGCTCGTAGACGGTTGTAATGTGCTTTCTTGCCACTGGTTTTGGCAACCTGGACCTGGTTGTACTTGGCCTTGAAACGGCCAGACTCCTTTTCCACAGCAAGTGCCTCTTGGACAAAGTTATCCTTGCGATCCTTCTTCGTTACTCGAGACTTGAAAAATTCAGTCGGTCCTTCAATGATGGTTCCAACCTGAGAATACTCTGGCACAGCATTGCCGCTCTCCTTCTTGTAGTGTCTGTGGGGGTCCAGAACGTTGCGCATTCGTAGAAGTTGCAAGTCTCTTTTCAACTCTGGAGTCATTATCGTCTTCGGCATGTTGAACCAGTCATTGCCAGCATCTTCCTTTTCCTATTCGGTAGACGGTCAGTCAATCTCCCCAGAAATTGGATCTCAGGAAACAACAATATCTATATATAACAATCTACTCAGAGTAACTATGAAAAAAGTATGGCTCTCATAGGTGCAGGACAGTCCAAAACGGACTGCGAATCTGCATCAAGTGCACAAGGCAAAATAAAATTTTCGTCATAGCAGAAAGAAAAGAACATAGATAAATGCTGAGACATACCTTTGGTTTTGCAGATGGCTTGGGACCACGAGATGATGACTTCTCAGATGAATATATTTCGGAGGGCAGGGTCATTTGAGCATTGTTGATAGAGGCGACCTCATTACGCTGATGAATGTAAGGCTTCAGGCCAGCTGCTGCAGGCAATGAAGGCACTCTTCAAACATCGTTAGCCAATATTATGTGAATCCAATCGAGAGCCGAATCTTACCTGGGAACGTCGGCGGGCAAGGTGTCGTTATCGATGCCTGCAAGAGAGTTTTCCGCCGAAGACGACGAAGATTGCAGTCGGGCATGGGCTTCTTCAAGAAGCTTTTGGATTAAATCATCGTTACTCGAGTTATTAGTCGACGAATGAGTAACCCCGCCGTCCATTGTAGTCGATGCCCTTACATGGGAGGTGAAGAAGAAGAAGAAGAAAACAACCTGGGGACTGTGCTCAAGAGAGAAAAATTTAATGTATTTTTTTTTTTTTTTTCGCTCCCGACGGGCTACAGCTTGAGTGGGGCAGAATCTTATGGTGGAGTGTGTTGGCTAGTAATTTGTGGCAGAAATCCTCTTTTCTATTGGAGGGCATTGGTGCAAACTTTCGTAATCGCGGGTGCAAAATACGCTAGTCCGCGCAAGCACCGGGCGTGGAGGGCGCTTTTTGCATACAGACGCGGTATTTAAAACAGCACATGACGATCTTCGCGGGCTTTGTTTCCACCTGCTGAAAGCGGCCTAACGCCAGCCACACCTCGTCCATCACATCACTTCGCATGTCGCGCGCGCCTTGACTGACAGCCATCTGTGCCCAAAAGCCCCAAGGTCGGTTCAGTACAAGACGTCCTTTTTTGTCCTTGGTTTGATTCTTGGTTCCTGTCGCGCGCTGTTCCCATCGTCTCCCCGGCATATCGCGCCCAGTCTACATACACCAGCCGTCTACCAATAATTGCCGATCTTCTAAGGAATAAGGTCCCGCCTTCATAGAATCAAATCAGAAGCAAGCACGCACGCACGCAAACAGCAAGCATGGAACAAGCCGCACAGCAAGCTGGACAACAACAAAACCGGCAGCAGCCCATCTACGACATTCGAAATGGTGGCCACTATGGTATGTGATGCTCGATTTGTAATTGCTTTTTGTCCCCATCCAGCACGCTGATAACATCGCAGGCGCCAGCGCGGCTGTAAGTGAGCGGACGTCGCAAAGTCAACCGATATTCTCGCCTGTTGCTAACCACCATAATACAGCTTTCGGCACAAGGATTTGCACCTGTTGCAGAACTGTACACTGGTACATGGTCAAATGTAAGTCATTCAATATAAAATCAACCAACTTCGGCGTTGCCAATCGCGTCATACTCATTTTGCTGCGCGCCCAATTAGGTCAACCAAGGCCTCCAAGGAAACTCGCGCGACATCTTGACCACGTACTGGCAACACATCATCAACCACCTGGAAACGGATAACCATGATTATAAGATACACCAGCTACCTTTGGCGCGTATAAAGAAGGTTATGAAAGCAGACCCCGAGGTGAAGATGATTTCAGCCGAGGCCCCCATTCTCTTTGCCAAAGGCTGCGACATATTCATCACAGAGCTTACAATGCGCGCATGGATACACGCCGAGGACAATAAGCGCAGAACCCTCCAGCGCTCCGATATCGCAGCCGCCCTTGCCAAGTCAGACATGTTCGACTTCCTCATAGACATCGTGCCTCGAGAGGAAGCCACGTCGCATGCGAAGAGAACAAGCCAAGCTGCAGGTGCTGCCACGGCTGCTGCAGGCGCCGCTGGACAACTTCCTCCTACACAAGGCGGCGTTCAGCATCCTGCCCATCACATGGGAGCTCCCGAATATGCCCTGGGACAGCACGCAATTCCCCAGGATCAGGATTACAGAAACCAGCCAGGCATGTACCCTGGTACCGTGCAATCGGACCCTGCAGCATATGGGCAACCACAGCCTCAGATGTTTGATGGCATGTACACGGCATATCCGCATCTACCTGCTCAACAGGTACGTTTTGCTTGCTTCCAAGTTGCACAACGAAGGAATGTACTAATTGACAACAGTAATCATCTTCAGTAAACAAAAATCGGCAAATTCATTACGTGAATGGTGTCAGGCTGGTACCTAGTGACAAAAGGCTATTGGAGAATGTCTATGTTTTTGTTGTTGGTCTCGAATGATTAGAGTTCGACATTGGCTTGATAGGTTCGTTTCTTTTTATCCCTTACCAATTGTAGGATTTCCCCCCTCCCTCATTATATGCTACGCAATTACGTACTAGGCGTCTTGTTGTTATGACTACTGGTCAATGGAAACGAGTTTTGTAATTAAAGTTGACTCAATTTGTCTCTTGATATAGATCATCAATCCAAGAAGGCTCGACTAAACCCAGCTGGTGTTAGAGGCATATGTAGGATTGACTAAATAGATAGTGTAAATCAGTGCTTATGATGATTTCATTCCAAATCTTGAGGACAGTGTAGCGAATTTTTCGATTTTGACGGGACTTTGAACCGTTCGCGTGAGCCTAGGATAGATACGTTAGTAAACATAAATGAGTAGTTGTGAAGCTTTTTCTTCGAATTACTCACTTTTCAAGCAACATCGGCCCATTCATAGCATCCACACGGCCGTATTTCTTATTTCGTGTAGAAATATCATAGAACTCGTCAGTGTTGTCTGACTGTAATAGATTTACAGTCTGTTGTAGTTCGTCCAAATTTTCTCTGAGAATGGGATTTCCAAGACTGTCAACAAATGCTGCGAGGTATTCGACGTCTTTGGCTAATGCAAGGACGCCGTAGGGATTTATTTTTCTGACTTCAGGAGAGAGTGGTAGTGCCTAAGGAAGAATGCGTCAGTATCTGTTCCTTGACAGTATTTTATTCCGAAGGCTTCTTCTTCTCAGACTTACTAGGATTCTGTTCGCTGCGTGACTCAAAGCGTCAAAATAAATAAGTTCCTTAATCTCAGTGGGAAGACCGAGTAATGTCGAGTTCATAATGTTAGAAAGGAATCGGGTTAACGTTTGCATATAGTTGCTGGGCTCCGTTGGCTCTATAGTAGGTGTCCAATCGTATTCAGCAGTCTCGATGAGATCGTCTATTTTTGAGTTCACAACTTCGAAAATTCGTTTCTCGGCTGCTTTCTTGTTATTTCGAAATTTCGTGGTAGCATTAAGAGAAATCAGACCGGCCGTAGAAGCTTGTGATTGGGCAGCAACAAGAAGTGCTTCGAGCTCCTGGCAGGCCATTTCAAAATGTTCAAGATTAATCAAAATCTGGACAATTTGTCCGAGATACTGCGAGCTCAAGCGCTCAACAAGTGTCTCGCAAACCTGATTTGATAGAAGATCATCCAAAGCCTGCAAAGGAAATTAGTTGGACACGGTGAAACGCAATCGCTTATATCTTACCGTCTTGAGAGTTTCATCAATAACATCCGAGTGAGAGAAATCATCGTTGGAGAAGAAGTAGAATTGGTTGACAAAGTTTCGAATGTCGATACAACATAGAGGATACATCTGCGAGAAAGGTAACACGCAGGGGAAACTATGTAATTGTGAGTCGTCATTTATTTCTTGTTCAAGTGTAGGCCAGCTTACGTTTGTTCTTCCCGTGGCTTCTCCGGGGTGTACCAGCTAACATTTATTACCTTGTCGAACTCTTCCAAATTTTGAATTGGCATAGGCATGTAATCATCAGTCGAGACAATCTGCAATTCGTCAGTTTTCCCCAAGTTCAAATTGAAGAATGAGTTGGCTGACCTCCTGGAAATCGTCACTGAATCTTGTTTTGAGCAGGTCGGCATATCTCCCAAAGAGCGTCAGGAGGAGTCTGTCAAACACTGCGACTGAAAAATTCCATGTCTAGGAAGGTAATAAGCCTCTATGCTTTGCAGAGCCTTGCAGCAGAACATTCAAATAGATAACTTACATCCATCGCCTGCATGAAGAGTGCGATGAGATTCTTGATCTTTAGCAAACTTTCGGCATTATCCACCTCTGGAAGTGCTGCTGTAATCAGACCAGCCGCAGTGTGGCACATCGAATCCCATAATTCCTCTACCTGTGTTGAAGCGCTTTCAAATCAGTCATCTAGCGAATCACAAAAGTTTGGCACATGTTACCCACATCAACAGAAGATCGAAGGTCGGGAACCTTTTTCATTGTCGACCTCTCCACAATTGCAAAGCCAGTCATTTCTTCTAGAAGAGTGTGCAAACTTGCACCATCGGCGTCGACTAATGTGATGGAACTGGGAAGGAGGAGTTCTTTCTGCCGTCGTCGTGTGGTTGCGTATTCGGCTCTGAACCTATCCATTTGTCCCAATGACCGATGAATGTGCAGACACTCAAACAAGGGTGTAAAATCAACCTGCAGATCTTCATTTTGGAGTAAATCGTACTCCTCATGCTCGTCCGAGACCAGCTCAATAGCCGAGTTCAGCTTGAATTGCTCCAAATAACTCAATTTCTGGGCTCTTTCTTTTAATCGTGTCTTGCGCAAATTCGTATGATACAGCGCAATCTCCCCTAGGTACTGAGACATCTCGCGAATACGGTACAGCCACGTATTCAAGTCCGTCATAACTGCCTCGGCAATTGCTCTCTGAGTTGCAGGCACAGAGCGCTGAATCAGCTCCGATATTTTGTACTGGGTGATCTCTTTGAGATGGACATTTTGCAGCTCTTCCAGCGCTCGAAGAGCGGCGTAGTGGTTCTTCTTCCCCAGCAGGTCATGGACTTGATTTGACAGTCTCAAAACCTCGAGACAGTCTTGGAGCGCGCGAAGACTTTCTTCAATGTTCTGTCGATGGCTTCTTGATTCCACCAAGGCTTTTTTCTGCTCGGCCAATTTCTCCGTGCTGGACTGAATCGACTGGTTCAAGTCCAGAATCTCCGACGTCAAACTGACAGTTCCCTCACGGATTCGAAGCAGCTGGTTAACCGAAGTGACAAATTCTTGGTGGTTTGTATTGCATATGTTCTCGATCTCTGTCTCCTTCTCGCTAGCGAAGCGGGACAACGAACGGAGGAGCTGTGACGTCTGGTTGCCGTAACTATACTCTCGGATTGATGGAATGAGCTGGTCTAGGTAGTCTGAGTCCGAGGGGGACATGACAATCTAGTAGCCGGCTTCGTTAGCTTGCCATGCATCCCTTCCAAAGGCATTCTGAATACTCGGATACGTTGGACTCACCTGGGTCAGGATGCTGGAGGAGTCATTGCGAGGGGAAATGGCGGACGGCATGGTTAACAGTTCCTAATCAAAATAGAATCGCATATCGACAATTACGAAATGCAATAAACAGCTCGCGCAGGGCGAGGCAATCCTAAGCTCCTTGGAGTTGGAGGAGACAATGTCGCAAGCAAGCGGCAGTCGCGACCCCGGAACTGCTGTGGGGCCGCACCTGCCTGATGTCGTCCGTAGTCAGACTTGGCATATGTACCTAAACTACATAACTACAAATCTTGTAGAAGCTCCCAACGCTACGATTAACCCAATTATAAAAGAAACATCGCCAATTCTATATACAATCAACGAAGAAAGCATTGGAAGAGAGAGACAGGTCTCTACGAGGTTCCAGAACTTGTTCATTGGACCAGCAGAACTGACATCCGAACCATCAAGGAGTAGAGAGAGGATGTGGATGGGAGCGATAGCTTCATGACCATTTTACACATGTCCTACAAGCAGAATGTTCTTCTCTGACGTCCATCAACTCTCCAGCATGCACAGGATACGTACGTCCTGCCTCGAGTGTCTAAGATGCTACACCACACCTTAGCCCTGACACTTACTACTGTCGCAACGATCAAGGTAGAGATACGAATGGATGGCTATATCTGATGGCTGAATGTCGCAGTTTTTTATTTGGAGTAGCTATACAAGCTTTGTTCTGGCGGTTCCCCCATACAAACAGAATTTGTTCACCCTCTTCCCATCCATTAGCCAATTCCGGACTGACTGGTTGCTAGACATTCATTGGCTATATATCAGGGAGAAGAAGATGGCAGGTCAAGTGAGCTCACCTGACCAGCTTTATCAGCTTTTACCGTTTCCCTCCAGAGCATTAATTGGCAGGATGACCTAGGTGCAGTGCTGTGCATTTTGATAACAGGTCTTTTTGTCCTATCACAAAGCTGCCGTGTCTTTCAATGCCTCTATGATGCTGGCATATGACCACCCTGTTGCAACCTGAGGTGAACTTTATCTGTCTTTGTGGAATTTCATCCTATCACAGGCTCTGGTGACCTGTGCCTGGCAGCCCTTTGGTGCCGTGCCTGATGGGTGATAGCCCTATAAGAAGCTCCTCAGGTCACGACACCATTTGTGCCCTAGCATTTGCACTTGTGAAGGAGGGTCACGGCCCTATCAAAAGCCCTAATTACCCAGACATGCCCCTTTTGGCATCCTGTTGAAATGCAGGCATCCTGTCAAACCATCCAATGGGAGTCTTTCTTCAAGGCATACAGACGAGGAATGATACTACTCGAATGCTCTCGCTGCTGTAAAATATTCTGTAGTCTACTCTCTGCTTCTTTTCTTCTCTCTCTCTCCCGTCAGCTGGGACCTCGTTGCTTGATCTATCGTGTGCCATTTATCTTCATATTCCTGATCTCTTCAAGTATTTGTCGTGTCTTGTTGCTCAATCTACCCGTCTACCACACGCTAGCTTTTTATCCGATCCATTTACAGTTCAACATCTTAGTTTCTCATCTGCTCAGTTGAATTTGAAACATGCTATCCGAACGCAGAGCGATTTCAAATAGCCCGCACTCACCTGAAGGAGCTGCAGCTAATCTCAATACCCCCGACACCAAGGTGACTGTCTATTCGCCTGAGGATCTCAGAGCTCCGTTGTTTGCTCGGGCTCAAAAGGATCCACGGCAGTCTTTTGAAGGAATGGCCGGGTTTTCTGTTTCGTAAGTCAACAGGCCGACTACTTTGGCGTACGAACTGACCCTCAACCCTGCATGTATGGAAGGCCTGCCGCGGATCCCTTCATTGGACCAGATTACTCTCACCTGTCCTCCAGGAACTTCAATTTCCAACGCTTTGGCTTCGACGTCGGCAAACCTGGCATTCCTAACGAGAGCCCGGTGAGAACAGTCAGCTATGCTGGACTGCCAACTCCAAACACCGACTCTCGCTCAAACAAGCTTCATTTTTCTGAAAGTGCGTTTCTAGCAAGTCCCTTTTCTGGGGCTCGTGCTAGTCTAGGGCTCAGCAAGGGTAATCCTGAGTTGCCATACTTCCCCCCAAAAAGTCGTGCTTTCGTGGTCGAGGGCGTTTCCCCTGCTCTCTCGCACTTGGCTGTAGCCAGTCTCTTCACAGTAAGTTTTCATAGATGACGATTATTTTTTTGGGAACATCTGCTTACTGGGTCATGGAAAAGCGCCGAGAGTTTGAAAGCATCCAGGGCCCTTACCTTTCAGCGCTCAATTCATTGGGAAAATTTATTGTCTCTTTCACAGACCTACGTGACACTCAGAGGGCTCTCGAGAAAATCCAGGTCACTCATCCAGAGTGGCGCGTGATTCCACTGTCTGCTCGTGAGTACGCTCAAGATTCAATGGGCACTACCACTGTTGAAGGCATTTCAGATTTCGAAGGCCAGGTCTCCATCAAGGTCAGTCTCAGGGGAGGCTACCAAGACGAAACCGAGTTCTCTCAGATGAGTTCTCTTGTTCAAGGCTTGGTGAAGAGCTTTGGCGCTGTCAACGCATTCAAGGCCACTTCTTCCTTAACAACTAATGCAAAAGAATTTTTGGTCGAGTTTTGCGATACCACTGATTCTGCGAACACTGTGGCCGCCTTGAACGGTGCATGTATTGAGGTTAGTCACACAATCCCAGGCCCCACTGAGTCTAGTCTGTCATTATTCTAATACTCCTTGTCTCTCTTTGAAGGAGATTGAACTTGGAGTCAAGCACGTCCGTCCAGACCTTGAATCTACCTCTGGCAGCTTGCTACAACAACTCATGAATACCAGAGATAACATGTCACCGAGCACTACTTCTCCTTTCCAGTTCAGTGGATGTACTCGTGACCACAGTTTTGTCCTAAGTCCAACAGGGCGGTCTACCGTACCGATGGACGATCTCTCAGATATCATGGGCTTCCTCTCACCGGCACAGAAAGTGTCTAGAATTGATGCCCTGCCCCAGCACGCCGATAGTCGATTTGCCGATCAGCGGCCCAAGCATCCTCAGAACGTCGTCAACGTTGACCGAATTCGCATGGGTCTGGATGTTCGCACTACGGTAAGATTTATTACCCCTGCAGCAGCAATTAAACAACTCCAAGTCTAATCATTGGTCTTAGATCATGCTTCGAAACATCCCCAACAAAGTGGATTTGGTAAGTAGCGAAAATTTCCCCAAATAAGCCCTTGTTCCTTCTTTGCTGATCAGTCAGCCGCTCCTCAAAAACATTGTGGACGAGACCAGCTTTGGAAAGTACGATTTCATGTACTTGAGAATTGGTGAGTGTTACTTCCTCCCTTTTCTATAAGGAACAATACTAACGCGGTGACACTGCAGATTTCGCCAATAACTGCAAGTTAGTATACAACAATTAATCCATCCATTTTGTTTGAACTGATCATTTAACCCAAGTTACAGTGTTGGCTACGCCTTTATCAATTTCGAAGACGTAAGATTTTCAACCCCCTTTATTCTTGGAGATATTTGCTAACTGGTATTTGTGTAGCCTATTGATATTATCGATGTGAGTAATTAGTTGCTGCTCACTTGAAGGGGGAGGAAGTTTACTAAACCTGTGGCAGTTTGTTGAAGCTCGAGCTGGCCGTACCTGGTAAGTATTTATGCAATCAATACGCTGTGCAATCGTGAATTACCTTTATTGACTAGCTACTGTTAGGAACTGCTTTAACAGCGACAAAGTTGCCGAGGTCTCATATGCCAGTGAGTGGACTATTTTGCTGCCTCTGGATGGGACTACGTACTAACCTTAGTCGTCCCTATAGCAATCCAAGGACGAGACTGCCTGATCCAGAAATTTAGAAACAGTTCAGTTATGTTGGAGGATCCTTCATTCCGTCCCAAAGTGAAAAACCCATTCCTCTTTTTCCGCAACGAGACATCCGCTGATATAGCATAGTTGTTCTACACTGGCACAGGACCGCTTGCAGGAACCGAAGAACCCTTCCCAGGTCCCAACAACATGTCAAAAATGCGCCGTAGTGTTGAGAATGCGGAACAAGTTGGTAAGTAGATTCAGCAATATCCTCCATCGTGGCATGTCTTGAGAGAGAGATCTTACGAACAACCACAGGTCTTTTTGCCCCGCGCATGAGCCGCGATGTGCGACGCGGACATGGTGCGATTCGTCCTGAGCAACAGCAGATTCCGACCACCTCTACTAACACTGCTGCTGCTGCATTCCTGCGAAATGCAGCAAGTCCGCCGCAACGTCAGGGCCAAAGCCAGGGTCAGGTGCTTTCAAACTTCACGCCCATGACTTCGCCCGTTACCCAGAGACGGGGACCTCTTTGAGTTGAATTGGGTTTGGCAAATCTTGAGATTCAACATTGGGCGCTTTGTTGGGGAGATACTTCGCGATATCATTTCATTCATCGCTTTGGCGAGGCGCCGACAACCATCGTCGTTATTTATCTTGCAAATTGTGTTACTTTAAATAACAGGTGAGTAGACTGTCCTTGCTTAATCAATTGTCTTTAACTAACCACGAACATATGTTAGTGGTTTTACAATGGTAGTATGAAGAATCGAAGGTTAATTAATGTGGAGGTAAAAAAGGAGGGAAAAAACAAAGTGGTTTTATCTGATGGGCAAAAAGGAATCGTTTCATGTATTGAGGGAAAGGATAAATAAAGACCGGTGGATTTACGAAAAGCCTATGCAAGATATAGTAAATGCAATGATCGATCGCATTCAATCGACATGCCGTTCAACTGTTTAACTAAGAGAGTAAAAAGACGTTCGGCGGGGGGGGGGCGCGATCAGCTGCGGAGTCAAAAAAGCTTATCTCAACGTCCCCGGACAAAAGTTCTCTATCACAAACACAACAGACTGCAATGGACCAATCTCGCCTCCAAAAGACTTTCTCGACGGTCCATCTCGTGTATCATCGCAACAAAAACCAGCACGGGAAGACTGCCTGGTGGAAATGGTTATCAATACTACGACGGTCGCTTCTAAAGCTCCTGCTGCTGCACCCTGCTGAGAAAAACAAGAAGCGGCAGATAATGCTCATCTCAAAATACTTGCATACTCAAGTTATTCCGAACGCTTACGTGTAAGTATTGCTTATATCATTTTCGGGTCTATCTTTTCATCTAATTCGAATGTTATTTGCAGTGCGTTCTCAACTGTCGTAGCCGATGGGCAGTTCTCTACACTCGGCACAGTTCTCTTGGCCGCGCTCGCGCAGACGAAGAAAATCATTCTTCCACTGCCACAACCAAAGCCAAACCACTCCGAGATAAATCAGTTGCCGCCATCTTCTATCACGACAAAGACAAATGACGCAGACGACGATTTCGGAACACCTATTCGTCGCGCCCCTGAGCACGACGCTGTTGAACTACCGAAAATCAACGAGCAACCTGCGGAACCAAAGAAAGTCAAGAAAAGTAAAGCCAAGAAAAAGAAATCCGCCAATGCTATTGATGATATCTTCAACGCCTTGAGATGATACAATTCGATATATATATAAACATATTCTAGACGAACGTGAACGCAAAAAAGAAACAACTTCTTCGTGTACAAGGCACATCACAAAGAAAGGCCAAAAGCCGCGAAAAGATTCATTCCGATATGATTTGCCAATGCCCATGCGACACTATACAAGAACTTCGGAGAAAATACCGTCCACACGAACAAATGAGTTCTGAGCATGGTGCAGGCCGCCATTACGGATAGCAGATCCAACGAGGTGTTGAATGATAGCAGAGCCGTTCGATTCGTCGTCTCTGCTGGAGTCATACGTCGTTGTATTATAATTGTCTCTGACATCCACCAAATCGGGCCTGCCCAGTTGCTGATGAATGTGAGCAGGCCGACAACGAGGACGTTGTAGTCGCTGATACCGTTATAAGCCGTTGAAAGGTCGACAGATGATAATGCGTTTGATCCACCGAAAGCAAAGAATGCCACATGCTGCATCAGGGTTAAATTGATGGTTGTTTCGATGCTGTTCATGTCGACCAACTCAAGTATCCATGCTTGGGCTCTAAATAGGAGGAAGAGAGGAATGTTCGTTGCCCTGGACTGTGTAATGAGAAACAGCGTAAGGGCTTCGTGGAGGAGACATTTTCGTCTCACTGCGAAGGAACAACAGGCGGTGTCAGAAACATTACATTTCATGGCAAGGTGGATTATACGTACCATCATGGCTACCTCGTGATTTCACATTGAAGAAAACGAAAATAGCCACAATCATGGCAATACCAAGAAACGCAAGCCGGGCCTGTATGACCAGTGTAGTCCGGAATTCCGGTTCAGTTGCCTTCAACATAAAAGGATCTAAAATCTCTGGAGCATCGGCTGCTGTAAACGATAATTTGAAGACGAGTGCCGCGGTGGACACGACCACAGACAGCACTGTCCACAGCGCATTTGATAATGATAATTTATTTCCAAATGGTGTTGATCGAATCAGACCTCGGCAGTTCGCCATATATGTAAGCAGAATAAAAACCCAGAGCAATCTGGGCTGGGAGGAAGCTAGAAAGTGAACGATATCGGGTTCACCTGCGAACTTCTGTCCGGTTTGGTTCCAGCGCCGTACAATGCGACCGATAGTTGCAAAGAAAATTGTGTATATAGTTCTCTTTAGAGACATGGCAGAGACCTTACAACCTCGGGCTCTAGTAGTGTTCAGTCAGCCATTGAAAAGTCATAAGTAAATTCAAGGAAAAAGGAAAGAAATTCTCACGATCTCAAATGGATATAAACAACCCAGGACGTGGCGATCCAATACCAGAACTGCTGTTCTTCTTCCACGAAACTACTAGCAAACATCATAGCGCCATGGAGAGTAGCAGTAGTCAACAAGAACAGCGTAGAAGAAACAGAAGTCTGAGACCTCGGTAGAGTGCGATATGCAACAATGGCAGACATGATACATGCAAGAGCAGCTATAAAGCTTCCAGAATATAGCATGGAGAGCTTATAACTGCTAGCGGCGCCGCTCATTACGCTCTGCGCTTCATGTAAAAATCTGTACTGCGCTTTTTGGAATGCCGCATGAGACGCCTCGTTGTCAAGTCCGTTCGTGATAGATAGCGAAGCTGCTAGCCAATCGCACTCCAACTTGTCAAAGGTTGAATCTATGTCTTGATTGCAGCGCGCAATTGATCGTTCAGGGTCGGACAGGAATCTGGGAAAAGCCATTTTCACGACATTCAATGTTTGGGCGACGTTTTCTAGAATGATACTCATTCTGTCGGATTCTGGATGATTAAAGAAACCAAATTAGCATCAACTGCCAAATCTCAAAGCAATCCAAAGTCAACATTTCAATTCACCTTTTTCCCACAAGCCAAGAAATTCGGGGATAAAAACACCAAGGTTATTGAGGGGTATTGGCACTCCGAGAAGTCCAGCTAATGTTGGTGTAATATCCGATTGCTCGACGGTGCGATAGTACTGGAATTCGTCCTCAGTCTCCATAGGACTGTCCAAGGTCGCGAGCTGAGAATTTTCTGAATGTATTTTCAACTTTGGAGATATAAAAGCCAAGGCTGGCGATGTTTCTCCCGCGGATGAACCACCGTGGTTTCCTGCCTCGTTCATTCCATGATCTCCACATAGTATTAGGAGAGTCGACTCCAGATGGGTTTCGGAAAGCATTGCATTGTATATCTCTTCAACAATGCCGTCCATTTCCTTCTGTTTGGGGATCATATGAGAGCTAAAAGGATTATTAGCCTGCCGTAAACACCCCTCTCAGTCTTGATTCTTGGATGTCATACCTCTTTGGTCCAGCTTTATGACCAATGTGATCCAATCCAAGGTAGTGAAGCACCATAACCGACCAGTCATCTCTTGCGAGCTCCGGCGAGATATGGCGCGTAACGTTATTATCCACCTCGGTAAAGTCCTAGAACACCCATTATCAAAAAATGTTCGAATCTTTCATTCTACCTTTCCCCAGCCAAACTGACCGAGACAAAAAAGCTACTGGTTCCATCATATCTGTCAAATGTACCGGGAAACAAGTTCAGCCATGTATCATCTCCATACATAAGTAGCTTCCCAGAGAGACCACTCTTGAGCTGAGTTATTATCGTATCTTGATGTACCAGTGTCGACATGCTCTCGGACTCGGCGATATTGAGAACAACGTCGGAGAACGAGGGGACCGAGCCGGTTGTTATCGCCTTTACTCGAGGCATTGTGACCGTCGGAGAGCTTGCGTGCGCGGTGAAAGGAATCGCCGCTCCATTACGAATTAAACTACGGAGGTCAGCATACAAAGGACCATAAGTTAAGACAGAGGACAAAAAATTGTACTAACTTTTGAGTAAAAAGAAAGCCCGAGTTATTTGAATACACGAAGTCACTAATATCCAACGAAATGTCAATCCTGACTGATATCGTCAATGAAGTGCGCAAGTAGTAACAAGGTACCTGCGCAAAGCGTCGACCACCATCAAGATGGCCTTGTCAAAAACTGCCGGAGCCTTTTCAAATTCCGGTTGCCTAGCTGCTCCTGGTAGAATAGGCTTATACGGGAAATATCCGGAGCAAAACAATAGCACAGCAACGGGGATGAGCGTGTTGGCAAGAAAAAGGGTCCATTTCGAAAGCTTGCCGGCCATTGTGCCCAGTTCAGATGACGAAGGGCTATCCAGCGAGAAAATTGAGGTACTCAGTCATGTACGCAGTCGAGCTTTGAATCATTGGAGAGAAAATTCACATTCTGTGGTCTTGTTTGGTATCGTCGAGCAGTTTCTTGGTTGATCCGAACTCTGTTTACATTGCGTCGATTCTGCCGCCCTTTCCAAAAAATCAAGCCCACCGCCTTCATCTATTGGATATGCCGGCCATTTCCAGCCACATCTGACTCCAAATAATTTATGGAAAATGTACTACATGGTGTAGGTTCTATTCGACTGTATGGATAGGAAATTTCTATATTGGCAAGGTATAAATGCATAGGTATCTATAATGTGCTTATTAACAAGAATCAAGCAGTTTCATAATCACAAGTCGACCATTGCTGACGAAAGCAAGACTTCTGGATCAGAGATCGTGGTGCAGGGACATAGCTGTGCCTCGTGTAGGACCTCCATCACTCGAACTGCCTCTTGAGTTGGACGCAGTCACGCTCCGCACCGAGTCACCCTGATTATCACAAGGTGAGTGTTGCGCTGGAGGCAGCTCCTTCCATCGCCGTAATATTCTGATTCCCTACAGTCACGGTCGTAGCTGCAATAAGCCTTTGCTCGATTTTCCAATTCGCTTGTGATCGTTTCGCAGAGGACTATTCTCTTAATCCCAATGATTCATGTGTTGAAAGCACTGAAAAATGAAAACAAAAACCCTTTGTGCCCAGTTTCAACGCTAATTTTTCTGAGACTTTCGGTGAGGCTTAGGAAATACCATCGAATTGCGAGGTTTCCTTTTTGGTTGCTTTCTGACCCGGTCTGAGCGTTTCTTCGTTGAAGATTTCACTTGCGAGGCCGCTGACTCGTCGATGGCCATCTCTGCAATGTTGAACATTAGCATCAATGTCTTATTAAGAGCAAGGTGTATGTATCCATGGGGCTTTCTCACTGTCACTCTCATCTTCTGCATCCGCTTCCGTTTCCAACTTAGCAGTATCCTCTTTGAAACCAGTCAGTCAACAGTGGAACACAAAGTGAGGGAGATAGCTCCTTACCTGTAGTATTGTTGGCTGCGCCTTCAAACTTCAAGGGCTGTGCAGCAAGCTCCTGTAATTTGGCTGAAAGCCTCTCTGTTCTTGCGTCGGCCGCTGGGCCGAACACCTTACTACGGAGGTTGGCGTGGTTTCTCTTTTTGGCACTTGAACGAACACTTTTCGCCATGTTGAGGGACTCGGAGGATTGACGCAAAAAAGCACACAGGTCAAATTGTTGGCGCTTGCAAGAGAAGCATTTGAATGTTAATTCGAAGAAAAAAGAAATCTTGCGGTGATAATTTTGAAGTGGGGCTAGCCCGACGCAGTTAGCCGCTGTATTGTAAGGGCGTAATACCAATACCAGTACAGCAGGGTACCTGGACGAACATCTCATTATTTCATGTGCTGGCAGGGCCGTCTGTAATAGAAGTAGGCGATTCTTTCAGACACTCTCAGGGCCACAGTCTGTATGTGTTCCGATTTCTCCTGCGTATATCTGAAGACTGTGCGCACGCAGACTTACAGTGAAGGTAGGCGGCAAACAGCGAGGTTGCCGCTCATTGGCAGTTTGCAACGGGTCGCCACATGCTGCGAACCTCGACATCTTTTCCAGGCCTGAACTGACAACCGTCCTTCCTATAGCTGAACAAGACCCCTCTACAGTCTTTCCCTCTTTGTGTCGAAATGAACGATCTGGCAGCGTGAGCCAAGACAAGGAGGCTGTTGTCGCAACACCTTACTTTCGGTAACGCTTACTCACTATCTTTTCGGCCTCTGCGAAGATGACGTCCTCAGGATCGGCCGAGCTGCAGAGCTTGATCTCAGTCGTGAAAATCATGACAAACGCTCAAATGAAGGAGGTTCTGAGGAGCGAGGGCCTCGCTGTTTCGGGAGTGAAGATATCACTACAGCTGCGCATTATCGAGTGTAAGTGGAAGAGAACCATTGCCTGGACAGGCCCGCTGATTGCTCTGCTCTAAACAGATCTCGAGAGAATATGCCAGAATGGTGCATGGGATCGCTTTGATCGTCTTCAAAAATACATACTTTCTTTACCCAGTCGTTCCGTTCCTCACTCCACGTCGTACCAATACCAGCAGTCTTACAACTCCTCGAGATCTTCGAATTCCAGAGATTCGGTGAGCTCAACGATGCCACCACAACCCTTTGCGAGCGGTGAGTCTTCTCGTTTCATATCTAGCGCACAAATTCTCATATAATATATGTTCTCTCCAGGTCGCCTTACGTTCAAAGAGAGTCCATTCTATAAGATTCTTGAGCAGCTGTCCCCGACAGTTGAATGCAAAGGTATGTTAGCCGTTATAGACAGTGTGACTGATAACTGACAACGGTGGCAGTTCGAGAACAAACCAGAGATACCGTGGAGTTGAAGTTCACTCTCAGTCCTACCACAGCCACAAGACTTCAAAATGATCCCAATCTGCGCGTCATGGTCTTTTCTGCAGCTGATAACGGACTCACCCAGTACTCTAAATCCGATATTGCCTTTCCGCATCAAGTTGAATTGAAAGCCAATCTGGACGAAGTCAAGGCAAATTTACGAGGTCTCAAAAACCGACCGGGCTCGACGAGGCCTGCTGACGTTACAAACTACATTCGTAAGAGGGCTGGATATACAAATATTGTTTCCATGACCTTTGCATTGACCCAAAAGGTACGCTCTTACCGCAGAACCAGTCTCATAGGTATATTGAGGTGTGTGCTCATCAGATTGGTTAGAAATTCTACGTTGTTATCAACCTTGTACAGCGACATCCTGTGGAAGAGTTGGTGACGATGCTGAAAACACGAAAACAAATCACAAAAGATCAAGTACTTCGTGAAAGTATGTCCAATGAAGTTCAACCACTTTTTTTTTGGTCAAAATATGATTTATGCTAAATGGTTTGTTTTGTTAGTGCGAAGCCGAGCCCACGACGCTGACATTGTGGCGACATCTACTGTCATGTCGCTAAAGTGTCCATTATCGACCCTTCGAATCGAGATTCCTTGCCGATCAGTGACGTGCACTCATCACCAGTGTTTCGATGCCTCATCCTTCCTTCAACTACAGGAGCAAGCCCCTACTTGGACATGTCCCGTGTGCAATAAGTTCACCGGTTTCGAGTCTCTGCAAGTTGACCAGTGAGTTGACCGCAACACAATTGCGCGAGGTAATAATCCAGCTGACCGTCAATCTAGGTATGTGGATGAGATCTTAAAATCCACATCCACTGATGTGGAACAAGTGACCATCGAGCCGGATGGAGTCTGGCATGACAATAAAGCCGACAGTCAGGGAGACAAACCAGATGGCGAAGCACGCGCTAGCGACGCCGATGAGGACTTTATTGAGATAGCAGACCTGTTTACGCCCACGCCCAACTTCAAGCGAGAAGAGACAACCGACTCTGCGAACTTGCTTGCGACTCCGGTTACGCAATCTCGCTTCAAGCCGGCATCCAGCTTGCCCAAGTCCGGCCAGAAGAGGCCGCCGCCGCAAGTTGTTGACCTCACCGGCAGTGACGACGAAGATGATCAGCCCACCAGGCCTGCGAAACGACAGGCTTTCAACGACCTGTTATCATCTCGCCGGGGGTCTCAGAATTCTTTTATTAACGGCTATGCCACCGAAGACCTCCGCTCTTCCACCGGCCAAGAATCACTTTCTCTTTCACCAGGACGGTCAAATATTTACATTGACTTGTAGTCTTTTTTTTTTCTTGGAAATATCTTTTATTTATGTATGCATGTGGAGTGAGCGAGGCGCGACCTGGAGTTCGATTCAACTTTCCTATCTTCTTAGGGGTTCATTTTAGGGCTAGGTTTCAGGTCAGGTTCTTTGGGTTATGGAGTGGGTTTTATCTACGTTCATCGCTGCTGGCATTTGTTTGGATCAGAATACCCAGCGAGTTCATACAATTTTCTGTTCTTAAGGCATGGCATATTAGATTTTATCATTTAGGAGCCATGATTCGTACATTAAGCATTTCCATTTCTTCCTCGAGTGAAACCATAGACTGCACAAAAATAAGGCAGTAAATTTAGCCATCATAAATGAATAGCCATCTCTCCAGATATTGCTTCTATAAGCTGAACGTCCTCCTCCATAGGAAAATTTATTTCTGAGGCTATACTGTCTGTTTGGGCTGAACTGGCTCGAAAGGTCTTTGAGACCCACATCTCCGCGGCAGTTCTGGCCCGCGGCATATCGCATTCACATCAACAACCATACGACAGTTCTCTCTTGACACCGACGGCGACATTGACAGAGAACAAAAACCAGCACCGTACATTAATTTATGCTCGACATACAGACCAATAGCAATATCGTCTGCAGCTCAATCGCTTTATGACAAAAGCGCTTGCTTTTGTCATAAATAAAGCATGTCGCTCGACTCCCAATCCTCGCAACAGCTGCTCACCACCGATCCCAACGCACGCTTCCTCGGCGTATCATGTCTGGATCTCCTCCTCATAGAAGTCGTGCCTATGGCCGAACGAATGACCGCAGAACTCAACGGTACATCATCATCAAAGACAGCGACAACAGAGACAGCAACAACAATAAGCGGGAAATTAGAAGATGAGGAACTGCGAGAAGCAACTTTTTATCGCTTAGAGTCATTGGGCTATAGAGTGGGACAGGGACTTGCTGAAAGGTGTGTTTTTTCCCCCTCTGTAAAAGTATAGGAATTGTGCGGAGATATAACTAATCTTGTATGTTGATAGGTTCTCTCGAGACCGACCTCGTTTCGCAGATAATCTAGATGTGATCAAATTCATATGCAAGGATCTATGGACAATTCTATTTAAGAAGCAGGTTGATAACCTGAAGACGAATCATAGGGTAAGCTGGACTTTTGCTGCAATCTATATATGCCTATCTGTCCCGGCACCTACTCACTAGTCCCTACATGTATATAGGGTGTCTATGTCCTCTCTGATAATTCGTTCCGACCCCTGACCAGGATGAGTATGACGGTCAGAGGTGAGGCGGTAGCTCGGGCGGAAGCAGTACGTTTATCTCGGTTTTCTTCCTTCTGACTCGAAGCGATGGACGAAACTAACCAACACACGTGAATAGTTTCTGTGGTTTCCTTGCGGGCTTATTAGAGGATGCTTGGCGAATTTGGGTATTAGTGCTACGGTGCAAGCTGAGACGTCGGAACTACCAGGAGCAACGTTTCAAATAAAAACTAATCAGGCAAAGACTTGAACAGAAGGTTTTGTTGATTTGTTAAGCCTTTGTTGAATGCAGTCTACTATTTCAGAAACTCATTCGCCGGAAGTACTGCAGTATTAATGATACCCTTTAGAAAGAAAATACTTCGAAACCATCATGTCAAAAACGTTAATGAAGAGACTCGTCTCTGCCCTTCTTCATCTCAGGGGTTCATATCATATGCTCTCTAACATCATCATATTCATGTATCACAGCCTATCTTTCCCCACAAACAAGTTAGCAAGCAATATCTTGATCAAACCCGGTTCCATGTGCAGGCACAGCTCGTTAAACAAATTTGTCGCAAAACAAGGATGTTCAAAGAAAGGACTGACTTGGATGGCCGAATAAATGTTGAGAGTGGGTTGTGATTTTACTTTTGCGGAGGGTTCTTAACGAAGTCAACGCCCTTTTCAATGTTTGTTTTCAGGCCTTTGATGGCAACTTCAAGCAACTTCTTTTCGGTCTCGTTGGCATTCTCAAGTACATTGACAGCCTTCTCTACACCGGTAGCCTGTTTGAAGAGGTCAGTAAGGCAACTCTGGAAAGAAGGGGGAAAAGATATCTATGAGTATTACCCCAAGCTCAATGGGCACGGAGAAGAAGTCCACGCCGGTAGCCTTAGCGACGGCTTCACCACCTGGTACGCCAGGAAGGTAGACGAAGGATGGCTCAACAATGCCCTTGGTTCCCTTGACAGCCTTGATAACGCTCTCCGCGAACCTAGGGTCCCAAATTCAGTTCTCTGCAACCTGATTCAGACATTATAGGTCACCTACCTGAAGCCAGCAAAGGCCATGGAAAGAGTAGCTGAACCAGCGCCGTCCTTGGCTTTGACGACCTCGTCACCACCGAATTGGACCCCTATATATGAAAGTGAGCTATAGGTTTGTTTAAAACCAACTAAGACAAAGAGGTAAACGAACTGTTCACGAGGGCATCGTATTTGTCGGCAGGGATGGTGAAAGCGGGCTTGGCTTGGCTGAAAAGGGGCACAATGGTGTCGCCAGAGTGACCACCAACAACTGGGATGGTAGTCTGAGAAGGATCTTTGGCGCCGCTGTACTCCTGGACGAAGGTCTCAGCTCGGACAACGTCGAGAGTAGTAACGCCGAAGAGGCGCTTGGGGTCGAAAACACCGGCGTTCTTGAGGACCTCGGCGGCAATAGGAACGGTGGAGTTGACGGGGTTGGAGATGATAAGCACGAAAGCCTTGGGGCTGAATTCGGCAATACCCTTGACCAGGGTCTGGACAATACCGGCGTTCACCTTGAACAGGTCGTCTCGGGTCATTCCAGGCTTGCCTAGAAGAATTAGCATTCGTCCAACCTGCGCCCACCATAGTCAAGAACACTTACGAGGGATACCAGCGGGGATGACAACAATGTCAGCCTTGGTGAGAGCCTTCTTCAAACCATCGTCTGCAGGCAAGAAACCCTCGATTTTCTATGGACCAGTGAGCTGGATTCAATCTTTCGACGGCCAGTTAGGTAGAAGCGCCTACAGCAGGGCTTGAGATGTGAGAAAGATCGGCTGCAACACCAGGAGTATTGACGACATCGTAAAGCGCGAGTTCGTCGACGAGGGGACTGGCTTTCAAGAGGAGAGAAAGAGGCTGGCGTCAAGAGGATATCTGTCAGTGAGGGTCGCTGTCTTTTCCCGGTAAACCGACAGTAAACAAACAAGCGTACCTGGCCGATGCCACCAGAAGCACCGAGGACGACTAGACGAGCAATAGGTTAGACGTTTGCTTGGCTCCCATGGTGATGTCGATGATGGCAGTAGCGACACGCACCAGCTTTAACCATGATGCTAGCTAGACTGGACAGAAGAGCTCTTGTTAGCTTGTCCGCAGCGGATAGCAGATGATGGTACACGTACGTTCTAAGTAGATCGAATCAGATGCAAGAAGAGAGAGTGCGATCGGGCAGTGAGAGCAACAGAGCGCAATTGATGCACGCAAGAGAAGAGAGAGAGAGAGAGAAAGTTGGGGAGCTAAGCTGGCTGGGGATGATGGGATGTGGGGGTATATATGAGGAAGGCGCGCGGAGAGGGGCAGAGCTCTCTTTCTCTCTCATGTGAGACGCTGTGCTCACCGAGAGTGCCGTATGGAGAAGGACATGCACCTGGCCCCCAAGGTGCTGCAGCAGACGTCCATCTCGTCCATCTCATCTCTCTCGGAAGACTCCGCGATGTTGTCGTTTGCCTTCAACAGCTTAGAGAGCTATTGAACCGAGCATATCGGGTAAAGGCGGGCCCTACGAGAATAACCAAGAGAGAACTCGGCTGCTGGCCTCTGTTTACCCGAGGAAACATACCATTTTCAAGATTACGAGCGCAAGAAGGAAGATTCAGTGGGGAATCAAAGAGTGCCACAGTGGGAGGGATTCTTATTGGAACTGCGGGGAAATACGTGGAACATGATATCTCTCAGGAACACTCGCCGTTGTAGGACGTCAATTCCCCCAACAACGGCAATGACGGCCTTCAGAGGACTGAGTGGTGACTCGGGTTTGTCTCTTTTTCTTTTTATTGTGATCTCTCATATGTTGCCTGTCTCCCACAGGACACCCATATACCATTTCGAATCAATTCAGTTTGATTCAGAAAAAACCCATAAAAACCTGGCGCCATGATCCCGGCTCTACCATCTCCCCTTTTCATTTCATTCAAACACAACATGCTTACTCCTGCTCAGCGGCCTGCTTGGCCTTGGCACCACGAAGCTTAGGGGCAGGAGCATCCTTCTTGGGCTGTTGGGAACGACGGATGGCGCTGACACGAGCGATAGCGACCTCCCTCAAGTCGGCACGGTATCCGTTCTTAGCAGTGCTGCTGGCGACGCTCTTGTAGATCCTAAAAATGGAAGGTATTTGGTAAGCAATTGTAGATAGACGAATGACGAGCGCAAGCCAACATGTCCCTCCCGTCATACGGGCGAGGAGACAAAGAGGATCAGATCAATCTTACTTGCGGTTGGAGGTTTTGGGGCCGTATGTGACGGTGCGGATGTTCTTGGAGGGGCTGGCGGTGTTGCTGGCGTTCTTAGCAATGAGAACGACGCCGCCGTTCTCAGATGCCTGCAAGCCAAGGGCCTAATCGTAACTTGTCAATCCAAACGTTTCGAAGATACGTATTTCCATGTTCGCTCAAGCATCTTGGTTGCGTACCTTGTCGTTGGCGTATCCAGCGTACTAGCGAATAAGAAATCAGCATCACGATCGACTCTTTCATATTTGGGATCTGGATATACCTTGCGCGAGTGGATGTTGACGGGGTTCAGAGTATCCCGGGAGAATCGCACACCTCCAGAGATGTTGCGCTGCACAAGGTAGGCATTGTTGCCGCCTAGTTAAATGATAGCAGAATGTCAGCATAAACGTTCATATGGACATATCGCATGCATTCAACAACATTCATTCATTGCAGATTTCAAGGCCGGGCAAAAGCGAGATCGAACATACGGGTGATTTGCCAGACGAGGTCGGCGGAGACGTTAGACCTTTCAGCAGCCATTTTGTGTATGCGTTTTATCGTGGATAATTGATTTCAAGATCCAAACCGGCCGTCTCGAAGCTTTCCTTGACAAGTTCCCAACTTGTGTGTCTAAACTCGCTAACGGAGCTCGATCGGGCTTAGTGGCTGACATAACCCGTAATACGTACGGTCTTTTCCCGAAAAGGGAAGGTGCAATACCTGCGGACTTGATGCCTGGTTTACAAGGCATCAGATCAACAGCGGACTCGCCGGAAATGGGCTGGCTTGGCTTCGTAAGCAGACAAGCATCGCGAGTCATCAGGTTCGCTAACTGCCTGGTTACTTCTGCAACTAGCGGACGGTGTCTGTGTTCATTGTCGAATACTCCCGTACTCCCAAGTCGAGGATGCGGTGACCTTGCTCGGTGTCGTTGGAACAGACATTACGATTACCAAATCACAACTGAATCAAACCAGTCGACACGTTCATTAACATGGCTTATATTCTGTATAGCGTTTCGTTTCTGGTGATTATCCTCGGGACTGGTGAGGATTACATCTCGAACAGACCAATGAATTGTTTCCCTGTAGGCTGATATAGATTGTTACAGTTCTGTACCTGACCAGAAGTCGATGGCTTCCCCTCGCTCAGGACCAGTTACCCGACTATCTATACGACCGACTACCCACAAGCTTCACGGGGGACATTGAAGCTGGCTTCACCTCCTCCGATTTCGATCTCTCAAATAATGTTCTCGAGGGCGATTCCAGATCCGGGCTTGATAACAGCGCAAAGCGAGAAATACGAAGAATCATGAGGAGACGCGGCGTTGACTTTGATGAGGCTCGTCGTCTGTATACCGAGCAACGCTTTGCGAAGAATGATATCGGTCCTGACGGACGACCGAGGGATCCCAAATTCGTCTCGTTTTCATAGAAAATCTTTTTTTTTCCCCTTTGCTTCCATCGATCATGCATTCGTCATTCACCATTCGGTCTTTTTCACATTTTCCTTACTGATTATTTCCATGGCGGGTTGAGTCCATTGGACAGGCTGCTGGTTCTCCAGATAACTCCAGAAAATTATTAGCTGCATCAGCCAAGTCGCCTTTCTTAGTTCTCACGTTCACTGCTGATGACGCGTTCGTTGCATTTGGTTACAAGCGAGTTGAACAAGTTGTTGCATTTCCTTCTTCAAAGCAGCACAAATGATGTAAACCTAAAATAGCAGTCTAATTGAAATTCCTCGACAAGATTGACCACGATCAGGCTCTTGGAGATGACGGATTCGGCATTTCATGGAAGGCTATCTAGAGTCTAGTTCAGATCTATGTACGAATTTCCCGCGATACTTCAACTCGAGCCCAGTCTTTTCCAAGGTTGAAAGGTAACCTCGCTATCAACGGTCCCACAGCATGGGAAGACATTTCACAAATCACACAAAGCCCACGCCCTCTGACTCATGTCAGACACCATCTCAAATGATTTGCAGCGTTGGTATTCTTTAAAAGGCTTTTCGATATTGATAAATCGAGCCGATTCGTTGAGGCTCGTGTATTATAGCGCACCCAGTAGAATTCTGAGTGAATTTTGGCCGGTGTCGGTTACACCCAGTCAGTTGATATGGGCTGTCTCGACTTAAGGTGTAACTCGGATGAGCTTTTTAGCTTGTCAGATGAGTATAAAAGCTAGCGAGCGTACCAAATGTATCCCCGCACATTTGCGGCCATTAACAGCGACACCACAATCTAAACCATTCAGTCTCGAAACAGGCTGGGCTCGACGCCATCTCAATTTCTTCGTAAAACCAGAGTCTTCGCTGACGATTCTTTCACAGGCTATTACATCGTGATCCGCCCTCAACGAGCCCTAGCATAACCAGGTGGTTGAAAGCCTGGAGGCAGAGGTGGCGGTGCCCCTTGTGATGGCCCTCCAAAACCCGCAGGTGGAGCAAAGCCGGCTGGTGCTGGGGGTTGCGGTGAGAAGGGGGGCTGTTGAGGAACATTGTTGAAGCCAGGAGGTGGAAGGAAGCCTTGTGGTGGGGGTGGATGGCTACCGAATCCTACTTGAGAGGGAGGAGGCCGCGCTGGCAAACCTGGGTGGGCCGTAGATAACGGTTGTGACGGAGGTCTGGGTGGCTGTTGACCAGCTTGCATAGGTATTGGGCCTCTACCCGCGGCGAAATCAGGCGGGCCAGTTGGAGGCATCGGGCGTGGCCCATCTCCATTTACCACATTGCCGGGCATCATACCAGGTCCTGGTCCCATCATATGCGATGGTGGTAATGGTTGGGTTTGTGGTTGAACATTGTGTTTGCGAGCTTGAGCAGCAAGCATGCGTTCTGCTTCGTCACCATGCCGCTCGCCTTTGCCGTCCTTCTTGTAGGCGTACTGCACTGATATTTCCTTGTTCATGAGATACTGCCCGTGCATATTTGTTATAGCAGCGTCGGAAGAGTCGAAGTCGGCGAACGACACAAAGCCATAACCCTTGGATAGATTCGCGTCGTCTCTAGCAACCTGTTTATAATAGATTAACTCTGAACGCAAATTTGATCTTTTACTAACATGTTATAACGTACCTTGGGCAAAGAGAGCAGAGCCCCAAATCGGCTGAAAGTGTCATAGAGCACCTGCTCAGTGACCATAGGGTCAAGATTTCCAACGAAAAGCTCGGCGCCAACTTCTACAGTCTTCTGCTTATCTGCAGAGGCCTTGTTCACGCGAATCGGTTTGCCGTAAACACGGACTTGGTTCATGATCCGGGCGGCATATTCGGCGTCTTCCTCGCTGATGAATTCGACGAATCCGTAGCCCTGGTGAGTCTGCGTGACTCGGTCTTTGGGCAGATGGACGTTGACGATGCGACCGGCTTGAAGCATCAGCTCCCATACCAGGCTGTCAGTGACTCGCTCGTCGAGGTTGCCAATATAGACAGTGGCCTCCTTGTCCTGTTCCCTGTGAAATTATCAGAAATTGCAGCAGACGGGTCATGCGAGTGAGAACATACCAATGCCGTGCGCCCGACATGGCGCGTTATATTATTGTATACGCGAAGGCTTCAAAGGAATGTTTTCTTTGCTGCTTCTGACCAGTGTGTCAGTCCGAGACGAGCTGGGCGAGCGTGGTTGTTAGTGGCAGGTAGTGCTTTGGATGCAGGAAGGAGAGGAGATTGCGGCAAGAGAAGCTCGCGACTTGGCCGAACTAAAAAAATGTTAGCTTTCCGTTCCGACTCAACTCCAACACTCAATCCACTTCTTGCCAGGACCCTGATCAGCAGTGCTCATCATCGTTCTACCTTCTCACGGCTCAATATATTGATATACTTTGTGTTTTTAAACAAATTCCAGCCAATATGGTCCAGTTCTCCGAGGAAACCAAGGTTTGTACACTGGAAACCAGCGTCACCCGCTTAAAGCCGTGCAGGATGAAGCAGCCACTAATCTGCACAATTGTTTTTAGGAGCGCATCTCCAAGGTCATTGAAGTCTCGAGAATCGCCGTTCACTAGTGAGTTTTTGATATGCGATGCATCCTGCGCCGGCCGAGAGAGTCCTGCTCCTGACATCGTCTGCTTGTTTTCTTTCTTAGTGGCTATCTCCCTTTCATAGTCTATCTTGGTATGGCAATCTGTCAAGCGTTCTAAACTACTTGGCTTCCTTCATTTCGTTCATTCGGTTCGCTAACATCCAAACAGGCTACACGTATAGCGAGCCCAAGCCGACTCTCTTCAAGTACTTCACCCGCCGAATTGACTGACCTCAATCAACTCGTCCTACAACTGCTAACTTTCACAACAGGCTTTTCTCGCCTCTGGCATAAGACAATAAACCGTTACCATCACATGCAGAGGACGTTGATTGCAGGGATACTGGTGCATTTGGTTTTTGGGGGGGGGCGGCGCATTCTCTCTACCTCTCTTCGCGATATTTTATAAAACACGGCCATGATGAGTGGAATTGAAACAATGTAGGGAATAGGACAGACCTTGTTTACGGCTAGATTCTACCTCGTTATTTCGGTCACCATGGTTCTTCCTGTATATTAGTCTTGAATTTTTAGTTGCTGACGCCAAAAACGCGCGATCTCTCATAATCATGATCTTGCTATTCTGATATTAAGACTTCCTGCACTGAAGACGCTCAATTTACTCGGCGATATCTCATTGCCCAGCTGAGATCGTCTTTAAATATTGAAGAATTCAAGAGTGCTAGTTTATATAATTAATGGCAGATAGTCACTGTATCGGATTGAGGCTAGTGTGGCCCGGGCTGCCGATTAGCTGATGACGACAGCAGAAAATTATTTCCTGTCGCAAACCAAAAAGTAATAAAGAAAAAAAAAAAAAAAAAAAAAAAAAAAAAAAACAACAAACCACAATTCAACCCTCAATGCTCCCATATTCAAAATTGCACATCTGACCCCTCGACAAGGAAGAAGACACAGTCAATGAGCGAAAGAAATGCATCCTCCACATCCTTCGTCGAAACGGTAGCCGGACTCACAGCCGGAGTCGTCTCAACACTGACTCTGCATCCGTTGGACCTCATCAAGACTCGCCTGCAAAGTATGACATGGCTCCTTTTTGTACCGTTAGTATTATATTCTCAGCTATTAACGCATTACAGTCGACCGTATCTCTCGCTCCCGCGTCGGCGGCTCTCTTCGCATAATCGGCGACATATATAAGACAGAAGGCGGACTCCCGGCTCTATATCGCGGATTGACGCCGAACATAATCGGGAATTCGACAAGCTGGAGTCTTTATTTTCTGTTTTATGGGAACATCAAGGATTTCCTCGCCCAGTCCCGGTCTCACTCGACGGAACTCCACCATGATGACGATGGAAAAAAGCATAGCCTAGGCGCATCGCAGTACTTCCTTGCTTCGGGAACAGCAGGCCTACTAACCTCCATCCTCACAAACCCGATATGGGTAATCAAAACGCGAATGCTGTCCACAGGGTCTCGCACACCAGGCGCATACCCATCATTCGTCGCCGGAGCAAGCCAGATTCTGCGCACAGAAGGTATCCCGGGTTTCTACCGTGGTCTTGTGCCGGCTCTCTTTGGCGTTAGTCATGGCGCTTTCCAGTTTATGGCGTACGAGAAGCTGAAGAGTTATCGCTCTCGAAGTCGCAATACTTTCGCTACTACTGTCACTAGCACTCGTCGCGGTGAAAACAACGTCAATAATATGGAATTACTCCTTATATCAAGCCTATCCAAAGTCTTCGCGGGCTGTATTACATACCCTTACCAAGTCTTGCGTACGCGACTACAACTGCAAGCATACAATGCGGATGCGCCAGCAACAGCAACAACTACTTACCGCGGAGTATGGGATGCAACGCGGCAAATAGGGGTTCAGGAGGGCATACGGGGCTTCTACAAAGGGCTTGGACCGAATTTGTTGCGTGTCTTGCCTAGTACTTGGGTTGTATTTTTGGTTTATGAAAATACGAAGACGGCCTTGTATAGATTCGAGGAATCGTGATAGACCCAGCCCATTCATGAGTTGTGTATTATCTATTTTGATAGAAAGGAAAAACCTTGTACTACTAGCAAGAATAGAAAAGACATTTTTTTGATGATCTTTTTTATCGACCTCGAGAGGGTATTCATTTCATTCAGATATACTACATGATATGTATGAATATGTCATCGCTCCCTTTTCGAATACAGCAGCGGCGGCACCTCTCGATGCATAACATGAGCCAGCAAATCACCGTGATGGTGGTGATGATGACCGCCAACAACATGATGCGCGTAGCGTTCATTGAGTTCCTCGTCATCGTCACCATCGTCACCGCAGCTATGATAGTCACTAGACCCCTCATCGCTGGCCGGGTTTAGATGTTTCATCTCAGAAATCGACATGATATGTTGTTGTTCCTGATTATGGTGAATGACGCCATTGCTGCCTTTTTTGTGGTTGAGATTGTTGCTGGTGCAAGATATTTTTCGGTCTTTACCACGTCCCTTGATTCCCTTGTTGCTGTTCTTGTAGAGACTGGCAAAATAGGTCCATAGGCTGCGATCCTCCTCTGACATCATGTCTGGGTTATTTATGTTTGCGAAGCGGATTGTCAGATTGCGCAGTGTTACGGCATGGAATTTGTTCTGATGGGACTATTTTCCTCCATGTTTAGGGGTTATTATTTGATTAGCCTGCGGAAGAGGAAATAAGAAAAAAATGCTTACCTTCAAATTACCAAGCTGCGTAAACTGCTTCCAGCAATTGTCTAATTGGCACGTATACGGTTTGGCTTGCTCGTGTGTGATTCGGTGCGCCCTCACATTGCCTCGTTGAGCAAATCTCTTGTGGCAGATATCGCAGGAGTAGGGTTTCTCGCCCGTATGTCGTCGTTCGTGGGTCTGTTATATACGCACCACACAATATTTGTACTTAATATATACTTTTTCTCGTTTTTCTCTTTGACTCTTTCTTTCTTTTTTTTTCACATCTGAATGATATAGAAGGTGAAGAATAGAACCACCTACCCTGAGATTTCCAAGTTGTGAGAATCGTTGGCCACATGTCGGCTCACTGCATTTCTAGTATCGTCATTAGTATGCTGTCTTTGTCTTTTTCAAGATATATAGATATGTATACACTACTTACAAATGGCTTCGCGCCGGTATGCGCTCTCATATGAATATCCAAATGTGTCTTTTGCGTAAAAAGCTTGCCGCAGCCCGGCAATGTACATTGATGTTTGCGCTTCTGCTTCTGACTGCGATCGGGACTGCTTCGTGGTACGGCCCGAGGATTTTGCTGAGTACTTTCATACTGTTGGTGGTATGTCGACATACCCATGTGATAGGACATTGGCCCTGCGCCGGATGCGAACTGATGTTGCTGAGTTGCGTTGAATTGATGAGTTGACGTTTGTGATGGTGCTACTGCCGCTGTTGTCGTCGTACAAGAAACAGGTGTATTCGTTCTAGTAGCACTGGAATTGGCCGTGCCCGAAACACTACTAGCACCAGGCGATGATCCTTCACGGGACTGAATCATCTTCATTAACATGTCGACTTCAGTCGAAAAGTCCACATCTTTCGCACCGGATGATTCGTGCTCTCTCTTCATCTTGCCACTTGAGGAAGGAGAACTCGATGTGAGGATGCTCACACTGGGACTGGCCGCGGTGGTTGTAGGGTTGATCACAGCTGCGACGGCGGCGACAGTTGGGCCAGAACGATACTCATCCCCAAGTAAAGACTGTGTGTTCTGAGTCATCCTAGTGGGTTGAGTGTGCGCAATGTGTCTCGGTGCCTGATGACTGTCGGGTGAGGGGGAATGAAGAGGTGTGTGTTCGGTAGACAGACGGCCAGCAGTTGCTTGCTGCGTATGCGCATGAGGGTGAGTTCGAACATGAGCGTGCGCGTGTGTGTGAGACTGAGATTGAGCATGTACATGGGTGTGGGCATGGGTATGAGTCTGAGGAGGAGGCCCTGAAGACGGATTGAACAGATGTGGTTGATATGAGTTCGGGTAACCGCCCAAGACGTGACCAGTGACTTCATATGGAGGTGACGGTATGGGAGGAGGCGCATATGTGACTGGAGCAGTATTCGCATAGTATGGCAAGGTATTCTCAACGTGAGATTCGAGGAAACGAGGCGGTTCCAAGGCCCTCAGCTCGTTGTTGGGGAACCTATATGACATTGGAACCGTTGCATCCATCATGGTGGTGCAACCCAATAGGATGGGACGACAGAAAAAGAAATCCGGTCTCGAGAGTCAGCAAACAGGATGCTGTTGTTAGGATGAAAACAGACAAAATGGTAGATTTCGCAAATGAAGCAATTCGGCAGTAAACACTATATTTTTCCCATACGGCGGAGATTGAAAAGTCCGAGTATTGCTTTGTTGTTATGACAAGGGTGTAATGATGGACGTGGTAGCACCCGTAAAAGTCACAGCTGTCGCAGTTGTTTCTAATGGTTGTAGCTGCAATTGGAGCTGAAGCAGGCTGACTGACTGATACTCAAGATCGACGACGCGCAACGCCAGACAAAACACCATAAACAAAAGGACCATACACACAATAATTCCCAAGGCAAAAGTTGCAACGCTGCGCAAGAAAAGATAAAAGAAAGGAGAGCCAACACGCTGAGTAAAGAGCAGACAAAGTAGGATAAATAAAGCACGGTTCTGCGGTGAGCCTGAAGTGAAGAACTAGATATACATATTCGGGTTCGCCTTGACTGGCTGTATTGAGGAGTGGTGTGGAGAAATATTTTCAAGCCTGCGTATTGACAATGTAGACAGACATATTAGTCATGATTTGGTTGGGGGTCTCTTTTTTTTTTCCTGCATCCAACTGCGATCTCTCGTTTTGTAAGTTGTCAGTAGTTAGCTAGTCTGTCTGACTGGCTAGCTCCCAGAAACTAAGGATAACGATCCCCCGGTTCCCGGTCCCGAGCGGATGGAGCGAGTGGATGAGGCCTCTGTCTTCTTTTCTTTTTTGGCCCCATTCGGTGAGTGAGATCTCTGCTCCCTTAGCCTCTATCTGTCTCTCTTTCTCCCTTTTCGTCGTCGAGCTGGGCCGGAACAGGCATGACACTAGGCTGCATGGAGGTTTATGTACTCCGTACCGTACGGAGGATACGCAGAATGCCAGAAGCCAACCAATGCTTCAGACTAACGAACGGAAAACCCGTCGGAGAGGTCGTATGGGGCCCTTTCCTGACCGACCGATCAATCTCAATCATTGATTGCATGCCATCAAACAAGTGAACAACACTAGACAGGGCCGATCTAGCTGACTGGGACCCGGCTCGCTGTGAGAGCCAATCGCGGAAGCGCTGCCAATGTTCCGCCCTAGAGATGACCAGTCGCTCGGAGACCTGCTAGCTAGCTAGTCTTCATGTTATTATTTCGTTTCCCTTTCTTTTTTACGTCTACCTGTGTGCGGAAATGTTACTCCGTACATGAAGCCAGGTTGGAGATCGTTCAATGGGACCTGGAACGTGTCCGTCATGACCCATTTGACACATATTGTATGTATAGTACGTCGTATTGTGATTGGATTCGACTGAGATACTGTTGACGCGCGTAGCTGGAGATAGCGTGGGTGTGCATTTCACTGCAAACATTTTGGGCAAAGATGTACACACACAGGATATGAATGCCAAGGACGTGCGCTTCAAACAGATCTCGTAGACATGCTTACCCTGTGCCTAATGAGGATTACTAACGTTGGCGTGCTTCATTTTGCCGCTCAACAGGCATTCGAAGAAGCCGGACCGAAGCAGGTGTGTGTTCTCCGTAACCACAGCGAATGATGCATACAGAATATGCACTAGGCAGGATGCAGTGTGCCCCTTGGCGAGCGCTGAAGTAGATTTGAGGGGGTGGTAAGTCACTGTAAGATCGCGCGCGAGGCATACGATCGGCGAATCATAGAAGCCTGTGGTGTATTCTAGCACCACGAGCAGACAGGCATGGGTGACGGGTTGCCATTGGGGTTGAGCGGTATCCGCGGCCCATCGAATTATATTTCTTTTTACGTTTATCGCCGTGGAGCATATGTGCGTGTGACTGATGGCATGGGCAAATGTACACTGCCACTTGACTATTTGGTGTTGTCGACCAGAAACAAGATGAAACGGTCCCCATCAACTTTCTCGGCGGCACCGGAACGGCGCGCATGCAAATCCTGAGTAATGCACTAGCGCATGTTTGGTAATAGTCGAGTGTGCCGTTAACGCAACGCACCCAACCAGAACCACGACGCCGGTCCCGCCTGTACGTAGTAGTAGCATGAAAGGGCAGGGTAGGGGATCCTGGAGCTGAATCCTGCATTGTCCGTTCCGGGCACACAATCATACACATCTATCAAAAGATAAAAAGGGAGGAAAAGAGAGAGAGAGAGAGAGAGAGAGAGAGCCTGAGTCGTTTCTTCCACCCCTTCCAAAAGAGGAAAGCTGGTTGGTTTGTGCAGAAGCCACTGCCAGGAGGGCCAATGCTTTTATTTTTAATCTTAGACCACCATTCATCACGAGGCACGATCTGTGGTGTGCCAGTGTCAGTGTGCCACTGAGGAGGATCGCGATTGAGAGGCGGTGGTGCCCGCAGCCCGGGGACATTGGACGACATTTTTGGCACATGCGGCCCGAAAAGAGCTGCTTGAAGTTGCTGCTAGTCAATCAGAGTAAATAGTCTGCCTGCAAGTGTACGCACTTTGTAATTACGAAGCGACAGCGCCGCGAGTGAGCCAGTAGCTGAAAAGCTGGAAAATAGACCATCCCGCGGCTACCGATGCAATACGATTGGCTGGTCAGCAGCTGTCGACGACGATCTAGCCGACAGCCCAAGTGAGTTAGTTGGTGTTAGACTGTTAGTGCCAGTGACCAGTACTAAAACTCATTGGTAGCAGGGGAATGCTGGCGGGGGACGAGTTCCCTGGTGGAGTGCGTGGGCGAACCTGATCAATTGCGAGTTCTTGCTGCGGCTTGGGTGACAGGGGTGTTTCCCACCACGGATTCCGGAGCACGCAGCCATTAACTAGTCGGTCATTTTAGCTCGTTCCCTTGAAGCTAACTAACGTTAGCACTATGTAGGTGGCGGCGCGCTGTTGGGCATACGTATCATGGATTCTATCGGATCCAAACGAAACGCTAGTCAGCTCTCTAGTCCTCGATCATGAGTGACTGAGAGCTTACGCCGCGGAGTAGTACGTCCTCCCGCAAGGTGGAGCCTGGTGCATTTGCCATTTGCGTGCGACACGACAATCCACAATGTGCTGGTGCGGTTCAGAAAAGAGGCGCATATCGACCTGCATGGATCCTGGATCTTTGTCGTCGTCGGGAGCAGAGAGGAGATTCAAGGCTGAGAGAGAAAGAGCGAAGTCCAAGCAGGAAGCGGTGGGGTCAGGTGAGCCGTGAGCCGAGTCTAGACACTGTGCGGCCTGAGGCTACTCCGTTTTATAGTTGGGAATTTGTACGGAGTAGTTACTCTACGCATTCAACAACAACGACAACAAAACCAGGACGATAGTTACCTAGCAGCCCTGTTACGTACTAACTTCATTCTTCAGCTCAGTCTATGTATGCTCTCATTGCCATGGATAATATATTATATTATGTCTACAAGACGAGCATCACCGCCACAATGTCTACCTGAGAGGATGGCTGACACCCCCAATGGCACCCCCATTCATCATCCTACGTATTGGCTTCACGTAACCAAGTGATCGTCGTGGGCATGCCTACGCCTAATCATGGAGTTCGTATTTTGACACCGGAAATGACGACTCCCTGCAGACATCCTACCTACGGCTTAGACAGGGCTACATATGGCGGTGGAATGAATATGCTGCTGCTTCCACCTTACACTGTGCCTAGCTATGTCAGTTATAGATCAAGCCCCAACAGGCATTGGCGCTGACCATGTAGAAGCTAGACACATGTGACATGTCAGGATCCAGGAGTACGAGCATATGGTTAACACCGCGTAGTAAGTTAGCATCCTTGTGTAGGGCCGTATATCGATAGTATGCAGGCTATGATAGTAGACTCGGAAGACTCGGAGTTAACTAGGAGAAAAGAGAGACTTTGCCCTCGGGTCTATTAAACTACCATCAATAGTGGTACGTATTTCGTACTAATGCTGTGATGAGGGCCGGCATTGCAGGCAGTCATTCAGGGTCCAGACTAATTTGTTGGTTATACTCTGTACGGAGTATGCTGGGTTGGCCAAGATTACACTACAACCAATTGAATAGCCAATTAATAGGCATATCTACTATTTAAAGCTCTAGTTTTTTTTTTTTTGGTCCGGGAATAAGCAAATTTCCAAAATCATTACCTAGGTACGATCATGCTAGCCTATCAACCAGGGTGATATGGTCTATACTGATGCATCAACGAATGTAGCCTTGCAATCCTGGACAAGAATGATTAAAAGACTAATTTTAATTAATTAAACTGCTGGACTAACATATCATGGACTTCGCAGTTTTAAAATATCTGAAAATATACATAGGATCGTTGCGTCAATTAAAGTATACAATAAGGTGCGTATAATTGCTAGCTTGCTGCATACATATCTCTCTTACCTAGGTTAGAGAAGCTTGAGCCCACCGGGTAGAATTTCTAAATCCAAACATCTTATACAAATTCACATGTGGGCTTATACCAAGCTCCAGTATCACTTTGTAAATTGCCGGTTGTGTTGTGACTGTATAAAGATAAATCTAACAAGTATAAACATAGACAACAGAACCACGCGCGCGCGCATTCAAGAGATAAATGGAAAAGGATTAGGTTGAGACTGTTTGCTGTCCATTTCATCGTCATCTTTTTCATGCTCTTCAGCATTTTCTTTGCCTTTGTCCAGGCGTCTTTGTGCCTTATCCATGTCAGAGGTGCCTCCGATATCCTTTCTCATTGCTGGACGGTGAGGCAATGCTGGCATCTGTGTACGTCTAGATTGCAGAAGGGCATCGCCTCTCAAACGGTGAGTGGCGCCACTGGATCGGAACGATCCGCGCCTGGACTCGGAGCCGTGATTGCTTTGAATCTATCCATCAGGCCAGAGGGCTTCTTCAGATCATTTGTTCCTAAACGAGATGACCACGTATTGCGAACATTGAGCGCTGGAATCCGGGCCGTGGAAGCTTTGGGTACATGTGCGCTATCATCGTGGTCATCATCCGAGTCATCATCGGAAGTACTGTCATCGCTATCGCCATCGCCGGGGTCATCGACACTGTCGTTGCAGGCCTATATGCATTTTGTACGAACCTTCCACAAACAGAGAGTTCGTCGTCACAGAGAGCATGCTCACAGTCAATAAAGCAAGGGTGCTTTGATACATCTCGCACGCTGGCGGACAAATGGTCTGTGTTCAAATTCTTTCTAGAGACGATTTCGCGAGCCTCGGATTCGATGGGCCATAGAGCTAATGGTCCATTGTAATACATCCTATGGTAAGCCGTTGAAGATGTTTGAAAGCCTGTCCGAGAAAGGAGTTCGGGGAGAGGAGAACAAAGGATTTGGAACCCCGTGAGGAGGGTGCCGGGCTTCACTTCTGGGTCCATGTTTAGAGAAGTTACCCTCTTTCAAGACGGTGCCTGATTAGAAGGGAGGCTCTGGATTGGGAAGACGGACGGCCATTTATAGAGAGACTCAAGGCAAGCATATTCTGAATGATGGTCCGATGCCGGCTTGTCTCAATTGGATAGAATATGCTCCGGTAGTTTCGAGTCAGCGCGTAAGTGGCTATTGATGGGACATGATGCAAGCCAGAGAAACATTTCGCGCATACTGAACGTCATTGGTGAGCGGTTTATGTATAACTAATTATTGATTTAAGGGGTTGAGACGACTCTCAGACGATCCAGCCTGCCAGGAAGTACGGCGCCAACTGAAACGGCTATTCCGGAATGGGACCCAAAACATTGTTAAAGCAGTTGCTAGGCTGCGGCCGGTATAAGCACGACTATTTACTCCCATGAGTGCCTTGACGTACGACATTCTTACATTCACATCTCTGGACTCATTCTACTACTGAACAAGACACCTTAGCTACCTCCACGATTACTTTGACACAATGTGGATTGGCAAGCGATTCAAAAAATTCGCCTTCTCTTGCCCTGACGGGACCCAGTGGAAAGTCGGCAAGAAGATCTCAGAAAAAGAAAACGAGTCCTACGGAGATCTCTATGAGCGTGGACTTGATACATCAGAGGCCCAGGCAGTACATCATTGCCGGCAGATCGAAGGTCCATCCGTGGGACGGAAAGCCATTCTCAAAGTTCGGATGCAGTGAGTCAGTTTTAATTCTCCTCTATTATATTCGCGAGGTGCTTGCTAGTCAGAAATGGAACATGGCCAGAATCCCTGAAGTTGAGTATACCAGTTCAGAGGATGAATATCCCACTTCCGATCTATTGGACCGTGCTAGACACGCTTCCGATGCCTACGGGATTGGGACGTCACAGGAGATTCACGCTTTGAAATGGTTCACTGAAACAGGGTGCTCCGTGACTCCCCACCTTCTGCACCTAATAGAGACATTTTGATCGGTTGACCCAAGCCAAAGTCCACGCGAGGAATATATACGCCGTGAGATGGTCGGTTCTATGGCGAGCACTGCTTATGTTTGAGGATGCAGTCTGGTTGGACTGGGCCCTCAATCCCAGCCGTATGTAATAATGAGTGCGTTTGGTTTCTGCAGCTCTTGCAGTTCACTTGGCGAGAATGGCTACAATATTGGAGGTGTTAGGGTTTTACGATATATATAGTAAGAGTTCAGGGATAGCGTGGAGTATGGTGTTCCATATATTAGGTAGATATCTTTTTTATATATTTATATATTACGTGAAATATTAAATGATTACTGGTAGGCTTTTTGTGCCATGAGAAATCATGCTCATCCAGTGCTATATAAAGTCGATATGGTGGTAGTGTAGGTAGATATAGCTTGCTAATACCTGGCAAAGCAACAACAGCGATACCTACTGATGTCAAGCTGTGATTACACATTAACATAACTAGTAACCAAAGAAGGGAATGGATTGGTTCATTCCTACACATTTCGCTCCTCAGCTACACCATATGGGGCTGTAACATAGCTAGTGAAGGTAAATTGACTTCGTCTTCTTCCTGCTTCCCTGATTGAACGACAACAACTTTTCTCTCCCTCCTCGACCTCCACCAGTTCCAACACACCCCCTCTCTCGATTCCATATCTCCTGCGCTTCATCGATCGATCCATCGTCCGTCGTCCATCATCCTCAATTCATGTCAAATAAAAAAAAAAGAAAAGAAAAGAAAAAAGAAAAAAGAAAAACTCAGGGCGCGCTTTTACTACGGTGATAACAGGAAGTAAAAAACAGCAGAAAAAATAGGACTAAAAACCACAGCCATATTGCATTCAAAATTGCAAGTACAAACAACACACGCAATACAAAGTAAAAATAAGATCAACAAACACGAAAAGAAAGGGGGAAAAGAAGCCCCATTGCGCCATAGTTTCTCTCCAGTTACCTCGTACAATCACCGCCCACTGTAATTCGAGTATCTATTTCCGTAGTTAGAGATGAAATGTTTCGTTTTTCTTTCTCCTTTTCTTCTTATATCTTTCAATGACACTTCGAGGGCAAGTGGAAGAACGGCTTTTTTTTCCTCTCCAGTAGCATTTCTCGTTTTCTCATCATTGCAGGAATTCCACATACCTCCAGATTCTGGCTCGCATATCACCGCTTCCTGTAGCGAAAAGATTGCCGCTTGGGCTAGGTGCGACAGATATGACTATTTCTCCTTGTTAGTCGATGAAATTTCTTAATAAATGTATAAAGGTAGGGAGGAATACCTGAATTCTTATGGCCTTGTAACATCATTTGCGCACTTCCCGTGTTAGGATCCCAGAACTGCACTCCGCGGTCTTTAGATCCACTCATCACCCAGTGTCCATCAGGCGTCAAGCAAACACTCAGAACGAAGTCCTTAAATTGAAGTCAGCATCATCCAAGACAAAGAACAAACCTAAACAACCTACCTTGTGACCTTCAAATGTTCGTACACACTTGCCACCCTTTACACCACTTCCAGGAAGCATACCACGAGGTGCGGTGAGCTCCCACATCTTAATCGTCTTGTCTAAACTACCGCTGACAAGGTCACGGCCGTTGGGCGCAAACGCAACTGAGTAAACGCTATCTTTGTGGCCGTCGGGGCTCTCCAGTCGTTCAACAAGATACCCAGTAGTCGTATCCCAGACACGGACACTCTTATCAAGAGAACCAGCTGCCACGTAATGGCCATCTGGAGACATAGCGACAGTAGTGACGCCATCTTCGATGCTGAGTGTGTAAACGAGCTTGCCTTCCAAGACGTCCCAGAGACGCACCGTTTTATCACCACTACCAGAGGCAATGTAGCGGCCGTTGCCAGCGAAGTCGAGCGAGTAGATATCTTGCTCGTGACCTGTGAATACATGCTTGATTGAGCGCGATTGAATATCCCAGACCTATGCATAAAGTGTTAGTCACCACAGTAGATATTTCATAAATGCCATGAAAGTCCTCACCCTGATTTGCTTATCCTCGGCACCAGTGGCGAGGTATTTCCCATCAGGACTAAAGCAGACGCTACGGATGTAGAGGTCACCGTCCTTATCAACAGACTCATCTTGAAGAATAGCTACGTTCTGACCGGTAGCTACGTCAAAGATCTGAGCAGATCGGTTGCATCCTGTAGCAACGTATTTCCCATCCCGACTGAACCGAACGCAACAGACAACACTATCGTGCGACAAGTGGTGGACAAGCTCAACGTCCAAGACCCGCTGGACCTCGGGATTAAAGATTGCATACCAATCGGTACCTTCTCGTTTCTGGGTAGCTGGTAGATCATCTGGATTCCAGTTTGCCAGGGTGTTGCCCGGTCGTTCTCGAACGAGTGGGCCGGACGCTGTTGGGCGAGGAATCTGAGGAGAGGCGCCGGGAGGAGGGTAGCTGAGCTGATGAGTTTGCTGCGGCGTAGCAGGGCCTGGTGGAGGTCGGCCACGGCCTTTACCCGGTCCAGGAGATGCGGTCGGTGGAGGAGGACCGTAGCCTAGACAAAAAATGAATTCAGTGAGTCAGATATACAGTGGGAAGGAAAAGGAAGAAAAGAAGGGTCCATCAAGGTAAAAGGGCGCGCACCATTCACAGCAGCTCCAGGCTGATATGCTCCATACGAGCTTGGTGGAGGCTGCGGGGGTCCTTGCTGCGCTACGGGGGCGGTCTGTTGCAGACCATGTTGAGGTGGCTGTTGGTCCTGGGGCGGCGGAGGGGCCAATCCAGGGCCGCTACCTCCTTGGTTGGCCATGATACCACCAAACAGGTTATTTGTACCGTGACCTAGGGCTGGCGGAGCTTGCGAGGGGCCTGCGTGAGGCGGAGCACCCACATGCGAGGGAACAGTCTGAACACCGCGCGATTCGAGCTCATGGCGCAAAACTCGGATTTCATTTTCGTACCTGAATAGGTAGAGATGTGTCAGAATAGCAAGCACACTAACTGAACAGAGTGCTATAGCACGTACTCATTCTTGATTTTGATTTGCGCTTGTTCGAGCTGGTAGACCTTTTGTCTAATCATTTCCATTTCCTGGATCTGACCGGTCACTGGGGAGGTCGTTAGCTAAATGACTATTCCCTAAAAAAAATGGGCTACTTCGAAGCTCCATCTTTGTAAGAAGCACAGGGGGAAGCGATAGCTGCACTGACATTGGTGCTCAAACTCGCCGGTGCTCCGAGACTGATTCTCAAATTCCTGGCGCAACTGCTCCAACAGCTCCGTAAGGCGGCTATTCGGTGCAGGCACCATTCCGCGGTGTGCGTTGTACATGGTGGCGGAGTATCAACGGCGAAGATGGAAAGTAAAAGGAGATGGCAATAGCAATGCCAGCGATTGGGAGACTAGAGGTTCAGGGTTCAGACAGATGTGATGGTGAAACCGGAACCCCTCAGCCTGCGAAGACACGGGTCAGCGCGAACAGAATGTTTGGACTAGAACGGGCGTGGCTGAGCGATTAAGAAGGCGGACAAAGGAGCGAAGAGTAGCGGTCGCAATTAGACACGGAGCAGCAGGTGGATGGTGATGGAGCAGAGACAGAGCGAGCTCACCTGGAGGTATGCGCTGGAGAGGTCTGAGCAAGAAGGGAAGGAAGAGAGTCAATGGCGGCGTCTGACGGAGGCTGCCTAAGGCCCTAAAGCTTAAGCGCTGGCGAAGGCGGCTGTTCCTCTTTTGGCGCGGGAAGCGGCTAAAAGCGACCGTTCGAGCCGTCAAGCTAGCAAGCAACGCCAACCCCAACTGCAGCAACCACACTGGATCGGCACTAAATAGGACCTGCTTTTCTTTTTTTCGATCGCCGAGAGATCCTCTGCCCGCTGACAGGTTGTTTTAATGTTTACACGGCGTGTCGGGATATCTGCAGGAGGGTTGCAAAGACACTGAGGAGGGAAAAGCTCGCTGGTTTCAAGTCACGAAGTGAGAGAACTTGCACCGACCCCACCAGAGCCAGCTTAGTTAGCTCTGCATGGCCAGTGGGCACGAACTACGGCGTGACGACGCTTCTGGCTAGTTTCGATGGAGGCGAGCAAACCAAGGAACCGGGGGTGCGTTTTCCCGTCTCTGTGGTGCGACCAACCCGCGATCAGTTCGGCCGTAGTACGATTTTTCTCGTACATGCACGTCCGTCGTCAACTTCGGATGGTTGCAGTTTCATAGTGAATATATTATATCAGGCCACTATGCGTATAGCTTACTAAGGACTTCGTAGTGCTTGACTGAGAGTATATATATGGTATATATAGTGTATATAGTATTAGGGGTCCAAGACTCTGCCGTGCCTTCCGTGCTGGTGTGACTGCGGCATCGATGTGCCCCGGCCCGGATTTTCGTTGTTCCCCTTCATACTACCAAATATTCAACTATTTCTCTGAACAGCCAACCTACTTGCACATCCCTCGTTGTTCCTCTGACTTGCTCTAGGCATTGTCAATCGAGAGAAGCTGCTTAAACCTCCTCCCTCTACCTAGCGCGCAACTCGTGCCGCCCTGCCTCCGCCATGGATGTCGTTCTCGAGGCCTTTGACCTCCTGATAGGGGACCGGCTGTACGCGACCGCCCTTCCAGCGTCTCTCACAGCGTCGCCCTCCTTCTCCACGTTCATTGAGGAAACAAACAATACGCTGGCGTTGTTTGGCGATGCGCAGTCTTATGTGTACAAGCCGGCAACTTCATACGTGTACATCGAGCCGTCCAAATATGCCTACCTGAGTGCCTGGCCTCGCGATAATGTTTACAGGCAGTGTGTCAGTTTGTTCTTAATCACATGGTATGACTGCAGATTTCTAGTGATCTGAAAGATTTCTCGGCTAACGAACCAATGCACAGGGTCTTTGGGCTCGTCCTTTACTTCGTCTTCTCGTCCTTATCGTATCTCGTCGTTTTTGACAAGGCCACCTTCAAGCACCCCAAGTACCTGCGCAATCAGGTGCGCATGGAAATTGCTCAGACCATGGAAGCCATGCCCATCATGGCTATTCTTACAACTCCATTCTTCTTCGCGGAGGTTCGTGGATACGGCAAAATGTACGACACTTTCGCCGAGGAGCCGTTCCCCTATTACAGTATCTTGCAATTTCCTCTATTCCTCATCTTCACCGATTTTTGTATCTATTGGATCCACCGAGGCCTCCATCATCCGTTGATTTACAAGAGACTTCATAAACCGCACCACAAATGGATCATGCCTACTCCGTATGCATCCCATGCGTTTCACCCGGTGGACGGCTGGGCTCAGAGTGTCCCCTACCACGTGTTTCCGTTCATTTTCCCTCTTCAGAAGTGGGCTTACGTCGTGCTCTTCGTTTTCATCAATTTCTGGACTATTATGATTCACGACGGTGAATATGTTGCCAACAGCCCCGTCATCAACGGCGCCGCATGCCATACTATGCATCATTTGTATTTTAACTACAACTATGGTCAGTACACAACTTTGTGGGATCGAATGGGAGGCAGCTATCGCAAACCCAACGACGAGCTCTTCAGGCGCGAAACAAAAATGGGGAAGAAAGAGTGGGAAAAACAATCAAAGGAAATGGAGGACATTCTCCAGACTGTCGAGGGCGATGATGACCGTCATTACGAGAGCAACGAGACTGTGAAGAAGACTTCTTAATCTTCTTCCTCTTTTCACACTTTTTCTTCTTTCGGTGAACTAATACTAAGCCAGTATGCCTGGACGATTCTTTTGCACTTATTATTTTTATAATAAGCCTCAACTCGAGACTACCTTGAAATGGCACTGACATCCAGCGACCATATATAAGCGGATTTTTTTGGTCTCTCCGGAAAATTACCACTCTGATCACGAACTCACGCCGGCAATTCTCGCCACAAGCTTGTATCATTATTATAGTCATATGTTGTAATTACTTTTCTTTACTCTTCTTTCTTCTTCACTCCGTGTCCTGCGACAGACACCATTTACTCATATTGGAGACCTACCTGCATTGTCGTGATTAGAATTTGTTCAACTCGCTAGTTCACAGACAGGCAATTGAATGTACATAGGCATTGCCAAGAATATTCTTTTTTATTTTTTTTTTGACATATACATCAAAACTTATATAACTATGCCGCTTTCATATACCTAACTAGTAACTACGATCTAAGTAGGTACATCATCAACTCTATATATCCGCATAGACGAATCTTCACTTGCAGAAGCAAGTAGTATAGATCCTTCACCCCTACCTTCGTCACTAAGCCCTTTGTCCTTCCGGAAGCGAGAGGAACTCCCAGGCCTCCAAACAAGGCGCGTAACAGACTTTGACGGTGAAACAGATTTATCTAGACCAACAACCAACTCTGCCGTCGCAGTTGTTGCTGCTACCACCAGCTTGTGGACGGATATCTGGCCTGTTTCTTCGCCAATGGCTAGTAAGAAAGTGAGACTGTCTGTAGTAGCTGTCACTACTGAGTGGAATGACACGGCCGTTATGGAGGTTCTGAGTGTGATGGTTGATATGCATTCGAATGTGTTTCCCTCTTTCTCTTTTCCTTCCATTTCAGGACTCTCGGCCGCCTCCCGCCAGATTTTCACGCATTTGTCGCGGCCTGCGGTTGCGAATATCGCTTGTCTTGAGGACGATTCACCCGGAGATGAAGGAGCCCATGCTGCATCAAGAATCATCCTTGAATGAGCCTTGGGGTTGGATTTGAAGAGGGAGAAATTCCCATCTGCGCCGCGCTTGAAAACCGCCCATTGACGATCACGGCCCACGCTGAGTAAGTACTTGTCGGTATCTGAGAAGGCAAGAGATGTTATAGTCAGAGAATGGGCGGTTAGCGAAGGCTTGATTTCTCGCCATTCCCTCTTTGTGTCGTACAGGCGTATGACGGCATGGTCTATAGAGCTCGCTTTGCATGCGGTGGCGATCAGGGAGCGGTCATGGCTAACTGCGACTGCTGATATTTCGTATCCGTGGCCGTATAATTTCTCGTGTTCGGGCCAGAGAGTATGTCGAGCTAAGTAATCTTCTAATGGGGGCTGGTGCATCGGTAAGGATACAACTGCTTGTTGCTGTTGCTCAGCTTGGTCATTCCCTTGCCCGGCGTCCGCCGATAATGCGATATCTTCCCCGACTGCCTTGTTTGAGAGTCCCAAGACGGGGATGTTGGCTGCATCTGGTAGCTCCTCTTCCTCTTCCTGTCTCTGTGGTATAGCAATGCCGCAGATGTTTTCCAGTAATTGGGCAATCTGTTTAGGCTCGTTGAAGACTCGCAAAAGCTTTTCATCTGCGCCAGAGACAAATCTCGCCGGTCCCAGCGAGTCTATGCAATTCAGGTCATAGCCATGGATTTGAGGTCGTGAAAACTCATGCCATGATGAGGAAGACTCCTCCCGCAACCATTCAGCATAGAGGCGACTCGTCTGATCGGAGCTAGTTGATAGAAGATACGCACCATTTGCCTCCCATTGGATATCATTGACAGACCTGACATGGCCACTAATCCCTAGTCGTTGCTGCCAAATATCTAAATCTTCATCGTATGCCCATGCCCTCCAGCTCCCTGTCCGAGCCAGACTAACAACTTGTTTCCCATCAGGGGACCATAGCCCAATCCAGAACCCGCCTGTACTGCCAGTCGCTGATGTTGAGCCTTTTTGCACACTAAGTTCTCCCATTCTCTCAATCGTAACCCATACCCCCGTCGTCGGATCTTGTTCCCATATTGTTAACGAGTTATCCGCGGAAGCAGATAGAAGCTGTGCATTTTTCGCATCTGTGCTAGGATTCCAGTTGACAGTGTATATCCAATCTTCGTGGCCGAGTAGAAGGGCCTCGAATGTCACCGAATAAGTCGAGTCAGAAACAGTGAACGTATGCGCTTTATTGGACAGGGTCGGTTCGTCACCGCCTAGTATGATATCGTCCTCATCTTTGGGGAGTACAGGTGCTACCTCGCCCCGGTGCACTTTCCAGAGACGAATATATTTGTCTTGACTGGCTGATGCGAGGAGGAAGTCATCATTGGTGTCGAGCTTTCTGAAAGAAAGCGATCTCACCCAAGCTTCGTGACCAGACAATTTGGCATTCCAGACGAATTCAAGCGGTTGCGTAGTAATATCAGACGTAGTGTCTTGTGCTGAATATATATGGACACTGTTAGTTGTTCCCCCGACTGCCAGTACCATTGGCTTCTTCGGGTCTTCAAGATCAAGCGATTGAAGAGCCATGGCCAAGGGAAAGAACCTGGGTTTCATGGGTATTGTCTGCAGTAACTGTGCCGATATTTGATCTTCCTCCTGGAAACCGAGTCTCCAAATCCTAACAGTGCCGTCAGCACCTCCGGACGCGAAAACATTCGAACCATCCTCAACCGCAATTGTATTAACAGTCCCCGTGTGCCCGGTAAGCTCGCAAACGCATGTATATGATGACTGGTCTGTCTGTTTCCATACCCGGATTGTCCGATCCACGGAGCCGGTGAGCAACAGGCGCCCTCTTGTGGTGATCTCCGCGCACTCGACGAAGCGCACAGCGCTGACCTTGTCGGTATGGCCAACGAGCAATGCATGGACGCCTCTGTATGACTGCAAAGACAAACAGATCAGTAAGTAAGGTTGAAGCAAAGACATGAGGATCCGGGCCTTCCATACACTTGGCGCCCAGAGCGCTACATTGTTATCCGCGCCATATGCTAGCAGGCCTGACTGGACATCCCAATCGGCCGCGCCAGGATGGCGATTGCCGCCGACGCTGATATATTCTGTAGCAACGCGAACCATGAAGGTCTGTATTATCCGTTGCAGACCTTGGCAAATAATTTTGGCGCTTTCTATATCGGGCACTGCTGAGTTGAGCGAAGAACGCGAAAAAGGTGGGATGTCTGGCGTACGCTGCGGAGGTACTTGACGAAATTTTAAGCTTATCGATAAGCCGGCGTTGATCAAAGGATGCTTTCCCCTCCTCAATATTTTCCTTCCTTTTATAAGAAAATATATCCTCTTTTATTGCCCTCTCATATCTCCAATATGGCAGACCCTCAAGAGACTATTTCCATCGTCGTGGAATTTACGTAAGTCACTTGGTCGACCCTTCTGCTTTTTGGCTTTTTTCTGATTGATGTATTAAAATATATTGTAGCGGCGGTTTAGAAATCCTGTTTGCCAACGAGCGCAGGTATCGTCTATCAATTCCAACGCATACAAACGAGGATCGAAAACGACCTACTATTGCTTGGCTCATTCAATATCTTGTCGAGAATCTGATGCAAGATCCGAGGAAGGAGTTATTCGTCCTTGATGATCATGTGTAAGTAAGCATAAAATCTAGACCGGGATGCCAAATACTTAGAGATATATTAGGCGCCCTGGTATTCTTGTCTTGATCAATGACGCCGATTGGGAGCTCGAGGGCGAAGAGGCCTATGAGATACAGCCCGGGGACAATATATTGTTTGTCTCTACATTACATGGAGGATAGATGATTTGGTCTTTCAATAATGTCCACTATATCTAGCGATTTCTCTTGTTCATAAGAAAGGGGAGGGGGGAGGAAGCCCGGAAAAATAAATATCAGGTTGGTGCCTATCACCTCGACGCTGAAGCAATGAATAAATGAATGAATGAACGAATCAATGATTGTGAAATTGCCTACAAGACCAGTCACTATCACCTACACCACGTCTTCTACATGCTGCTGGGTAAGTCTCTCAGGTTCTCGAGGCGTGCGATATCCGCTCTGGGGTGTCGACAGGCCTGTGGAAGGGCTTCCCAAACTCATCATCGGCGTAGTATAGCCACTGGAAGGCACGGGGATCTTGATATCTTCCGGGGATGGAGGGATCATCTCCTGTGGTAGGTTCGGAATGGGTATTCTGCGTGCCTCATTTTGATAACTAGTTGGAATAATCTGTACATAAATGAGTTAATAACTTAGCTAAACCGGCAATGCCCAACAAACATACTTCGATGATTTCGTTGCGAGGGAATGATAGGAACGGGATGTCTGCAGCGTTACAGGCCATCAAATACCCATACAAGACTCTCAAGACACTTTCGTGAGCTATGATGAGTAAGTCATTTTTCTCTCGTTCTAGTTCGAGAATGATTGGTTCGAGGCGAACGGCCAGATCATGATATGACTGCAAACATTATTTACTTAGTCTATAAACTTAGCTTGGAAGGAGACAAATACTGCCACATACCTCCGCGCGAGGATACCGGTGATGGTAAGGATCCATCTCATGCTTCGTCACTTCATCTGGATATTCCTCTCTGATACGCTGTTCGGACATTCTTTCACAAACCCCTGGATTCAGCTGGCTCAGCTGTGACCTCTGGCGGACGGCATAGCCTTTTTCGTGCAAGTACTTCGCGGTCTCAACTGTTCTGCGCCGAGTCGATGTCCATACAGTCAATGGCTTCAAGACAGCGCCTGACTCGCCTTGGTATAGCAAGGTCTGTCTTTCGGACTCTCTGTGTTGCAGTAAAACTTCTGTCATTTTCTTCGCGTAGTCTTCACCTTGTTCCGATAAAGATGAATCGGCTTTGTAGGAATTGGCATCCAGCGAGACACCGGCCTAGAAGGTTGATTGCCAGTCAGTGAAAGTACACTTTGCTTTTGGCTTGCGGTTGACCGACCCTAACGAAATATGTATGCCTTGACTTTATGTGCAGGTTTAGAAGATAGAAAACAATTCGGTTCGAAAGGTATCCGAAGCTGCAATTATTGACAATCAAGCGTTCTCCGGCATTGATCATCTTGAGCCCATTAGCTTCGAGATACAGTCCTTAGATTGATTGCCTCATTACCTTGATATAGTTGAGTTCTTTCTCCTCCATAGTTTCAACATGGGGAATTCTTGCCGAGATGCGACCGAGGTAGTGTTTGACGGCATCGTTGGCGTCCCAGTTTATATACTTGTCCACTGTTAGTACGGTTCTTTATTATAATCGACGAATTCCCACTCACATCAGGCGAAGAGATCTTGACTCGTCGAACGTTCTCTTCTATTATTCGTGGATCATCGCACATAGATTCAATAAAGAGAGTCTATGTCTCGTGTCAGTGGCAGATGCAAACCAGCGTAATACCAGCCCTGATACCTCTATATTTTGTTTCGCAAACTCCTTAGCAAGCGAGCGACGGCCAGCGGCTATCGGGTTCACGGCATCGTAGATTGCTATTTGGCCATTCTCATGACTCAGGAAATGCGCTATATCGTCGCGGCATTTCTTCACAATTTTTTGCCGCAAGAGCACGGACGACGCAGAAGCTGGACACCCGGTATTTGTTAGATTCAGCGCTTCATCTTCGTGGTGGCTATTCTCGACCAACCGTTGACAAAGAAGTAATCATCGGGCATATCTTGGCCCGGTCCGATAGTCGCACGTCTGTAGTCACCCAAGTGAAATATCCGCGTCTTCACTCCAAGCCTACATCAAGTTATGAGCGAATCTGATACTCCGAAGCAACACCTTGTACGAGCACTAACTAACCAGCGCAGATAGCGAGCCAGGGCTACAGAAATGTGCCTTGAATAAGTCAGCAGCAGCGTTTGACTGATAGAATAGCTAGTCATCGCACTAATACTCACGTCTTCCCTCTAGCTGGCAGGCCGACAGTGATGATCACAATGCGGCCCGAGTGAAATAGCCTTCCGGACTCGGTGATGTAGAGTTGAGCCGGTGCCAACTCTGCCTTCTCTGGAAGATCGTGGATGGCATCCACGAAAGTGCTCGACTTTCTCCGAAATCGCGGAGAGCTCGCGATTACGTCTGCCGTCCTGCGGCACGGTTAGACAATTGCACTTCCATATGAACAAACAGATTTGGGACATGCAGTAGCGTATCCATGGCCTTTTTTTTTTTTTTTTTAAAAAAAAAATAAGACTCTCAACACTATACTCAAAGACAGTTTTTAAACGTTGCAAGCCGGCAGTTGGGCGATGACTTTTATAATATATAGATGCAACAAAATGACGGAAGCCGAGGGGTTCTCAATCAATTCGCCCACGCCGCGATGGGAAGTAAGTGCAGGTCACACAGATGCTTGGGCCGCTGCCAACGAGAGGTGCGCCGATGTCTCTGGCATGGAGCAGCAAGAATAGAGCACGCAAGTTCACTGAATAATGGATATGTACGTCGTCAAATCTGCACGTCTTAGCAGCCAAGGTTGAAGTCAGATCAATGCCAGATCCGCTCCAAAACAGGTTAGGCGCGAGGCCGGCAGTGCAAACGGTGCAAAACCGCTCGCCGTGAAAACATCGCCGGGCTGCAACGACCAAATTTCACCAGCTGAAGCTACGTTTCCCCCAACACGACCAAACAACAACCGGCTGTTGGATTCGGTCATTTTGGGCAGGCTAATTAGCGACGCGTCGTGTCTTGTGCAATTCGTTCTACTCATCAGACGTCCGGGATCTAGTTGTCTGCAATTCCAGACAAAGACCGGTCACGAGTCCTTTTTTCCGACTGGGCTTATCCTGATTTCATCAGTCCATCATCAGCCTCAACCATCTCCAACCATCTCATAACACGTTCATTGCAAATTACAGTATACTCAATATGGCTGATATATCCTCGTCGTTGTCGTTTCTGACAGACAACTCTGTCGCTGCATTGATCAAAGATGCATACGGATCGTTTTCCGAGCGAAGAGCGGCGCTAGGCTTGACCAATCCTGGTACAGTCGATAATATTGCGCGAGAGGTGCAGAAGGATGTGCTGCTGTCAAACTTCATGTTTACTGGTCTTCGGGCAGACCTGACCAAGGTCTTTGGCATGTCCCCTCTGTTCCGGATGTCTCACGCTTTTGCTATGGGATCAGCTGGCAATATGCCTCCATATAACTTCAGTGCCATGTATGGATCGCCAAAGGTATGTTATCTAGCTTACTACCATTTGTCTTTTATGGAGTGTTCAAATATTAATGTATCGGTATGGCTAGGTATTCATGCAAGGAAACCTGGGCAGTGACGGCGGTCTCAGCGCGGTTGGCAACTACCGATGGAATGAGAAACTCGTAACGAAATCGAACGCTCAGATTATGCCCGGCGGTGCGCAGGGAATCTTGCAGATCGATAACGACTACACCGGAGATGACTTTTCCTTTTCTCTCAAGGCTTTCAACCCATCTATGTTGGAAGGTGGTTTAACTGGTATCTACGTCGGAAGCTACCTTCAGTCAGTCACCCCTGGTCTTGCTCTCGGATTCGAGGCGATCTGGCAGCGACAGGCGCTCAACACTCGCCCCGAATCGACCCTTTCGTACTGCGCCAAGTACCGCGGCGCCGACTGGATCGCCAGCGCACAGCTCCAGGCCCAGGGTGCCATTGCAGCATCGTACTGGAAGAAGTTGTCTGACAAGGTGGAGGCCGGCGTGGACATGAACCTTCAATTTACCCCAAGCCCTGCAGCACTCATGATGGGAGGACCCAGCCGCGAGGGCACTGCAACAATTGGTGCCAAGTACGATTTCCGTGCATCTACATTCCGTGCGCAGGTTGACAGTGCTGGCAAGGTCAGCTGTCTCTTGGAAAAGCGGATAGCCATGCCTATCTCGTTGACTTTTGCGGGCGAGGTTGATCACGTCAAGGTAAGTCGAGGGCAGTCTAGTCGTATCGTGACAAATGACGAGACTAACAAAGTTACAGCAACAAGCGAAAGTCGGTCTTGCCGTCTCTCTCGAGATTGCCGGTGAGGAACTCATGGAGCAACAAGAAAAGGCCGAGAGTCTCGGAACCATTCCACCTCCATTCTAAGCTCCCTTCTTCGCTCGTCTCCTGCTTGCCGTAGTGAAAGCAGCAGTAGACATGTACCGCCCTTTCGATCATTGTCTTACTAGATCTTCACTCTTGACAGAGAAAAAAAAAAGACCCCTGCATTGCGGCTGGTTCCACATTGACACGAGGCAGTATGCAGTACGTATTTTGGGCTGACGTTGGTACCGTACGCCTTCGTGTATAGAAGTGATTGTCTTTTTTTTTTTTTTTTTTCTCTTGAATTTCGTTCTTCACCTTTTTTTTTCCCTTCCATTGACGGGTGATATTACTCAGGTATGGATTTCTTCCTCATTCAATGTTCTTTTTATCTGCATAGAGAGGAGCAAATGTAAAATAGCAATAACAAACTTTAATATTACTATGGCACAACTGTAGTCTACTCCCTAGGTAACATATAATAAAGGTAGCTAGCTAGACGCCCATCCAATGATCTCACTAACGACATCGCCTAACTGACTCGTACAATGCTTACTAACACGACATCCCACACGCACATACGCACCGAAATCCGGAACTCACACATGTATGTCCTGCCCATGCCAGTACGACATATGACATATGCTCATGTACATGTACCTGATGCTATTCCCGAATAGTGCATATGTCCATTGCGCCTGGACAATGACATGCAGTGAGCCACGACGATCCGAGGCATTTTTTTTGCCCCCTTCCTTTCACCTTTAGGGCAAGCAAGTTAGTTTTCTCCTTGGAATAATTTCCTATTTTGGTAGATTTTGAGATGGTGGCAATTTTTGGAATTTGATTGGCAGTCAGTCGGCTGATTAGATGGGTGGTGGATCACTGGATCTTGTTTAATTAAAAGAGGGCTTCTATCGAGTTGTGTGTCATTGGCTCAGGATGTAAGTAATAACTAGGGGATAACTCCGTAGTCGAGTAATCTGGGTTTTATTCCCTCCCCTTTTTTTTTTCATATGGAACATGGGAAAAAGATGGATATTTGGAAATTGCAATTGCTATCAAATGATTTTTTTGCGGGCAGAAATGCCCGAGTTCTGATTCGTTGGGGCCGGGTGGAGCCGGTGGGTATGCTGGAGTCACATGAGTGGCATCATGTGATCATAAAATACTTGTCCGGGCGTAATCCTTAGTATGCGCCGTACGGGCTTATCTTATCTGGGCTTACGGTACAACCCTAACTTGATTCGAGCAGGATGTCTTATTTTGGTTCATTGGAATGCTTGGGCTAGAATGTCTAGAACATGCTGTTTCTGGCCAGCTGTGCTATAGCTAGAGGTATACCGTGCATGCGTCGAAAGGATCAGTCGAGTCTAGACTAAGGATACAACTACGTGGATGAGCAAATGGTGCTACAGCCCTCCGTGCGAGGTACAGGCACCGGTACGTACCTGAATAGGTCGCACACATTTGCCTCACAAAGCCTTGTCTGATGTGCTGATCTATCATCTATCTTCTCAAACGTCAAAAGACTTGTGTGACGTCTGCGGAATATTTGCCGTGTGCTACAAAGCTTAGCCAAGTACCTGTACAATGTAGGTCCGAAGGTCAAGCAAGCAGCTCCCGTTAGCTGTATGTATGTGTCGAAGGCCCAAGCGATAGACATTCCATTCCATGTGGCTAGGGCAGGTGACACGTTGTCTGGAAGTGAAAGAGCCAAAAATAAAAAACAATTCTTCGTGGGAATGCTGTTCATAGCTCTCGACGACCAGGCTGTGTTAGGGACAAGCCGAATGAGGAAGAAAAGAAGAATCAATCGAAGAAGAAGAAAATCCTCAAGCATAACACCACTAACGCTATAGTAGTTACTTTTACCTCGCGGATGACGGAGTGAAGTTGGATGCATTCTTTTTTTTTCTTTCCCATCAAGGAGTAAAGGTGCCAAGACTTGCCGCTGGACTAATCTGGTAAGCTCGTAATCGGTCCCCGGTAATTGGTAAAATGCAATCCAAGCGTCATTACGAATACGGCCGTTGACTAGTCGAAACGAACCCCATTTTGTCATTTGATCACCCGACATGAAAAAAAGAACGAACGTACGTCACGGGACCATCGAAGCAAATATGCCACCCGGATCTCTCATGGACTGATTGATGCGCGATGGCAGGATGCCCGTAAGGCCGCAGCTGCAGAAAACGGCGATCTATCTAGCCCATAGCAACAACTCTGGGAGTCCGGATGATCCTGAACTGAACTGGAGGGGAGAGATGACGCTCGCTCGCTCGCTCGCTAACTAGGTTAACTCCTAGCTAAGCTGACTAGCTCCAAAGCGCAGCACAGACGATGGAAAAGAAGTGACGGGACGGATACGGTACGTAATATACAGATTACAGGGAATTACAGGGCTTGGCATGACGATAACAGGCCCTGTGGCACCTGATCGGAACCCACCGCGGCCAATCAGCACGGGCCAGACACCGCATCACCCGCATCGAACCCCTCTCTTGAATCTTATAGTACCAGAGTCCTGCGACGCACCGCTTACGGTAACCAGACACAGTTTGACAGGGATGCGGCGAGTATGACCCAAGCTGCCGGTCAGCTGTGCCCAATCAGAGAGGGCCACCGTGTACTTGGCGTGTATCTTACTGTCGCTACAGCCCAGGACTCGGTATTTCCCTTTCCATATATACATACATACATACATACGTCTACTCACTATATACGACCGGTTGAGACTCATAACAAAGTTGTACTTACCAGACCATGCGTCTTACGTCAATCGAAAGGCATTCAAGGCTAATAATAGCCTTGACGCCTGACCTGGCAGGAAAAATGGAATTGACACCTGATGGATTGAGATTGAATCTTGGGGGAATAAAATACACCCCTCATTTGCCTTTTTCCCCCGGTGCATTCAATGAATGCATGGCAGGGTAAGTAAGAGAATTATCTAATCTCTACTAACTGGCTCGTGAGCTAGCTAGCTACCTTCCTGGGAATGCAAGATAGGTATACAACATGATTCAGAGCAAATGCTCGTCGCCGGCCGCCAATCAGACCGAGTCCTCTGGAACACCAGCCAGACATGTACATGCATATAGCAATGCTGCTATATATTGTTTTATTTACATAGATCAATATCAATATCAATATCAATATATCTTTATAGAGGTGTATATACACATATATGTCCGTACATATAAATGACCAGCGCCCGGAAATCATAAGTAATTTATCTCCACCCGGTCTCAGCCTTCCCGCCTCATTCGCCTGCCCACCGCCCACTTTGTCTCCCTCAACCGCCGTTCATCTCTGCAATGACAATCCTCCTGCTCAGTGCTCACCAACGTTACTAACTTACTTTCCTGCATACTGCCCTTCTGGGATCCAGTGAGTCTCCTCCTCCTCCCCCGGGACCCAACTAGTGCTGCGTGTGTGTGCTGTGCTGTGCTGTTCGGTGCTGCCCTGCCCTGCCCTGCTCGACTCGTGGTGATTGACTGAATTCCTCGCTCACGTTGCTTTTTCCTCCCTTTTCTCTGTGCAACTTTTTTTTTTTTTTTTTTGTTTGGCTTCTTACCTTTTTACTCTTCTGGTTTCCTCCCCTTCTTATGCCAACTGGGTCCTTTCCTGCCCTATAATCGCTTCCTGTGTCTCCGTCGTGCCTCAACCGGGGCCGCCGTGTGTCATTTCTCCCGACCGCTCTCTTCCTGCGGCTTCACCACCACTTCTCTCTCCTCTCCCCTCGACTTCAACTGTCTGTCCCGCCCACGTTCCTGCGGTTACCTACGTCGACATCATTCCACTTATAGTGCGTGCGTGCGTGCCTCCGTGTGTGTATCCTTTTCTCTGCCCTCGCTTTCCTCTGCGTCGCTCGCTGTTCTGTTCGAAGAAGAGGGCCTGTCACTTACTTCATCTCTCGCCGCCCCCCCTCCCCCATCATCATCATCGTCAACACCCACCACCCATCCTGCCTCCCTCTCCAATTTCCTCCTCGCTCGGCTATCTTCCACGCTCGTGCCATCCCTTGCGGAATTCTCGTTGTTCTGGGCTGGTCGGCCCGATCCACTTTCGTTGCTTATCGACTGTGGCCCTCGAGTAATTCTACTCAGTAGTTCGAGCCACTCGCAAGCATTCCTCGGGTCTACCCGATTCAGCCAGAACTTCCCAAAGCCGATTCCGTCCTGCACACGACTTTCTGTCTTCAACATATTTGTTGCCGAGTAAAAAAAAGAAAAGAAAGTGATTAACGTTTTCTAGCTTCCAGTGCTCACGGCAACGAGAGAACGACGCGAACCTCCCCCCGAATTCCCTCCTTTCCCGTACATGCAATCGGTGTGAAACGCGTATATTACGACTGTTAAATTGGGCGTACGCAAGAATTGGCCTCATTCCAGGGCAACTGTATCGGCATTGTTTCTTTCTCATTGCAAAACTGCCCAAGACGGACCTCCCAACCACCACCGCGTCTTCGTCTCGGCGTCATTCACTGCTGAAGTGCAGCCCTCCATATTCTCGATAGTGTTTTTCCCGCTGGTCATCATTCAAAAGCCCCCGTGATGTCGCAAAGTCGTCCCGGAGTCTTTGCGGGCCTACGCATGGGTGGTAAGTGAGTCCCGATAAAACAACTTCTGTGTCCTCGTCTTAACCATGCCTTAAAAATCGAACAGAAGTCGTCCGTGAAAAGGTCCAAGATGGCTTGACCGGCGAGACCAAGGAAATGCAATACACCCAGTGCAAGATCGTGGGAAATGGCTCCTTCGGTGTCGTATTTCAGACGAAAATGTCCCCCAGTGGTGAGGATGCTGCTATCAAGCGAGTCCTCCAGGATAAGCGGTTCAAGGTAGGTTCACCATTAGAACTGCGCGCGGTTGGTCTACTATACTAACACCGTATAGAATCGTGAATTGCAAATCATGCGCATTGTACGCCATCCTAACATTGTCGAATTGAAGGCTTTCTACTATTCTAACGGAGAGAGGGTATGTAGAAGCTCTATTTATTCATGTTTATCTCATATTGATTTATTCTCCTACAGAAAGATGAAGTCTACTTGAACCTGGTCCTTGAATACGTTCCTGAGACGGTCTATCGGGCTTCGCGGTATTTCAACAAAATGAAAACGACCATGCCAATGCTCGAGGTCAAGCTTTACATCTACCAACTTTTCCGTTCGCTCGCCTACATCCATTCGCGAGGAATTTGCCACCGAGATATCAAACCTCAGAATCTGTTGCTTGACCCAAGCACGGGCATACTTAAGCTATGTGACTTTGGCTCAGCAAAGATTCTGATTGAAAACGAACCAAACGTTTCCTACATCTGCTCTCGCTACTACCGAGCCCCGGAGTTGATCTTTGGTGCCACAAACTATACCACAAAAATCGGTAATACCTCCCTCTAGCCCTACTCCTTGTATGTACAAAGATCTTGTGGCCACTGACTCGGACAGATGTGTGGTCGACTGGGTGCGTGATGGCTGAGTTGATGTTGGGACAACCTCTGTTCCCTGGCGAATCTGGGATCGATCAACTAGTGGAAATTATCAAAGTGCTGGGCACTCCGACCCGAGAACAAATTCGCACCATGAACCCCAATTATATGGAACACAAATTCCCTCAAATCAAGCCTCATCCCTTCAACAAGGTGAGAAGATTCACTTGCTGTGTATCCTGGCCTACAATAATGCTAATAAACTCTGCAGGTCTTTCGACGAGCTCCCCATGAGGCCATTGATCTCATCTCCGCTCTCCTAGAATACACACCCACACAGCGACTCCGGGCAGTCGAAGCCATGTGCCACCCCTTCTTCGATGAGCTGCGTGATCCCAACACTCGATTGCCAGATTCGCGACACCCTAGCAATTCACCTCGAGAACTTCCTAATCTTTTCGACTTTTCACACCATGGTATGTCTGCTGCTTATGTCCTCAAGACATGACTGACAAGAAATTTTTGCTACAGAACTTTCAATTGCCCCTGAGTTGAACAGTCGGCTGGTCCCCCCTCACGCAAGAGCTGCTTTGGAGGCTCGTGGACTGGATATCGACAACTTCACACCCCTTCCGCAGGAAGAAATGCGAGCCAATCTCGATTGATCCTCCCTTTTTCTTTCAGTTTTTCCATAAACCTTTTTGTTATCATGCTGAACGAACGAAACTCGGAATTTAATTTGGGATGCTACATTATGTGATCAAAAACGAACAAAAAAAAAGGAATTGCGAGCGCGCTTGTTTGACACCACAAGACATGCCTCCCTCCATTATATTATGCATTGGGTGGTCTTGCATATTGACAGAAAAAGTTCCGAACATGTTACTTACGGTTTTGCAAGTCGAGCAATGTCAGGGATATTTGAATCTCTGAGCTACAAAAAAAGTTAAGGGAATCAAAAGTCCACCGTGCGAAGTCGGATGGGGAAGAAATCAAAGAGGTGGCAAGGACGGGCAACAGCCTCATGCAAGAAGGGTGATGCCCTGAACTTATCGATTCAAAAAAGAAAAAAAAAAGAAAAGAAAAAAAAAAGACCTGAGTGGGAGAGACAATGAAAATGATACCCCTTGTGTGTACGAGTCTTATGATGTGTATGGATGGGAATCGAGGACCCTGGCTTAGCTTTACATGGTGTGGACTGGATTGATAAACATGGATGAGGACGATTGGTGTGGGGTACCGGTACGCTTGTATGATTCTGCTGTCGACATCGTCTTAACAGCAATTGAATGTTGAAAGTGTTGGGAAGTGGGCCGATATTTCCATCTCTGCGATGTTTACGCAGTAGATTGAATAAATGGCTTGGTATATCAACCTTTTCATTATATTCTTCTTTTCTTCTTTTAACTTTCCTTTTTTCATCTTTTGCCTTTTGTCTCATCTGCTCTTCCTTGTCTTCTGGAGATCCACTCTCCCCTCGTCTGCTTTTACATTCGTCCAGGCCTACCCTAAACTGTCGTTGTCCTCGAATCCAGGATCATCTCTATCGTTCAGATTCCCTTTCCTCTTTTCTTCTCATTTCTCATTTCTCCGTGCCCCTTTTCCTTTTGATACTGTGTGTGTGTGTGAGAGAGAGAGAGTGTGTGTGTGTGTCATGGGTGGAAACCCATTTGACTGTCTAAACTAAGTGACCGAACTGATGATTTACCTATTACTACTATTATTCCTGGTTTTTCTTCTTCCTCTTCTTCTTCCACCCCTCCCCCCCTTTTTCCTTTTCTTTTTCTTGAGATTTAAAAACAAAGAGAAAGCGGGCATGTCTATTTTGTAATATTTTCCGAATCAGGAATCTTTCTTTCTTCTCTCTTTGCCCTTTTCTATAGATAACGAACGAAGGTTGACTCTTTTATACAATTTCCAAGCATTTCAAGAGTGGTATAGACCTGCCTTCTTCGTCAATTCGTGCTCGTAGTGAAAGTCATCAAGACTGGCGGTTTGAAGTAAGCGCTCTTGTTTTGTCTGCAAGTCCAGTCCAGTCATAAATAAAACAAGACTTCCGAATATATTATTATTATCATCATCATCATTATTATTATCATTATATTCGAAATGCTGCGTTGGGCTGATACTGAGTGGTGGTTTGTTCTGCCAGCGAGGCTAACCCATTTCAACCAGCTAAGTAAGCAAGCAAGCTTTCCCCGTCCGTCCGTCTTAGTTCGACTCTTAAAACGCGAAAAGAAAAGCTTTGATCGCATTTCTGTCTGTCTGTCGACACCCACTCGCCTTTCGACCCCGAATCAAGTCGCAACACTAGCATAGCCCACGAATTCGCAGTGTCCCTAGGTGATTGGCCATGGCTGACTACGAGCGTCGGAATCACGGCTTTCGAGGAGGAAGAGAAGGAGGACGCAAGCGGAGGTACAGAGGTACGTCTATTTTCTTGTATATGAACACAGGGAATTTGATTTCGCAATGACGAGGGCTCAGCTAATCGGTGTATTATGATATTCTCAATCTAGATGACGATGACTTTGATCGCCGTCCCCAGAGACGCAGATACGAAGAACCCCTTGGCTCGAGAGTGCGGAGACTGTTGCTGTTAATTGCGGAGTCGGTATGTATTTACTCCTTCGCTGGGGAATTTTTTTTTTTAACAAAATATAATCTGACGGGGTATGTGTGTAGGCTGTTCGCAGAGTAGAGGATGATGTTGTGTACATTGCGCGAATGGCAGCGGACAATTATGACGATGAGGACGTTCGCGAGTCGTTTTTGGAGACCATCATTCAATTGTGAGCGGCAATCTACCATCATACTTAAGACTGAGGCCTTAATAGACTGACATATTACTTTTTAAATCAATAGGACCCTCGAACAGCCTTTCAAGATCCCGTTTGTCGCCGCCGTCGTCCTAGTCCTCAACTCCCTCAAACCAGAGTTTGCCGCCGAGGCGCTGAAGAGAACAACCTCGACGTTGCAGCAAGCTCTCAATGCCGGCGTATGGCGCGATGTGAAGCTTTTGGTGCGGCTTGTCGGTTGCGTACAAGGCATGCTAGAGGGTGATGGGGTCTTCGTTATTCTTGAAGAGCTGTTTTCACGTGCTGTTGATCTGCAGACGACGTCTTCTGAGGATGTATGCCTTTCCCTTTTCCGAGGTAGTACGTTATGATACTGATGTTGCATAGTCATTGGGCCTCGAACTCGTTAAGATCATCCTTCTGGCCATTCCCTACGTTATGGCTTCTTCGGCTTCTTCTGGCTTCGAGAGCCAGGCAGTGGCACTTCTCGAAAAAACAGACATCATCGCATCCACTCCACATGCCTTGGAAGCGCTCGTAAACCCTTTCAGTTTCGACAGCAGCGACGAAAGTTTCGAGCCCCTGCAGAGCTTCATTGGCTTACTACAGAAACAACTTCAAAACGAATCAACAAATTCAAAATGGGAGCTTAGGTGTCTTCCTCGGCCGTGGCAAGCGCTCTCTGAGTTCTCCTCGTCCCCTGACAACCAAGAAGGCGAAACCCCCATATCGCTGGAGAGCGCGACGAAACACCCTTTGCCTACAGTGACTGTGCCAGACCCCGTGAAAAATGGCCCCAGGGCTATCTATCCAGAGGTCTACTTCTCGGTGTATGCAGAGCAGGAAATCGAGACGGTGCCTGGAATTGGTGATGTCGCATCAACGTTATTGCGCGATGCACTAGTCGACACCATCAACATATTGGATTTCAACCGTACGGCAGTGGCCAGGTTTTTAATTGATGTTGATTGTTATTTTTCACCGGACACATTTGTGAAACGGGCAACGCCATTCGATAAACTACGAGAATTGCCTTCGGATCGACCAACTTGGAAACCAGAAGATGTGGCTGTTGACGCAGTGTTTTCGCAGCTATTCCAGCTGCCGAGTCCCGAGCATAAACTCGTCTATTATCATTCTGTGCTCACTGAATGCTGCAAAGTTGCCCCTGCTGCAATTGCGCCTAGTCTTGGGCGTGCCATTCGATTTTTGTATCGGAATGTCGAGAGACTGGACGTTGATCTGACGCATCGATTCTTGGATTGGTTCTCGCATCATCTGAGCAATTTCGGGTTTACGTGGAAATGGACGGAGTGGTGAGTTGTCTCTATCGAATGAGTAGTTAAAACCACAAAGAACAGGTGAAACTGACTTTTCTTAGGATTGACGATTTGCAACTTCCTGAGATCCATCCAAAAATGGCATTCATAACTGGCGCACTGGACAAAGAGATCCGACTGAGCTTTGCTCAACGTATTAAAGGAACACTGCCCGAGCCTTATCAGCCTTTGATTGCAGAGGGCAAAGAGAAAGATACGCCGGATTTCAAGTATACTTTAGAGAGTGAGTTTGATGCTATCGTATTATGAATGAACGTGATGCTAATTACAAAACAGCTACTCCATATTCCAAGCAAGGATCGGAATTAATGCAACTAATCCGTAAGAAAGCTACTGACGAAGAAATCGAGCCGGTCATAGCAGAGATTGAGAAACAAGCCAAGGAGCATGGCGTCGAAGACTCGATGGTCCCATCCACCGATGCATTTGTCACATCGATATGCTTCGTCGGATCCAAATCTCTCTCCCATGTCCTTTCATGCATTGAAAGGAATAAGGAACGCCTTCTCGCCATCGGGCCTCGTTCAGCACCTGGCCGACGACAAATTATCACCTCTGTGATGGAATACTGGGTCGACCAGCCCGGAATCGCAATCAACATCATCGACAAGCTTTTGAACTACACCATCCTCACCCCCCTCTCCGTAATTGAGTGGGCATTGCTCGACCGCATTGACGCCGGCAAGATCCTATCGCAAGCACACGTCTACGAAATGGTCTCCGCCACAGTAAACAAAGTGACCAACCGGATTCGCCAAATTGTTGCGGCACGCACGCAACGCGGTTTGTACGAGCCGCAACTCGGCGTCGTCGATGAAGCGCTTAATCGCGAAAAGGCCGATATGCAGACTTTATTCACGCTCATCGAAGACTCCATCACGCCCGTCGCTGCGGGCAGTAACGATGAACTCATGGAAAGAAGTGAAGACGACCCGAGCACGCGCGAAGAGAACGAAATCATCCGTCGCTGGGCCGTGAGATGGCGCCGCGTTTTCCAGAGAAAGGCTGCCGTTGAGGCGGCCTTTATTGCCGATGCCATGATCGATGCTACGCCATTGGGCACGATGCCGCCACCACCTCCTGAGGATGAAACTGCTGCTGCTGCTCCTGAAGCTGGATCAGGAGCTGGTTTGGAAGATGGTCTGCCTCAGTCGGCGGCTAATGGGGATAATGATATGGACATTGCTGATATTTCGTAAACGAAAATTGATTTCTGTGTGTACGTTAATCAAGGGGTGTTTTCTTCATTTTGTATATTGATCTGTCCCTCCATTAATCAATTGGGTATCTTCTTAACTTAGTGCATAGTGCATAGTATGGTGTATATGTATATATAGCGAAGGTCATCTGTGTTCCACAGACACGCTCAATCCTGGTTAAAACTGCACAGTTATAGTAATGTTGGGCTGTTGTTGCCCAACCACGCCCTGTCAGTCTCTGAACTTGCATCTTGCCAGTCCTAACTTAGATACTATCAATATCTAGGTAAGAAATTACTTGTGAACAGTCCATCGCCCAAACTTTGCAGGGGAAACCAACCCTATCCAGGACACTAAAGCACATCTATTTAGCATCACCATGGCGTTCGCATATCCCACAAAACAGACCGACAGAGAGACAAAAACAAAAGAACTGGAAAGAAACAGAATCAACTTTGTCCCTGAAGGCAAAACGGAGCTTTTCTGCTATGCGAGTAACATGCTTTCAGCAGATGATAATACCAAGAAATTGCGTGGACGGGTTGAGATTCTTGATTTTCTGCAGGTGCGAAGAGATCAACGATCAACTAGATGAATGGATACAAGCTCACTTTTGTAAGAACAGGAACAGTCAAAGTCAACTTCTGCTTTTACGCTCGTGTTAGTTGTATCTACTTGTCTGTCTGTCGGCCTTAGGATGTAGAACGCACTGACGAATGAAAAGTGCTGGCTATGGAAACGGCACTTTGCATCCACTCAGTCTTGATCAGGACCTTTTCACGGTCATACTGAAGACATTTAATTTACCGGAGAAGGTCCATGAGGTAATCTATTCTATCCACGGAGTATTTGCGAGGTTCGTTGAGTCGGATGATGGTGATGGAGACGGCCCCAAATCGTTGCGTACGCTATCTCTATCTTCCTTGTCGAGGAATATTCTGACAACAATAGTAATCCTCCTCTCCACACCAAAAGCACCAGTACGAGAAGTCTTCTGCACAATGCGCATCACCCCGGCATTGAATACAGTGACCTGTCTCCTCTTCGATGCCCAACTAACCGACCTTGGCCGTATCATCGAATCCGTGCACAACATCAATAGAGATAACCCTGCACGACTCTCCGCATGGAAAACAGCCTTCCAATTTCTTCTCTTTCTAGCCCGCGAACTCGGGCATACGTCTGAATCTAAACGCCACGCTTTGGATAGGTCTATTCTCGGCGCCGAAGTGCAGACCAAGTCGACGCCATGGGATGATCCGAGTAGGGCGCTGGTACGCTGGCCGAATGATATACATGAAGCGACGAGTGTGCTTCATTTGTGTCATAACAATCTACTGTTTGTTGCTCGCGCGGTGGAGTTTGAGATTGATCTTTGGAGATGGCTGCGCCGGCTTGTTGTGGGTGGTGATAGTAAAAATGAGGCATTGCTGTGGTTGAGAGGTAGCGATGTTAGGGCTGGGGTGTGGACTGCGTTGATTGACTCCATCGACTTCGAGATGGTGCATACGATGAATAAGAAGACGCAAATTGATTGTCTCAAGGAGCGCATTGGGGTGCAAATCAATCTAGTTAGTGCTTGCTTTATTATTGAACGCGCTTTTAGATACTGACTGCCTTCATAGATTAACAACCTAATCGCCCATCAAGAGAGTTCTCAAACAAACCTCATTGCTATTGTAGCTTTGGTTTTTGCGCCTGCGAGTTTGATTGCTGTAAGTAGCTACAACAATTGAACGACAAAAACTTGCTGGTCTCTGATAAGCGAAATGTCTAGTCTATATTCAGTGCAGGCATCTTCGCGACTGACCATAGGTCATGGATTGCATATGTTGCATTGACCGTGCCAATCACTATTTTGACTGTCTTGACTGGTGTCAGTTTCCTGGAACAACAGAAGCTGAAGCGTGCGTGGAGAGCATTGCAGGCCTCGATTGGAACAAGCCGACAGTTATCTTAAGGAAGGTGAATGCTTATGCTAGCAATATCCTGGGAGGGTGGTGTTTCTTTTCTCTACGATAGATATAGCTTAGTGATTACAGATTGTTTGTCTTTCGATGTCTCCTCTTTGATTATGACTTGATCTGTTTGAAGCCTACTCTGATGGCGTTTATCCATCTACTATTTATCAGACGATATAATCACCTATCCAGGTTTCGAAAGATCTGTACAGCGATACATCCCCACTCAGTGAGGCCACCCCCGAAGGCATCTATTGACCACCACCAACCAGAGCGTTCATGTACTGGAAGCAGAGCTTCTGTCCTTAGTTCGCACCACCTTCAACTCGCCAAAACTTAGTAAAAGGCTATGAAAACAGCAAATCTTTTATGGAAAAAGGCGTCTTAAATCCTCTTCATTGCTCCCGCCATGGATACATACATCAAAATCCCATCATCTTATCCACAAAGACGATGTCTATGAGGACTGTCGGCCAAGTCAATCCTCAGGATATGCAGACAGTGACATCCTCACCTTGTGTTTTGTGCGAGGACCTTCTCTGGTGTGTTCATTTCCCTGGAATCTTAATCGTTTCTGTATACTATTCGCGTAGGTTGACCCCAGAGAATCACGAAGAGCTAAAATATCTCTCATACTTTTAGCCCACTTTCGGATTCCTGGATCAGTAGACTAAGGGATCGTTTCAACACCCCTTTGTTGACTTGATAGACATTTCATCCCATTGAGAATTGGCATGCCGGGTCTGGTGTCATTGTCTGAAGGTGGCCTCGTCTTTTCTGCGAGTCCATGTACATCAGCAATTTGACTTCTCGTAAAAATAGAAACATCAACATGGTATGGGCACGTTTCGATTGGAAATATCCAGCCGTCACTGGGAGTTGATGTTCTCCTTTGGCGTGATGTCGGGCTCGTTTCTCTGTACTAGAGTATTTGTGACAATCTTCCGCTAGGCATCTACAGTCATAAACCTTGGGATGAACTGCTTTGCGATGTATATGGTTATGCTTGCTCGGTTCATCTGCCTCTAGACAGGGATGTCTGAATCCTCTGTGACATACATTTGCATGCACCTGTGCATTTTATTTCTTCGAAAAAGCGCCTGAGTGTTTCCCGTGGGGACTCAGCATCCTGGGAACACCCTTATGAATGCGGTTTGCACCAAAGTTTCTTTGACATTGATAGCGTTTTGCCGTCTTACAGATATCGGAATCATCTTCAATGCCCCAGGAGTTTGAGCGGCCTTTTCCATAGATCCCGTACTTGTTAAAGTCTTTTGAAGCAGCTTGGCTGCCCTTCTGCTACCGACTCCTCCCTGTCATCATCTACGACAATGCAGACCATAGTAACCCAGTGTCACTCTCAAGGAATGCTTTAAAGTATGACTGAAGCCCACCCCGTGGATGTGGAAAACGTTTGGCTTCAATAACGATTGCCTTGCCCAACTTATTCGGTCATTCTCAGAGATAGTCACTGTGTCTCAGCCGGTGTATGTTGTCAACTTCCATCTTAGCGGCACCATTAATTTCCTCGATATAGATTCGCAAGATATTATGTATCGAAGACCGGGTGCTGGCGAAGTAGCATGGGCGGAGCCCTTGAGAGTTGGTCAAAACCAGAAACCTGAACATCTCAGTCACCATTATCACCGCACATCCAACATTCATCCATAGAGTGGATAATAGGAGAGGAGATTTATGTAGATTGGCTGTATTCTGTGGTTTTGAAGTTTTTTGCCTCGACGAAGAACTTCAGCCTGCCATGATAAAATGGAAGGTCAAAGGAGGTGATTTTATGGTGTGGTGGGCGACGAGAAAGTGTACCATGTTCTGGGATGATAAATATCTTTTCTTTTGCGAGCAGTACAGTCGACATACCATCATACCACCCGAAATGCCAATTCCTCAATTGGCAAAGTCTGAATATGACCATCTTGGAGCGTCCTCATCGGAAGAACAGGCAAATTGGAAAATCCAATTCTGCCTGTATAGTTTTGATGTCGAGCTCCTCTGATGTTCATGTATCCGACACGTTGCAAATACCTGAAAGAATGGCATTCATCCAGAATGGCTCTCTTAAAGGTTCTTCTCTCGCCGCATTTTGCAATTGCAGATTCTTAGCCCTAGCCGCTTGCACTTGTTCGTACTTGTATCTTATATGAAAGTTATTGTCGAGTTGCCTCCTTCTTGTCTAGACATAGGATATGCATCCTTGATCAAGGTATTCGCAAGATTCTCGTTTCTAGAATTGAGTTTAGTGCATTCCCTTCAACAGAGAATCTAAAAGTACGTTAGTCTTCCGCATAGAGGGAGTCACAGACAGAAGCCACAAACCTGAAGCAACAAATAAACGAAAAAGTCAGTCCTGCTCTATAAGAGCTAAATGTCGACAGCAGGCCAGATTAGGATCTGTTAGGAAGGAGGGCGAGGTGGGTAGGGGAAGGAGAGAAATTTATAATAAAGAGAGAAGGGCGATAGCGGAGTTGAAGTGTTTCAGATTGTCCGATCCCGGACTGCTTCTTCGTGAATGAAACTTGTGAGGTTGTACAGAGCCATAGGGCTGGGCTAAGCCAGATACAGTCTTAGCGCTACATTAGTGGCAGTGGAGTCGGTGGAGCTGCGCTCGATGACAGGTAGGTCTAGCCAAATAAAGACTAGTTCTATATGTCTATATCAGATTTGAGGTCGACGTTCTTATTTTTTCCCCGTTGATTACCATTACTTATTCATTACTTTCTTGTCGTCATCAACTGATCATTACAATTTCGCAGCCAACCCCACCGGAGTCTGCAGACTCCAGCAAATTGAAGAGGAAGAACCTGTCGACTGACGATCTTGGTGGGATTGGCGAAATTCTCGCGTCGATGGATCCAAACGAAAAGAACATTCTCAGGGTAAATCTGTCAGTACTCCAATTCCTTTTTGTGCGTGGAATAACCGAAATCATTTGATTTGATCGCCTGGAAAGAAATCTGCATACGCTATTCTCGAAAACGGTATCAAGACAAAAAAACAAAAAAAAAAACAAAAACTTACGTGAATTTTGTGGCAGGCGAGAAATCGCTCATAGGAGCACCGATTATGTACTAGGGCATCAGCAAACTAGCGAGACTACGATTGGAGACATTTTTGCAATCGTAGTGCAGGGAGAGAGTTGGGAACCTGTGCCTAACTCGGACTCAGGCTATTGCTTATATGGCAGGCATTCAGCAAGAGCGCAAGTCTTGGAGTGCTGTTTACGCTATTGTTGTTAATGGTGGTAACTGGAGTTTCTTTCGGCTTAGAAGGAAGGAATTACAGGCTTCTGAACGATTTTCTATTGATAGTTCGAAGGGTTGCCTTCCTATCTGCCAGTATATCGATGCCATTCTTCGAAAGACCAATATCTGAGCTGTGGCTCCTCATACGCTGCATTACACATTTTCACGACTCTTCCGTGGAACAAAGTCGTTGGCATTCTGATTCAGCATGCGCTGGATCAAAAGATACCGGCTCTTTCGAATGATCTGAGCAACCTTGAATTATTCACTTGAAAACTGCAAGGTGAGCGAAATGAAAGGGAATTATTTGTACGGTTGTATGATTGCATGCCTTTATGGGATATGATGACTGGCACCAAATGTAACATAACCTTGGAAATTCCGAAATAATGCCATTCGGAAGCAACAATTTATCATATTCACCGTAGCAAAAAAAAAAAAAAAAAAAAAAAAAAGGAAAACATTGTTACACAGTGAAAGTGACTACATGATAAATAAGTAACAGAATTCAACGAAAGTCAAACAAGACAAAAAATCCCATGGCGTTGAGGCTGCGAGATTATATTACCAAGTCTATGCAGAAAGCTCCATGACCGCAATCCCCAATGCTAGTAGTTGAAACACCGCCACCGTTCGTGAAAAATTACACCATCATCATCGTCATCATAGCATACGTTGGAATCAAAAAGAGAAGGGAAAAAAAGTACTCCCCCCAACGTGTAACGCCACCTTGTGAATGGCTTTTCAGGCTCACTTCGAGGGTCTCTTCTCTAAGCCGTAACCTCCAATGGCCTCAGAATTAGGATATGTCTTCCCCTGTCCGGACTTTGGATTCCTCGGCCCTCGAGCCTGCAGGTCTTGTTTCAACCAGTGAAGGACCAAGTCTCCAAGTAGACTATTTTCAGCCGATCTATTGGGAACCTCTTCGCTGAAGCTTTCCATGGGACCCCATTGCTTCACCTGACCCAAGTGCATATGCACCAGATGCGTAGGCCACTGCGACAGATTATCCAATATATGAGTTGCATAAACAATCGTGCACTGTCTACTCTCCGTCTCGCGTTTCAGGAATGACAAGAAATTACTCCGCGACAACAGATCCAGATCGACAGTGATTTCGTCCAGAAGCAAAATCTGCCATGGTCTCAGCAGACCCATGGCTAGTTGCACGCGTCTCCGTTCCCCGTCCGAAACCGCATGCATTCTCCAGCTGAGGTCGATGTCGAGAAGATCGACTAGTTCATCTCGTCGCTCCGGATAGGCGTCGCCGCCGACCGAGGCGAGGAGTGTGGGCACGTCGATATCTGTGCGCACAATATGGTTGAGAACCCATTCCATACCGAGATAGGTGACGCCTTCGAGCCCGTCTTTAAACGGGTCTTTGCCCCCGATAGCGATTGTGTTGCTGGGGGCTAGTCTTTTGCCCGACAAGAGACGAAGTAATGTTGTCTTGCCGGCACCGTTTGCTAGTTGACATTACAGTCTGTCAATACAGTATTCGCTTGATTTTTGAAGTGCAGAAAGTATTTCCCACCTCCAATGAGCAGCGTTCTGCTCCCCGCAGGAAGGCTGAGTATTACATCTTTGAGCCCCTCGGAGCCATCCTGGAATTTGTAGGAGAGGTGGTTCACCTCAATTGATGGAGCCATTTATGTTAGTATCTGATATTCCGACTGAGCTGGTTATTAGACGAATGAACAAAAGACTGTTTAACAAAAAGAAGTGTTGACTTGAGCTCAAGACTCGATCGACGACCAAAGACTTGCTCCGATTGGTTGCGCAATTAATATTCGGCCCGACGACGACAAAACGTTATTCATCGAGATTCTGAGTTGATCCAACGACTTAACCATCCAACATCTTGCTCCAGACCAACAACACAGCAACAGCAATAGACGTGAACCGTCTCTGGACTGGCTGAAAACTAACGATGACTCAATCACGTATTCGCTGACATGCGTATTTTCCATGCACTCTTTGCCCGCCCGCAACCCGCAATCATGCAGCCCCTCATTACCGTGGTCGGTGCTACCGGCACTGGCAAAACCAAGCTCGCCGTTGACCTCGCGAAACGCTTCAATGGTGAAATCATCAATGGAGATGCGATGCAGCTCTACCGCGGACTGCCCATCATAACCAACAAGGTGCCTGTCAACGAAAGGGAAGGCGTGCCGCATCACTTGATTGACTTTATTGGGCTGGAGGAAGAGCCGTGGCGCATCGGCACATTCAAAAACGAATGTCTTCGAACTATACAAGATATTCACTCGCGCGGGAAAATCCCGGTGCTTGTTGGAGGGACCTCCTATTACGTGCAGTCTGTTCTGTTCAATGATGCGCTGGTCGGAGAAGGGGCAGATGGTGCGTCGGCTTCATTACTAGATGACTCTGAACGACAGCACGAAGGATGGGAAGAAGGTCAAGGAAGAGAACAAGAAGAGTGGGCTATTCTTGATGCACCTGTTGAAATTATGTTAGAGAAGCTCCGAGAGGTTGACCCCATCATGGCAGACCGCTGGCACGTGAAAGAAGTGAGAAAAATTCGACGGTCACTAGAGATTTACCTCAAGACTGGCAGACCGGCGTCAGAGATCTATGCGGAGCAAATGCAGCAGCGACAAGCTGCGATCAACAACGTGGAAGGCGTCGCGGCAGGCAAACTACGCTATTCCACGTTGATATTTTGGATGCATGCAGAAAGAGAAAAACTTTATAAAAGACTAGATACCCGCGTTGGAAGTATGCTGGAGCAAGGCTTGATGGCAGAGGCACAGTCCCTGTTCCAGTATCTAAGGGAACAGGAAGCTCAGGGATCTCATATTGACATGACCAGAGGCATTTGGGTCTCTATAGGATACAAAGAGATGCAACCATATCTTGCAGCATTATCTGCTGGCGAGACAAATGAGAAAGAACTCGAAGCGCTGAAAACGACTGGCATAGAGTCCGTTAAAGCCTCGACGAGACAATACTCTACGAAACAGGTGCAATGGATTCGGAAGAAACTCTGGTCTGCGCTCTCAGATATAGGTGCAACTGACCGACTATATGTCCTAGATGGTACTGACCCGGAAGCCTGGAGCCGCTGCATAACCGAGCCGACGGAACGCATCGTACAGACTTTCTTGTCAAATGACGATAACAACTTTCCGGACCCGAAATCACTCTCGTCACTAGCTGAAGAAACCCTGAAAGAGAGAGAGCAGAATTATACAAAGGGAACGACAACTCTGCCAGCCGTGGCCTTGAAACAGATCACTTGTGAGCTATGTAACAGAACAATGATGGGCCAGGAGCAGTGGGATATTCATGTCCGTGCCGCGAGTCATCGACGAGCAATTAGGGCAGCTGCGAGAAGAGAACAGCGACTAGAGTATTTTCGCAATCATGCATCGCGAGCTGAGCCGGTCGATGGATTGCCATCCTAGTCTGAGAATGTACGTTTCGGCCTTCTTGGATCACAGACCTTTTGTTCCTGGCTTGGAAAGCAGCGTGCCCGTATCGGACTTTTGACCGTTACTCGATAGCTATCGTCCGGGCATTTCGCCTGCCGCCTTGGTGTTTCTCAGAGAATTCTCAGAATTCGGGGTACACATCACTGCTTCTTTGTCCTCCACGAGGTAAAATTGGAAGACAGAATATCGCCATGGCCGCTCTCCTCGACCTTGAACACTTCGATGACTGGTGATCTTTCTCGTTTTCGAATCCGCCAAGTACCATCGGTATTTATCACTGATTTAAGCCCTGGTGGATGAGAATCTGTCAGCTCGGTTTCTTTCATGCGGCCGTAATATAAGACGGGTCTTACATTCGAGAAAAGCTGCGGTGAAGTTGATGCAGATGTTGCCATCCCAGCTCCCTCGGCCTTCTCGTTTGACCTTGCCAGGTATCCCTTGAGTTTCCACTTCTTCGATTCGCAGAAGCATTCCGGCTTTATCGCGAAACCCGACAATAATCTTGGGGACTCCCAAAAGAAACGACTGGGCCCAGAATTTAAGCAGTTTACGCTCATACTTAATCCTCTCCTTGTCGTTGAAAAGCTCAGCGCTTGTTTTCAGTTCCACCCAGTTTATTGGATCCTCTTTACGGTTTGGCTTGCTATCCCAGACTGTCATTGAACAAATGTGAGCACATTGATTAGGCATTAACGAAAGCGGAAGGGTAACTGCTACTCACTAGCATCGACCTCACCGCCGATGATCATTTTGACTCTACCAAAGCCAGTCCGTACGACAGAACAATACTGAGCCTTGTTGTTCACAACATCGTGAATTCGGCCTTCAATCTTATCCCGACTTGTTTCGCCCCAGGTATTTGGAAGGATGGAGACAGTTTCAAATTTGTAACCTGCTCGGAGAAGCAACGGTTATTCATGCCAGCACTAGAGAAAAGCCTGGATAGGGCATACCCCAATAGGCCATCATGTCTTGCGATGGCATCCCTGGCGGCATTCGTTGATTCCTCTGAATCTCCTTTTGAGTATTCTTATACGAATTGTTCTCTTCTATAAATCTGGGAATAGGAGTATTATTAGGAATGGCCAGAGCTTCCGTGGAGTCGCAACGTGATGATATGCTTACATCGATCCCTGAACCAACGAGTCCAGTATTAGCATTGCTGGTAAGCAATAAAGAAGCTGGGAATACTTACTTGGAAATATGTCGCGTTCATTTCAAACCTAGTGCCTTGTATATCAGTCCATTGAATTCCATTTCCTGTTGTCCGTTCGTTGGATCTAGACAAACCCGTTCAACACATCGAAAGGCGCGGTCATTATCTGGTCCAACCATCAATAATCAACAATGCAATTCAATCATAGTATGGGGATTTTCCCGCGTGCATCCACCTTTGTCATCATTCCTCTCCAGGTGACGATATCCGTTTCGCATCTCGACCCCGTATTCTGTTCCAAAGCCGTTATGGTATCTAAAAGCGCGTCTAGATGCTCGTCCGGTGCATCATTAAGTTTTTGGAACGTCTCAAAGCCCGCGCTCAAGTCGAGAGGCAACTGCGGTGGTTGCGGTGGATAGTAGTAATTCATGGACGAATCGTCCAGGCGAAAGTTGTGCTCGTCATCGTAGGAAAAGCATGCGATTTCCTATGTAGTTTGGAAGTTTCTTGTTAGATATTTTCTAGAACCCAAGTACACGCGCTATAAGTAAAGCGAATGTTTACTTACTCTAGGACGTCGAATGGCCGCATTCGAGCCGGAAAAGCGATGCAATGGCTCGATGTCGAAGACGTGGGAATTCATAGCAAGTCCGACTGTTGCATGGGTAGGATAGGAGGTAATGCTGATGCTGCAAGAATCGTCAAATGTGCATTGATCTTGTACAAGAATTGTTATAATTGCGTCAAGAAATTGAAGTCTGCGGTTTAAAGATGGAAATTCTTTGGAGACCCCGAAATCAAAAGCCCAGTTCCCGCGGCAGCCCGTTGATTGGCCGCTGTCCAAGCATGCCTCCTGCCCCGCCGAGTTCCATCATCAAATCCGCTCCGCCCACAGTCAGTCCTTCTCTCTTTCCAAAGGCAAGAAGAGGGATTTGGTTCTCTACCATTATGACTTCCAAAATCGACAAGACAATTGCTCGCCAGCAGGAAAAGTGCCACCCCTTTCCTTGTAAGCATGAATGGAGGAGCGCGAGGGCTAATAAATAATACTTATTCTACACAGAATCGCTGCTGGCTCATACTACGAAGCTCATCAACAGCTCCGCGTCATCGCTGCACGCTATTTGAAACAGTCCAACTACGATGCTGCCGCTGAGATATTGACGGGCGGTGCCAAAGCCCTTCTCCGCGCTGGCTCGCAACAGGGTGCTGCTGCTAGTGGCGGAGACCTTGCGATCATGCTTGTTGTGGAGGTGTACAACAAGGCTGAATGGGAGATTAGCTCGGAAGATGATGCTGCGTCAAGGGCACGGAAGAGTATGTGTGATCTTACTTCGCGATCCATGCTGGTAGTATTGGCTGGACTAACTCTTTCATATTAGAACGTCTCATTGAACTACTTCGTGAATTTCCTCCTGACGAACCATCCCGAAAGAGATACATAAACGAGATAATCAGTTGGAGCTCAAAGTTCGGCCCATTGGAACGAGGAGACCCAGAGCTCCACCACGCCGCTGGGTCTGTTTACGCTGAAGGTATATCTCCTCGAAGTTTGTATGCGGTGAATCAGTTCTAATTATTCGGTAACAGAAAATGAACCATACGACGCCGAAAAGCATCTTGTTCTCGGCACCACGGACTCTGCAGAAACTCTCGCCAAACTCGAGTTCGAGTGGTATACAGGTGATGGTGCGCATACAGCAGCCATCTACGCCTCCAGAGCAGTCTTTCCTTTCCTCCTAACGGGTAACCTCCGCGGTGCCAACAAAGCCCTCCTTATTTTCACATCTCGTCTCTCAACTGCCAATCCCTCACTGGCCTCGCAACAAGTCAGCAGTAACAGCTCGGATGTACGGATTTATCCATCACTTCCTTTGCTCAACTTCCTCAGCTTGCTCTTGATAGCCGTTCAGCGCAGCAGTGCAGACCTGTTCCGCGATTTGACTAGACATTATACCCCGCATATTAAGGAGGTTGGAATTTGGGATGAGGCGTTGGCAACAATCGGAGAGATGTATTTCAACATTAAGATTCCCAGACAAGGAAATCCCCTCTTGGATATGATGGGTAACATGTTTTTCGGAGGTGGTCAGGGTGGCGGTAACCCGAGACTGGGGCCACCTAGCAGAGGTTCGACCAGGAAAGTCGAAGCGGCTCCATCCAGTGCAGAACTAGACTGAGCTTAAGACGTTGTATATTGCCGTTGCCATGCCATCAAAGTATAGAATAGCACATACTTATTCCTCTTGATTTTCATGGCAGTGTCGTAGTTTGTTCATGATCAGCATTACACAAGAGGATCGTCTTCCACCTCGAACATCCACTTATCCTCGTCTAGAGCAGCGACTTTGCTGCGCAGGCTTTGTTGTATTAAATTGAGTATTTCTAAGTAAACAAAACACATCAGTTATTTAACAGATACCTGAACACTTTTAACAAGAATGAGGAGTTAACGAACCTGGCTCACCACTCAGGTGTCTATTGCGATTTCGGTACATCATTTCGACGAGACCTGCTTCTAATTCTAAATCGATAAATAATGTTAAACAAGTCTCAATTCAAAAAGGGTGCAAGTTAACTCACTCTCTTTATCCCTCCCCACCAACTCAGAGCTCATACCACCACCGGCATTATTGCTACCACTACCCCCAGATCCGGCACTTGGTCGGCCATCCTCAATACCTTCCATAGCGCCCCCTCCTCCATTGCCATTCATATCTTCCTCTCCCTCCTCATCCTCGTCATCTTCATCCAGCGGAAGGGGTGGCAGAACGGGGATGTCAAGCTGGAACTTCCCATTCTTGTCTCGTGCGATAATCTCCCCGTCGTCGATAGGCGGCGTTGATGTTCCTCCTGCCGCTGCTCTATATGTAGATAATGATGAAGATGCTATATCTGACGGATGTACGTGGTGTGCTAATGAGGGTGTTTCGGGTAGAGAGTGGTTGTTGTTGTTGTTGTTTGGATCTGCTGGTAGTGGCGGTGGGATGCTGTTATTGGAAGAGGCGGAGTTAGAAGCTGAGGATGCCGGGCGGCGACTGAGATGGCTCTGAAAAAGGTTGCGGCGCGTCGGAGGCATGGTTATAATCAAGATCAAATTGTATATGAGCTGAGGCAGTTAGAAATATCTAGAAGTTAGAGAGATTTTTCTCGTCGCGATGCGGAGGCCGATTCTGGGATAAGCGCCAGAAAAGGCAGATTAGGTTTAGCCTAGTTTTGAACTTTCCTTCTTTAGGCCTAGTGCATAACATTCTATACTTCAAAATTCACACTGCACAGCCCTAACAACATCGAACCTCAATATCTATACGTTTACGGAAGACTGCAACGAAGTGAATCATGCGAAAACTACTGTCAAGGTCTGCCAGGAAGGGGCCTTTTAGTGGACTTCTCGGTCGTAGTTTCTGCAGGATGTTTCTTACCATAGCCCTCTAAGTTTGACTGAAATAAAACTAACACTACCAGGTTGAAGCGTAATGTAGTAGCAAGCTTATTTTCAACAGTGGATAGCAAATATTCTCTCAACTTGTCAAAGTCATAATATATTGGTGAAGCCATTGTCACAAGAGGTCGTCGTCTTAAGCGTGGAAGTCCATCTCCTATAATGAACTAGTCCTATTGAGGAAAAGCTCCCGCCCGAGTGGACACTGGACACTAAGGAGCTCTCCGACGCACGCACCACATCAACCGCAACCTTCTATACGAACTTCCATAAAAGGCATGTTGTTCAGACTCAAACAAGATGAACTGATTCTATTTCCATGTCCTTTTTTATTATGCCACGGAACTGGCACCCCATTGCTGCTATATTACTAAGTGCGACAACAACGATTCTCGCCGTGGATAACAGCTGGCACCCCCCCAACCTCAGCGCCATCAACGACCTCGACCACAACCTGGCCAGCGATGGGGTCTTCGATTTCATATTTGACTCGTCACTGGTGCCAGACCATCTTTATGGACAGTACAATTACTGCAATATGCCGCATGTGCGGAAACGCGAATACGTCGTTGCGCCTGAGGAGTATGAACTCGTATACGTTGAAGTAGTATGAGCTCGACATTATTAGGCTTTATATAAAGGAAACTAAACTAGCCACAGATCCACCGTCATCACAAAAGAACACCTTATCAGTCTAATACATTCCCCGTAGAACTGGATACATGGTACTGCGACAATGCTCAACTGTATCACTACGGACAGCCCTCAGTGAATGAGGAGCAAAACAGCGCCAACACATTCTGGCAACTCGAAGACAACCCCTTTGATTTACTGCTCGCTTCCCATGGTAATGATGATGGGAGTGGGCGCGGTTTCCCCGGTACATGCGTGTTTCCGCAAATCACTAGAAGTGGTCTGCAAGACTCGTGGCAGCATGGACATGATCTGTTCGAGGTTTATCACGATCTCCTAAGGTTCTTACCAGATGCAATTGACCTGAAGAAAATGGAGTTTAGGGTTACGAATAATGTGATTACGAGTCAGGTTGCGGGTATGGTGATCGCGGGCATGTATGGAGAGCAGAGAGGCGTGGGAGTGCCTTTGCATGTACAGGTTTGTTCTTCTCTCCTCTTTTGCATGTTACATTTTCGAATTTTTCTTTAAAAAAAAACCTTATAGAAAACAGGCATCGACTCTTTAGAGCCGCAATACCATTGCCCTGGCGGTCGGTCTCTATTCGAGAAGATTAGAAGCTCCGATGCATCATCTCCATGGCAGATCCATCTCAACAAAACAAAAGATCTCATAAGATCCCTTGACAACGTCTCGGGAGTGCCAGAAGATAACCCAGACTGGCATACCAGCTACGACCACTACTTCGACAACCTCTCCTCACGACTTTGCCATTCGAAACCTCTGCCCTGCAAACAACAAGATGTTCCGGATTCGGGATGCATAACACGCATACAAGCCAACTCAATATTCCGCCTTGGACAGTGGGAGTACTCGCGCCTCTATCGCGATGCTCCTTCGTCCTTGACAACCAGCGTGGCACTATACGGCGTCTTCATCGCTGAACTCGCGCAGCATCTCCGCGACCAGATAGCCTTTCTCGGCGTGAATGTTGATCAGACAGATCGAGTCCTGTATCGGCATAATGTCGCGCACGACGGAAGTATTTCTCGAATTCTTTCAGTGCTGCAAATTGAGCGAATGGTTTGGCCTGGTATGGGAGCTGAAATAGCTTTTGAACTGTATCACAAAGAGGACAATGCATTCTTTGTCCGCGTCTTGTGGGGAGGACAGGTGATGCGAAGCTCCAATCCAGAGTTGGGGAATATGGAGTTTTTGGATGTCTATAGGCTGTTGGATTATTTTGACTCGTTGGTAGGGCAGGGAGCGACGAGTGTGGTGGAATTGTGTTGGATGTAAGTAAAAGTATGCAGTATATCATCTCATCTTGCAGACATAGATAGTACAATGATCTTCTTTCTATTCATTACGATGCTCAAATAACTAGCCAATTCAAAGAATTTAAAACGCCCGCGACTTAAACGTATATTCCCGTAACGCCAAATATGCAGCGCATCATCCATCTATCAATTACGAGGCGGCACAAACAGTTCCGGCTTCATATTGATCTTACACAGCTTGGCTACACAGCCACTCAACTGCAGCAGAGTTCCAACACCATCTAGAATGCGCATATGGGTGAAGCCAATCTCCTTGATAAACTCAAGCTTGGAGTGTTCCGACAGCGTTTGGATAGTCTTGGTGACACGGAACATGGTGCTGATAATATCATGCGAGGAGTAGCCCAATGTCCTGAGCTGCTGTTAGCAAATGTCTGGAATATAAAGAGTAGAAGAAAAATACGTACCATAACTCATTCAGAATGTCAAGGGCAGAATCCACTTTCCCCTCCCAGCAAGCCTTAATCATAGCCTGCACCTTGATCGGATGCGGGCTATCAACAACGCGAAAGACGTTGTCACCACTCACAAACCCAAAACCGGCCCATGTGCTCTGCAAATTGTTGATGGCCTGACGCATGTCACCTTCGGCGCTGAAGACAAGCGCCGCGATGCCATCTTCGGAGAATTCCACCTTTTCCGCCTCACATATCTGCGTAATTCGCTTTACAACTTGGCCGTCCGTGAGACGAGAGTAGCGGAGAATGGCACATCGGGATTGCAGTGGCTCAATGATCTTATTCGACTGGTTGCAGGCAAAGGCAAAACGGGTTGTGGTTGAGTATATTTCCATTGTGCGGCGTAGCGCTTGTTGAGCACCGGGAGTCATACTAATTTATAGTCAGCATAGCCAAGATATCGCTGCATTGTATTTATTTACCTGTCTGCTTCGTCAAGAATGACAAGCTTATGGCGCCCTGGCGGCAACGTGACCTTTTTCTGTGCGAATCCCTTAATCCGGTTACGAACGACATCAATACCTTTAATCAAGAGTAGTCAGCAACCATATCCTCCTGCATAACACGTGAAAAAGAAAGCAAAAAAAAAATCACCTCGTTCATCACTCGCATTCAGCTCCAAAACAGCCTCTTTATATGAATCACCCAGCAACTGTCTCGCCAGACACAGAATCGACGTTGTCTTTCCAATACCCGGCATGCCCGAGATAATAACATGAGGCATGTTTCCATCCTTTGCAATGATTTTGAGCCGCTCTACCGTTTCGGTGTTTCCGACTATATCGTCTAGAAAGATGGGACGGTATTTCTCTACCCTGATTTTCGGGTTCAGGCGTTAGATACATAATCTCGATGCATAGAGATAGAGCGTACAAAACGTTCTTACCAGGGCAGTTCGTAGTCTGGAGGAGCCCCAGCTGTGGTAGCTTGAAGGCCATTGCGGGCCGCAGCGGTTGACGACTCGGCGTGGACCATGTTGAGAGCTGAGGTAACTACCTGTTGTGCTTTGTATCTTTCTTCTTCAATCCTTGTTCTGTCCGTTGTCCGTTGTCAATTGTCGATGTTGAGATAAATCAATCAATCGTTCAAGAACTGGGACGCCGCGCGGATAAACGCGAAATGCCGGCGGGACGCGTTGGCGACAGAAAACAGTTAAATTGGTTGCCTTGGCACGTGCTCCCCCCAAGCCCTCAATGTGTCAGGTCGAGACGAGAATATCTTCCGCAGAATCTTAGGCGAAATGAACTTTTGTTATCTATAGTTCAACTTGGGTAACTAGATACTTCGATCACTGCAATTTCGCTTGAGGGCACCTCCCTGGCAACACATTTTACTTGCGCATGGATGCACCAGGCCAGTCTCCGAGGCTGTTCTCTTTCGCCCTGGTCTTACAGCGAAGTGCTTGGGCACGACGTACCGTTTTTAGACTTTACGTGCTTTCTGCTGTTCGAAGTTCAAATCTATACCATGTTCTAAGTAGGTATGGGTCACCACTCATAGATAGTGTTGTGCTCATGCAGGAACATTCGACTTCAAGGTTGTATCTTACATACAGTACCTAGGTATATTCCCAAGGGAAAGTCATCCGCTTCATGAAAAGCTGCGCCGGCTCGCACCACAGCACGGAATATACAACTAGTCGTGATACTCGGACAATTTTAGCGTATGGTACTCTTCGGATTTCCTTCTATTTATGTCTAGTCTCATGCAGGCTGTCTTTGTGAGGACTCTTCTGTAGCCAGGAGGTGGAAATCTTAAGCTGTTAGCTAGGGCATATGCTCTATTTACACCATATTCGAGTCTTCGATGCGGCCTTGGTGTGCTTCGAATATGCTCAGGGCATCTATCAACTGTCAACGATAGTAGTGCTCACTCTGCTAGCCATTGCATGCAGTCATGCATTGTAGTTAGCTAGTAACTTGTTAGTTGTGTCTTTATTTATCTCGCTCAATATTGGTTTAACGTTGATTAATCTATGGTTATATTATCCTAGCTATAAACATCTCCAAATATTCGCTAATTCACCATGTCACCGTCATTGCCCACATCGCTGTGGGATGCATCATGAAAGCCATTCAAAAAAGAGGTGTAACATATACATGCTTACAAAAATACTGGTGTACTTCAGATGCAACCATTGTCTCAATCATTAACTTGAAAAGAAGAAGAGAAGAGAACTCAGGTCTGTTGTTTTCGTCACCTCCGCCAAAATTTCCAGTTGGGCAGTTTGATACTCCCATCCCGTTTATAGATCCTCCAGAAATAAGCAGGAACGCCAGCTAGGACAAAAGCGACAACAATCAGCGTTTGGAGCGGTTCGGCGATGACCGCCCTGCTGAGCAGGAACAGACTGACACAGCAAAATATGATTGGCGTGGTGATCCAAGTCTTGTAGGGGCGCTCCAATTGGGGTTCTCGAATCCTCAGCACAATCAGTCCAAGCACGGTCAGAAAGTAAAACGTATATCCTGCAACGCCATAAAAGGTGATGAGGGTGCCGAACTCTCCCACGGCCACGTATGCTGCGATCAGTGCAGTGTTGAAAAGCATTGCATTGACGGGAGTGTACCCAAATGCTGCTGAACCTCCACAGAGCCATGAGAAAGCTTTGTGGAAACGCGATCGATGCTGCAATCGATTATTGCCAGTCATACCACTGCTCGATTTTCCAACCCCGATCTTGCCGAAAATAGCGGGCAGATAGCCTTCCTTGCCCGCAGCGTATACTAAACGGCCACTTGTGAAGGCCGTCGCATTCAGCGCCCCCAGACAGCTGGCAGAAACCACCAAGGCCAGAATAAGTGCACCAATAGAACCAAAGGCCTTGGCTCCGAATTGAACGGCGATTGTATCAGTGGCGGATATTGTTCTCAGTGGAAGGACAAGGAAATAAGACACATTGGCCATGAGATAGCAAAGAATAACCACAGGCATCGCCGTATGGATAGCACGTGGTAAGTCACGGTTTGGTCTCTTGAACTCGCCGACCACGTAGTTTGTCTATGAAGAGTCAGAAATACCTTTCAAGCGGATTGCAAAAGAGAAAAAGAGAACGGCTTACATTATCCCATCCATCGTATGCCCACAGCCCTGCGTACAGGGCAACGGCCCAGTCTGAAATATTCGTGCTTGTCCCCTCGAACCAACCAATGTTCTTCCAGTCTTGGTTCGGTTGCCCTTTGGATGGCACTCCAGTGATGGCGACGACGGCGCCGATGATTGCAATTGCGAGCAATGCGCCAAACTTGAAGAGCATCGAGATATCGCCGACGAGCGTAGCCAACTTGGTCGAGGCACAGTTGATGAATGTCACGAAAAGGACACCGGCGAAGCCAACTCCTTTGTTGATCCATGGGCTGATGGTTTCCACCTCCGTGCCAATAAACGCTCTCACAACGTATTCCCCGAATATGATGGCGATGATCGCGGCGCTGCCTGGCTTAAGTACGAAAACAGCACACCAGGTGAACAGAAAGCCCGCCATCTCCCCGAATATCTTGGATAAATATACCTGCGGTCCTCCATTCAAAGGGATAGCTCCTCCCAGCTCTGCGTAGCTTGCTGCTCCTGTCCAGGCCAAAACGCCTGCGATGACCCACACGATGAGGGCTGCGCCCGGTGACCCAGCATTGAAATTGACCTGACTGGGAGACGAAAAGATACCCGAGCCGATAATGAGTCCAACAATCAAGGACAGCCCGTTCAAATAAGTAAGGGTTTTGTGCTTTTCCAACGAGCCATCGCGAAGCCCCGTATACCGTTCCAAGGATGTCACAGAAGGTGCGCCAAGAGGGGCGTAGCCGCCGGCGGTTGTTTGCGAAAGGGGGAATAAATTGGTGCCAAAGTCGAAGGCTGAAGACACAGAATATGAGCGAGTGCCGCGCGCGTGATACGATCCTAGTCCACTTTGTTCTGATAACGGGTCGTCGGCCTCCAACGACAGTTTACGGGACGAGGAGATGCCCGACCGCGAAGACTCAACGGAAGACCGTTGGGCAGACGATGTAGAGGCGAGAGAAGCGAGTTCCAGCGAATCGCGCGGAGCATGGCTGTTCACGGCCTGCCTGTCTGCAGAAAATGTCACTGGAGACATTGTACTGCGATGGTCCGACCTTCGATGCTCAGCAGGCGTGTGTCGAGTCCGCCATGCCAAATAGCAGCAAACGACAGTCCTGTGTTCTGGAGAGGGAGTGTGGGTAGAGTCGTGGCAAGGGGCAAGGGGCAAGTTGCAACAAGCAGGTTGGCAGTAGTTATGGAGTGGCATCGACGATAAATCATGATCGGCCCACGATCCAATGACAGCGAGCAATGCAGTGGGACGGCTCCGCATGGCGCTAGCTCCGGTCAAACCTCAACAATATCAACATTCGTCGCAACATGGCTTTTTGCATGAACTGTTCGCAATGTCTGTCCTCTGTCCGTGTCCCCGGTGGAAGAGCGCCAGTGTAAGCATTCCCACCGCGGCGCGCCGTTATTCTTCAGTCGCAGCGCCCCCGAAAAGGCGGGTTTGGGTTCGCCTGGCCGCGGTCACGTTGGCAGCTGCCGGAATTGGCGCATATGTCAGATCGCGACAGGAGCCTCTCGACGCCCACTTGAATCCAGTGTCCTTTGCCCGGTATAAGCTGATCTCGCGAGAGCCGGTTTCGTCGACAAATACCATCTTCACGGTCGAACCAGCATCGCCCGCAGACAATCGCGAGACATACGAGCTGGCATGGCAGACTGGGGTATGGAGTGTCATGTTCAAGCAACCACAACTTCAAATCGGGCGAGACTATACCCCGCTTCCACCGCGCGAAGAACGCGACGGGGCACAAACCGAATCGTTGCGGTTTCTGATACGCCGGGATCCCCACGGAGAAGTGTCCCGGTATCTCCACCGTCTACAAGAAGGATCGAGGATTGAGATGAGGGGTCCTCAGGTAGAATGTGAGATCTCTCCAGAGGTGAATGGCATTCTGTTCATAGCCGGAGGCACCGGCATTGCGCCAGCTCTGCAGGCTGCCTACATCATGTTGCGACGCACCATCCAGGGGAAGAGCCCAAAAATCCACATCCTATGGGCTAATAGGAAAAGAGAAGACTGCGCAGGGGGCATCAGCGACACGCCAAAAACTGCGCCGCCAAAGTCATCATGGTGGCCTTTTCGAAGTAGCCCAGCCAGGGTACCCGAGCCTTCTTCTTCGCTGACGTCCTCGGTCAATCAAGGCGCTATAGTTCGTGAGCTGCACGAACTAAAGGCCCGGTACCCCGGCCAAATCACGGTGGATTATTTTGTCGACGAAGAAAATACCTTTATCAGCACGAAAGAGATAAAGGCATGTATTGAATCTATACAATCTTCAAGCGCCGACAAGAAAATGATCATCGTCTCTGGGCCGGAAGGCTTTATCAACTATATGGCCGGTCCCAAGATTTGGGCACATGGATACGAGCTACAAGGACCTGTGAAGGGTATCATCCAGCAACTTGGCTTGAAAGAGTGGGAGATTTGGAAGCTCTGATGGCTGTTTTGTTTCCTGTTTATATATGTTTATATCAACATGCATAGCATCGGAGTTGGATCTTTTTTGGTCACTTCTATTAATTATCCTTTCCCCATTATTTATAGATGACTCGGCTTTTATCGTAGGTAACTTGAAATTCTATGATGGTGGTGCAAGAACGATCCGATACCGGGAAAAAAGGGCGGCGTGCTGAGTCATGATCGGCTCCGTTCCCCAGAAAATTTATTGATTGGAATTGCACGCAACTTTATTTGTCGACGCAACAACAGAAATTAGTTAGTACCTGGTTCTCCAGTATTCAATCTTTTCCTTGGATGCCTCTCTCTAATAACACAACGCATACACAGATAATGCCCTTCCTCGCTTCGCTGGGCAGGCGCGTCACGCTGCAACAGCGCTCTCTGCGAGCTGCTGCCCAGCTTCGATCGTTTGCATCGTCGAGGCACGCCTTCTCGCAGGATGTTTTTCAGACGCAATTAGACAACCCCGAGCTTTCTGCTATCCTCTCTTCAATGAAATCGAATCCGTCTGTCCCACAGACATTAACAGAGAAAATTGTCCAGAAATACGCCGTCGGACTGCCCCAGGGCAAGTTCGTCAAGGCAGGCGACTATGTGACAATAAGACCGTACCGATGCATGACCCATGACAACTCTTGGCCAGTTGCGCTCAAATTCATGTCGATCGGTGCCTCCAAAATCAACGACCCCGAACAAATAGTCATGACTTTGGACCATGACGTTCAAAACGAAAGCGAGAAAAACCTGCAGAAGTATCGCCAAATCGAAGAATTTGCCAAACACCATGAAGTCAAGAAACAGTATGGTTCTAAACGCGGGATTGGACATCAAATCATGGTTGAGGAGGGACATGCCTGGCCAGGCACTCTGGTGGTCGCCTCAGACTCGCATTCGAATATGTATGGCGGAATTGGAGCTATTGGTACACCGGTTGTGAGGACCGACGCTGCGAGTATATGGAGTACTTCAACCACCTGGTGGCAGGTACCGCAAATTGCAAGAGTGGTACGTATACTGTAAGAGTCATGATTGATGTATTTATGCTAATTGTTCATGGCAGCATTTCACTGGGGTTCTACCTGTCGGGGTAACTGGAAAGGATGTGATTGTTGCTCTCTGCCATTTGTTTGGTAAAGACGACGTGCTTAATCATGCCATTGAGTTTACAGGATCGGAAGAAACGATGCGCAGTCTTAGGGTAGACGATCGTCTAACAATTGCGAACATGACTACAGAATGGGGAGCCCTAACTGGACTGTTTCCTATTGATGATGTGCTCAAGGGCTGGCTCCGAGGAAAGGCCACTACCGCAGCCATGGGCCTAGCTGACGGTCCCTATAAAACCGTTGCTGCAGAAAACTTTACTCATGCTCGACTGGAAGAATTGTTTGCGAATCCATTAGCGGCCGATAAGGGAGCCAAATATGCCAAGGAAATCTTCCTGGATTTGTCCTCTCTGTCACCATATGTCTCCGGTCCGAATTCAGTCAAGGTAGCCACACCCATTGGTGAGCTGGAAGCCCAGAACATCAAAGTCGACAAGGCCTACCTAGTTTCGTGTACAAACTCGCGCGCTTCTGATATTGCGGCTGCTGCGCAAGTCTTCCGAGAAGCAGCTGAAGCAAATGGCGGCCAAGTACCAAAGATTGCGGATGGAGTCAAGTTCTATCTTGCGGCTGCGTCCCTGCCTGAACAGCAAATTGCTGAAGACGCTGGGGACTGGCAGGTCTTAATAGATGCTGGTGCAGAGGCTCTTCCTTCTGGTTGTGGGCCATGTATTGGACTGGGCAAAGGCCTTCTTGAGCCTGGCGAGGTTGGCATCAGTGCATCCAACCGCAACTTCAAGGGTCGCATGGGCAGCACAGAAGCCAAAGCCTATCTTGGCAGTCCCGAAGTGGTCGCTGCCAGTGCATTATCTGGTGTTCTGAAGGGACCTGGCTGGTACCAGCAGCCAGAGGGATGGACTGGAGTAATCCGGGGCGAGGGAGATGGTATTAAAGAGGAAGACCGGATGCTTACTGCGGAGCAGGCTCTAGAGAAAGTCATTGGACAGCTCGACGACCTTATTGCGGATGGCGAGCAAAGATTCGGCGTTTCCGAAAACCAAGAAGGCCAAGTGGGACAAGAGAAAGAAGAGGACAACAAATCTTTGACTGAGTTGTATCCTGGGTTCCCCGAAAGAATCTCCGGCGAAATTGTGTTTTGCGATGCAGACAACATCAACACGGACGGCATCTACCCCGGAAAATACACTTACCAGGATAATGTGCCTGTTGAGACCATGGCAGAGGTGTGCATGTCCAATTACGATCCGTCATTCTCATCTATCGCCAAGGAGGGCGATATTCTCGTATCGGGCTTCAACTTTGGCTGCGGTAGTTCTCGCGAACAAGCCGCAACAGCGATCCTTGCCAAGAAGATACCGCTCGTCGTATCCGGCAGCTTTGGCAACATTTTCTCGCGTAACAGCATCAACAATGCGCTTATGGGACTTGAGGTGCCGCGCCTTATTGAGCGACTTCGCGAGAGCTTTGGTTCTGGCAGTGATCTTACCCTCCGAACCGGGTGGACGTTGACTTGGGACGTGCGTCGTAGCCAGATCGAGGTTAAGGAACGAGATGGCACGACATGGACGCAGCGGGTCGGCGAATTGCCTCCTAACGTGCAGGAAATTATTGCCAAGGGTGGATTGGAGAATTGGGTGAAGGACACGATTGGGGTCAAAAGTGACTAGACAGTAAAAAAGAACACTGTGTACATGTAATTTTTGTTAAAGAATTTTTGATATATCTATGATACCAATTTTATTCGCCGTTTATCATTCACTGGTCCCCTAGATCATGCGTAGATGATAGTACGTAGGTAGTACGTATACATCAGCGAGTACGGCCTCTCTCCTAAGACGTATCCAGTCCGAGCCGAAACATGCATAATTTGTAATCTATCATCTCCTATTGTCACAGTATTGATCAGCATGGCTGCATTACATACTACATAGTCCGACTGTATTGTACGTGGATAGACGTAGGCAGACGCACAAGGTTTCAAACCCCGAGAATCGCCCAGGTACGTTGCACCCTGGCGAACCTTAAAGGACACCGGTCTAGAACTTACCTCGTACGTTTGAAATAACCACCTCACTAGTATAATAATCCGACTAGTTAGGTACCTACGTGTAGATCACCCGCAGCGTGGCAAAGTCCATCCCTAAGGAAATAATCAGATTTGTGTGACAGAAAAGAAAGGAAGAAGAATAGGAAAACAGATCGAGCGCCGCCTCCGGGGGGTAATTACAACCGACGTATCAAGCCTCGAGTACTAACTAGAATTCGGCTTTTCATAATTCTCTTTTCTTTTTCTCCCCCTCTCCTCTGTGGCTATATTTAGGAGGAAGAAGCGAGCTGTCAACTTCTTTGGCTGGCCTGTTAAAGATCCAGCATACCGGGATGGACGTCTTTTTTCTTTTCTTTTCCCTCTCTCCTCTCGCGGAGTTTTCTTTTCTTTTCCCCGTTCGGGGATTTTTTATAAGCGAGATCTCCTGCTCAGCTTGTGCGACATACAAGTTGTGCAATGCAAAGTTGTCGTATAAATTATGTTTATACGCAGTGGGAGGACTAGAATATACTCCATGTGGAAAGGCCCCACGAGGGAATCTGGCGGAAAGAACCTTAATTACCGTGCTGCGGGGCGCAATACCCGTATTACCGATACATGTACATGTTCCATACAATCAGTCAATGCATTGTTCTTCAGGGCGAGCCTCGAGGACACAATGACCAGTGAGTGACTGAGGGTCTGTGGTCGGCGCAGCAGCACACAAACAAAAAGCAAAGAAACCCGTTGATTGATTATTGGCCATTGGGCACCAAAAGCCAACCCACCTGCGCCGTTCATTAAGCGACAGCAAAGCAGGCGAGCGAATAGCGTACGAATACGAGGCTGATGACAGCAGCTCGCTAATTTTGCCCTACTTCAGGGCGGCTACCTAGGCACATAGCAGCCAAATGACACCCCCGGCTTCCTTTCGTTTTTGAGGCTGACTGGACCTCCTCCCCATATTGTCCGGTCCGGGGCCTTCCTTGGCCTTGATTAGATCTTGTTCTGATTTGCTCCGAAAAGGCGTTTCTCCCCTCTCTCTGACTTGACTGGCGTATGCTCAGCCTTATTGGCATTGCCATTCGCGTTATGCAAACAAAATGGGTAAAAGCAGGGAAAAAAGCAAAGAACATGTATACCATCCCCATGGCTCTTGCATCCATTGGCCTTGGCTTGACGCTTCGGCATGCCCGTGCCAGCCAGCCAGCCTTGGAGGCAAAAATCTGACAGTATATTTCTATGATTTATAGGTATATATATATAAATGGACTTAACTGTGGTTTATTCTGGATTTAATTTGTTTTCTTTTTCTTTTTCTTTCTTTTTTGGATTCCAAGCCTCTTTCTTCCCTGGTACCTCAAATCGGAAAGGCTGATGTACTCCAGACCTATCTACCTGGGTACTCGAACCTGCTACGCCTCACTTCTACTTTTCTCCTCTATTGTTGATTCAATAGTTAAATAAACACACGTCAAGGAAAGACACTATGAATAACAGATCTCGCAATCTGTGGAGTACAGAGGAAGACAATACTCTTAGAAGACTAGTCGAAGCTTGTGGTAAGCTTCTTTTTTTCTTTACATAGCACGCCTCCAGCTTATTGCTTACAACGTGTAGAAAAGGACAAAGTCGACTGGCGCGTCATCGCCTCATACCTCCCCGGCCGGAATAACAAAGACTGCCGTAAGCGATGGCACTATCGTGTCTCTGCCAGCATGAACCTGGGACCATGGTCACAGACCGAAGACGATCTGCTGAAAATGGGCATCCATCGCCACGGTACACAGTGAGTAACTCGTCTACCCACCTCATCTGCTTGGTCGCCGACTTACATGAACTGTCAGCTGGTCTCGCGTTGCACAAGTAGTGGGAACTAGGAATGGGGATCGTAGGTTCCCTCTCTTCTTTTGTTGTCCGTGTGTGAGAGTGAATGTCAGCTCATTTCCTTCGTGCTAGAGTGCTTCAAGCGGTGGAATGACGTGCTAGACCCCGGTATAGATCGTAGTCCATGGACGCGCGAGGAAGACCGCATCCTTCTTCTTGCCATCGGAGAATACGGGCGGACCTGGAAGCAGATTGTCGATGCTTATTTCCCCGGCCGGACAGGGCTTGATGCAAAGAATCGGTGTGTTTGTCGTATACCTTCATATCTCGGATGCAGAGCTGACTGGCTTCCACAGACATAGACAACTTACTCGCAAGAGAAAGAGGGAGTACAAGACGTCGGCATCCCCTACAGTCAAGAGAGAGCCAGAGCAAGCGCAGACGGAACAGCTTGCTTCATTACCGTCGCCGTCATCCTCTTCTTCATCGTCATCACCACCGGCAATGAGAATCGGCCTCGTTCATCATAATGTCATTGGCACGTCTCTTGATGCTTCGCAAGTGAACAATCATAGTCCTAATCATCAACATCATCATCAACAACAGCTCGACGAACGATCTGTATCGGCGCCATCCAGTTCTCCGTATTCCTATTGGGAATTGCCTCTAGAAGAAGCACTATTCAGTCCCCCGCTACCAACAACGTCATACAGCACTTGTAGCAGCACATGCGCGGGTCTATCACAACTCGATGACTTACAGCAACATCCGCTAGGGTTAGAACAACAGTATGATGAGAGTGCTTTGCTTATGAATGGTACGCTCAGCTTTATACCCATTCATTCTTATATATCAATGACCTGACTAACGAATATGGTACACAGCCCAATATCCCTATTTCCTTGCACCACATAGTCGCCCAATTGATCTTCAGCAGCAACAGCATCTGGGATTTCCTCTAACGGGCCAACAGCATCATCATCATCCGTTTGGTAGTATGAATGGGGCTATGACTTTTTGATGAATAATGAAATGAATGAAACATGAATATCATGAATGAAATTACCTATCTATATCTATATCACCAGGGGGTGCAAAAAGAGTCGGATTTCCTTAGGTATCTTGTCCGGGTTTCTGATTCTAATCAAACGGATTGACCAATTCATTCAACCGAATACCAGTAGCTATTGCAGGACTGCCACGTATTGAACAATAGAAGGGAAAAAATATATTCATCACTATGCAAACGTAAATGCAATACGAAACGGGATATATTCATCGTCCACGCCCACCATGATCCACCACCGCTTCCTCCTCCTCCTCCTCATCACTATCATCCATAAACCCCTCTTCCAGATCCCTACCCAGCCTCACTTGCGCATCACTCGTACTCCGCCTCGCCTCCAGTGCCTCCCTCCTCGCCTCCGACATATAATTCATATCCGCCATATTCTCGCCTTCTTCGTCAAAAATGCTTATAGAGTCGGAATTGTCGCGGCGATGACGACTATTACCATCGGGGGATTCATCACCCTCCGTACCAACAACTACTTGGTGTCGTCGTAGGCGCCATGTCGATGGCAGGAAGAAGTGCATTAGTGCATCGCCGATGCGCTCGCGGAGCGGTAAAGTGTGCGCTGATATACGGCTTAGTGGCAGGTATTGCGAATAGCGTTGCCGGTAGCGGCGGAAGAAGGGTATGATGAGGTAGCTGAAGAGGAGGTATATGGCGAGGGAAATGAGAGCGGGGATGATGAGGGTCTGCGCATACATTAGTTATATAGAAAGACGCAGGTATATTCCACAATATAACGTGCCTTGACCATGTCCAGCGACGAACCCATGGTTGCTGGAGTCAGTGGAGTGGTCAGTTATCGTTATAAGTGATTTGAAGAGGCGGCGAACTCAGAGCATGGTCATTGATCAAGCAAGCCTGCTTCCTCCTATTGAGAAAAAGGACAACAAAGCCTGAGACCTGAAAGAGGACATAACAATGTCTTGCGATTGTTGGTTACGCAGGAGGATTTGGGGCGTCCCGGGACGTGCGTAAGCTGATAGCCCTACCGCCTTCCTGAAGCGGCTGCCCCCAAGACAGTAGACGACAATACGAACTGATAAGTCACTAGCATGATAGATGCTGTACATTATAGTTGATGCTAATGCTAAGGCTAGAGAGCTAGGCCAACCTCCCAATCTCGCGACCTCAGACAAAGTTATCCTGCAAAACATCGTCTAGGGTGAAGGTCCGACACTTCGAGACGTCCCCCAGACTTCCCGCGGCCTCTGATTGGCTGCCTTGGCCCAGCGGCCCCTGAAGAAGCTCGCCAGCCGCCGCCTGATTGGCCCGACCGCCAGCGCAGGCTAAACCCGAAAGAAGGCAGCGTCGCACTGACGGAATCCCTCAACGAGCACAACACTCTCTGCTTGTGCCCTCTCTCTCTCCCTCTCTCTATCGGAGTATCCATGTCCAGCAGTCTCCTGTTGCTGCTGTCGTCCTCGCTGCAGCCAGAGTTGGCCTCACAAAGCCACAGTCGGAGCCCTGCACCAGCCTCGTCTGCCGCTGTCCTTTGCGGTCGAGCTCCCGTTCTCCGTACGCTCTCGTCCACAGTGTCCACCAGGTCCACTAGTTCAACCCAAGGAACTAACCCAGTTAGCAACAAAGTAAATAACCAAGTGCCGGATTAGTTGTTGACTCGACGTGGTTTGCTTGTTGATCGATGACAAGCAAGCCCTCCGTTCGTCCATCTGCAAAGGCATCATCTTTTCGATCCCGCTCTCGGCATCGTCCTCCACCGTGCTGCTGCTGCCCTTGCACGCGAATGTGATATTCGAGGGGATCAGGGCGCCATCTTGATTACACGCCCCATGCTGTCTTCTAAGCATCCGCCGCTAACAAAATGCCCACCACAGCGCCCGTTCCCGACAAACCGAGACAGAGTGCCGCCAGCAAATCTTTCTTCGGCAGAAAATTGTACAAGGACAGGCAAGCCGATGACCGCTCCGACGGATATGCGGCCTCGATAAATGCAGAGACACAGTCGATCTCTGGCAGTCTAACTGGTTCACGCAGTTCGCGCTATTCAGCGAGAGGCTCTATCGGTTCGTTCGACGCCGACGAAACCAATGCTGTGGCCGCCGCCGCACTCAGTTCGAACGCCGGCATAATCACTTCCATCCCCTTTGATAGCATGCCCTCGGATGCAAGAACTCCTATATCTGTCGACTATCTCCCTAAGCAAGACTCAAGCGCTCATCGAGAACCATCCCCAAACCATCTCGGCAGATCCGGCGCCGACTTTCATCAATATCCAGCCTGGGATTCGAAATCTACAGCATCGCATAATTCTATTGCTGCCCAGATCAACGGTCCTCGGCCGCCTCCGCACGCATCGAATTTAACAATGACGAGCAGTTCTACAGGGGATCGCGGCACAAGGTATCAACAATGGGGGAGACCAGGTAGCTCCGCAGCGAATACTGGCTTCGGTTACGCTTCTGGCGACTCATCATCCAACTCGAGAACTTCACTCGATCAGACCAGCATTCACTCTTCCCAGTCTTCGTCTGCCACACGAGCATCGTACTTTTCCGATAGCAATTCCTCCCGCACTCTCACTACCTCCTATTCCGGCGGCGAGCGAAACACCACATATCCAAGCGGTTCCGGCTCGGGCCGCTATTCGAATACTCAGGGATCATGGCCAACATCTCAGCAGCCTTCTTCACACGTTCCACCTTCGCCATCAATCACAGCTATTGCACCGGGCGAGTATTTATCGCGGCCAAAAGATGATCGGATGGTCGATCAGCTGTTTTTGGAGTTGATGCAGAAGCGGGGCTGGCAAAATTTGCCAGAGCAAGCCAAAAGACAGATGCTCGCATATCCCGCTTCCAAAAAATGGACTCTCGTACATCAAGATCGATTGACCGAGCTCCAGGGTGAACAGAAACGTCGCCATAACTCCCGGTTGACACATGGCTATGATATCAGCCCCCATAATGTCATCGGCCGAGCCGATGAAGAGGGGAGTCCCGAGTGGTATGTGAAAAAGGTTATGGATGATACAATTACGTCGAAGCAACTGGCAAGTTTGAGTGTCAGTCTGCGAACACAACCTATTAGGTAAGCGTTTGATATTCCGTTATCACAGACGTGAACTCTTTTGATGCTAATAACTATGTAGTTGGGTCAAAGCCTTTGTTGAGGCACAAGGTCAGGTTGCCCTGACAAATGTGTTGATGAAAATAAATCGTCGCAAGACAGGAGGCCCCGGCCCCGTAGTATCGTCTGCCGACAAGGATCTCGAACGTGAATACGATATCGCGAAATGTTTGAAAGCGTTGATGAACAACAAGTATGGCGCCGACGATGCTCTTGCTCATCAGCAAGTCCTTGTTGCTCTGGTCAGCTCGCTGCTATCACCTCGATTACAAACACGGAGGCTGGTCAGTGAAGTTCTCACCTTCTTGTGTCATTGGGCGGATGGCCAAGGCCATCAGAGAGTGTTACAGGCGATGGACCATGTCAAAAACCAACAAGGGGAAACCGGCCGGTTTGATGCCTGGATGCGCATTGTCGAGGTCACGATCGACGGCCGTGGCAAGATGGGCAGTCTTGTCGGTGCGAGCGAGGAGTATCGCAGCGGAGGTGTAGGCATGGAGAACCAACTGATGGAATATGCTGTCGCGACGATGTTTTTGATCAATATGCTCGTGGATGCGGCCCAAGACGATTTGCAATTACGATGTCACATTCGCGCCCAGTTTATATCTACTGGAATCAAGCGCTTGCTGACGAAGATGGAAGGATTTCAATATGAGGTTATTGACAAGCAGGTTGAACGTTTCCGGGAAAATGAGGCTATCGACTACGAAGATCTCTTGCAGCGCGAGGGCAGCAGCGTCAAGGATAGCATGGAGGGGGAGGTGAAAGATATGAGCGATCCGCTTCAGATCACAGATGCCATCAGCACGAAGCTAAGTGGTACTCGGGCCGCAGATTACTTCCTTTCTGCAATGCAGCATATGCTTCTTATCAGAGAGAACTCCGGAGAAGATGGATTGCGTATGTTTCAACTGGTTGAAGCAATGTTGAGCTATGTTGCTATGGATCGTAGGCTGCCGGACCTAGACCTCCGTCAAGGTTTGACATTTACGGTTCAGAATCTGTTGGATAAATTGCATACAGACGCCGAGGCTAGGCATGCCTATGATGAATCGTTGGAAGCACGCCAAGTCGCAGAAGCAGCCATTGCCGAACGTGATGAAATGAAAGCGCAAATCGAACTTGGAGCTGATGGATTAGTCAAGAAATTGCAAAAACAGATCGAGGAGCAGACCAGTGTTCTTGAATTGCAACGTCGTCAAAACGAGTCTCTCAAATCCGAGCTTAACGATGTTCATCGTCTTCGAGCACAGGAACTACAGAGGAATGAGTTGGAGACGCGAGAGTTGTATCTCATGCTTCGAGATGCACAGGACATCGCTGCTTCCAATGCAAAGAAACAAGCCGAGATGAAATTGGGAGAGACTGATCCATCTCAGATGAGGGGTATTCTAGACCGCGAAAGGTTGCTTGAGAGACTTGAACGCCAGCTTGAGCGAACAAAGACCCAATTCAAGCTTGAGGGCAAGGTCTGGAACCAAGATGGTCCATCGGATCGTCTGCGTGAGCTTCGGGAACAGATGGACGGTACTGGTGTCCAAGAAGAAGAATTCGAAAAGAAGACTCGCCAAACCCTAACCAACAGCACATTCGGATCAGTCACACGCAAGAAGGTTCCTTCGGCCGACCATGAGAAACAACAACACCTACCCGAAGTGACCGAAACTGAAGAAGAGCAAACCACAGAAAAAGTCACGCTTGAGGGATATGGACGTCCGCGCATGGACCCAGCGCAGGCCACCGGGCTATTGGGAGAAATTGCCGCTAAGGTTCGCAAGTATGATTCAGATGAGGAAGCCGAAGGCTTACCGGCTGAAGAAGAGAAACCTCAGGCTCCTGAAGAAAAGCCTGAAGTCGTGGAAGAAGTCAAAGAAGAAGCCCCTACTGCTATACCACCACCCCCTCCGCCACCACCACCGCCGCCGCCGCCGCCTCCATCATTGTCTGCTGGTGCTATTCCTCCTCCTCCCCCTCCACCACCCCCTCCTCCAGGAATCAATGGAAGCATACCGCCTCCTCCGCCTCCTCCGCCTCCTTCATTGTCAGCTGGTGGTATCCCACCTCCACCACCTCCTCCCCCTCCTCCAGGATTCAGCGGAATGGTACCTCCGCCTCCGCCTCCTCCTATGGGCCCTGGTATTCCACCACCGCCTCCTGGTCCTCCGGGTGCTCCTATAGCCGGCGCATGGCGAGCCAATTATATGTCAGCGCAAAACCAATCTTATGCACCAGCAGTTTCCATGCCTTCAATCAGGCCTAAGAAGAAGCTCAAGGCTCTCCATTGGGATAAGATTGATACTCCTCAAGTCACAGTATGGGCTAGCCATGCCCCAACGAATGAAGCCAAGGAAGAAAAGTACACCGAACTGGCTAAGAAGGGTGTTCTCGACGAAGTGGAGCGTTTGTTCATGGCTAAGGAGACCAAGATTTTAGGTGGCGGAACCTCCGCAAAGATGCGCAAGGACAAAAAGCAAATCATCTCCAACGAACTATCAAAGACCTTCCAGGTTGCTCTGGCCAAACACTCACAGACCCCCGTGGACGAGTTAGTGCGTATGATTATCCACTGTGACAAGGAAATATTAGAAAGCGATGTCATCATGGAGTTCCTGCAGCGTGACGATCTTTGTACCGTTCCGGAGAACACTTCCAAGCTCATGGCACCGTACAGCAAAGATTGGACAGTTGCAGATGCGGCAACGTCTGAGAGAGAGCAAGATATCAATGAGCTCACTCGTGAAGACCAAATTTATCTGCAGACAGCCTTTGAACTTAATCATTATTGGAAATCCAGGATGCGCGCTCTGGCATTAACGCGTAGTTACGAGGCCGACTACGATCATATCACGTCCAAGATACAGGAAGTATCTAAAGTCTGCGATTCTCTTCGTGATTCAGTCTCGCTCATGAATGTCTTGGGTTTGATTCTGGATATAGGTAACTTTATGAACGACGCCAATAAGCAAGCACAGGGCTTCAAACTGGGCTCTCTTGCACGCTTGGGGATGGTCAAAGATGATAAAAATGAGACGACATTCGCAGATCTGGTGGAGCGTATCGTGCGCATTCAATATCCAGAATGGGAAGGATTCCAAGATGAAATTGGTGGTGTGGCTAAGGTTCACAAACTCAATATCGACAATCTTCGCCAAGATGCCGTCAAGTATATCGGTACTATTAAAAACGTGCAGATGAGTCTTGACTCGGGCAACTTGAGCGACCCAAAGAAATTCCATCCGCAGGATAGGGTTAGCCAAATAGTCCAGCGGAGCATGAAAGAAGCAAGGCGGAAGGCCGAGCAGATGCAGATCTTACTCGATGACCTAGCAAAGACGTTTGACGACATCATGACATTCTACGGTGAAGACAACACGGATGAGAACTCGCGGCGTGACTTTTTCAGCAAACTTGCCTCTTTCTTACAAGAGTGGAAGGTAAGTTTTATATTTGTTCGATTTTGGACTTTAGGTGTATTGTTGCTAATGAAAATTGTGATATAGAAATCGAGGGAAAAGAATATCGCATTGGAAGAGAACAGAAGACGATTAGAGAACTCACTAGCCCGTAAACGGGTCAATCCCGCAACATTGGCTAATGGCAGTGGCACCGACAGCCCCATTTCGCCGACATCAAGCGGTGCAATGGACTCATTATTAGAGAAGCTACGTGCTGCAGCTCCTCAAGCTCGAGATCAGCGTGATAGACGTCGACGAGCACGGTTGAAAGAAAGACACCAAGTGAGAGTTGCCTCTGGACAACGAATGCCCAATCTCCACGGCATGGGGGCAGAAGCCGATGGAGAAGGAGAGGGCGAATCAACAATTGTCAGCAACGATAGCGAGCATCTCGCGCCACATGATGCCGGCGCCAATGGCACGGAATCACCCCAAGTATCCGAGGGCGAAGACATCGCCGATCGAGCCGCCAATCTCTTGCAAGGATTACGGAGTAACACAGACACAGATGAGGAGCGCGCTCGAAGGCGAAGGGAAAGCGCTGAAGATGAACGACGAGCACGGAGAATGCGCATGAGGTCTCGCAATACAGCCAGTGGCAGTAAAGATAGTGCAGATGGATCTCTCCCATCGGTGGTAGAGTCGCCTGTCCCTGAGCATGAAGCCGACGAAACTGAATCTACCACTACCACCAACACCACCACACCAGCCATCGTAATATCCGAATCAACAGTTGACCAAGCTGAGACGCAAGAGCAAACACCCGATCCTACTATCCCAGAAGAAGGATCATCACCTGACAGACCCGTTGAAATCTCCGACTAATAGAATAATATCCACTCTCACCCCCTGTCTGTCTGTCTGTCTTTCTCTTCATCTCGGAGAAGAAGAAAAAAACAAATACCCATTTGACATAGAATGAGATGAGATGAGATGAGATAATAACGATTACCCAAGTAACTTACTTACCCCCCTTGTTCTAAGAATCCTCCTTTCTTCCTGTACATCAACACTTTACATGCCGAGAGGTTCACTGAAAAAAAGGGGGGGAAGGAATTGCCATGTTATTTACTTTATTTTATCTTTTTTTATTATCATTACAACATTGATAGCAATGTATGTAAGCTGTGCATGTTATCTTACCTTCACATTTACCTTTACCCTCTTGATTGTGTTGCTGCATGAATCAATTGCATATGGAGTTTGGACGAGCGTAACTATTTCCCTCCTCTTTTTTTTTTTTTTTTTGTCAATGTATTGATTGATTGATTGTTTGTTTGATTGAATCGTTAAATTGGATTTTGTTTCTTCATACATATAATTAGGACTTATAAACCAGTTGAAAGAAAGATGTATGAAGATTGATCGGTCGATATAGATACCAACACAACAGGTAGAAGTGGAAGTAAATAATAAGAAAAAGAAAAGTATGCAAATGGGTTGACTTTTGAAAATCAAAATCGAAGGCTAAAAAACAAGAGACAAGAGAAGGATGGGTGGATTTTGGTCTTCGCAGTAGAAGATCACGCAATTTTCAAATTTCAGAATATAAAAACGAATGGAGAAGAAAGAAATATAAACACGGTGAGCGAGGGTCTGCGTCTGTCATATCTACACGTGAAAATGTCATTCAAGTCATACAGAGAAGTGAAGCATGAAAAATTGTCGGGCCGTGAAAACGGTGAGTGAATGGAAGGTTGGCTGGTATTTTATGTAAAGTCGAAATGTACGGAAAATATATAAATAAGTCTGTCGTTATATATGTATTCTTTTGTTGAGTTGACGAAACGAGGGAGTTTCAGGAGAGGCTGGTAATTTTTTTGGTCGGTCAGTGGTAAGTCGTTAAAAGCCCACGGTTGTGCCGATGACAGCTAGGGTAATCTGTACAGAAAGATGTTAGTTCAGCCTGTTTATGACTATAGTAGTGATATGTAGGGAAAAGTAGACGTACAATAATTGCCAGGATTACAGCGCCAACTGGAATCATGACGCGATTCACATTCCTCCACCAACGAGCATTCTCGTACCGCTTCTTTTCGTACTCTTCTATACGATATTCGGCCCCGGGTTGAGCTACCATCTGCTCGTCATCTAGAGGAGTAGGCTGAGGCGGAAGAGGGAGAAAGGCAGCGATAAACCAAGCAAATGGAAACACGAATCCAAGACAGAATGCGTATTTCTGAACATTGCGTCGGCCCAGGACAGGCTCGAGTCTGGAGTCTAATGATGGCGCTGTCCATGTGTATCGAGGATTCGGGTGAGCTTTGTCTCGATGGAGGTGCGGTGATGATGCCTTTGCGACGGGTCGATAGACAGGGGTTTCGGCAACGGATGGCTCGTCTTCTTCTTTTTGCTGCTGCTGCTGCTGGTCTTGATCTGTAGGCTTCCAGTGGCTTCGAGGATCAGCTGGGTGGTCTGCAATGAGTCGAGGAGCCTGTTTCTCGTCATGAGCGCGAGTCCATGGGCGAGACAAGTTGATGGGATTCTGGCTGGCATAGCGATGAGGGGAGGCCGGTCGAGAGGCTGCAGTTGAAGGCCGACTAGTTTCGAAAATAGACAGAGCGGCACTCTGCACTAATTGCCCATTGCTGTGATAGTATAGCCGCACCCAGTTGGGGAGCATATTCAGGAAGCCGTTGGTACTGGAACTGGACCCGGGTCGAGACTCTGTGCTGCCGATTAAAGACGAGGGAATGTGTCGAAGAGTTGACCGCGGTAGGTTCGACAGACTGTCAAGGCGTTCGTCATTCTCCTCGACAGGCCAAATCGTGGATGAAGATTTGCTGGTAGTAATCAAACCTAGGCCCTGTTTGAGTTCCACACTGTTGTCACTCAGGTTGCTAACAGTGTTTACAACTGATTGCGCGGGAACTGTCGAAAGAGTTGGGTTCCACCGTGCAGCTGATCTGTCCGACATAGTTCGCGCTGGCCGTCTTACTTGCGCTGCTTGGTTGGAGGATTCTGCGTATGAGCTTGCATATGAAGGCGCGCGGATCTGGGCATACTGAACCGATGCTGGCGCTGTGTCAATCATAATTTCGATTTCTGACCGGCCACTTCCAGTAGACGTGGTACGTGATCGCGACAAGTTGGTTTCTCCGCCGGAAAGCGCCAAAGACGAAGCCGACTGATATCCCCGAAGAAGCTGCTCTGGGGGGCTAGAAGTGAACGATGCCGGTTGCGAAGTGACGCCATCTGATAAAGGACCTGGCCAGCCCGTTGCATTGTGTGTATTATGAATCACTGTGCCTAAAGAATTGGAAGAAGACGCAGTAGAGTCCGAGCGACTATTGAGCCCGAGTGTAGCCGGTGACGAGCTTCCAAATGCAACCACATTTGGACTAGAACTTCCTAGAGAAACGAAGTTCGGACTTGAGGGTGCACCAATTGGCACCAGATTAGGACTTGATGTGTGGTCGTACGTGACAAAATTGTCTGATTCCGAGGAGAGAAAGTCTTCAATTGGCTCGTTCCTTGGGGATGAGCTTCCGGGTAGCACAGGTATTATTGAAGCTCTAGGGGGTGGAGGTAACACGATAACATCGTCCTCGTCACTATTCAGATCGTCAACCTCTTCTTCKTCTACGCCCAGTGAACTAACTTCGTCGGCAATTGTATTTGGGAGAATTCCATGGTCCCCTTGCATATCAGTCGGTTCGTGGACTCCAAGCTTGGCAGTATGAGCATCATCATAATCGCTGTTAGTATCGTCTGAAGGCAGTAATGGTGTAGGAAACGATGACTGGCTAGACTGAGGGTCGTTATCCCAAACTTGAGACGAATGGCCAAGATCGACTGATGATGAAAATTCCCAATTAGGGCTGCCCATACTAGCATCTGCTTCTCTGCGCTCGCCGATTGGCCCCGTTGCAGTGTGATCTGTTTCAGTCGACACTAGAGACACATTTGAAATCCCGTAAGCGCCGTGAAGCGCATACTCTTGACCAATACCCGGATGCGGCAGAAAGACTTGTGCGGGTTTAGTTGGATACGGCGTGGTCGAGTAGAAGTCAATCTCTTCTCTTCTCTTTCCCACCCGGGCAGGTGAGCTCTCGTTTGTGTGTGACGGGGTGCGCTCATGGAGCGGTCTCCGTCTTGGAGATACACTGGCAGATGACCGGGGCGACATGGTGGAATTGGCGTGTCATTACCCGTGCAAATCTCCGGTAAATCAAAACAATAGAATAGTAATATCGTAAGATCTAATCGCAATGTTGTAAACAAATCATAAGCGCAAGCGTGCAATGTCGTCAGGAAAGTCTAGGTCGTGACTTGAAAGAGCGTCGTATATAACAAGCGAGTCGTACTAGGTTGGTCGTATCTTATTGAATCATGGAACAAAACAATCAATAAACACAACAATGTCTGCCTGCTTCCGGAATGCTAGGGCAAGGGCGAAGGCGATATCGATAATGGTGATAACGAGTGTGGGGTGTGAATGGATAGAAAGCAACGATCGTAGTATAGAATAATCAACTCAGTACCAAGGCATATTAAAGCATTACTACGTATATCATATCAATAAATCGTAAAAGAAGCGAATAAAGGGGTGCATAAAGAGCGACACGAATAGAGTTAGAAAAGCAATAGAACGAGAGGGAACGACTGGCAAACAACAACGAGGGGAAAAAACGACGGAGCACGGAGTAGGAGGAAGAGGAAGAGAAACAGAAACAGTCTGGAGCAGGGGGACAAAATGGCCGGAACGACTGGGTGCACGTAGCACCGCCTTGGTATCGGGACTTAAGCTGCACGTTCGAAATCGAGGCCTGCCCGACTCAAGGGGGAAAAGCTCCTCGCTGTGGAATGGGGTTGCCCTGCAGCGAGCGAGGGCGGAATGCCGATTATGCGGTGTGCGCGATCGCCAGGAACAGGAAAGGCTGTAAGAAACTAAGAATCCTTTGCAGCGCTTAGCAAAAGCAACATGAGGCGTTCCTGCAGCCAACTCACAGGCTACTGCAGGTCAGTCGCGCAGTAATTGGCCGAGTTGGGGCAGGGCCCGCTCGCAGTGAGACCTGCAGGCGTTCGCCGAGGGTAACATACTGAAGCCATTGCATGGATATTGAGGGATTATTCGAGGATTATTTAATAATCAGGCAGGCGTGGAGTCTAGAGTTGGAGAGGAAGAGTGAGGAAGAAGAGGGAGAAGAGGAAGAAGAGGAAGAGAGGGCGTGCTTTACTTGCCGTTGAGGAAGGAGCCGGGCGAGTCACGTTTCTCTCCCTAAAAAGAAAAGGTGGAAAAGAGTACAAAAAGAGTGCAAAAAGAGTGCAAAAAGATTACCAAAAAAAAAGAGTAAAAATACAGTTGAAAAATGTTGAAAAAACCGTTTTTGTCGGGCAGGGCGCGAAACGCGCGTAGGGTTGGTTGGTACTCGGCCAGCTATGCTATTTTCACCACACCATATACGAGCAAGTACATATTGAATAATACCATAGCGATTCTCATAATGGTAATGAAGCGTCAAAAACTGCACTTGAGCAGCGCAGAAATCCAAGTGCAGAGAGCGTTTCAGCCGTGTGTCAATTCTGCCTGTTTGGGGAAAGCGTTTTTCGCCGGCCAATCGGACGACTTCTTTTTCACGTCGCTGCAGCCAATCAAAGTTACAAGGTTCGTATGTCTTCTATTCTCAGATGTGAAACTCGCGCAGGTCAAATGAAAACATATGAATGCGGGGGATTTTTCTTGTTTGTTTTTTCTTTTTTTATGTATAGCAGTGATAGAGAATAAAAAAGAATGGAATCAGGTACAGAGATAATTATAGTAACCGCTCTTGGCGGAGAGTTCTTGGCAACGCGCAAGCTTCTCTTCTTCTTTTGATGAACTCCGACCATCGTCTTGCTGTCGGCAGTGATATCGCAGTCTGATGGCTATGATCATGCCTTGCAAATAGAACTTTTGTCGCATCAGAGCAGCGCTTAATGCTAGCTTGGTCTACCGGTTCCAATCTCCACTGCTTTGCATCCATCAAACGTTTTACGTCGTACATCGAATCAGACTACGTGTTCTGATATAACTAGCAGTCGGACATCAGAGCTTGCATTGGAGAAGCTAGAACTACTACTACCCTGGGCACTCTTAGTCTGACTCTCTGCCCATTGCACAGCCAGTCCACCTACTCCATACAATGGCCCCAATCAGCTTTGCTGGCCATTTGAAGCAGCTATACACGAAACGAGTCGGTGTGTATCCCCCCACCTACTTTAGTTTTTGCAGTAGTATATTGACTTGCATCGTGGCAGATGCTTCCCCACCTATGCTGTCAACTCACACGACCGCCGTGCTCTCTGTAAGTAAAAACACAGCCCAGTATCGCCATGCATTCCCAGCTGACTTGAGAGCAAAAGGTTTTCGTGACATTAGCATACGTGCTACCGTTTTACCTCTCCAAGACAACCAGGCCATCGCCTACTCTGAGTCGGGATGCGCCGTCGGTGATTCGTAGTCGGGTACGGGCCGTGACAATGGCCTGTGCCGCCAGCACCGTGTTTATTCTGATCATAGTGGCTCTAACAGGCGAAGCGTCGCTTCCAGAAGCTATCAAGCTTCTTGGTTGGTGGCCCTTTGGGATACTAGAAATCGTCCAGTGCCTGCTTTTGACCGCCATCCTGTTCACTGGTCCTCTTTTTGAGAGAGGAGTCGCAGAGAACGGTTGGAAATCATGGATCCGTGGAGAGGGTGTATCCGAAATACTTCAAAGCTGGATTGGCTTCCGTAACTTTGTCGCTGTACGTCTTCTAACCCTTTTGATTGACTAGCAATGGAGTGACTGACAGTATTGGAATTTTTCTAGGGTCCTATTACAGAAGAGATCATCTTCCGCTCCGTCATCATCTCTCTTCACCTGCTAGCCAAGATGTCTGCAGGGCGCATTGTCTTTGTGTCCCCGCTCTACTTTGGAATTGCACATGTACATCACTTCTATGAATTCCGCCTGACTCATCCGGACACACCAGTGGCGGCCGCTCTACTCCGGTCGATTTTCCAGTTTGGATACACGACCGTGTTTGGCTGGTTTGCGGCATTCTTGTATCTAAGAACGGGCTCTCTGCCAGCAGTCATCCTTGTCCACACTTTTTGTAACTGGTGCGGGCTGCCTCGGCTTTGGGGTCGCGTCGAAGCAAGCGTCCCTATCGGACCGCCACAGATGCGATCCAAGGAGGACACAGATATCAGCCCGCTGCAGGTGGCTGGTGGCTGGCTGGCGATTAGCTGGACTGTCGCATACTACGTGCTCCTAGTTGCTGGCGCGGTTGGCTTCTATTACCTGCTGTGGCCGCTGACCGAGTCTAGGTTGGCGTTGGCTTCCTTTTAGATATGTACGAGAGACTTAGTATTAAAAATTTATCATAGGTACTTGCTTGGTTTATACAGTTTTCCAAGTTACCCATAAATTGCCCTTTTGTTGGAGTTAGATACACTCCTCGGTTCAAAGTTGTCTTCATCAGCTATATTTATGCATCCATAGATACTCGCCACTAGCCAGACACAAAACAAAAAGCATACCAGCCACATCCAGGTAACCCCAATTCAACCACCTTCCAAGATTATTGGACTACAGGGATTATCCCCGACCAGTCGACCGTATTTTCAAAGCTATAACAACCTTAGGTTATACTTCTTGTGACTTTATGGCGGTCTGTTTTGGCTGTATAAAGCCGAGGTCTTATCTTATCTCCGACCCGGCTCGCCCGAAGTGCGCAAACTTCCAAGGTTGTCTCCGTGACTGAAATGGAATTATTTCTTCCCAAACTCTTCTGCGCTTCTTTTCGTGTACGTATTATATCGAGTGTCTTGTTTTCTCATTTTCCCTATTCATTGCAAGCAGCAAATAGAACGTATGATATTTCTACGACATAGACGGCCGCAATGACCCATTCTCTACCGCGCCATGCCGCTCTCTTGAAGAGTCAGAGGAGCTTGCAAACACGCACATTCTTTCGCTCATTATCATCATCACCATTATCGCGTGCTTCTACGCCACTCCCAACAACTGCAAAATGTCCCGCTCCGACCTGTGCTTGCGCACCAACTCCTTCCATGCCCGAAGGGCTACCCATCGATCTTTCGCGATCGCTTAACGCCACAATGGCACCATATACGCAGCAGGTATTGATATCAACGGGGCAGACGAACTGGACCAGTCGGATTGAAGACGATGGTGTTGGTAAGAGCTGGGGCGCGCTTGTGCGCGGGCTGAAAACGATGTTTGGGCGGGGAGGGGAATACGCTGATGTTAGTCCTTTTACATTCATTTTATTGATCTCGTCATTTGCTTCCCAGGTATTGGACAAACCAAAGTGCTTGGATGGATTAGAGCTAACACAAGAGTGTGGTAATGTATACAGCCATACAACAATATAGTCATGACCAACTCCTCTTTCCAGCCTTCGTCGCACGCTTCCTCTGCGTTCGCATCCGCGTTTTTGTTTCCCGCCTTCAAATACATTCCCAAAATTCCTGTCACTACCGTATCGGCTACTACCAACCAAGCAAGTCTTGAATCGTTTGTGCGAGCATATCTGCTCCCACGCAAGCTGCATCCTGCACACGCAGGCATCTCAGAAGCCCAGAAGCAGTCAATGACGAGCTCTTCAGCGTACCTTTCTCATTTTCCCGATGCTTTGGATATCAAACAATCCCCAACTATCCTGATTTGCGGTCATGGAGGTCGAGATATGCGCTGCGGTATCATGAGACCCGTGTTGCAAGCCGAGTTCGTGCGTGTGCTCCGCGGGAAAGGGTTCAGTGTCAACAGTGACGAGGTTACTGGCACTGATAATGCTGCCACTACATTCGATGGACCGACCCATGCCAACATCGCATCTATCAGTCATATCGGTGGACACAAGTACGCCGGTAACGTGATTATATACATTCCACCAGCTTTCGTGACGACATCTCCTTCATCACCAGCAAGCGCATCTGTATCCAGGCCTAGCCCACTGGCCGGCAAAGGGATATGGTATGGACGTGTTGAGCCTAAACACGTAGAAGGTCTTGTTGAGCAGACGATCTTTAACGGCACGGTTGTGGAAGAGCACTTTCGCGGTGGCATTGGAATGGATGGGGAAATCTATAGATTGTAGATATTTATATAATATGACCGATATGTAGTATACCATAAGCTCGTTCAATATTGCAACTCGAAGCCTATCGCGAATGTTTTGCTTTCCCCAAGAATGCCCGCGCTAACCATTTCGGGCCGGAGATCAAACTTCGCCGCAGCTCGGCAACTTCCCAGCAGCTAACATTATATCTTCAGGCCTGTTGAAGAGAATTGAAACCTGATTCTTCATCGAGATTAGTCTGCGAGTCTGCATACTCTGTGACCGATAGAGCCCATTCAAGTGAGATTCAGAATTTATTCAATATGAAGTGATCGACAACGACAATTCAAACCCTCTGGAATCTACAAAAGGATAACCTCGCAAAGTCAGCACGAGTATGATACTCTCGGCGCGAAGATGCCTTGCCAAGAATGGCTTGCAAGGTCTTTTAGGACACTCTGCCCGGATCAATCGCGCGCAGCCTCTAATTTCACCAGCTTCAACATCGCGCTCCACATCGTCGTCGTCATACCTAGACCTTCGCGCCGTCGATAAAAAATGGCAAGCACGATGGGCCGAGGCCGAAAAGGAAAAGATGGAGAGACTCAATGATAGTGGTGATTGCTCCGGAATTGGATCGAGGGAAAATAATGACAAGGAACGACCAAAATCATATATTCTTTCTATGTTCCCTTATCCGTCAGGTACAATGCACATGGGTCATTTGCGAGTCTATACTATATCCGATGTGCTGAGTCGATTTTATCGCATGCGTGGGCATGATGTCCTACACCCAATTGGATGGGATGCGTTCGGTTTGCCGGCTGAGAATGCGGCTATTGAACGTGGTATTGAACCAGCCAAGTGGACCGTTGAGAACATTAGGCGTATGAAGGACCAATTGCGAAGTTTTGGACCTGCTTTTGATTGGGAAAGGGTATGTGCCTCTCTATTTGCTATTTTGCTTGAATGTATACTGAATTCTCGATTTAGGAGTTCATGACGTGCTCTCCAGAATTTTATAAGCATACACAACGCATATTTTTGATGTTGTACGAAAAAGGTCTTGCATATCAGGCTGAGGCCTTGGTCAATTATGATCCTGTGGATAAGACGGTTTTGGCTAACGAACAGGTGTGTCCTTCCCTATCTCTCTCATAGATCTTTGTCTAATCCAAATAGGTTGATGCCAATGGCTTTTCGTGGCGGTCAGGGGCCAAGGTCGAGCAGCTCAAATTGAAGCAATGGTTCTTCCGCATAACTGCGTTCAAAGAAGAGCTTCTTAAAGACCTCGATTCTTTATCTGACGGCTGGCCAGAGCGTGTTTTGTCCATGCAAAGAAATTGGCTGGGAAAATCCAACGGCGCAAAGATCAAATTTGCTGTTACCTCCAAGCACAGCAGTAAGCTAGATGTCGAGGTATTTACGACTCGTCCCGATACGCTGTATGGTGTTGAGTATATCGCACTATCTTTGGACCATCCTCTAGTCCAAGAGGCTGTAGATTCAGACGCTGGCCTGAAAGCTTTTCTGGACGAAGCATCATCTCTGCCGCCAGACTCGAAGGCAGGATATCGCTTGAAAGACGTTTATGCATCTCACCCCTTGCAGGTTATCGACAAGGAGACGGTTCAAATCTCGAGAAAATTGCCTGTCTTCGTAGCTCCCTACGTTCTAAGCGGTTATGGCGAAGGGGCTGTCATGGGTGTTCCTGGACATGATGCTAGAGACCTGGCTTTCTTCAAGGCAAACTTGCAGCCAGAATTTATCCCAATAGTCATCCAACCCGAACCTCCAGTTCCTGCTGAAGAAGTATCCGCCGACACCAACATCCCATCCTACGATGCCAAAGCCTATACAAGTGAAGGATACTTGACCACAAGATGTTGGAAATACCAAGGTCTAAGCTCCAAGGAAGCCGCAAAACAGATTGTGACCGATCTCGAACAAAGCGGTCGTGGCAAACAGGCAGAGACATGGAGACTCCGCGACTGGCTAATCAGCCGTCAACGTTATTGGGGCACTCCAATCCCCATGATACACTGCACCAGCTGCGGCACAGTGCCAGTACCCGTTGACCAACTGCCTGTGAAGTTGCCTGAGATCCAAGGTGACTGGTTTAAAGCCCAGAAAGGGAATCCGCTAGAGTCAGCTGCAGATGACTGGCTGCATACGGAGTGTCCGCAGTGCAATGGCCCGGCAAAGCGTGATACAGACACCATGGACACCTTTGTCGACTCGTCATGGTATTTTATGCGATATCTGGACCCGAAAAATGACTCTGCGCCTTTCTCTGCTTCTGTGGCTCGCCCTGTAGACATATACATCGGAGGCGTGGAGCACGCGATTCTCCATCTTCTCTATGCCAGGTTTATATACAAGTTCCTTGCTCGAACGGACTTATTCCCTGAACTAGCGCACACGCGCTCCCCTACAACCACAACGGCAACACCAGCAGAGCCCTTCCAGACCCTGTTATCGCAGGGCATGGTGCATGGGATAACATACTCGGAGCCGTCAACAGGTCGGTTTCTGTTGCCGTCCGAGGTCGATTTATCAGATAAAAAGAACCCTTTTATCAAGGGTACAACTGTGCGCCCCAACATATCATACGAGAAAATGTCCAAGAGCAAACACAACGGCGTTGATCCGATGATCTGCGTCGATAAATACGGTGCCGACACGACGCGCGCACACGTTCTCTTCTCAGCGCCAATCGCTGAGGTGCTAGAATGGGACGAGACCAAAATCGTGGGCATTGAGCGGTGGTTTGGCCGGTTGTGGAAATTTGTCCTCGATTCAGCTAAGAAGCTGGCATCAGCGGAGGGATCGAAATTGTCGGCGTTACTGTCACTAGAAGATATACAGCATGAACCGCACGCATTCAGATTACCGAATCTCATCGATCTGCCCGACTCTGATGTCGACGTCCTCCTCGCTACGCATCGCACTATCGTCTCCGTCACAAACTGCATTGATCAGAATCCTTACGCCTTGAACACGGTCATTTCCGATCTGACGAAATTGACCAACACTTTTATCTCTTCTGATCCAACGAATCTCACAATCTTATACACGTGCCTCTCCTCTCTTCTCCGTCTTTTATCCCCCATTGCCCCTGCACTTACGTCCGAGACATGGGAAATCCTACACTCAGCTATCCTTTCTTCTTCCTCCTCCACGCACATGCTCCCAATCAACATCGCAACCACAACCTGGCCCGCACCACTTCTCACCGACACCGAGGCAAACGCACTCTCGTCTCGAGGCGGACAACAAATCGGCATCCAAATCAACGGCAAACTACGCTTCAACGTGACAATACCACGTCTTATATCCACTGCCAGCAGCAGCAGTAATACAGATACAAAGACAGAGGAGCAGAATTGGATTGTGGACCGCATCCTGGAAACAGAGCAAGGGAAGTTGTGGCTCAGAGAGAAGAATGATTGGGAAAAGAGGAAGAGAGTTATTGTTGTGCCTGGGGGAAGGGTAGTGAATGTTGTCTTTTGATTGTATGTCCATTTGTTTGAGGACTTTTGTATATCATATAAGAAAGGGGGTCAGTTTTCCTGGTGTATATTATTATATTTGTTCTAAAGAGTCTCCACTGAAACGATGAGTTTGGTATATATTTATTGGATTTGCAAAAAGTCGCGCAAGATACGAAATAAGAAATTGTCCAAGCAATTCACAAACGTACCGTGATGTATGTGTGTATTTAATTTACCTGGGTACAGAAGCAAGAAACGTTCGACAATCCAAACAATACTTGATGAATGCATAGCTCAACCTTGCTCGTTCTTGTCAGGATAGTATGTCTTCGGTAAAATGATAGGTTGAAGTGGCCACGGCCTGTTTTGAAAGGTTGCTGCTGCTTGCTGGGCAACTTTTAGGTCCATATCTAACAGCCTTTGGAGGTCGTCCAAGTTTTTGTACACTGCTGGTGAGGAGGACGGTGAACTATACTTTTGAGTAGTGCCAATTCCAATAGGTATCGTGTTCGTTGAGGAAGCTGGCATTGTACTTGATCGTAGTCTGGAAGGTGGGAAGATAGGCGTTTTCATCGCTGGCGATGAAAAAGCAACAGGGACATCTAACGAGGTGGTTGATACGTTGCACATGGCATCTTGAGCCCAAGAAGCTTGAGACGCGCACAAATTCCCTGGACTCAGTACTGATGAGGATGAAGCCAGCTCATATGGTGTTGCCGGGGAATCGAGGTTGCTCAACCGAAGGCCGATCTGAACAGTTGCATAGCTGACATTAGACGGATTGCGGTTATGTGCTGCTGCAAATGGAGGTTGCGGAGGCGCAAGGAGGATGTCGTCATCTTCATATATGCTTGAAGCTGGATATTTTGCTCGGTGAGTACTGAGTTTTGCTGGGAAATTTGAATAATGGCCACCATCCGTTTGGTTTGGAAACTTGTTGCTTGTTGGCGTCGGTGGCAAAGATTTATCAATATTCATTGTATTGACGAATCCTTGCATTGTGGCCATATGCGTACTGTTGAGGAAGGGGGGTTTATCCTGCTGAATTGCAATCGGTGCTGAAATTTTTTTCTTCATTCCTGTTTTCATGGGCCCAATAAACCCCCAGTCTCGTAAAGCTCGGAACGAATCCGAAGAGCGAATAGTCATCCTAGCTGTATATGAGCGGAATAGTAGTTGGAAGAGTGATATGATAATTCCAAGCACATTAATCGACATCATTCCCATCATGAAAGTAATCCCCTTGGGTAAACCCAGGATGGATCTTGTCCAGAAAGGCAGAAAAAATATCTACTTTGGTCAGTATAGTTTCTGATAAAGATAATGTTAATTAGATATCCGATGCACCTACGAAGACGACGGTTGCTATTACTAGGTAGTAAACCATCTGACTTGCAGCGATCCTTCCCATGCGATCTACATCAGCTGTACGGAAGAGTTGCGTTGCCAGAATCGATGCAGTCAATGTAAAAGACACTAAAAGTGCAATTGAAGTCCCGAATGCGACATCACTCCAAGGTGTGGCGACTGAAAAAAGTCCGAAAGAGCAGGTATCAAGATTAGAGCGTCGGGCTTGAGTGGGTATCCATAACATCAAGATCAAGAACAACACAGCTGTCCAGCAGATGAAAACACTTTCCTTTTTGGGCGGTGCAAATCTGATTCTTTGGAATCCTCGGTGGAGTGTTTCGATTCCGAAGACGAGTATGACAAACCCTACTAGCCACAGTGCTATACGGGGGTCAGACTATCATCAATTCCACGGAAATGAAGACCGAGTGACATGCCTGGGAATAATATCTGTCCCAATATATGGCAACTTGAAGAAACCGAAGGCCCCATTTCAACCGACTGGATCACCACGAATACTAGTCCCTGGACAAGCACAGCTATCGATATCGACAAAGTCACAACGTCACCAGGTCGAATCGAGTAGAGGAACCCATATCGGTTTCTGTTACCTCAAGCGTCAGTCAAGTATTTATTTCATTTTGGGGCTAGTCCTTAGCTTACTTTGCCTGACTCGAGGCATTCTTTCTTGGAAGTTTCCACACGTCGAATAGGATGGTGGCTATCAGAAGTGCTGCCGATACCATATTGAAAGAAATCAAGAGGATTGATGACGACGAGCTGCTCGCTCCATGTTCACTATTGGATTTTGCATCCCGAATGTGTATTCCATGATCCGAATCTGCAACTTGCCGATATGAATATGATGGTGCCATCATAGAGTTTCGATAGATACCGGCATTCGTCTTGATTGAAGATCACACCGTTGCAAACAATTTAATTGATAGCAGTGACACAATGAGAGTTTAAATCCAAGTCAAAAAGATTCCATTCCAGAATATCAGAGTTCTACCAGAGACTCGTTCCTTGAGGAAAGAATTGTACAGACCAGCTGATGAGCCTTTTTGCAGCCTTCCGGGCCTGAAGAGAACAAGCACCAGATACAGAGATAAATGTCCAAAAAGAAAAGAGGGCAAAACCACAGAAAACTTTTACTTCTCATGGAAGCTGCAGACAAGCGAGCGTATCAGATTGGCTGTAACCCAAAATAGCAAATGCAGGCCTCGATAATCCAGACCATTGGGTCTGAGTTGTGCCGCAGATTTAGAAGAAGCATGCAAGGAGAGGTTTCGTTCATGTAAAATGATCGCATTGGGCGGCGACAATTCTCAAAAAGGATGCTCGCCATGACTAAGGCTCTATCGCCCTAGCATCTCAGAACGGCGAGCAACGAAATTCCCAGTAGGCAAAGTAAACGGCCTGAAGAGGTGCCATGTATGTGAAATCCGCAAAGCTTCGGGATGGAAGGGGGTAGAGCAGGGGTTGTTAGGGCTAGGGTTTGCATGTCACGCTGGGTGAAACGGCAAGGGTTTGACCATCAACATCACCCCTTCTTCTTCTTTCCTTTTGCCATTGAAATCTCAACTGTGTCAACTCACACTATGGGCGAGTTATTCCTTTAGTCAATCCGAGCGTTGGAAGAGAAGTATATTGAGGAGGTATTGACAAATTTGATGAAATCTGAATCGTGCTGGATGGGCCGGCTGCGAATGAATGAATCAAACGAAATACTACTTGTGATGTTTTTTAAGCGTATTTCTCTTCTCCTCACTCCATCCCCATTGTGATGTTACAGTGATATTAAACACCGCAAAATGAGCGACTTTTCTATATGGCAAAGTGAGCGATAAAATGATGGAGAGCGACTCTCATATGTGGTGCGGAGTCGGCATCCCCTCATCTGGCAGCCCCTCACAAGAAATGATCCCACATTGGGCTTAGTGTGAGGGGAGCCCCCCTCACCCGCGAGGTGCAGGTGGTGGATGCCTCAGGCGCTGTCGGCCAATCCGGGCGGCCCTTCACCTGCTGGGGAAAAGACACGGCGTTGGACATTTCTGAGAAAGGAAATACTATTCATGGGTCGCACGGCCGGCTTATCCGCGTTCTTGTGCGTGGCCTGACGTGCTTTTGTTGTGCGACGGCAGTTGGGGATCTCCGCTGGCAATGGGGTATATATAATGGGATCCGGCCTGCTCTTTTGCGAGTCTTCCTCTCACAACCACAACCACTCGAATATTCTTCCTGTCTTCAAAGAGGTACGTTCTTCATCAGGCGTTGCGTGTTGCAAACGTCATGACTATACACCTATGGGTCGTGCCTTCCCCGCATGCGTCGATCGCGCCTTCCCTGCCCTGATATGCATCGCTAACTCGGCCGGCCAGATAAATACTCAACTGCTCCCTCCCAACACATCGTTCGATTTCTCTGAAACCAATTCCCAATCTTTTTCTTCAACATGGTATTTGCCCGTTCTCTTTCCCGTCAATTGCAGCGCCCTGCTGCCTCGCTCCTCGCTGCGCCCGCTCGCCCATGGCGGGCCCCTGTGTTTTCTGGAATCCGTACACTAACGTCAACTGCTGCCCGACAGGGTAAAGTCTTGTTGGTCCTCTACGAAGTAAGTACAGCATCCGTTCTTGCGGCAATAGACTGCCATGGCTCACCAATTCTTCTTTCTTGAACAGGGTGGCGAGCATGCCAAACAGCAGCCTGGCCTTCTTGGTACAACCGAGAACGAGCTCGGCATTCGGAAGTGGCTCGAAGACCAAGGCCACACTCTCGTGACTACCTCAGACAAGGAGGGACCTGACTCTGTCTTTGAGAAGGAATTGGTTGATGCCGAAGTCATCATTACCACTCCGTAAGTTCTCAACCAGAGGGCAGCGGGGAAAGAGAGCCGAACTAATTATCGACGCAATAGCTTCCACCCTGGATACTTGACCGCAGAGCGTCTTGCCAAGGCCAAGAACCTGAAGCTTGCTGTTACTGCTGGTATCGGTTCCGACCACGTCGATTTGGATGCGGCCAACAAGACTAACGGTGGGATCACCGTCGCCGAGGTTACCGGCTCAAACGTTGTTTCTGTCGCCGAGCACGTTGTCATGACCATTCTTACTCTCGTCCGAAACTTTGTCCCCGCACACGACCAAATCCGCAACGGGGACTGGAATGTCGCTGCTGTTGCTAAGAACGAATTTGACCTGGAAGGCAAGGTAGTTGGTACCGTTGCTGTGGGCCGTATTGGAGAACGTGTTTTGCGCCGTCTCAAGCCATTTGACTGCAAGGAGCTCCTCTACTACGACTACCAACCTCTTAAACCCGAGGTTGAGAAGGAGATTGGCGCCCGTCGTGTTGACACCCTTGAGGAGTTGGTGTCCCAGTGTGACGTTGTCACCATCAACTGCCCTCTACATGAGAAGACCAAGGGTTTGTTTAACAAGGAGTTGATCTCCAAAATGAAGAAGGGCTCATGGCTCATCAACACTGCTCGTGGTGCCATTGTGGTCAAGGAAGATGTCGCCGAGGCTGTCAAGAGCGGCCACTTGCGCGGATACGGTGGTGATGTTTGGTTCCCTCAGCCAGCTCCCAAGGACCACCCACTTCGCTACGTCGAAGGTCCTTGGGGTGGCGGCAATGCCATGGTCCCTCATATGTCTGGTACTTCGATTGATGCTCAGGTCCGTTATGCCCAGGGTACCAAGAACATTCTTGACAGCTACTTCTCTGGCCGACACGACTACCGCCCTGAGGATTTGATTGTTTACAAGGGTGACTATGCTACTAAGGCTTACGGACAGCGCAAGTAGTGGTTTTCTATTAGAAAAGTAAATTTGTATATGAGCATGAAGCCTAATGATATGATTTTCCTGTTTTACTTCGAACCTTATTAGTACTAAGTCTAGCTACTAGTGGAAACTTTGTCTACCAGAAGGTTTCCAGTGACCCACGAGCTTAATACTACATCTCCAGATAAATACGAGTAGCCTAATATCTAAGTACTATCTTCCGCTGACTTTATACTACCTGAAGCTTCCAAACTTAGATATCAAACATCATTGTCCAGATAGATGGATGCCGATGAACTCAACTACCACGACAGCTGACAGAATCCAAGTCGTACAAAGATCAAAGATAGAGTCACATCTGCCTCAAATCCGGGTAAAAAGAACCTCCAAAAGGCATACGCAGGCGGTGATGCTAGTGATACAAATCGAATGCGAAACAATCACAAGACTAGAATCTATGATGAACAACGATAAATGCAAATAGAGACCGGAAAACATTCCTATTTTAGTAACACCTATTATCTAGATAGGTCACTAATGCTGTGGTGGCGGCGAAGAAACAGTGTATACTGTACATACCCACTAGATATTGATCGATAATAGATGAAGTACAACAGCCTCCTGTCATATCGGACATATTTCAAACCTGGCCAACGAATTATTCCACACAGACAGATCATGCATGCAACAATAATCGCCTGCAGTACTACCATGGTCAGCTCTCTCTTATTTTTTTTTCTTTCTTCTTCTTTCTTATTCTTTTCTAGAAAAAAACTTGTTGCATGAATTGAGCCGAAACTCGGAATTTTCACCGAATCACAGTAGCTCATCATTAGGCATCCACCGAGTATGTATATAGTGACTACGTAATACTCCGTGAGCGATTAATGATAGGCATGGATGCTCCACGTGGACTGTCGAAGTACGTACATAATACATCTTTACATACTCATACACGCATGCAACATCCATGCGAACCCTTGTTAAATTACACGATGCATGCGTACTGGCCCCCATACATCGGATACCTAAGCAACGCACATACAACTCTGAACTATTTCTTAGTGTTGATGTGTTCTTTGTTTTGTCTGGCATGCATTGATCTCAACTCTCAAACTTCGTCATCTTGCGTGTTACTTGTGATACGCCATATAGAAAGTTCAGTCGGTGGGGCTTATTTAATTGGAAAGTTATTTTTAAAATTGAATTTTCTTCGGTCCGTTCCAGAGCCAGAACCACAGAACGGGTGCCCGCATTTATGTACGTATTTGGTACGTACAACATTTCGTTTGTTACGTATTCTATTATTACGATCGTAGGACGTACCGCGTGGGACAAGTAAATAGTAAAGACTTTTGAAAAGAACAGTAGACAGTAAACATCGCTCTGCGTACCTGATTGGATTAGAATACAATTAAAGCAAGACATAATCTTAGACAATTGTAGATACGGCCGAAAAGCATGGAAAGCTGAACTGGAACCGTTGATGTGATACAGTAAACAAAAGGGTCTATTCCAATCAATATGAGCATGCAGGAACGAAACAAATACCCCTTCCTTCTAGAAGGCTTCTCGAAACATTCCATGATGTGTTTCTGTGTAACACATTGTCTCTTTTTTTTCTTTTGGCTCTATGCAGATGTGAGGCACCATGCAGAGTCGGAGTTCTCCCTCCAATCAACTCGCATAACAGCACTACTCCCGCCTTCCGTACGCATTTATTTCTGGAGAAGATTGACGCTTTTGGACCCCACTCATAGAAGGAATAAAACATTCGACTTATTTAGGTGCAGAGTCCCCGAGCCTATTGGTTATATCACACTGATTGGCGTGGCTTGGCTCGGCTTGGCTAAGAGATCCAAGATTTCATGTTCGTCTCCGTTTTCTGCAACGAATTAAAGCGCAGAACGCACTTAATTGTATGTGTCGCCCCCATTATTTACTCCGTTACCCCATGTATACATATCGAGGAACGTGTCTCGTAGCAGCATGCATGGCCCCGGTCTCTGTTATGACTTAGTTACTCATAGGGCTGATGAGTGGCAAAAAGAGAGACAAGGGGAGGCTCTTTTCTTTCTCGTCCTGTCTTTCTGTCATTTTGCATGCATCATATGTAACAAGTAATTGTGATTACAGTTCAGCCACAACCGGGCGGCCACGAGGGCAAAAATGACTCATTCACTCGGCATGATACGCATGCCAATTTTTAAAAACAGAAAGCAACTCGCACCTGCCTAATGCGTTAGGTGCGTCATTAATAATCGATCAGACAGGAGTTGTTTGGTTTGTCGAATACCTGGGTTAGTTGCATGGATATGCATGACTCATTGGCAAGCCACACACCTTCTAGAATATTGCCCTTTTGGAACACCCCCGAACATGCTGCATTGCATTGTCCGGAGTTTTGTCCTCGTTTGTTTACGTAGTACAATACAAGTAGTAGCCAGAACATAGAATCTACTTAACTAGTGCTAGGATAAAGTATGACACAGTACATACCGTCTATGCGCGTTTACCGTTCCTTCAACCACTGCCTAGCTAGTTGGCACGGTTGCCCGACCTGCATTTCGCCCCTGACCAACGGCATTCAACCCCTAGCGAGACAATGTATCAGTCCCAAGGACTTGGTGTACTTGGCAATCATTGAGTCGAATTCGTTCAGAGTTAAGTCTGCGTAACTGACTAGTCAGGCACGCCGTTGGGTAGCTGGTAACAAGGAACCAGGCAGGGTTTCCGACGGCGATTTCGGCGAGCGAAGAGTCTCGTTTCGTGTCGGTTCGGGTGTAACAGTAGTCATGGAGAGGTCTCTATGAGTATCTAGGTGTATGGAGTATTCTACGTTGAGGCTTAACATTAAATGGCACTCAATCTAGGTTATAATGTATTGTTTGAGATACATATCAGCATGCCGATTCTTCTACCTAAGTAGACAAGCATCTGAGTAGTGAATAAAGCACTGCAACGCAATCTACTTATTTGAAATAATCACAATACAACCAAGCCCCAGTCTTCCCATTCTGTCGGGTCTCAGCTTCTCTGCAGTCAATCCTCAGTTTTCAAGTAGTTATAGGACGATGAACAAACGGGTGCTAGACTGCTAGTTGTGCTAGTGCGCCGCCACAAGTCTTCCAGTTCCTCGGATTCATTTCTAGATGCCGTCATACTCAGTCATTATTTCGTTGATTGGTTTCCCAATTGACGTCGATCTGGAAGCTTCTTCTTTACTAATAGTAATACGCATCATTTGACAAGTTCGTGGCTGAAAAGCTGACTTTAGCTTCAAGCTTTCATACTACCTAGGTAAATGGTCTAAGGGATTTTGAGGTTAGGGTTGGTGCAGTGCAGTTAGCCTTGGGCGCACCTCGTTCCGTGGGCGTATCCAGCTGTGCTAAGTACAAGCCTCAGTCAGGGTGTAATTATTAGTTGTAAGCCGCTCAGAATTAGTAATTTCTGATTATTCATACTTATTCAACCATTAATTAGTTACTACTCATATGAACGAGCAGCGTTCTAATTATTCAACAACGCTGGCACTTGGAGTACCTGTAGATAAAATACATACGGTGTAATTACCTGTACACACACTCCGTACTTTACGTACTGACCCGCATTTATTTAAAGAAGAATTCCAACGTTCAGCTTCAAACTTTAGTCTTCTCACCGTCTCCACCCACACAGCCCATACCAAGAATAGAGTAAGTAAACGCCTGTTTTTACCTTGTAATGTATGTGATTCATCGTGATATGCAGGGCACACGACACATGGAGCTAGATCTTTGCTTTTCTTCAGGTGGTGTGTGTACATACTCCCCGCTCCGCTGCATCATGCATGGACGTTTCGTTTCGAAATTGGCAAAGACTTCCAAACTGGGAGCCCGCTTTTCTGCCTCGTTTTTGTTTTAGTATTTGATCAATCAACCGTAACCATGTAAATTACCTAGGTACAATGCCCTAGTGGAACTTGTGGTTGGCTGCAGTGGCTTGGGTGGCCTGGCGTATTACTAACTCGTACCTACCTAGTTTAACTAACTAGTATCTACGTAGGTAAGACAGGACAACCTTGGTACTGGTTTTATTTTATACCTATTTTATATATAGATAGCTTTAAGTGCCTGCGTAGGTAGATCGAGAGATATATATATGGCTTCGTTGTTCCGGTTCATCAAACTTTCTTTTACCATCACAAAACTCATCACAAGGCTTTCTTCCCATTATACTTTTTATAATTCCTTTACGCTGTACTATTATACATACGTCGCTCTTGCATTCATATCTTTCTTCTATTTACTACGTCATAAAATCTTGAACGAGTCTCACTCCCCCTCAATTCAACCAACTATCCGGTCTACCTAGTCATCCATCACATCAATCACAATGGGCCGAGGAGGTTACAACGTTCCCAGCAGCAACCCCCCAACACCGCCCTCATCTGGCTATCGCTTTATGCTCCAAGGCCGAGGCGGATACAACGGTCCCCAAGACGAATCCAACGAATAGATCGGTTCAACCGTCTTGAGAGCGTGGGATGTTTCACGACCATAATTTCAACGACAATAACGAGTGAAATGTGTATTTCTATTTGACGACGTCTTGCTGCTTCTACTTCTTCTTTGGGGGACCGGGGACCGGGTTCGAATTACTTTCCAACGCAAAATCTGTTAAAAAAAAGTCAGCCTTGTCTTTTTTTCTTCCCCCCCAACCCCATTTCTCCCAACATGAGATGGGCGACATACTTCTCGAAGACCACACCTAAAACATCTTCAACATCCGCCGCTCCTCCTCGTCCGGTGATGTGTGCCAGACTCTCGGCTGCAGACCGCAGGTTTTCGGCGGCTGTCACGATATCTACGTCGGATTCTGCGTTCATCACCACGACTGTATCATTATAATTTTGCTTTTCTTCTTCTCTTTTATAGACGGTATTAGACGGCGTTTGTGCTTGGATCGTCCGACTGGTTTCTTGGACTTGCATCTCGTGAGCGTGGGTTTGAATATCGGCATTGACTTTGGAATTAGCGATGGTTTCATTAATATAGACGTGCTGTTCTTGTCGGTTATTATAGACATGTTGTTTTCTGTTTTTGTCGTTCCTTTTTGTCTCTGATAGAAATCTCTCCAGATGTTCCAGACATTGTTTTAGATTAGATTGTTGTCGATGCGTGACTCCCAGTGAGTCTTCCCAATACAAAAGACTTCCCATCTCGATGTCTGGAGCACCCACTGGCCTTGCAATTTCTTCAAACACAGAAATCAGCCCTCGTAAGAATACCTGTATGTTACCAGGGTCTGTTGAACTTAAGCCCGGGCCAAGACTGTTTTGACCTGGGTTAAGGCTCATTGATCCGCTGGGCCCTTCAGCCTCCTTGCAAGAAATTGAGTAGATACGGTCCTCGCTTAGACCTCTGAACAAGGTGCTGACATGTCTGACCAAAGCGTTCACAGCTTCGCTCCTCCCGTTCTGTGGTACTGGTAATCTATCAGATTTGTTGATAGCAACCACGATGCTTTTCCCTTCCTTCTGACACATACGCACAGCCTCAAGAACCTCTGGATCTACTGCTAGCCGGGCACCATCGCCTTCTTGAATACCCAAGACCACCACAACCACATCAGATTCCAAAGCGCGCTGTTTCGCTCGCCGTATGCCCTCCAATTCAACCGCACCAATCCTTCCTGCACCAACGCCTTTGCCAACACTTTCATTACTTCCTGACGATCGTAGCCCCGCCATGTCCCCAATTTTGCAGTAATAACCACCCAGGTCAATCCCGACATCCACAATATCTCGCGTTGTCCCTTCCTCAGTACTAACAATAGCAGCCTCCTTACCAACAACCCGATTGAGTAGAGAGCTCTTTCCAGCATTCGGTGCCCCTAAAAGGGCAATCTTGATCCCATTTCGGAGTAGTTCCCCCTTAGATGCGTTCTGAATATGGAATTTGATTTGTTGCTGGAGAACATTGACCTGTGCGGCGACTGACTCTACGAGTTCCTGTGGCGACTCGTCGAAATGCTGATCCTCCGAGAAATCAATCAGGGCCTCTAGCTCGCCTCGTGCATACAGCAAGTGCTGACGCCAATCTTCATACCGTTGCGATAACGATTTGTTCGCGCCGCGCACGGCTAGACGCCTTTGCTGTTCGGTTTCGGCATGGAGAGTGTCCCCGAGAGCCTCGATTTGTGGTAAATCAAGTCGATCGTTCATGAAAGCGCGTCGCGTGAATTCGCCCGGTTCGGCATAACGTATGCCCACATCACTACCACTACCGCCACTTCTATTATTGATGGCGGTGATACTATTGCATTTCTCAATCGCAGCGAGTACAGCTTTGACTGTCGCCGGACCGCCATGCACATGGAGCTCGAGAATATCTTCCCCGGTCACCGTCCGAGGACTGGGGAAGTACAGTATCAAAGCCCCAGGATCAAGCAACGTATGCAGTGATGGATCTTGCGTCGGGTCGTATAATGCTCGTACCGTGGCAACGCGCGGTTTTGGATCATGTGAATGCGGATTCAAAGCTCGATATATCTGCAATCAATAATTAAATTAAACATTATCCACACGGTGATCATTGATTTTTATTTACCTGCAAACATGCCGGTCCAGAAATTCGGATTATAGCTATAGCAGCTCGTCCGGGTGCCGTAGAGAGTGCATAAATCGTAGAGTCGCCATTGAAAGCCAGCGACGAATAATAATTCTGCCTGCTCTTAATGTGTCGCCGATCAGGTGAAGGGAACAACCTCTGTATTTGTCGTGATGCTGCTGTTTGAGAAATATGATGGTAGAGACGAGATCGTAAAGCTACTTTCCCCCGAAATGCGTGGTAATAATCATGTCTGCTGGAGCTCGGAAATAGATGTATCCTGGGCACAACCCATGGTTGCGAGGAGGGAAATTTTCGCATGCGCAAAAAATGAGTGGTTGCGGACTTACAATTTGGATGAGTGGAAGGCTTTTAATGGATGATTCAAACAAAGATAATGTCAAGCAAAAAACAGACAAGTAGTCATTTTAAGAAATTGAACTTGAAGCTATCCTTCCGATAAGTCAATCACTTATCAAGATTAACCTTATCGCCGCGATGCACGTGACCTATCTCGAATGTATAAATTACGGATTTTCAAAATTGAAATCATCTCCTAATATTTGTCTGGGTTTGCCCTATTGTCATTTCCTTATCTGGCATCTAAAGCTATTTATTAGGCAAATGCAAGGCGGAATAGATTCAGAGTTGTAACTGCACATCGTTCATCTAATCTAACTGACCATCAAACTGATTGATCCGGCTAGTATTGGATAACTGGATTGAAAACACAGGTCTATATGGATATCGCACTAATATAGATGTAGTGAATTAGTTGAGACAATGCGCATGCAGAAAATATGTCAAGTCATACAGGACGTCGAAGGAAAATAAATCAGATAGAACGGTCGTGAATGACTGTTTTCTCGCCTACTTCTTTTGGCCAAGTTTTTCCTCCACCAAACCACGTAGTTCCTGAGGCGACGGCATAGAAACCTTAGAGCCGTTCTTGCGCATCTCTTCAATGTCTTCGGAAATCTCCTTAATTGCATTGTCGACTTCCTTCTCTAGATCATTTGGAAGACCCAACACAGGATTCTCTGCGCTGACAGTTCGTGCCAATGCTGGACGACTGCGTTTCTTCTGTTGTGCGATAAGGTAGCCCTTGGCGGGGCTGACAAAGAACGCAACTGCTGAAGCAACGGCCAAAACTCCATAGAAATACACATGTCTCCATAATGCAATTGTGTCGGAGAAGGAGAGAATGACGAATGGCGCGACTGTAAACGACATAATTAATTGAGTTGCAAACCAAGATGCCAAGTCATAGTAACGTTTCAAGGCCGTCGGCTTAGATCCATCTGGGCTCAGAAAGAAAGGGCGAACATGGCGTCGGACATCTGAAATACCATTAGTGATCTAATGCTAAGGGACAGCAATAAAAGAAAGGATGCTAGCAACGTACTCTTTGCGACAGTCTGAATGAAGGATGCCAAAACAAATGACAGGTAGTAACCGGGATAAAAGCCATGCCAGACGGCGCTGGTAACAAAGGTTGCCAGGCTAGCCCGGAATCCTGGCTTCTTACCCTTGGGCGTGACTCGTAAATAAATGTAGTTCCGCAACCAATGATTCGTATTTTTGTTCCAATTCTCGAGATATCCTCTAGTGTTCTGCGCAGTCTCTAGGCCCCAAGGATTGACATTTTCCAGACGATCCCAAAAAACCTTGCCTGTCTTCGGGTCGAAGCCGTTGTATCCGAGACCCGATAGAATACAAGCACCTTCGGTCAGGGACCAGGATCCGTAATATTTGAGCCGATTGACAAATCCAAACATGTGAAGTTGCCAGACACGACGCGGGAATGAGAATTTCTCATACTCGTCGCTCAAAAAGAAACTGGGTGGATAAAGAGAACCTAGTTTCACAAAGAGTAGGATCCAAAAGAGACCAAAAACCAACTTCGCCGTCGCTGGACGTCCACTACGCGGGATTTTTCTCTTCTTGCGAGTTGGCGGGATCTTCGAGGGATCGGTGCCTGGTGGAACATCAAACAGCGTTGTTTCGATCCATCGGCGATAGTCAACATAGTCAAAGGCAGGACCTGCGAACAAGGACGGGAAGAATAGAACATATCCGGCAAAATCTAATACGCTTGGGAACTCCTTGATTGCGGCGTACTTTTGAGCATCTGAGAGTTCACTCTGTGGAAGCCGACCGTCATGCACATTCCAGCAAAATGCCGAAAGTTTCATGACAAGCACCATTTGAGGTCCGGTGATATCGACGACTGACGCATCATCTGTTATTTGTCGGTGAATATGGCTGACGGACATGTGCACCATCAAGAAGGTAAAGCCGATCCAAGGCATCAAAGAACCGTCAATGTAGTAGGCAATGAGATAGGTTGCCACAGAGCTGTAGAGCAGGGTTCGCAAGCCATCCCAGAGCTCGTACAGCCCAATAATATAGAAAAGAGACACGAAGACAATGAAGGCATTCTTTTTCCATGGATCTCTGTCGGGGATTCGCTTGAGGATAGCCGCTAAGGGGTATGAAAGAATGAAGGATCCAATGAGTTTAACTATTCAAAGGTAATTAGCAGTAGCACATCGCGCCATTACAGCCGATCTCGCATACCTTCGTCAACGGACGCTCCCAGGATCGACGAGACACTCACGAAAGCTGTTTGCATAGATTGTCAGTCAGTCACGGCTAAGAAGCATCTGGGTAAGCTAACTACTGACGAGCGTCGATATAAGCGCGCAACGCAGCCATGGCGGGGGGGGGCTGTAGCCAATGGTGGTCTACACAGCTCTTCAAATGGCGCTCATGCACAGGAAAGAGGAAGCTGACAGAAGAGAAGAAAAGAAGGAATAATGGCTGGATTTAAAGAAGCAGGAGAAGGCGCATGCCGTCATGGGGTGCGCAGGGAAGGAGCTAATTTTTTTGCTGTTTGTTGAGGTTGAGTGACCGCCCCGACTGACTGGTCAACAAATCAACTCCATCACGTGCCAGACACCGACCGTACATTGGATCTGCACAATCGCTCAGAGTTGACTCCTCAGAGACCACAGAGACCACAGCGACACGGAACCGACCGGCCATGGGCCGCAGACTGTTGAAAAGGCTCGTTCACCAGAATTGCTAGTTCGGCCTATCAGAGGCCTTCGCTCCGCGGGCAGTGCTTAACTACGACGGGGTAGTTCTTTAGCTCAACTAGTCTTACGTATCTCTACCTGGCGCCATCCACTTTACGCTGCTGCCCCTCGAAGCTCTGTCAAGTCCCAGCAACCATGGACGTCGTCGCAGCCGTGTCCGGGTACCTGTCCCGGATGGTGACAGTCGGCGACTCGACCACAGTCGGCACGTCATCGGCCAAAATGAAGATCCTCCTTCTTGATAGTGAGACAGTGGGCAAACACGGCGTTATTTCACCTTCCCAATCTCCCGCTGACTGATGCCTGTAGGTTCCGATCGTTTCCACGGCCATCACCCAGTCAGCACTCCTCAATCATGAAGTCTACCTCGTCGACCGATTGGATAACCAGGCGCGAGAGAAAATGCGGCATTTACGGTGTATATGCTTCGTACGACCGTCGCCGGATTCAATACAATTGCTGATCGACGAACTGCGAAACCCCAAGTACGGTGATTACCACCTTTTCTTCACGAATATTATTCGTAAATCGTCGCTCGAGAGACTTGCAGAAGCGGACGACCATGAAGTCGTCCGTGTGGTCCAGGAGCAATTCGCTGACTTCATCGTGGTCAATCCTGATTTGTGCTCGCTCAATCTTGGATATCCTCTACATAGAATATGGAGCAACAGCCCCGACGTGTGGAATAGCGACGCGCTGCAAAGGACGACCGAAGGCGTGATTGCTATGTTGCTCGCGTTGAAGAAAAACCCCTTGATCAGATACGAGAAAAACAGTCTGCTAGCCAAGAAGCTGGCAACCGAAGTCCGGTATCAGCTTACTCAAGAAGAGCAGCTATTTAATTTTCGAAAAAGCGACACTCCTCCAATCCTTTTAATCCTCGACCGCCGAGATGATCCCATCACACCTCTTCTCACACAGTGGACTTATCAAGCTATGGTACATGAATTGATTGGTATTCAGAATGGACGGGTTGATTTGCGCGATGTGCCTGATATTCGACCGGAACTCCAGGAAATAGTGCTGTCTCAGGACCAAGATCCCTTCTACAAGAAGAACATGTACCAGAACTTTGGCGACTTGGGTGGAAATATCAAGGAATATGTCGAGCAATATCAAGCTAAGACCCAAAGTAATATGAGCATCGAGTCAATCGCAGATATGAAGCGATTCGTCGAGGATTATCCGGAGTTCCGGAAATTGTCAGGCAATGTCAGCAAGCATGTGACGCTAGTTGGTGAACTCAGTCGTCGTGTTGGTGAGGATAATCTATTGGACGTTAGTGAATTGGAACAGAGCCTGGCATGTAACGACAATCACGCCAGTGATTTACGCGTGAGCACCTCCCTGAACATAACCCTCACTGGTGTTTCACTAACGTGTTCTAGTCTATACAAAAATTAATTCAACTTCCTTCAGTTCCGGCCGAGAATAAAATCCGCTTGGTTGCCCTATATGCTATACGCTACGAAAAGCAACCGAACAATTCATTACCAGTATTGCTTGATCTACTCTCGGCTGCCGGTAACGTGCCACAACATCGCGTAAATATCATTTCCAAGCTTCTTGCATACCATCATTCTCTGCAAGCTCCTCCCGTTGCCGGTGGCTTCTCCGATCTTTTTGAATCAGCCTCTTTGTTTTCCGGTGCTCGTGACCGATTTAGAGGATTGAAAGGAGTCGAGAATGTCTATACCCAGCATTCGCCTCGACTGGAGGTAACCCTGCAAAATCTCATAAAGGGCAAGCTACGAGAATTGCAATATCCCTTTTTGGAAGGTGGTGGACATACAAGGGATAAGCCGCAAGACATTATTGTCTTTATGATTGGCGGAGCGACGTATGAAGAAGCCAAGTTGATTGCGCAAGTCAATGCCAGCTCTCCAGGAATCAGGGTGGTATTAGGCGCAACTACCATTCACAATAGCACCACATTTTTCGAGGAAGTCGACGATGCAGTTAGCAATTGGCCCCAGCCAGCTCCTGGTACAGCAGCTGGGCGATTAAGAAGGGAAGTCGGGCGCTGATAGTATCTCATCACTGCTTTTAATGATAAACAAGGTTTCGGCGTTGTCTGGAGTAACCGCTGAGGGGTATTGTGTCTAGCCGGTAGATATAACTATATTATTATATTAAATTATACAATCGCCCAGTATCACATGGCGTATATCCGCGTAGTACAAAAGACCGAGCGGCCCCGCACAATGCGGAGAGACGCTAGCATGCTAGCTAGCTGTTCGCTACCAATGGATGGCTTTTTCCTTGACAGGGTTTCTCTTACGTTGACATTGCCTCGTTCTTGAAAGCAGCTTTTCAATTATGGAGTTTTTTGGAAGCCCTTCAGCATACATAAATTCTTTGTCCCCATCGTCCGCTGCCCGGGATCCCAGAGTACAGCTTCCCTCGACCACCGACCCTCCTGGGCCGAACAATCCTCCCAAGCAGCTGGTATGGCTTGTAAGTAGCTCTTACTTTGGCTGTGCTTCGTTGTTATAGATTGCTAAAAAGATGGCCCTGAAAATAATAACAGGTCTTTGGCGCAACAGGACACATAGGCCGTTCCCTTGCAAAAGCCGCTCTCATACACAACGATCTGGTAGCCGCTGTCGGACGCACATTCGAGGACAGCCATGAGTCAATGCAACGAATGCAATATGAGAATGAAAACTGTTTAGGGCTTTTATGCGATGTTCGAGTACGCGAGACAGTGAAAGAAGTCATTGACAGGGCAATTGCACACTTCGGCCGCGTAGACATCATCGCGAATTGCTCTGGCTACGGAGTCATTGGCGCTTGTGAGGATCAAGACGATTACGATATTCGCAACCAATTCGAGACTAATTTCATGGGCACGCTTAATATTATTCATTTGTCCCTGCCATATTTTCGCGACAGAAGAGCTGGGAGATATTTGATATTTAGCTCTATCTCGGGAGCTTTAGGTGTGCCTGGATTGGGGCCTTACTGCGCGTCAAAATACGCCGTGGAAGGGTTGGTAGAGAGTATGCTATATGAAGTCAACAGCTTCAATATAAAAGTTAGCTTGATTGAACCGGGACATATACGGCGCGATGATGACACCAAGTTAACACCCTCCACTTTCGAGAATGCACCCGCTCATTTGCCTGCGTACGGACACTTTTTCATTAAACCTACAAGCGAGCCATACCGGACAAACTCATCTCCAGCATCGCATGCACGGCGCCTGCTACTATGGATTGGCGATAAACAGCCTGGGAGCGCTGTCAAGGCTGCTGAGCTGGTATGGCAGTTAGGGCACTGCTCATTTCCCCCGTTGCGTCTACTACTGGGATCCTATGCAGTCGACAGCATCCGCGACAGGTTGAGATGTATTACGGAGGAGATTGAGGACTGGAAGTATTTGAGCTTTCCACTAGCTGACCAGGGGTCTGCCGGTGAGCATAACACAGACTCGAAGTCTGTGAAAAGTGATGAAAATGAGGATGGCCCAGGGACAGGCTAGTTTGAATGAAACTACCTTTTGCTTAAGAAAAACTAAAGCTACACGACCCTATTCCCTACCTGATGGCTTATATCGAACTCCGTGTGTGAGAAGCAAATATTTGGCGAAAAATTCCTCCGCGAACTCATCGAATGCTTCATACGTTGCACCTAGTCGATACGCGGCAGCAATACCAGAAACACAAGCTACTTCGTGCATGTTCTGGAGATTGTCAGCTTGATAACACACATGATTTATCTTTCGCTGCTCACCACGAGTGTCCAACTACCACCAAACAAGGTATGGTTTTTACCGTTAATGAACATCAAACCGGGAACCACACGGAGATAATGCTGCCAACGATGACCCCACTGACACCACCATTTTCGACATATAACCTTGTCTTCGTCGATGCTGTCAATTGTCCAGAGGTCCTTTTCCACATCATTTAAGAAAATGGTCTGGAACATGTGGCGATCACGCTCCGGCGGCGAGCTTCCGTCCTCGAGATTTTCGCGGAATTGGTATTGGTAATTGGTGCAATCGAAGCCCATTTCTATCTTGTCGGGATGCGTTGCATATGAATGTGTATAGTACATTGGTTGAAACCCAATCCAGCCATCTTTTCGGCGTTGAGGCTCGCTCGTAGCAAACAATATCTGGTCTTTTCGTTCTTTTGAGGTCGCTTTGGCGCACAGATCCTCACGAAACCTATTTTCAAAGATATTATGAAAGTGTTTCGAGTCGGAATGCGTTACTGTGATGTCGTTAAAATACTTTACCCCACCGAGGACAAACTTTTCCCTCCATTTGCATGGTGACCGAGAAGCTTCATGGTATCTTCTGCCTGGGTGCATAATACAAGCTCATCATATTCCTCTTCTATCTGCCTCGCAGATTGGCGACTCAGACAATGTTCCTGGCACATTGGTTGGATGTGAATAGCCGTTCTGAATGTTTTTAATTCTTGTCCTAAGCACCACTCTTTGACCATCTCGTTCAACAATTTCCACTTCACATGGGATTTTGATCTTGACACCCTTAGAGCACAAATCATCTGTCCAGTCACGGTAGAAATTGCCCAGGTTGGGAAACGTGTACATTGATGGTAGGTTTGGAAGGAGAGTATCCGGGTCATAATCCCACAGGCGCATGTTCGGATCGTCAAAGAGGCGCTCGAGCAAAGCACTGGGCACATTGGGGGTCTGGTTACCGGTGCCCAGAAACAGGGCCAGCAAGGGCAGAACCATTTTATTCCTGAAATCAAAACTGAATCGAAATAAACGCAATATGACCTTGACGGGCATGACTCCCGTCACGAACAGAGTATACTTGATCCATTTCAGAACTTTCCCCAATTTCTTGATTTCTGCAGAATGATTATCCACAAGGGGGCTAGGGAAGACATTGGTCCAAAATCCGCCTTTCCCTTTGCCGAAGGATACCTGTAATTTCACTTCCTGGGGCTCATGTCTATATTGGCGGAAGAAGTTGAATGTATATCGGAAAATTGCTGATCCTCCCTGGACGCCATCATTCAGCCAACTTGCGCCGTATCTGGACGGGTCGAGGTCAATAGATGTTGCTTGTCCGCCAACATGCTCTGCTGTTTCGAAAACGATTACATCAAATTTGTCTGGATGTTTTGCAAGGGTGGCTGCGCAGGACTGTGGTTTTTCTATTAGCCTATTGTATCTATTTTGGGAGCGATGAAATGAGACTGTCGTAGTACAGACCATTCCAGCGGCTCCAGCACCTATGACCGCAACTTTCTTCTTCCTCTGCTCTGGTGGCATTGTAACTATAGATGCAGTAAGCCTGGTTATTATCAAGATGATCCTAGCTCAAAATTGTCAATTGCAATCAGTTCAGTGACTCCATATGACGTCGCGTTTCAATCGCTTATCGCTTCTTATCGGGCGGGCCCCATCGGGAGTAAGGGAGGGTCCGCTAAGCCTCTTTCCAGCTGAGAGGCAGCTAGGCCAGATCTGGACTAGTGCAGTATCAACATCAATCCAATTTTGATCACTTACTTCCAATGTTCCTTCTTTTCACATACTCCACCTTTTCCTGCATATCTGTATCCTAATCCTCATATTTCAAAGCTGAGGATTACTCTAAGGATATCATTTTTGTTTGTTCAAGCATGTGAGAGTCCTTGAATAGCTGCCTAAGCCTAGACCACGATACACGTCCTGGAACTCAGGTGGCGGGGAGCTGGATGTAAATAGACGGGTTCTGATCCTGTTTGACAGATTATCAAACAGCCTTTCTTGCTACTCCCCTCCTTTTTGCCCATATTTTCTTTCTTTTCTTCTGTACATCTCATGTACAGCTCATCTGTTGATGTGAGCTTTCTTCTGCATGCTGCTAGCAGCTAGTTATTTTTCCTTTCTTTCAAAAGCTGCATCAGTTACCTTTCTTAAGGCATCAACATTGTCACTATTGCAGAATCACAGATCTTGCTCTCTGAAACCAGCAAGACAGCTTCAGCTTACAGCCATGGCTCACAGTGGTCACAAAGACCCGGCTGTTGGAGATGCACGCGCAGACTCCATGGAAAAAGAAGACGCCTCCCACCTCAAGCGCGAGGATAATGTTGTCGATCTTACAGCTGACTCAGACGACGAACAAAAACTGACCTCATCCAATGCACAAACGCCAAATGTCATTGACCTAGATGACGAAGATGACGATGAAGATTTTCGCCGAGCTATTGCTCTGTCTATGCAGGAAATGAAAGCTCCACAGGACTTAGACGACGTTGTTTCTGTCGAAAATTCAGATAAAAAGGATGACGCCGCAAGTGACAAGTCTGGTCATACCTTGTCCACAGAAGCATTCGGACTCAGAGATGACAACGACAAAGCCACGGCACCACAAAATGCATTCAGTATCCTAGGACTCGACCGCAAAAAATTGGAGGAAGAACGACTTGCCCGCGTTGCAAAGCGCAAGGCAGAATCCAGTATTTCACCGCCGCCATTACGACGTGACGCCAAACTAGTTAAACGAGATGTTGTCGATATCGACAAGTTAGCATGGTCCAGATCTCCACCCTCACAACCTCTCTCGCAACAAACAGCCAAGGAGGCCGATTCTGCAGCGCAGGCCATTGCCAATGTGAAGGCAACCCCACAGGCAACAACGGTGCAGCCATCTTCTGTTCCATCACTGCGGTTCCCTAAAGGTGTTATCAAAAAGACCTGGGCATTCGGGTGTGCAAGGATTGGAGATGATATCAAGATCGAAGAGGTTTTGCAGAGTTCTGACCTACAACTTGCCATTCTAAGCTCTTTCCAGTGGGACATGGAATGGCTTTTTTCCAAATTTCGTACACGCGACACCAGGTTTATGCTTGTGATGCAGGCTAAGGAGGAATCTACCGTGAGTGAATTTATGCATTTTGATCTTTTTTATTATAACCATTTCGAGCATATTCTGAATTGGCAATCGACAAAACAGAAATATCAATACGAAGAAGAAACAGCCGACATGCCGAACATTCGTTTGTGCTTTCCGCCGATGGATGGACAGGTCAACTGCATGCATTCGAAGCTCATGCTATTGTTTCATCCTGAGTATCTACGAATTGTTGTTCCTAGTGCAAACTTGGTTCCTTACGATTGGGGTGAACAGGGCGGAGTCATGGAGAATGTAAGAAACGAACTAACCAATGTACCTAACACATGCTTGTTGATTATTGACTGACCAACCAATTGTACGTATATAAAGACCGTCTTTTTGATTGATCTTCCAAGAAGTTCAGAGACCGCTAGTACAAAAACAGCTTTCTACGACGAGCTAGTCTACTTCCTGAAGGCCAGCACACTGCGTGACGGCCTTATAGAGAAATTAACCCATTTCGATTTCAAGGAAACAAGCCGCTACGCATTTGTTCATACTATGTATGGTTCTATGTCACTTTTTATTCTATCTCAATTTGTATTAATCTAACATTTCCTAGTGGAGGCTCACACATTGGTGAAGCCTGGAGACGGACAGGTCACTGCGGACTTGGGAAGGCTGTGCAGTCCTTAGGTCTGAGGACACATGAGCCGATCAACATTGATTTTGTGGTGAGCCCTGTTTTCTTTTAGCATGGCAAAAGGGAAGAATTATTGACACGAGTGTGTCATAAAAGACCTCCTCCATCGGCTCATTAACAGACGAATTTATGCGATCCATTTATCTCTCAGCACAGGGTTAGTAGTTAAATCTCTCCATCCAAAAGCCAGATAAGCAAAGCAAAACTAACAGCCTATCTTCACATATAAAGGAGACGACGGAACAACCGAATATACTCTCCGCACCTTCAAAACCTTCCCCATCAGCACCACCGACGACAACCCCATCCAACGAAACACCGGCGCAGAATGGAAGAAACATTTCCGCGTCTACTATCCTTCCGATCAAACTGTCTCAAAATCCAAAGGCGGCTATCGAAACGCAGGCACAATCTGTTTTCAGGAGAAATGGTTTGACGGCCCCAAGTTTCCTAGACACGTACTGCACGACTCTGTGAGTCGGCGGAAAGGGTTGTTGATGCATTGCAAGGTGGAATTTCCTTACTGGCATCATTGTATCAAGTGACTTTAATAGCTAGTATTGACTTGTTATAGATAATATTCATTCGCCCAGCATCCACAGACGCAAAAATCACTCACCCCGACGGCTCCAGCTGTGCTGGATGGGCGTACGTTGGCAGCGCAAACTTATCAGAGAGTGCATGGTCAGTTCCCCCGCGCTTCCTTTCCTTTATCGAATTGCTGAAAAAATGGAAAAATCAGGGGCAGAATCGTACACGACCGCACGAGAAAAGCACCAAAACTCAACTGCCGCAATTGGGAATGTGGTGTTCTTGTCCCTGTTGATGTTGATCTCTCTTCTTCTTCTTCTTCGTCCTCGTCACATAGACTTGGCGAAGTAAAGGAAGACAACGACGAAAATCAGGGAAAGGAAGAAGAAAAAGATATTCTCGCGCACGTCTTTGGGGCTACGGTTCCTGTCCCAATGCGAGTTCCTGCGCCGCCGCTCGGGGCGGAATTGAAGCCTTGGTATGGCGCGTGGTGAATTACCCCCTTCCCCTTGAGTAGTTTTGCAAAATTCGTGGTATTTAGATTAATCAAAATGGATTGAGTTCGAAACGAGTTTCATTTTATTTTCGAATGCCCGAAATCATGGTTCACATAGATTCAGCTGGACACCTGGAAAGCTAAGCAAGATATGCTTGGCTAGAATTATGAGAAAAATAAAAGTGGGTTGAAACAAACCCACCACCCAATCTATATGCCACGCTTCAAAAAACGATCTAGCAAGAAAAAAGAGCCAAATTAAAATCATGAACACGAAAGTGGACAAATGCCAAAATATCTGGTAGATGAACAACTAGTTCTCGTCACTCTTCCTCGAGAACAACTTTTTCACACCATTACTAATACCACCAATAACCATACCAATAAATCCAAAAATATAGCCCATGCCAAACGACCAGCCGCGGATGCGCACTGTATAAATGAAAAAATAAACGAGTAGCCAATTGATGATAACAAAGGCCAAAAAGATGCCAAAGCAATGCCATTTGTCGTCATCTTGCACGTTCAGTGTGTGCATGTACTCGGTTCCATTCTTATATGTGCAATAACTGCAGTCTGAAGTTGCGTCGGGGTTGCCCAAATACCCGCTCCGCGCGATGTTGTCGACGAAGTTTCCGGCGTATGTTTGGCAGGTTTCGCCCGCCGGTGGGTTGAAGTAGGTTGCTTCTTCGGGCGCGCAGTTCACCTGTGCTGCTGGTAGGATGCTGGAGAGTGTGCCACGGATCCACCAGGTCACTGGGTTGACGTAGTACATCCAGTATTTCCAAAACACGGGGTACGAGCTGTACGGTCGAACGACACCGTTGAACAAGTTGCACATGACGAAGAAAAAGGGCAAGACATTGGCGATAACAGTAAATGACGGCGCAAAAGCGCAAATCCACTGGCCCCAACTTGCCTGGAACAGAAAGAACAGCATCGTCATCAAAAACACGTACCCGGCAGTACTGGAGTCCGTTGGCAAGCCGACAGGAAAATACCACAGAACAAAGTAGATGACGGAAGTCACTATGGCCATCGGAATCTCGCAAACCACATTCGCAGTACAGAAGGCAATCCATCCATAGATACGACTTGGGTATTCACGCGCTTCCCACAAGGCCCGGTTGATGTAGAACTTCGGGACAATACTATTCAAGACAATTGGAGGGATCAGGATGATCAAGAAGACCGAGAACATTCGGTCCTGTAGATCAGATAGATTATCTCCCACTTTCCAGAAAGTAAATCCGTTGAAAATTCCAATGATGGCGCTGACAAAGATCTTGCCGTAGTAATAAGACGGGTCTCGCCAATACTGGAGGAAAACGCGTTTGGTAAGCATATAAATCTGGGTGGTTACGGGAGCAGCGAATTCAGTCGGTTGCTCGTTGGCGGTTTCCTCGGCCGCAATGGGCTGCTGCTGACTCCGTTCTTGAACAAGTCGTTGGATTTCACTGAGTAATTTCTGGTTTTGCGATGAATTCCGCCATTCTTCATTCCAGTCAATTTTCCTGCCATTTCTTACCACGGGCTTAGCCGCAGTCTCCAAAATGAATTCGGCCACGTTCTTGGAAGGCGGGCAGACGACGCCGCGATCTGCGAAGTATTCGACAACATCACGTCCATCTTGACCTACAGGCCCGAAATAGAATGTATTGCCACCGGGGTTCAAAGCCAGAATCATGTCAAATTGCTGAATCAGCATGGACGAAGGCTGGTGAATAGTGCATACAATTGCCTGTCCGGCATGCGCGAGTTTCCTCAAAAACCGGACGATCGAGAATGCTGCCTGGCTGTCAAGACCGCTGGTGGGCTCATCCAAAAACAGAAGAAGACTTGGTTTCGCTGCCAGCTCCACGCCAATAGTGACACGCTTCTTCTGTTCGACACCCAAGGAACTAATGAGCGCATCTTGAATATCTTCCAATTCAAGAAGGTCGATGATGCGGTTAACATAATCAATCTTCTCCTGGTAAGGAGTTGCTCTGTCCTGTCGTAAAACAGCGGAGAATTCCAAAGCTTCACGAATTGTTGCAGTACCGTCATGCAAATCCATCTGCTCACAAAAACCTGTTCCGCGCTGGAAATCGGCACCTAGAACCTGTCCATCAACCAGCATATCACCAGAGATAACTCCCATCTTCTGTCGTTGTGCGAGAGTATTCAATAGAGTCGTCTTGCCAGCGCCGGATGCACCCATCAACGCAATCATAATGCCAGGTTTGGCGTATCCGTTAACCTTGTTGAGAAGCTTCCTCTCGCCGTTACCATAAGGTACAGTGTATTCTACATTAGACCAGGTGAAAACACGATCGCTGGTGGATAGGGCCCCCATGATCTTCTCATCTTCAGTCCCAGAAGATGAGTTGACGGGCAATGAGCCAGTGTTTGCACCTTCTTCGTCATGGTTCTTCTTCCCGGCTTCGGCCAAGTTCTTCGACCGACGAGACTTCTTGAAAATAAGAGCACCACCTCCACCTTGAGCAAAGGTCATTATTTCGTTCGCAACGACAGTGACCAGAATGTAGAGCACTGTAAAGGCAATGAGGACACCAAAGTTCCGCCACAAGTGACTGCGTGTGAAGCCGAAGGATGTCTCTAGGTACGCAGCTCCCGAAACCTCAGTCTGATCGATCGAAGAGCCAGTCAGTGCGCAGCTCTGATAGCCCGGCACAGCATCAGGGCCCCGCGGAACAAGCATAGATGGATCACAAGTCATATTACGGTTTGAAAATTCGTTGGTGAGGACCGCTTCGTAGGCATACGATACGGGATTGATGTAAATCAGCCAGCCAAACCAAATCGAATCGTGGATCAGAGTAGGCTTTGGAATCACATAGCCCACGAAGATCAAGAGCAGGTTCAGGGCGATACCACTGAAGCGTACAGCGTCGTCGATTGTCGGGGACAGGGCTGCAAACATGCGATACATCGACGTGATACAAATAGTAGTCGTGTAGACAAAAAGCATGTAAATCCAAAATTTGGACACATCCACATCAAGACCAGACAAGAAGTATGTTATGATACCGAAAATCACGACCATCACAAATAGAACTGGAAAATCAACGACAATTCGGGCTATCGATACAGCTGAAGGTCGGTAAAAGGCGTAGTCTTTATGTCGCTGAATGATGTTACGTCCAGAGACAGCCGGCATCAATTCAGTCATCTGTACCCAGCCCAGGAACAATACCGAGAAGAAAAGAACACCTCCTCGAGCGAAGGCGCCACTTGTATCAAGAGATTCACCGTAGAACAAAGAGCTCACAATCAAAGCATTCGATACGATAATGAATAGCTTGGTGTACAGGGATGTCTTATCGCCCCATAACAGCCACGCCTCTCGCTTCACACACGCTGCCACCTGTTTAGGAAAGGAGACCGTATAGGAGGAACTCTTTGAAACGGTCCGACTCTTCGATTCTCCAACAGTCTGCTGGAATCGCCTGGTGTCTGCTAACTGACTTTCGGCCAATTCGCGCTCATACAGAGCTACGTCATCAAGGATGCGTTTGTAGGCGTCGCTGCTTCGGAAGATCGCTTCCAACTCCTCGGCAGTCTTGGGTGTGGAAGCCTCTTTACCGGGCTGAAACTGGCGGGAATTGGGGTCGCAGAGTGACGTGAGGAAGTCGGCCGTTGTCGATTGTGACGGGCAGTAGAAGCCAAGGTTGACGAAATACTCCTTAGCTTCGGATGCTGGGCCTTGGAAGAGCATTTTTCCTTCGTCAATGACCAATACCTTATCCATGAGCTCGTAGATGCCTTCACCGGCTTGGTAAAGCGTGACGAAAGTAGTGCGTCTGCTAATATCAGTCATAATGCGCAGAGATTTCGCGTAATCCAGAGCAGTGCTGGCATCAAGGCCTCTTGTGGAATTGTCCCAGCAGGCAACTGTAGACTTGGATGCTAAAGTCTCAGCTATGCTGACACGTTTTCGCTCACCACCTGAGACACCTCGAACATACTCGTTACCGACCTGAGTGTTTTTGGTATGGCTGATGCCGAACATTTTCAACAGCGCATCAAGAATGATAGGCACGCGATCCCGCTCTCCCTTCTTTGTCTTGTTCATGAGAGAAAACTGCAATGTCTGCCAGACTGTAAGCGTGGCAAGATGCTGATCGTCCTCTGGGTTATAGTTGGCCTCGCCTCTGAAGTGTTTGTGTTGCTCCTCGGCCGAAATGCCTCCGTAACTGACGTCTCCAGTGACCGCGGCATAGCTGCCACGGTCATTGGCAATGGTTTTCAAAAAAGTTGTGCAGCCAGCGCCAGGTCGTCCTAGCACCAACATCATCTCTCCATCGCGGACAACGCCATTGAAATCGTTAATCAGAGTCCTAGTAGCAGGCGGTTTGCCAAAACGAAGCTTTGGGATGAAATGCTGGATTATGCGGTACAAATCCGGACCAAAAGTTCCAATCAACGCATCAGGCAACGTCCTCGCGAACGACGCCGAAGCCTGAATGCCTGAAACACTGAGGTTCTTGAAAACAACGCCCACCTTTTTGGCAGGCTCGCCTGCTGTGGTTCTCCGCTCCAGGGTACCGCCCATTAAAAATTCGCCGAGGTCGAAGCTTTCCTCCAACTCATCTTCAAGCTCGCCCCCTTCGGTTTTTTCGACATCTTTAGCGCCTTTACTTCGCTGAGATATGGCCGAACGCCATCGACTGGCGGGGTGGGAGCGACGAGAAGCCTGAGAGCGAGTTCGCTGCAGGCTGAGGCGGCTGAGCTCCTTTTTCATTTCTTCGTAGTCCTCCATTGCGCCATGACGGGACACAGGGTCTCCATTGCCTTGTTCCCCCCATCGGCCATCAATGCTGACCTGCGAGGGGCTTGCCAGAGTCGACTCTGCCGTAGAATTAGAGCTAGTTATGTTGGCATGATGAGCGTTTTCCTCCGAACTAACGACGTTTTCTGAGCTAGTCATAGTATGACGTTCCTCTGTTGCGGTATTAAATACGGTGTTTGACTGGTTGTGAATCTCGTCGGCCATTTTGAACCTTTTTTTTCTTTGTGATTTTCGCCTCTCTCAATGGTTGTGATATTCAGATACGTAAGTTAACACAAAACTCCTTATTCCTGACCGTGCTGCTAGTCCGCGGAGTGATTGATTGATGCTAATGCTGTCTTTCTCCTGTGATATCTAGATCCAACACACCGGCAGAGCAGCAAGCCAACAGCGGGGACTGGCCGGCCTGTGACGGCGCGGGGAGAAAGGAGGGAAGGGGTGGAGAGAGTCCCGGTGAGAGATGGAGAGAAGTGACGAAGAGAGAAGAGCGAGGACAAGATGGGGGCAAGGGATGGACTATAAGCTAGTTAGAGGACGGATATAGCGACGATGCAAAATCCGAGAGCAGAAAGATTTCGAATGTCAGAGAGGCTTGATTAGTAAAGGATGCCCTTTTTGTGGGCAGGAGCCACCCAGAGCTTAGGTCCAATACGTCAGGGAGGGAAGGAGCTCTATACCACACTTGGTTAGCCCGTCACGAGTCATTCTGATTGTATCTTTCTTAGCTGATTGCTATCTACCGCATTGCTCGAAGAGAGCTTACAGAAGCTACCAATCACGACCTCTCCTCGACATCGTGGATTAGCGATGTTTGGGGGGAGGGGGGGGGAGAAGGAGAAAAAGGATCGTCAGCAACAAGTGGAGATATGAACGAAGCAGTGGCGAAACAAAACAACGTATGAATCATATACAAATCTGTGAAGTAAGATATGGATCCATGGGTCTGAATCATGCTGAGTGTGTGTCCTGAATCCTAACGCCGCCAATTTGGCTGGAGCAATTCCGGAGTTAGCGCGTAACTACGGAGTACGGAGTCTGATGTCCCGAAGCGGCTTAGCGTGATCGGGGTCTGGTTTAGGAAGGAGCTCTTTACTGCTTCCGGACTAGCGCGTAAGCCGGGTGCATAGGATCGAAAGTATAGTTAATCTTAGTACGGAGTATATAATTATAATGGTATACTACAGTCTACAGGTATAGTGATAACTTTCGAATCTGTATCAACTAGCTAATAAAGCTGAAACACTCGATCTCTGCGCGGACGAAAGCCGGACAAGCTTAGCCCGGTGGGAGCCGGCGGGAGAGTGTTTTGTATTATAAATAAATCTGCTTCTCCAGCCAATCAGACATAGTTAAACTATGTTAAATGTGGTTATTTAGATATGTATTTATAATCCCAGCACTCAAGTATGAATGGTATCTAAACAGCAAGTACGACCTCGGTTATCAAGACGGACGATTTGGGTCCGAACGTCTCGCCCTTTCAGCTGAATACGTAACCATTAGTTAGTTAACTAACTTTAACTATTGACACGATATTACTAATCATTATATCAATCTTTCAGCTACTGCCGCTAGTGACTCCCGGGGCCGAAAGTTTGTTCTGACTTTTAACTTTTAGGCAGAGCCTGAGGCAGGGATTTATTTACGTTTAAATCTACTTCATAACTATCAGCTTGGAACAACTCATTTGCATATGCTGTCTGCCTGCGTGTATATGCGGTGCATATGATCCGTGTCTTTTCCTATGCATATACATACACGCATACATGTGTATGCACGCCGCTGACCTCGCTTAAATCCCTAAACTGCTTACTAGGTAGAAAAATCCGACTCGTCGTCAAACGGCAACTTTTCACCACACAAATGCCAAATGCCACCTAGGATTATTTTATGTGTTTGAATGCACTGCACTGCAATGCATTCTGGCGTGTCAACTTGACCGCTTCGGAGGAAAAGGAAATTTGAACTGGCTTTCCCCCCCAATGCATGCCACGAGTTGGTGGACAGATCACATATGGCAAATGACTAGTTTCCCCTGGCTGCTTTATCTCCACGTTGTTGGATTTTTGATCGAGTAGAATCTTGACCGCATCTTTAGAAGAAAGAGTCCAGGATGGCCAAATCTATTCGATTTCAGAACGAAACGGACTAAAGGTGTGTATGTCATTGACATGTGCGGCAGTATTTCTCTTTAGATACAAGATACCTCCTCGTGACATGCTTGGTTGTCTGTCTTTCACAGATTTGGTGGTTAGTAGACGGCTCGAAAATCACCAAAATGAATGGTGTTGAAATCACTTATTTACGGAGTAATATCTCCGCATTCCTACTATGCCAAATCCAGTGCATCATCGCGGCGGACATGGGCGAAGCGACAGTATGCTTGATGTAGCCGCCGTACTATTTTGGATTTCTCCTGGGGTCGTTTCAACTTGTGTCGTTAAGATTTTTCAAGAACCAATGCAGCAAACGACTTGAATCACAGGCCATGAGATGAAACTATTGGCATAAGGCTAAGTATGTGCCGAAAATGTGTAGACTCCTGAGGATGTTGATATCTGTGGAGAATACGAACACTAGTAAAAAGCGGCACACGTGGTTGGCATCTATATACCCTAAAATCATACGCACTTTTCAACCCATACATCACCTAATGTTTGCTAATCATTCGTTATTTTTTGAACTTTACTCATGATGAATTGTCTATTTGGAATCCAGCGCGCGGTCGTAAACAAACCCCTGAGGTACGGCGATAGCGGAAGGACCAAATTGGCACTACTGACAAAAAAAGTTTTTGAAAGAATGCTTTCAGAATATCACGTTCTCAAATGCTTCATGCAAACCTCGAGCCTTTAGCCACACTTCCAATGCCTGCATGTCCCCTCGATTGGCCCTCTGGCCACTGCGTTCACCCAGAGAATCTGTAATCTCCTCCATCCCGGGAAATACTCGCTGAATATCCGCTGTCTCCCGGAACCGCTCACTGACTTTTTTCTGATGGCTGGGGATATCGCCCCACGAGTTTGTCTTGATGAAACTCATATATGCATCGATATCCGTCGATATCCCCTCAAGGCATAGGACTCCCGGTTTTCCCGCCAGCACAAAGCCTGTGAGAGAATAGTCCGAGGCATAATTAACCAGATCATCCCGTTTCCCACGCGTCGAGAGGGAGGGAAAATAGAACCAGACTCGGACGAGAGGCTCAGAACTACGAGTGGCTGTTTCAGTTAAAGTTTGCCGTGTTTCGAGGAAGTGCATGGCTTCGTCTCTAATATATTCAAATGCCGCGAACACGTCGTCTGGAGGCATCGCAGCGGCCATATTCGCAACCTCGGCTTTGGACATCCACTCTGGTTGTCGCAGTGAGTATGTTATTGGGAGTGGTTCTTTACTTTCGGGATTCTCCAATTGCAGGGAAATCTTGATGTTGACTTGTATGGTTTTCTCTGTAGTGACTGCTAAACAGACTGCCAGTGATAAGCTTGATGGGATTCCAGTTGGGGTTTCAGTTGGATCCTGGCACCAGTCACGGAGGGTGTCGATTCCCTCTCTGGTAGATTCTGGGATTTCAAGTTCGGAAGCTGAGGGGAACATGGCTATCAGGAGATCAATCATTGACAGCTGAGACTCCATCATGTCTGCCGGCAGGATTGCCATTCTCAATGCGTGCAACCTGTTAATTAAATACGAGTTCGTTGTTCAATTGTTCCGCGCACGGCGATATGTATCAACGTATCGAAAAAATGGCAAAATGCAAGGTCCAAATACTAATTCATGCTTGCTGATTCTACATGTAATGGTCAACAGTACAAAGCTTGTGTCGTTTACAAAAAAAACCTCGACGGGAAATTGTGGACGTCCACAGGGGGACTTGACTCCTACTACGGAGTAGTTTATTTGGGATTGTCAATATTTAAAGTAAACATATAGTATTTTGATAACAATAACATCGCTGACTAGCGTATGCTAACAGTTTCTTAAATGGTTTTCTACACACTAGTAGCCATACACAGAGCAATCAAAAGAAACTGGCTATGAATCAAAAATCATCTAGATAATGGCCATGGTCTATGCACTGGAATCGTAACTAGAGCTGCAGCTGATGCCCGTGGTACTTGCCCGGGAGGGCATCTGGCACAGCAGCGGCCTCAAAGCTTGTTCTTTTCGGGAATCCATCGAAGGACTGAGCGTACATGGCAACAGAGTGCGCGACGAGCTTCAGAGAATAAGTCAGTCGGGATCAGTGATGCCAAAAAACAATCCAAGGGATCCCATACCTTTGTGTTCAACTCCCAAGCAGTAAGGTTGAGGTTGGCCAAGTTATCGCAAAGCTGGTGATAACAGGGATCAAACCAGTCACCAGCGATACCACCAAACATTTGTTGTTCGGCCTCTGTCTTGACACCCTCCGCCCCAGTAGCAATGCCGCCACCAGGAATGCCGTGCCTGATAAAAGCATCATAGTCACTTCTACCGTCGAACGGAATATAAGTAAAATTCAAGCCATGAGAAGTGTAAAACTCGGTATAGAGGTCACGCAGCTCCTCAGATCCAACGGGGTTCACGGCGTTGGTAGCATTGTAGACTTGGTAGGCAAAGTTGGGCGACGCGAGCATGTCATAGTCCATGAAAAGACGAATCTTCAGGTTTTCTTCAGGGGATAGAACGGAGACATAGTAGTCCGATCCGAGTAGCCCTTCCTCCTCGCCTGCCCACCAGGCGAAACGCACACAATTGTTAACGTGATAATTTGTCAGTTGGGTAGCGACCTCGAGAAGAGTAAGAGAACCAGAACCATCATCGTTGATACCAGGGCCTTCTGCAACACTGTCACTATGACCACCCAGCATGACGCAGTTGTCGGGGTCGCCTTCCTTGGTCTGGGCGATAATATTGGTCGTCTCAATGCTCTCCACAATGGCGTCAATGTAAGCGCTGGCCTCGACCAGCTCTCCATTCTTCAACTTCTTGATGTGCGGTGCAGCATCACTGTCGGAAATCGAGAAAGTAGCAACGTGGTCAGGGGATGGTGTGCCCAAGGTTCCACCCAGCGCGCCTTTCTCATTATTATAAACTACAGCGGCGACAGCGCCGGCTCTTCCAGCCAGAGCGGACTTGGTGCCAAAGGGACACTCGCCACGACTGATGAGCGCGATCTTACCAGATAGATCTGGGTAGTCCGACGCACTACACCCGACATTCGACACAAGCGCTAGTGGTCCGAGAACTGGCTCCTTACCCGTGGTGGGAGGAGTCAAACTCATCGCAATAGCCGAAACTGGGACTTCACTTCCCAAAACCAAGCGTGATTCATACACGTTCCCCACTACTGCAGGAAAGGACTGGTTCGACAGTACGTAGTAGTCTCCCAATTCAGCAATGGTGGAATAAATATAATCAATGGTACCGAGGTGTCCTATGGCCACGTGAGCCGTGATTCGAGAAGAGGGGCTAGGAAACTAATACCTTTGCTCCCAATGACTCTAGTTGGGTGGTTATATTCGCCTTCTCCCAGCTCAGCAATGCTGTAGAGTGTCTTAGCTCGTTCAAAGAGACTGTCTGCATGAATACTATCTTGAAGCGATTTGGAGCTGACCAGCTCCTTCTTTGCGGCCAAGTGGATCTGAGATGTGGACGCTGACTCAAAGAGAGGAAGCTGTGATGCGAAGGATTCTCCCAGCAGCAGAAAAGCTAGAGACAGGTAAGAAGGCGCCATGTTCGCAAAGCCCATGGCCCGTATTGAATGTGTTGACGACGGCAGAGGTGAGTCTCATCCCGCGACTCGGAGTGCAAGTTGCAAGACGTGACTGGCGCTGTGCCTAACATGGTTAGTGTTTAGATAGCCTGCGATCAGGTGGGTACTCGCGTGTATTTTTTTACCCACTTGCAGTTTGTTATTAATTAGCGGCAGAAGATAATTACTTGATGAGGAAATAATGCACTTGAAGTCAGATGAGCTAACTCCTGATTAGGAAAAGCTACCGCCCATCAGGCACCCAATAAACGTATTTATAACCAACAGACCCATATTTTCTTGCTACTATTAGGATTTAGTCAGATAGGGCCACACCTTAGTTACTGTGGCAAGCCGCACGAACTATTACTCTCTCCTCATTCATAGTTTTGAATACAGAACCTTGGAAGATTACTGTACACGAAGATATATCCCCTTCGAGTCAACTGCTCTCAGAGGGACGAATCCATCCCCAGCAAGTTCTACATCCTTACTTGTTGTCTCGTAAAGCTCTAGATTTCCCTCATCACCATCATTGTGCACCCCTTGCGCTCTTCCGAGCTCGTCTACCCCTTGTGACCCAAAAAGTCGGAAGATAGTCGATAGACAGACATACATCTCTGCGTACGCGAGATTGATCCCCAAGCACTGGCGGGTTCCCTTGGAAAAGGCGACTAGATACTTGTCTAGTCGTGGGTTCTCGATCCATCGTTCTGGGCGAAACTCGTGCGAGTTGGGAAATATGTTCTCGTCGTGGTGGATTAAGACACTAGTCATGCTCACGGGAGTTTTAGCTGGTATAATCCACTTTTTTCCGGACTTTTCGTCCGTGAAGAATAACGGTACATCTGGAGAGATTCGCTGTAGTCGCGTGACAACTCCGTAGCTCAGACGAAGGGCCTCTTGGATAACCGCAGTCAAATATGGCAGCTGTTCAAGCTGAGGCAATGGAAGCTGGGTATTTCTCTCTGGTATATTCTCGCTAAGCTCCTGTTTCAATTGTGAAAGAAGTGGCGGCTTAGAAAGTAGGTGATAGACCGCTACGCATAATGCCCATGATGTCGTTGATGTTCCTGCTCCAACTACAATCATAGCCTCTTCTTTAAGTCGTTTAACTGTCTTCTCGGAATCTGGCAGGCTACTACTCAGGATCTCATGGAATAGAGTTGGATGCTCTAGATGCTCGTAGGTAGATGGCGGTTCAGATTTGATCCCGACGATAATCTTCTCTGTCAGCTTCAGATTGTGTTAGCATTCCCTTAAATCCATTTCAATGGAGAGAAGGGTCACCTTATGTATCCGGATAATCAATTCCAAACTCGGCGACACTTTGGCTTGTACCCATGCCGGAAGACTGTTCACGAAATCGAAAATAAAAATCATTTGCTTCATCAAACTGCCATATTTCGCGGCATTGACAGCTCCATGGAGATATTCCGGGCCCCAATTTTCCTTGGCCAGACGGTTCTGTGACTGTCCATAGGCATATTCCATCACGATATCTATACAGATCAGACTTATTGCTCTCTATTAATTAGTTAAGTACTTCGACAAATAACCAACCGTTCGTAAAGGCAGCCAACGCATGTTCTAGCGGAATAACAGTTTTCAATTCTCGCGCCTTGCGAAATCTCTCCATCAACAGGTCTACCTTGCTCATCAGCAATGGCTGTAAGCGCCGAATACTTGACACAGAAAAGAAACGACCCAGTGCCGCCCTGCGAACCCTGTGCAATTCATGTCCAGTGGTCGCAAACATGGAATCAGGAGTGCTGAGCTGCTTCGTGTACCACTCCCACTTGTCTCGTCTTACCCCTGAGGTACTGGAGGCATACAGGGTGCTGTAGTAATCCGGATCGGATATGTGTAGCTCATACGGATTGATGCGAATTATAGGACCGTATTTCTCATGGAGGTCTCGGATACGGAAGATATACTGCCCGCGAAGGATTACGTCGTAGTAGAACTCGTACCTGTAATTATAACCATTTAATTTGTTCCGCCTTTTTCAATTTATACAAAAGATCATACCACAGGGTCAGCGCTGCAAGTTTCGGTCCAGGGAAGGCGGCCAAGGGACTGAAGTAAAGTCTGTAGATCCCTAGTCCGGCAATATATAGGCCAGCGAGGCTAAAGAGCATCAGGATAATCATCTTGGGAATTCACACTATCCCGGAAGACCCAGAACAATAAGGTTGTTTATTTCAGTGAGTGATGAATTGATTCCTTGAAACTGGCCCAGATAATTGTTAGATAGTGAGTAACCCTTCATGCATTCGCTCAATTGTGTGGTGAGTAATCAATCACGCTGCATCCTTTCTATATATTATGGGGCATTATACCGCATGCAGCGTCTAGTCCTACCGTCAATGTGCTGCGCACGTAGATAAGTGGACGTGACGGTTCCACGTATTGGGGCCTAACCCTAGGGGAAACATCAAGATTAAATAAAGGACTGCTTCTATTCCCATATTTTGATGTAACCAATAAACATCATGGTTGGTTGGGTCTACTAATCCTATAGTTACGAATGCGCTATTTCTATGATCTCGCGACTATTATTCATTATTGAGAGAATTTTAGAATGTTTATCTAGACGTAAGTAGCAGTCAAGTCGAGGATAATAAAGGCATCCATTAATACATATATTTTGGATGATATCAGCAGCATCTTAGATACATGTCCCAGAAATAGAACTATTTAGGCAAGAGGGATTATCGAGAACAACAATAGTAAACTCAATCTGGAAACCTATAGACTGCTTATAGAACAGCTAATTAGCCACCGGATTCGCAGAAAATTTGCTGCAGCACAACGTTTCTAATATCTCCTAATTAGGAAATAATGTACACTGACCTTTGGAGCGCCCAAGCGTCGTCGAGCCTGCCTCTAGCTGAAACAAAATAAAAAGGCTCAAAAAGAGTGTCAAATCAAAGAGTATATGGAAAGCATGGTATATATATAAAGAATTACTAAAATACCCACTACCTATGTGTGTAGGAGCTGGGCCAAGTGAAAATCCATCATTAATTATGTACAAAGTATTAGCGCTGGCTATTTCAAACTATGCTATACTCAATCAATACATTCATGTTTATCAGCGAGAATTATATCGTTCCTACATATTTGTTTTTGTATACCTATGCTGTCAACTAGCGGGTTCTCGACATGAAATATATCACGAAGCCTACCAAACTAACCGGAGAGTCAAGACAACTGGCATTGTGCCCACCTGTAAGCATTGGGTATATTCGCGAGCTTCAAAGACAAGAAATAATTGCTCTAGAATTCTATATCAGCCCTTACTCCCCTGTGCTGCAAACATCAATTAGCTCGATTGGGGCTTATAATTAGGCAGCATTTGGAAGCCGAGGTAGACATTTCTAAGCGTACCCATTAGCTTACACAGCAGAGGTCTGTTAAATCAATTTCATTGATGCAAGAGTCAACCCAGTCAGCCTTTTACCAGGGCTGCCAAATAGATGCTTTGTCCATAGCACCAAGGCTATAGCTAGATGGCCAACCTCATGACGACCGCGAACTACAGCTATGATCTATCAATACCAACATCTCTTTAATAAAGGCAGTAATTTCACTGATATGCTACAGACATGCTAGTTACATACAGTATGCAAAATGCAAGAGGGAAGAAGGAAGCTCGATTATTTGGTTAGAATTTTGACACCGCTGCCGCGCATGTAGCTGATTGCAGAAGAGACCGTTGTGAGAGCGACGATATACCTAAGAATCATTGTAACGAATTATCAGTCTCATCCTTAAGAAGGTAAGTATGATGAGTAATTTGATTGATGAGTAATTTGATAATTGGAAACTTCAGGGGCAAAAGAATGGAAAGGAAAGATTTGCCGAAGACCACGTCAACAATCAACGATTTCTTCCGAATGATATAAAAAAAACCCACCAAAAACAAAGAAAGAAAGAGAAAAAGCCAAAAAACAAAATAAAAGAAAGAAGACAACATACAACAGACGGGATTCGCTGGTGGTCACCCACCCAACTACTAACCGGCCGGCGTGTGGCTTAAGTACGGCTGAGCGGACGGGAAGCCCTGTTTTCCACACCCTATGGTCGTATGTGCCAGATGAAGGAAGACAAGGGTATATATAGGCAGAAAGCTCGCCCATAGGAGCCGAAGGAAAAAAAAAAAAACCGACTTACTGCAATCCCACGAGTCCATCATGTAAACCCCATGCACTAGCTAACCCTTCAGGAAGGACGGGAAGGGCCATCGACGCGCCGACTAGAAATAATTGCAAGGCAGTATTCAGTTTCGAAATAGTAGTTGGCCTGACCTCGGCAGAGGGCAGCGAAAAATCCCAGTATCGCGCCATGGTCTTAGGCGGAGGAAGAGATATCCATCGGTAGTAGATGGCGGAGATACTTAATCCGACATCTCGGCCTAGGATTAGGATGGCCAGCCAGGCTGGTTTCGGTTAGCTGAAAATATTTAGGATAGGAAATAATGAAAGGAGACGCATACCAGGCATAGACCCATTCAGACCCAAACACACAACACTAATCGTCATCAACAGTTTATCAGCTGCCGGGTCAATGATAGTCCCCACAACGGTTTGCAGGTTGTATCGTCGAGCAATGTATCCATCTACCAAGTCGGTGATGCCGGCATAGGCAAATAAGGCCAATGCAGCAGTGTGATGGTTGTGCACAAGAAGGTAGCCCACGGCTGGCGCGGCAAGAAGCCGCGAGAACGTTAGCAAGTTGGGGACTGTGTAGATATTTTCATGGGTTACTGCTGGCACAGCGGGAAGTTTGGATAGTAATTTAGATTTTGGTTTGAGTTTTCTTTTCTCGAAAGTCAGCTATATATATCATTTATATATTCCGGTATTGTATTGACCAGGAAAGGAAAGAAGACTTACTTGTCCTCCGTCGAGTATAATCGTCTAGTATGAAACAATAACAAACTTTTCGAATTGTAGCCCCGATCATGTCGCTGCCTCACTAGCAACCGTAGTCGCTTTGAGAGAACTTCAGACGCAGATGTCACCACTGCATGCGCACGTATATGCATATGACAAGACCTCCTCAATTGCGAGGACAAAGATGATTGAGGGAAGAAAAAGGAAGAAGAGTAAGAAGACCTAGCATGTATAGCTTTCGGTGATTTCAACAGCATTGACAATACGCCATCGCTGTAGCGAGACGCGAAACATCTCGTCGATGACAATGGCAATGCGAATGTGTTCATGATCTCTCTCTCCACCCACTTAACGAAGTATACAGAATATGTACTGCCTGATAATTGAAACTCGTCACTGGACCTGCAATCGCAATGGCAGTATCCTTATTTCAGCTATTGGATGTTAGTCTCGTGTCAACCAAGCTGAAAAGGAAACGGACATACGGATTATTAGAATAGAAATAGTATAGACAAAGTAAAATGGCAGAGAATGAATGAATAAACGGAACGAGGGAACCAAAAATCAAACAGGCGGAACGGTAACAAGAATCGATGCCATCGATGGAGTTACATATGATGATTGGTAAACGGAAGCTTTTTCTGCAAATGCCAGCCAGCTGCAGACCAAGTCGAGACTAGTGCATCCTCGCGTACGCGCTTAACCATATACATACTAGTGCAATTTAATGCATGACAAGGGGCACGTGACTTACACATTTTCAAATTGAGATAAAATATAACTAGCGGTTATATGGGGGTCAGATTTGTTTAAATATAACTACAAATATAATATCTCTTACCTAAGTATTATTGACAATACGGTGAAGATCTAGTCCGGTTCGATATGGATAATAACATTGGTAGAATCAAGGTAAATATATGGAGTGAGAAGAAGAATGTAAACGAAAGAATATGAAGAGAAGAATACAACCGCTCAATCATCGATCAAATCAGTCAAAACGAATATTAGAATGGAAAAAAAGACTCAAACAATAGAATAGAAATAACCGTATATCATTTAAATCAGAAAGCCGCCCCAGCCTAAGCAATAAGATAGTAAACCGCCAATCAATCCAACCAAAGAGTGAATCGTAAACACATCAATGAAAATAACTCAACAGAATTACTAGCCGCATAAAAAAAATTAAAAAAAAATTGAAAGACCCTAAAGAAGAAGAAACGAGGAAAAAAGCTGTCAAAGAGTTAAAACAACTGCTGCCACCTCTGATGCTTTTGAAAGCCAACTACCCCTCCCATGTAAAGTGAAAACACACCCACACTCCGTACTTGATGATCACGCTGAGCACAACAAAAAAAAATAAAAATGTCTCGAATGGAAGGGTATATATCCAGTTTTTATCCCGCCAAATCCATCCATCATTTCAATTTTCAATAGGCCGTTATAACGAGAAGAGAGGAAAGTTCATATCACATCTGAGGATGAGCTGGCGCGGTGGTGGTCCAGGCAGAAATCGGTTGCGCTGTTGGATAGTTCGAATGAGTCACCCCAGTATAGTAGCTCTGTCGATCAGCACCACCCGTGTAGAATGATGGTATGGCTGCTGGATCTCGGCGTTGAATAGTGGTGTCAAAGGAAGTCGTCGGGATGTTACGCGCTTCAAATGACTGATGATGTGTAGTATCCAACGGTCCTGGCATTCCGTATGCATTTCGCGAGTATGCTGTAGTCGACGTGTGTGGCTCGTTTGGAGATGCGACATCTGCGCGAGAAGAAAGCGGGGTGTTTCGATAAATTCCGGGGCTCGTGGATTGCTGGTTACGGCTCCGATCCAATGAGTTAGACATGCCAGAGGTGTTTGACAAGGCAGGGGTTAAAGTTGCAGGCAGATGGTTTTGGTTAAGAGCGTCGAAGGCTGCACCGTACGATCCGCTACGATAGGAACTGTGATCCGGCTCGGTCTTAACAGACATTTGCGAGGCGCTAGTAGGGGTAGGTAGATATGGATTCGTTCCGGACTGGGGAGCTAAAGGTCCGCTGGGATATGTTGAAATCGGGGTTGCATGGGTCGGGTGCGAGGCATACGGCGAACCGTGCATGTAATCATATGAGTGTGGATTCTGCATTCCATAACTTGGCGTAGGCATCATGGTTGTCCGATACCCATACAGAGCCTGTGCAGTATCGTTTGCACTCTCCAATCCCGTGTCAACGTCGTCGATTGGAGCGCGGAAACTCTGTTTCGAAATCAACTCTCCGCGAGGGCGAATGTAACGCAACTCGTCGTGCATTGATGGTGGGCTTAAAAGACCCTTCATAACATCCTCCACACTGTAATAAGACACCAAATGATGCGTGACGCCGGCCACGGTAACGCTCATAGTTTTCTTGACAAGCCCAGAATCTTTGAAGCCATAGGAATCCACGAGAGAGCCCACCAAGGCTCGCTCAAGATCGGACTGCTGTGGGCGATCTCCCCCAAAGTTTGATGATGGCGTGGTGGGTGAATAGGACGGGCCACTACTATCTGACCGAGGATAGGGGTCTCCAGGACGAGCTGACTGAACGGGCCGCCGGTTTCCCTTCTTCATTGCACGCTTCTTCTCGCCCGGCGGGAAGGGCTTGTCGAGTTCACGATAGACCAGAAAATTGCCGAGAATGCGACTTGGGCTCCAGGTCACGCCATCTGTCCATCGTTTGATGCCAGAAGTATTCTCTTCATAAATAAATACACTCCCGCTACGGACGAGGTGACTGCGCTCGCGGTCGTGTGGCCGTCGCGGGACATGGGGAAGCACACCAGTCAAGCAGGCCTCGAATAGAATCAGCGCATCCTGTGTGGTGGCCACATACCCGTGATAGGTCGGCTCTAGCACTGCTGTGCCGCTGCCCATTCTCGATGCCTGTAAGGTTTAAAGCTAGGTTCCAGGCTGGTAGTAAACCGGGGCAGAAAAAGCCACTTTGAATTGCAGACACGCTATTCCAACCAGCAAGGTTTCATAAGAAGGCCTTTCGAGACACAACCTTGGGGATGAATACTATGGAAATCCTCAAGATAAGATAGTCTGCTTGTAATTGGAATGCCTGCAGTTGAGATTGGCGGGGTTGTTGATCTTTCTATTTCCCACGCTATCTGATGGGTTGACGCGCAGATTTTCGACAGGATGAGAATTTCAGCAGTGTCGATCGAGATGATGATAATGATGATGACGCTGACCTTCCGAGGTTGGCAATCACGATTCGGATCTGGTTGATGAAGAGCTTGACGAGATAATAAGAAGAGAAGAAGAGAAGAAGAAGAAGCAAGCAAGCAGAAATGACAGACAAGAAGGCAACCAGAAAGGAAAAGGCTGGTTCTAGATGACACAGAAGAGGGGGAGAAAGAGTTCACAGAACACGTTCCAGAGTTGGCCGTAGAGTCGATGGTAGGCAGCGGACACGGCGGTAATCGCGCCGACGAGGCTCAGCTCACTGGAGGGCGGAAGTTGAAAAAGTCGCGCTCTTGTATCCCGGTAGGACGATTGTATCCATGGATGAGAGGCAATTGGGGGGGGTGGGTGTTGGCGATGGTGTAGGTCCTAGTCGTAGGCAGGTCGGTGGGTAAGGAATTAAGGTAGTTTAATTAGCTGGATGGAAAAGAGGAGCCCGTAACGTGGTGAGGGCGTGACTAGGCCTAATTTAACGAAAGGAAAGAGCAACTGCAGCCCAGCAGGCAGGCAGGAGTTGCTTGTTTGGATCGACAAGACAAGCACGGGCCGGATTGGGGGGTTGTGCACACAAGGAAGGTGGGCGTGGGCGTGGGCGTGGCGGCGTGGATAAGGAAGGAGCGAGTGAGGAAGTGCCCAGGCGGACGAGATCTGGAATTGCCAGTCTGACCCTCTTCTTCTCTCTCTCTCACTTTCTCTCTCTGTTTTTCCATCTCGGGTTCCCTCTCCACCGCGACGATAAGTTCCCTCTCCCAACGGAGCTTTCCGGAGTCATACACAGCAGAACGGCTGCGGTGACTGGTCCCATGGATGCGAGTGAGATAGCGCGCCACTGGCTCGCCAGCTGGGCGTTTCTTCACTGGGTTCTGGCACCTGGGCTTTTGTTGGTACGGAGCACAGCCGGTACATGGTACGCCCCATCTTTCTAGTTGACTGACTATCGCGCGTTTGGAACATCCATCTTAAGAAGTTAGGCGTCTTAAGGACGGCTAGCTATTGAATGAAATGTCCGTGACAACGACGCTGCCGGTGATCAAGGGAGAATCCAAATTCTATTTTGTTTCAACTGGAGAATGTGAAGGGCCCCGACTCTTCTGCCTGCGATTGCTTGGATTTTCTCATCATTTGCCACAACCGGTTAGATGCCCGCTCGAGCGAAAAGACAAGATGATGCATCATCCTTATTTACAGCGTAGTCGCTAACCATCGCTCTTCTGCCTCATGCCTTTCCACAATTACTCGGAGATAGCCGCGCCAATGACGACTTGGGGTGCAGAGAGGGGCAAAGGGGGAAGAAATATTACGGAGTTGAGTACACTTTGCACAGTGCACCGTATATAAACGACGAAACGTATACGCGTGTATCTACTATCTACATGAAAGGGCAAAAAAAAAAAGCAAAAGTGGAAGAGATCATCGATGTTGTTGAGGGGATACTCTTGTGACCCGCCATAGAGGCGAGGCCCGCACCCATGCGCATGGTTGTGTTTGAAGTTCTGAACATTTCTTCGCACTTACAGTGACAGAACAGAGTGCAGAGGCTGAACGGGTTGGCAGCCGAGAGATGCACGACAAGCTAATGAAAAAGTTTGTTGGGACGCATCCTCGAGTCTTCAGAGTCCTCGACAGGGCAGTGCAGTCAGTGCTTGCCACTGTTTGGATGAAATTAGTAACTAACAGGCTGACGAGTGATAGGATAGGGCGGCGGCCCCTTGTTCTGTCTTGGACTGGGGCTAGTAGCTACTAGTTTACTGGTCAAGCACGCTAAATACGGAGTAGAGTCTGAGCTGCATACCAGTCTCCAACTCCAAGTCTCCAAAATCTCCAAGACCAAAAAAAATGAAATCAAATCACACACTGATCAATTTGCCTGCAGCAGTCATAGCGCAGCGTACCCAGTCGCCAAGTCCTCCACCAATGAGCGCTGTTTCCGACGGCAATTGTTTCTCCGTCTGCGGAGTCCTTCGTGTGCTGTCTGTTCAGCATATGGAATGCACCGTAGTTTAACTGGCTAGTAGTAGTGAAATTATACGAGTCCAACGATCGGGACAAGGTGGGGAGGGGCAGTTTCTGCGCCTAGCCAATGACAGCCGCAGAACGGAGGAAAGAGTCCCAAGAGACCGTCACCGACCTTATCCACTTCCACTCTATCCACGCCATCTCGTTCTCTTCATCTTGGTCTCTATTCCACTCACGGTCTCACGCACTGCGTAGGATACGAGCTAAAAGAGTCTTGCTGCTTGTGAGTACTCCGTAATTCTAGTCCGCAATTGGTAGTCAGCAGCGAGTTGCGTGTCGAGTCTTCAAACCCGACGAAAGACGGTGGAGTGTGTTGCATGCGTCATTGCAACTTACCAGATGCACGGTAGCTTATCCCATCCTTATCCTTATTTACAGCCGGTCGTACCATGGACCTGATAAAATAAACTAAAGCAGTCCCCGGAATCAGCTAACTGAAATTACTAGTGCGTACACTACATTACATACCGCTGCAGATAATAAGTTACCTGCCTAGCTGAGTAGGTATACATGACGCGAGGTCCGTCGTACTCCGTGTACCATGCTTATTGTATAGTCTGGCGATACCAAATCAACGGAATCGGCGACGTAATGTATCAAATTACTCTACTCCGACAGAATACTGCCAGTGTCTGTGTGTCTGTGTCAGGTCAAATCACCAGGGCTGCAGACATGCCAAGAGTGCAGCATACGGAGTACGTAGTGACTACTCCGTAGCTGGGCGCTATATCCTTAAAATGGGTTTTTATACATCATCTTGCGCTGCTCTGCAGTAGCCTCTACTTAGTGTACTCCATCCATATGTCAATTTAGGGGGAAAAAGAAATTACTTCGTAAAATATTTGAAAATTTAGAATTTGATGAACTTCAAACTTTGGATTCCGAGATCTAAAAGCCAATCTACCGCTCCAGAAGGGTACATGGGACAGGAGAACCTTGATCTTGATCTTGATCTTCTACCCTTGGAGGCCCTGACAGGCTGGGAGGGGCATGCTAGAATACACTTTTTTGGTCTGAAAGTCTCTTGGACATCGAGCCATGTGGAGGTTGGATTTGGTCACATGATAGCTCGATCGCTCAGGCAGTAAGGAAGGCTACGTGACGCGCCAAAGCGGGCCATCTGCGATATGATTGGCGGGGGCGTGTCCGAATGCGTACTAGTACTGTATATAGTACTCCGTATACGGAGTACTTATATGGAGTAGTATATACGTCCTACGTAGTCAGTAACTAGTAGTAGAGGAAGGCAACATTGGAAACGATGAAGAAACAAACTCGGATACAGCCGGATGCTTGCGTTTTGCTGTAAACTTGTTCCTGCATTTGCGCGGACCGCGGATGGCCCATGTTTCTGCCTTGCCCATGGGAATCGAGTGATCGAGGCACGAAAAGACCAGCGGCAGCCGGATGTTCCGTGAAATACATAGTTGCTGGCATCTGTAAGGATGACGTTCAAACAGGAACCACCACGCTTGAGGTGAAGCGGAAATAAGCATAACCTCAACGTTACTTAGTTGGACGGTGGACCTAACTTTGTACGACGAAGAGTTTCCTGGCTAGTCATCGCATCCACTGTCCCGGTAACTTAGTTCTCTGAGCGCGTCATTCATAGGGTGTGTTGTTACTAGAAGTCGCAGTCAGTAGAGCCAGTGCATACTGAAGTACAAAGTTTAACGGGAGATCTGCTCGCGATCCATTCATTGTGGTTCATTATACTCTGTAGAATATCAGTTACCTATATTATTGTACGAATCCATATTATTGCGGCCCAACTCTAGTATCTAACTAGTACTACACCGAGTCTGCCAGTATTACTACGTAGTAAAACTCCGTAGTTCGGCGCGCGTTCAAAGTCACTGAATTGAGACTACGCTTGCGACTCCAGTCCGACATTCTTTAAACACCGAGTCACCGAATGCTAATGCATTCAAGTACTCCGTGGCGAAGCGAATTAATGTTAATTAATTTGTACACGTTATATAAAAGATTATTATCAATATTAAGAGCCTCGGAGCGTATCAGAGCCCGGCTAAATGAGCCAATCAGAGCAACTGTATTCTCCGACGGGATCTAACTCTATCTCGGCATCTTCTTGCGTTTGCCGAGCACTGAGCCTAGTCAAGCAGACGAGAAGAAAAAGAAATGTTACAATTACCATTACACACAGACAGACCAGACTAGTGTCTAGACGGCCCGCTCAGCGCGACCCGACGCTTTGGAGCCGGAGGCGAGTCGTTGCTCGACGGCGAAACTCAAATTCGTGCATTATATGCGTAGTACATATAGTACTATATGGTAAATATTACTACACCATTCGATGGATCGCAATTCTTGATGATCGGAAATTGGGGACGTTCGAAGAGCCAAAGACCAATTTTGCGCTCTGATGGTCGATCGATGATGGGCTCTGGACTCGATTGGCATCTTGTTTTCTGCATTCATCGATACGATAACGAAAACGATAACCAAAGTACCCGTATTGTATTGGTGTATTCTATTCCCGTACTAGTTAGTTAAACCAGCTACAAATGGCTTAGTCACGCGTCAAGAAACTGACAAATCACCGTCCCGCCCGACGTGGCCAATCAGCGCCGCCGTCTAAAGTGACAAATACCATCTTCAAGTCTCCATTCCTTAGTCCCATCAATTTTCATATAGGCTATGGCTAGCCCGGCACTAGTCCAGTAAACAATCAATCACAGCAGAATCTTCAGCCTGGGATACGAAAAAAAAAAAAAAAAAAATTGTGGACGGCATTTGACTGCCTGTGAGTGACTCTGTACGGAGACGGTCGGTGATTTATTCCCTCAATACTTGTCACAGCCAGGTATTCAGAGTGGATTGTTGTCAGGTCAGTGCACGCTACTAAAATCCTTGGAACTCCATAGTTCTAACTTGGAAGTTTTCTCTCGTCGCCTAACTACCGCTTTGGGAACCGCCAAGTCCTTGTCTATCTTACGGGGGCTGAATCGCGTGGCTGAGCAGAACTGCTGCGAATATGAAACATGGCAAGAGCAAGGGATAGTTACATGGTTGTTGGCTCTAGTGAGTACGTAACGATGGCAGCCAACTAGTTAGTTGGTTAGCTCAGCTGTAATACGATGATCGAATCTTGAACAATGTATAGCTCTGGTGCTGCAGAGCTAGCCTAGCCAATGCAGTTAGTGCTTAGTCTTACTGTCCACGTACCTCCTCTGCCATGTGTCCCATCTTTTTTCCACTACGTAGCACAAAACGAAATAACAAAATCCACAAAAAATCCAACAAATCAACGACCAATCGGCTTAGGATTCCTTCTTATTTTGGAGCTCAAATTGCCTTTTAGGGCAAAGCTATTCCCGTCACACGTGCGGGAAGCTTAACCTTTTTGCCTGCCTTATGGGATCAGACCGTCAAAGCTACCCTCTGTCCGCCTTTCAAAAGTCAGCTCTTATGGGGGATACACTAATTATGGGCCGGAACTTATCCTAATAATAGGCATTTCGACGCTGAACGCCTCGTTCTGCAGTACGCACGATTAGGTCCCCATACTCGAGCTGAATTCTACCAACAGACCTGGCGCGGACGTCTCCTAGATTGGAAAATAGTTTCAATGATAGAACAAAGGGGAATTCCAGTTGGGGTCCGAAACAGATTGCACTATTGATTTTGGGCACATTAACAATCAACAAAGAACGGAGTACTCAGGAGTTGGGCCTTCTTACTAAGGTAAAATACTCCGATATAGCGTACCGATGTGCATGAAAAGGAGCGTCTCGGTAGGTACGGATTACGCTGGGATTGAGTCATAATTAATTGACGGGACAGCTACGGAGAAATCCGATCTTACCGCCGGCTTTGGTACGGATGTGTATAGTTCCTGCCTATCTGGCTTGATTATCTGTCTGTCTATCGGGCTGATGTCTACAATGTCTATTTGTGGTTGTTTCTAGTTCGACTGTACTCAAGACTAACTTAGACATCGGAGCAAGTTGAAACGACAATATGAACACGCAATCATCAATCATCTAGTTCAATCCGTCGTGGACGAATATATGCCTAGGAATCTCGAATCACAAGTTCCAGGGGCCAAGAATGACTGCCACGGCATGCCAAGTTGTATATTTGAGTATCGATAGTAGAAAATGGTCAGATGATAGATGTAAGACGAAGCTATTCAGCATCATACTAGTACCAAAACCAATCTTGTCATCTAGTGCTCATATTGTTCCATGTTGCTCCACCAAATACGGAGGATGAATGTACATCGTATGACACTCCTGACCGTTCTGAGCAACTCGCGATCAACTAGTTATCTGATCTACCTGACTGACAAGTCGACACAAACAGGCTTATGGTCTTCTAGCAGGATCAATAGGTACACCGCTAGACTCCAGTGTACTTACTAGTTAAGTACGCCTAACAGAATAGCTGAAAACCAAGGACAATCACATGTTTACTCCGTATGATAACTATTGGTCAGTCTTAAACTACATACTATATAGTAGAGGCTGATAATCAGCATAGACTCTACTTGTTACTCCGCAGACTGACGTGTGAAGGAATATGACGATCAACGGTTACGAATACAGGGGGCTATAACTATCAACTAGCTTATGCACCTAGTTAAATAAGGTATTCTGATGACGATACCATGATTTTCTGCAAGAATGCAGCTAAGGAATCCTAGAGAGACTTAAAGTCCACTCTTCGAGAAACATGCCGGAGTATGTACTATGTACGCAACTAGTACTACATACATGAGACCGGTGTACTTTAAACTGCATGCATGCCCTAGCAAGGATTGAATGCACTAGTTAGTTAGTTAAGCCCTCTTCTGTTATCTAAGAATGTAGACTGTTCCTAGCCTACCCCAGGATGAAACGTCGCAGATTCTTTCTCTTTCTTTTTTCTTGTTAAATTCCCCTCTCTCTTAGTGCTTACAGGCTACATCTTTTATCCACGGAGTAGGATTTTGACTACGTGCCTACTAGCGAAGATCACTTATACTAGTGTACCAGATACCTACTACTAGTACTTATGATTGTTAGCTGTTCATCCAAGTAAGGTAATTGATGCGACCACTCGTTGGCTGGAATTTGTAGGTCTTCTTTAGGCCATTTCATGTCAAGTGACCTTTCTGTATGTGCCCGATGAATATTCTGATCTTGACAAGGTTCAAATCCCTAGCCCCCAAGTCCTAAGGTGGGACGTGTCTTAGGAGCTAACGTTGTGTCGGGAATCGGGATGTCTTGTTTCATTTATTTCCTTTTAAGGGTAGGCTCGCTAGGAGTTGGAACTCAGGGGTTTGTGAGTACCTAGGTAGTTTGCTTTATTGTTTAAATACGAGTTGTACTATAAATTTTGGCTAATAATTAAGCAGGAGCATTTCATTCCTGTACCTGTGCCTTGAGGTAAGATGTTTGTTTAATTCATGGACTATTAATATACAAATTGTAGAATTTAAATGATAAAAAATGTATGTACTGTACAAAATATGTAGCAATCCCTAGGTCCCAGCGCGCTATGCATAATGTAATAAAAAACAAGGTGATATGGAGAGAATATTTAGAAATACAAAGCAAACCTCCTAAGCTACACCGCTGGAAGCTGCTAACTCTCGAATGACATCCTCATTCTCACTAGAGAGTCGCTCTCTCTTACGGATATGCATCAGCAATCGAATTGCTCCCGTCGGCGTGATGCCCTCAATTCGCCTCAACATGCCGATGCTTTCAGGTCGAACACGTTCTAATGCCTGTTTCTCCTCCGTACTGAGTCCATGAACGGTGGAATAGTCCAGGTCTGGTGGAAGGAGCATCTTTTCCTCACGTTTGAATTTCTCGGCCATGAGAGACTGTCGTTTTACGTAAGGGGCATACTGTGCTTCGATTGTCACGCGTTTCTTGATCTCAGGGTCGAATGACGACGCAGAGTATCCTCCGCCATTAGTTGTCGTGATATATGGTATAAGCTGGTCAATGTGGACTCCGTCGAGGCAAAGCATGTCTAAACCACTGCGGTATGATGTGTCCACTCGTGTCTGAAATCCCATGCGAGACCATTGGTTTGACGTAAACCGTGTTCCGTCTAATAATGCCGATAGTTCATCGATCTGTGCCTTGGTCTCTGAGAAATGAGTCCAGCGTTTATCTGAAACAACAGATGCCTCTCGACCCATGCGTGTGAGTCGAAGATCGGCATTGTCTGAACGACTGGAGATGCGGAACTCGCTGCGAGATGTGAACATGCGATACGGCTCTGAAACACCCTTTGTAATCAGATCATCTACCATGATCCCGATGTATCCATCTGCCCGGGTAAGGGTCAGGGGTGATTTTCCTTGCGCTGCCAATCCGGCGTTCGTGCCTGCCAGTATACCCTGACCTGCAGCCTCTTCATAGCCAGTGGTGCCGTTGATCTGACCAGCCAAATACAAGCCGCTGATGAGTTTAGTCTCTAGCGTGGGCTTCAGGTTGCGTGGATCAATGTAATCATATTCCACCCCATAGCCTGGCTGGAGCATGCGTACATTCTCTAAACCGCGGACTGTTCGTAACATGGCTTCCTGTGCATCCACTGGCACTGTCATAGAGATTCCATTGGGGTATATGATCTCATTCGGTGCAAATCCCTCGGGTTCAAGCCAGATTTGGTGTTGCTTCTTGTTCGTAAAACGGATGATTTTAGATTCTAGTGATGGACAATACCGGGGTCCTCTGACGGTCTCGCGGATGTGAATCGATTTATCCAGGTTTGCCCTTATAATTTCATGAGAAGCTTCGTTGGTGTGGGTCATCCAGCAAGTCAATTGGCCCTCGTCGCCCACTTGAACGGTTTTATTCATATAAGAAAAAGGACTTGGCGGCGAGTCCCCTGGTTGCACCTCTAACGAGGTGAAGTCTATCGACCTTTTGTCTAGTCGCGGCGGTGTCCCCGTTTTCAAGCGACCAAGTTGAAAGCCTGCTTGCCGTAGAGATTTGCTGAGACCATGTGTGGCCGCCTCACCCATACGCCCTGATGGATATGCATCGAGGCCAATGTGAATCTCCCCTCCTAGAAACGTCCCCGTGGTAATCACCACCCGATTCGTAGGAACTACCTGGCCAGAGTCTAACCTAATACCAACGATCCTGCCGCTAGTATTTGGGGTCGACTGGTGGTCGTCTTGGGACACGACGATATCCTCAACTTTTGCTTCAATGATGCTGAGATTCTTGGTCGAGACCAATTCTTCCTGCATATATCGCTTGTACAAATCTCGATCGATCTGCGCTCGCGGTCCCCAAACCGCTGGTCCCTTTGATCGATTTAAAATCCTAAACATAACACCCGCTTTATCAATTATACGACCGGCCACGCCATCTAGCGCATCGATTTCTCGCATCATTGTGCCCTTTCCGATTCCGCCAAAGCTCGGATTGCAGGAGCAGACGCCAATATTGGAAAGGGACGGCGTGACAAGAGCTGTGCGAGCTCCGGAACGAGCAGCAGCAGCACATGCCTCCGCGCCGGCATGGCCACCTCCGACAACAACGACGTCGTACGGTCTGTTGAAAGGATAGTCGAATGCATTAACATTGTGATCGATTGCTACGACAGTAGACAGTGAGCTTACCGAGCATCAGAGGAAGTGGCTAAGAGACGTCTTTGGCCTGTAAGACGATTATTGGAGCGATGGCTTAGACGACCAAGTGCTGCTGAGCGTGCTCGCAAAGCCATTGTCGTCGATGACTGAGTTGTTGCTGGTTGTTGTCGCCAACTGAAAAGTCAGCGATTAGATAGGAGGAGATCCAAGATTGCTGCAAAGCGCGCTAATATCCAATCAGATGCCGTGTTGACTTAGAGCGTCCCATATTTGCATATCACGTGATTATTCTCCTTTTGTAGTGAATCCAAAACAACATCTAATCTAGCACACACCGACACTGTAAGTCTTTGTGGTCTCGCCTTTGCTGGGCCGAGTTCTGTCATTGGTTTCGGGAACTTTGCGTTACTAGATGGATGGTTGATGTGTCCACGTCTAGTCTGAAATGCCCCGAAACGCTCAGTCCCCGATCTATGCTATTCATAGCCGTGTTCTACGTCTTCTCGCCAGGGTCATGATCAAATTAACTACTAGGTAATTCTCTGGAATCCTTTGTGACAGAACAGAGCAAGGATTCTCTTATATTGTCTTCTCTTGGAGCCGATGAAATTTATTCCAACACTAAAGACTAAGAAGGCTCAGGGTTTATACGCATCAGCGGACATTTGCTCGCTGGATGCATGACGGATGAAGGACGGACGACTCGGACGAAGTTTGTAAGCCTGGAGCCATTGCGTACAAGGGACGAATATAAATCTTCTGTCACTGAACAATGAATCGTCGCAAGAAATACACGATCCCTGCCATGTATCATAAATCAACGTTGGCCTGGAGAAAGGGGTGGCTTATTTAACCATGCGGGCGATTCCGTGCTTTCTTCGGGCTCCTAGGGCTTTGGGTATTCACTATAAGTCTTATTGACCTGACTTCGAGCTCCAAGAGACGACTGTTGATAGTCATGCCTGCCGCTACTAGCCTCGCAAACAATGAGGTGCAAAACGAGCAACCTGGACCTCGATCGCCCAGCGACACTTGCCCACTCATAGCACAGGCCAAACACCAGCAGACGACGCGACAGCTAACAGCACAAGCCACCTCAAGTCCTGGCGTTCTATGCCGTCTTAACCTCTTTGTCAGTTACCGGTCTGCTTACTACGATCGGGGGCACAATCATCACTAATGCCTTGCTAACAATAACCGCCGCACTCGGTGCTGGTAGCTCATCCTTATGGATTGCAGATGCCTACTTTCTCGCTTCCGTTGCGGCACTTCCTCTATATGCCCAGATGACAACATTTTTTGGCCGTTGCCCGCTGCTGCTGGGCTCCGTGGCTATTTTTGTCCTGGGCAGTAGCTTGTCTGGTGGCTCAAGCTCGATGGGCATGTTGATCGCTTCGCGTACAATCTAGGGCCTTGGTAGTGGCGACATCAGCCTGCTGATTGAGACAGTCATCCAGGATCTCGTCCCACTGCGAGAAAGAGGTAAGCACATGTCGATCGTGCTGATGTTTAGCACGCTCGGTGCGGCATTAGACCCGCTACTTGGAGGCCTGATTACAAGCAAGACCACCTGGCGTTGGATCTTCTATATCAACCTTCCGGTTCGGAGGAGGTAAGTTCTTTCCAGGTACATATCCTCGGTCTATTTAATGATAGCCACCATCTAGCGGCACTCGTGGTCCTCTATTTATTTTTGCGCATGAATTACCGGAGGGACCAGACCTGGAAGCAACGGATCGGCCGCATCGACTTTGTAGGCAATCTTATATTCATCGTGGTGGTGGTGGCCATGATCCTGGCCCTCACTTGGCGCGGGGCGTTTTACAGCTGGGGTAGCTATCGCCAATCCTGGTGGCTCTCATCTTAGGATTTGTTGGTTTGCTCATTTGGACTGGGTTTGAGTGGATGCCAAAATTCGCCCCAGAACCCTCTTTTCCGCGCAGAATCGTCTCCAATCGCACCTCGTCAGCTGCTCTCATCTTAACCTTTTTGCACTCTGTCGTCACCTATTGGACCTTCTATTTCCTCCCAATCTACTTCCAGGCAGTCAAAGGGCGATCACCCTTGTCCTCGGGAGTCGACACTTTGCCAACGTTTGCTGGAATCATCCCTTTTGCGATTATGGGCGGCGTGCTCCTGTCCAAGACCGGCCGGTACAAACCGTTACACTTCTTCGCGTTCGTGCTAATGACTATCGGCTTGGGTCTATTCAGCACGATGGACGAGACTTCAAGCATTGCCGCCTGGGTCTGCTATCAACTGCTATGCTCCATCGGTGCCGGATGCCTCGCAGGAATCACCCTACCTGCCGTCCAGGCGCCACTGGATGAAAGCGATGTAGCCACCGCGACCGGATTGTGGAGCTTTATCCGCGGTTTCGGAGCGATCTGGGGTGTCACTATCCCAGCTGCGGTGTTTAACAATGGAAGTGCCAAACACGCAAGCATGGTGGGCGACGCCGGAGTCGCACAGATGCTGTCTGGTGGGAAAGCCTACGAGTATGCGACGCAGGCATTCCTCAACGGCATCAACGATCCGACAGTCCGAAGAGAAGTCATTCAAGTCTTTGCAAAGTCAATGCAAACAGTGTGGTATGTCTGCCTGGCGGTCCGGGCTTGATCATCACACTCTTCGAGAGAGAAGTGAAGCTGCGTCGAAATCTCCAGACCGAGTTCGGTCTTTCGTATCCTCAAGACCCAGCTGCACTGGAAATGGGCGTGTCAACCGTCGAGGCTAACAGCGCAAGTTCACCAGTCTCAATTCCTGATTGATTTTTCTTGACCTCTTTTCGACCGAAACATGATGATCCCGAGAGAAACACATGCATTTGGCTCTTCCAAACATTTCTTCAGCAACCGGCAACTTGGGTGTCTGATGTAGAAGACCGATAGGTCACGTGATATTCCATACCTGATTGGCCAACTGGAACTTCATAGCATTGGGTTCGCACGTCATTTTATAATTGGTTTGGAGCCAATCGCAGTCTGCACGAGGCATGCTTACTCTTATTCGATTTAGATATAAACTCCTCGACTCCCTGAAAACAGTTATTTCTCTTTTTCTCCATTAGACCAAACAAAACACTACTTCATTTTTTAACTCAATAATCGTTCCCGTCAATTCACAATGAAGGCCTATTGGTATGACAATGCTCCTGTAAGTGGTCGATTTTTTGTAATCTACCGTGTGGACTGGACGTGAATGCGAATCGCAATCGCCAACCCCACTACCCCTCCCCAACTCTATCAAAGTAAATAAAAGAGAAGGGAGAAATGCTAACAACAAAATCTAAAGGGCGACCAACGCGACGACCACGACTCCGGCCGTCCAGTCGAAAACTCCTATCTCGAAAGCCTGGGCGTGGTCTACCGACGACTCCCCCAAATCTCCGACGTCGACGCTCTTGCCAAGGAACGAGGATACAAAAACCGCGATGAAATAACCGTTTCACCGGACAAAATGGGCGCTATCTACGAGGAGAAAGTGAAGTCTTTCTTCAGCGAGCATCTCCACGAAGACGAGGAGATCCGCTATATTCTTGATGGAGATGGATACTTTGATGTGCGCAGTGCCGACGATGCTTGGGTGCGCATTCGACTGCAGAAGGATGATCTTCTTATTCTCCCGGCGGGCATTTATCACCGCTTCACGACCGATTCTAAGAACGTAAGTTGATATTCCCTGTTTCTAATCGGTTCAATACGCGATGGGTATAAGACCAGACAGAAGCTAACTTGCATATAGTACATAAAGGCCATGCGTCTGTTCCAAGACGAGCCTAAATGGACTCCTCTCAACCGTGGCCCTGATGTCGATAGCAACCCTCACCGTCAAGCCTATCTCCAGAACAGAATGACCGTGGTTGCGTGACGAAATTCCTCGTTTTTTTGCAGTATTTTTGCATAAAAAACGGAGTAGTATGCTGATAGTCTTGAACATAATGAACAGAAGTTTCTTTCCAACGCATATATTCAGTAATATCCTACCTAGCAAGTCTCAAGGACCTTGTGTTGCTTACCTTTCGGTTAAGTGGGTGAGCTTGAGGTTATATTCTAGGGAATCACATCATATAATATAACTAGACTGTATAGTATAAAGGCAAGAAATATTCTGGGTTCGTTTTTGTAGGAATTATCATTATTATACAGAATCATGGCGTGGGAACGGCTCTATGTAACGAGCCAGGCATATCAAGAGCTTCGTTGCCCGTAACAGAAGCACTCCCTCGGGAATCATAGTCCTGATTATAAACAGAATTCGAGTGGGGAGGGAGATCTTGAAAATTCGTAGAATCATATCTTGTTGGCCCGCGAAATCTCACTCCGCCTTGCCCTGGGTTATCCTCGAGAATGGCCTCCTCGGATCCCGAAGTTGCGACGACTGTTTGCTGTGGACCAATTCGGGATGATACAGCTGCCGCTGCAGCAGTCGCTCCGACTTCAGCATCATCACCCGGCCTTACGCCTGTGCGTCCCATCCTCGGCCAGAAGTCAGGCAAGCCAACTACTTGTACCCGTGGCTCTACAACCCGTTCTTCAAACCAGGCGTGAATACGGGCTTCAACCAATTGCGCCACTTTGGGAACATCCTGCAGTCTACTCCTAGATCCAATCAAAGACCTCACAGACAAATCTAATCTGTAATCGGGCAGAAATGAGAATGCCAGATTCGTCTTAGGTACCCCTTTTTTCTCCCGATCTGGTGTCGGAGATGCAGCTGTTCCGTTCAACTCCGCGGAAAGGTGCTGGAAAAGCGAACGCATGCCTAGACTGCTAGCATCCGGCGTCGGAGAGGTGGACGAAGTCTGTGATGACGCTGACGTGCTAGCCGGAATGAGGGAAATACAGAGAGTTCCAGAGAAACGAACAACAGAAACCGACAAAGCGACTGGGAGAACGGCGGAGCGCGGTTTTGGGTAATTCAAAATCAACGATGTCTCGATAGCTAGAGACAGATTGTCATCACTCAGATCAACATCCATCAACGCCTGTAACCTGCCCCCATCTGAATTTGCATCGTCCACGGCGATGACGCGACAATTACTGAATATAGGAAATTCTTCGCCTAGGGAAATATCCGTGACTTTAATAGTGTCAATAAAGGATGGCTTCTTCTGGGGGTCGTTGATGGCAGCAGATAGGGAATCAAGGATTGAAGAAGTAGGCGAGTCTTTGAGCAGATACGCCGTTTGACGATATTGAGCAATGGTTTGTGCGATTAGAACATTGAACCAATCCAGAGACTCGGGCTGGTGCGTAGAATGTTGTATCCTATGTCGGCCTTGTTTATTGTGAGAGAGCTGCGTGGGGATTGCATTGTAATATGTCTTTCTCAAAATCGAACGAGTATTGGTTGCGGATGACGGCACGGGGCGCAGGACATTGGAAGTAGACGGTTTTTCTCGCAATGACCGCGGACTACCACTATTGTTGCTATCTCTATCACCCTGGTTTATGGAATATGTCCGACGATGTGTTGCCGTGCGGCTGGCTAGCCCACGCGATGGAGGTGCTGGTGCTTCGCCGAAGATGAAGAACTTGATGAAAGCTCCGATTAATAGGACGACGGAAAGCTGGCCGAGGAGAAATCCTTGAGTAAAGGATAGCCTTTTTGAAGAGACCCAATGTTAGTGGTTTTTCCATACCGTATATCCATTCCCTTCAGCCAGAGTGCGAAACTTACGAGGGCTGGACAGGGACACCAGGAGCGTCATCTATAATAAAGTGCATATTTGATTAGTACGATCCGGTCTCCCAGGCCACCGGCCATTGTATTACTTACTTCGTGGGTATTGAGACATGGCAGACAAGTACGCCTAAGTCCACTCAGTGCCCACCATCCCTCTCCTAATTTGGGCAAGTCGAGCTCGAATTGGAATGATGGAAGCTTGGATGTAGTCTGCTGTTTTTCGGCGGCAAGATGCAACCTAGTTTATCCGGGCCTTGTTATCCAGGCAGCCAGCCTAGCTGTAATAGTACTAGGCTGGGCGCTTAGGTATATCTGTCACATGAATCACATGAAACTAAATAAACATTCACGCAGGAATTATTTTCTTACTCTCAGGTATTCATAGCTAAGCCTCGCAAAATGTGCGGATTTCTTTGGGTGTTGTGAAGCTGCTATGAAACTGCCTTTGCCATACCTGGGGAGAGCATCGTTGGTAGCCTGTGGAACAACAGAACACTTGAGCCTCACGCTGGTTCTCGCAGTCATTGGATTCTAATCGAACTATAATTGAATTTGACAAGAAAATCGTTGACAGCTGTTTGATTGGCACTATTTCACACTATACAACTCACCTTTCAAACAGTAGAGGCCACGTTTACTCTGCCTTGGTTATCAGGCCAGGCAGCAGCCCTAGCAACGCTTTTGCTTCGAAGCTTATAATACATAACCAAAGGAACGCAATTTTCATTTGCCAAAGACCAATGGGACACTACAGCTATGAAACCACCATCTACCATTTACTACTTGCCATCTTGGCTAGCACTCTTCTCGAGTGCGTTCTCTGAAACGCCACCTGGGCCCAATGCCATTCGACTTTCCAATGTCCAGACTCTCACTTTACACGCACATCGAATGACTTGGTACCGCCGTGTGTCACCTATACATCAATTGAAATGCGTTGGTCCGTCTTCAGTCTGCAGATTATATGAGGTTGATTCGATGCGCTGCACAAACCAAGGCTACGACTACGACGAAGAAGACATTCAATGGACCTGTACTGCCTCTCTCCCACCAGAGTTCAAACTTGGTTCTACAGACGTGATATGCGAGGGCTACAGAGATGCTGAAGATAAGTGGGTGCTTAAAGGTAGCTGTGGAGTTGAATATCGCCTCCTGTTGACAGAAAAGGGAGAAGAACGATATGGACGCCGCCTTAGGTATACTTCTAAATCGTCGTCGACGACGGCGAGTGAATCTGAGAACGACTGGCTTGCTACGTATTTGTTTGCATTTATTTTCATCTGTATCGCGGTGGTCATACTATATTTCGTCTGTTATGGTGAAAATGGTCGTGGTAATCGTCCTGGGCAGAGAGGGAATAACAATCGAGGTGGAGGAGATGACGATGACCCACCTCCTCCATACGATTATCAATATCAGTCCCAACGCAAACGATCCGGGTCAGGCCCGGGATTTTGGACAGGCGCTGCAGCTGGATCAGCAGCCGGCTACACAATGGGTCGCAGGCACAACCGACAACAAGCTGAGCGAGAGACAAACGCAGGGACGTCATCCAGCTCAAGACGCTACGATCTAGATAGGGACGAGCCAAGACCATCACGGAACTTCTCCCCTACAAGGGTCAACACTGGATTTGGGTCTACAAGGCGACGATAAGGGCAACGAGAATAAAAGCCTCTTCGCCTGATGACAATTGGGCACCTGTGTTTGGTTAGAAATACTAAAAGTGAGCGTGGTCTTAAGAATACTAACGCGTGCTCTATTGAGTATATCTACCGTCGAAACGAAATCAAAATCCCACCAGCAAAACAGAAAAACGAGGCGGCTATTTTGGTTATATAACTCCTTTCCCTCCTTAATACTCCATTCAAGTCTTCAAAGCCAGATGGAATAACACCCCCAGAAAACGCCTTGTGTCACTATATAGCTTCCAGAATATGGAAGCCGAAAACCAAAACAAGTGCATGTTCGAAATCGAACACTAAAAAAATTGTCTGAGAAGCCATGACTAGAAGCAAAAGAATAATGATTTCTTCTCCCCCTATAGTCCGCTCTTAGTGGCTCTTCGCAAAAGAATTTCGTTTTTTGAAGGGAACATTCTCGACACTTTGTATGACATTTGTGTTATTGGAAGCACCGCCTGGATTGCGCATTTGCTCATCGTGTGCAAGTCTCTCCTTGGCGTGCTGCTCCTCAATGCGTCGTTTGTCATCTTCCAGTTCTTTTTGTATGACCTCAAGATCATCATAAACCGTGTTCGTCAATTCCGAGTACGTTTTAATGTCAACAGACTCGCGCGGTCCCAAAAGTGTCTGTTTTATTCGCTCAGGGTCTCGACGCTCCTCGTTATTGAATTTCAACTTGATCTGGCGGCGAGATCGTCCTGGAAACATATTGCTTATAAGAGAAAAGTCTGTGCCAAACATGCGTAGACCTCTATAAAACAAGTCGGTTAAATCCTCATCCCATGATTCGGCCTTGGTCCGTTTGCCGTATGTAGCCTGGTTTATTTTTCTATTGAGTCGACTCTCCACAATATTTTCCATTTCACCAATCTCCCGAGCCGCTTCAGCGCGCTGGTCCAGTTGCAGGGACGCATTGTCGATGACAATTTCACCATTGACAATTCTCATGCGTGGGCCAGTCTGCGACGTCGAAGGCATTGAAGAGGTTTCACCATTAAAATTTTCCACATCTGCTTTGACTGGTGTGCTTGAGTTGCGGCCTTTTTCCTTGGCTTTCTCTTTGCGCTCTGCCTCTGCTAATTCAAGGTTTCGTAACTCTACCTCGCGCTTTGACTTCTTGCCCGTTCTGAGATCTTTGCAAAGCTCGGACATCCGCACAACTGCCGGCGCTATTTCTATATTTTCTGATTCTTCGGGTGTTGGCTCGCGCTTTCTTTTTCCCCGAGGCTTTCTTGTCTTTGTCCCTTCCTCATCCGTAGTGCTATCTGCCGCTGTATTTCTACGTCGCTTCTTTTTCGGTAGAGGTGGTTTTTTAAACTGCGCCGAGGTACTTTCCACCGAGTTGTTCCCTGTACTAACTGTTGCCCTGCTTTCGTTTGTATTCGATCCAATAAGAACACCCGTTTGATTCACATCATTTGTGGTATGAATGGTGGTGGCCGTTGGATTTTGAATTGGCCTAGAAGGAGGATGTTCAAAGGCCGATGTTTCATGAGTAACTGTTTCAGATACGCCACTAGGTATCGTAGATTGATTCGCTTGTGTTGTTGTTGTAGTAGTAGTAGTCTGTACGGTATTATTTCCTGACGGTAAACTACTTTCCCCCAGTTTATCCAATGCATGCGGCAGCTCAGTTGGTTCCGGGTGAGCAGTGGCATGGCTTACTTCGGGCGCAGGCTGCACCGTCGAGAGCGATTTGTCGGGTACGCCAGACACATCTTGATGTTCACGATCTGTAGGGGTGGTGGTAGATAGAACCGAAGGGGCTAAACCAGGCGCAACCGCGATATTATGATCAGCATCTGCGATACTGGATTCTTCTGTGCGTTGTTGTTCTTGTTGAGCATTCACGGCAGATGGTCGCGTATCCGGAGCGGAGGGAGCAGGTGGGGCATTTGTTGTAGGCGCTGGTGTAGTAGATGGCTTGCGATTGTCAACGCTAGTTTGGCTTGCGTCGACTACATTTTTCGGTATTGGGGCAGGGCGGCGAGGAGGCGCCTTTGGAGCAAACTTTTTCCCTGACTTATCTGCGAGAGAAAAAAAAGGATGCGTTAGATAAAAAAGGTGCAGATGCGGGGCGTGATTACTCACTAACTGTAGACGAACTCGTGAATGCGACCATTTTTTGCACAGGTCAAACAATCCGTCACATATTTAGGCGCCTGCAGACAAATCAGTATATAGCACTTTGCGAATCTGTGTTGTCTTGAAGCTGACTCGTATGCTTATCTTGTTGCTCGCAAGTAATTGCTACGGCATGAGAAATCTGCGGAGAAGTGGGCGGAAATCACGTGAGAGGCGCTAAAGACGCTAGCCAGAAGCCGAAGTCGAAAATCCTCCTCCTTTCCTTTGAGTCGGTCTCTCTTCCGTTGTTCTCCTCGGCCACCTCACCTTTCTCGTCCTTTCCCACTGTATACGCGCGCTTCTTCCTTTGCGGGAAAAATCGTTCGTTCAGTTGCGCTCAAATAGCTAATCCAAGCGACTGTCTCAAACTGGAAGTCGCGTTAGCCACTGATGCCGGCCGTCGAAGCAACCCCCGTTTCATCGTCTGAGCCCGGTCTTATCAAGATGGAAGACCGGAAGAGACCTGCCGGTCATGATCAGAATGATGCTGCGCCTCCGTCGAAAAGACAGGCTACTTCAGTCAATGGGAATAAACCCCATCCGGATGCAGATATGCCATGGAAGGATGACTTGGAGGTAAGTCTATACCCGCTTCAGAACGCCCCGCGTTAACCGTACTCTTTTCAAAAATAGTAGCTCTAGATTCTGGACCCTTTTGCTGATTTAGTGTTGAATATTATAGCGTTTCACAAAAGATGCCATATGGCGCCAAATGCAAGAGTATAAACGGGAAAAAGTCACATTGGAATCCAAGGTCAAAGAATTGACGAAAGCCGCCACATTTCATCAGGACCATTTGCGAATCATAGATGCGTGGTTCAAACAAGTAAGAATTCCCGGAGTGAATGTTATGGATGATCTTGCGACTAACATGGGTTCGTTTTCAGTTGATCGACGAAGTTAAGATCTTGTTCGGAGATGTCGATATGCAAGGTACGAATAATAACAACATCAGCATCCCTGATAGAGATATGCATGCTGATGTGTTGACAGACCATCCATCTTTTCAAACTTCGCTCTTATTCGATGATAATGAAAATTTCAAGAAACACCTGCAGAATCGATCCGATGACATAAAAGACACCCTCTCCAAGCTAATTGGTAATGCGCCGAAGACTACTCCAGATGTGTCGGAATTACAGAGCCGATTGACAAAGAAATTGGCCGAAGAAAAAGTCACTATCATTGACCTTGAAAAGGCTTTATCTGAAAGACAGCAATTTGAGGAACAGCTGGAAGCAGCTTCATTTCGGTATATGATGGCTGAGAAGAAACTTGATAGAGCGAGGAGTATGACAGTTGCCAAGTTGGAAAAACAATATATTCTTGGTGCGCAACGACCTGGGGGTGATGGATCGTCGTCTGCCAATCGGGAAGAAACTACTACGCCAGTTAACGGCAGCACGCCTACCGCTGAAAAAAATACCGACCTGGAAGAATCTTACAACAAAGTTTTGGCTTCGTCTCGGAAGCAGCGAGAACAACTAGAAGCCCTTGAGGCGGAGAACGCGAAACTGACGAGTGAAATAACTGCTTTGAGTGTAAAGGTTGGTTCCTAGAATAGTGCTATGCAGATTTATCTGAGCAAGGACGCTAACTCACGGGTGTTGTAGAACTCAAAACTTACTGATGACGACTATGCGCACACGGACCTTTTCAAGCAACTCAAATCTCAGTACGAGGATGTGATTAAACGTGTCAATCATCTCGAGGCGTTGAATGTTCAATTGAGGGAAGAGGCTGGAAAGTTGCAAGCCGAAAGGGCGGCCTATCGAAATACTTTGGATACTGAAAAACAGAAGGAAATTGAAGAGAAGGACGCCCAACTGCAAAAGGCCGAAGCCGATCTCGCAAGAATTCGCAATGCCCGCGACGAACTACTTGCTGATCAGCAAATGAGAAAAGCCGCTCAGGATCAAGAAATGACAGCGGCAAATAAGACACAAGAGTTGGCGGCGGCGAGAGAGTCCCAAATCGAAGCTCTTGAATCGGAATTGGAAAGATTACGCATCAAAGTCGAGGGATTAAAAGACGATAATTCCGAACCCATTGAAGAGCTTTCTGTAGAGGACTTGCGGGCGAAGTATCAGAGCATGGACCGCCAATATGCAATGCTCAATAAAGAGTTGGCTTCAATGCAAACTGTGTGCAAGAAATACTCAAGCTTGGCGTCACAGAAGGTTGCCGAATTCAGTGCCCTTGAAGAGAAGGTTCAGCGACTGGTTGCAGAAAAATCGAAAGCGGATCAGAAGTATTTTGCTGCCATGAAAAGCAAAGAAGCACGTGATGCTGAGGTGCGCACTTTGAGGTTACAGAATCTTAAAAGTTCGGATATCATTTCCCAACTTAAAGATGCCGAGTCCGCCACTCGTTCACTCGTTGCAAATCTTGAAAAGCAAATCGCAGAAGGGAAAGAAGCCCTCAACTCTACTTCCAACAAGTATCGCGCCTCACAACAACAAAACAACGAGAGTACCGTTATCATAGACGGTCTTAAAGCGCAGGTCGCCGAACTCAAATCGCTAATGACAGCAAAGGATAGCACGGTAGCTACCGTGTCAGCTACTTGTAGGAAAGCCGAGGCGGAGGTAGAAAGCCTCAAATCGACCCTCTCCGACACGAAGAAGAGCCTCGAGAATTGGAAGACGAAGTCTCTGGGTAATTCCTCGTCTGAATATGAAATGCTGCGGGTAGGTTTATGTTTCCAAATGCTCTTTGTGGCAGCATTAGCTAACGGACAACATAGTCGCTTGCCCTTTGCACAGTGTGCCGACGCAATTTCAAGAATACAGCCATCAAAACGTGTGGACATGTCTTCTGTAAAGAATGTGTGGAAGAACGGCAAGTCTCGCGGTCACGAAAATGTCCGAATTGCAACAAATCATTTGGAAGCAATGACTACATGCATGTGACACTTTGATAACAAGATGGCCCTGCATGGTATTTGACATCGTTTTCTCTTTATATTTCCATGTACACTATGTATTTTCCGCCTTGCATCTGTATTGATTTTTCCTCAGGGCGTCTATTGTGGATATCGTTAGCGTGGGACTGACTTTGACATCGGAAGCGGTTGGCGTTCGGAAGTTCTCTGGCTCCTTCGAAATTCTTATAACCTTCATCCAAATCGGGGCTCTTTTTTTAACCTGATGAAAGGGACCGGCGCTTCATCAATGCCGAGTAATACTTCCGGGCAAGTAGGGGGTCCAATTTTTGTTTTTCTTTTTGGGTATTGAAATGATTAGTGAGATGAAGGCAACGCTTCTGTACCGTTGCGAGATGTACGAGTACTGCAATACTGAATTCGAAAATTTCACCAAACGAAGCTGTGTCTTAGCTGTCCTGAATGGGTAAATCTCAAACGGCCCCTAGGGAAGAGAACGGAAGTGTGTTTTATCACGAATTGAAGATCCGGCTGTAAAGTAACTCATGTCTCCCTAGCCATAGATCCAGCACTGGAGCTACCTGCCCAGCATCCTCGGGTCGAATGTGGAAGTCGTGCTGTATCCTTTCGTTAATGAGATTGCGGATGTCGTCGCCAGCAAGGATGGTCTGCGCCTGATAGGGTCCCATGACAGATGCTCGCACAGCAGCACTTAGGACTGCTTTTGCATGATTCAACATAAAAGTATAAGCAGTTAGGCTGATCTCAATTCCCATTGCGGCGCAAACAACGCCCCACAATGGAGCAAAGTGGCCATTGGGCCCTAAGGCATCATCATCAAATCCACTCGTTTTCAGTGCTTCGGAAAACTCTTTGATTGCCATCATAGCAGAGCCAGGATCAGGACCAGAGTCAGAACTGAAGGGAGTATTGTCATTATTAGTTGTGACATATGAACCGTAAAATGATTTCTCCCAAACACTTAGCAAAGCTCTACCCTGAGCCACGCTTGCTCGTCTGGCTACTGTGCAAGGTGTTGATGCATCCAGATCATTGTCTAACGTATGGAGCTCTGCTGGAGATCGATAAGCCGCAAGAAGATAGGGCACGGAACTTTTCGATACAGAGGATATCGACAACTTTAAGAATCTTTTAAAGGAGACGATAGGTGGCATGGGTCCTGGTAGTGCTTTTTGATGCGCTAGGAATGACTCGAGGCCGCTGGAGTAAGCAAACGAGCCGAGTGGTAAGGCGGAGTCGGAAATCAGTAAAAGCGAATGTACAGATGGCGACAATTGATATTTAACTATATAAAAGTCATTCAAATAGTTCGCTCGCGAGAACTCTTATACGCAATGACAACATACTATTTGTGAAGCCCAGATCAAGTTTAGAATCACCGCGAGCGGGATTTTCATGCGCTTCCCGTAACCGACTCCGAGCATTTTTTAAGCGGAGTTCAAGCTCAAGAATTTCATTCTCGAGTTCTTGACAGTTGTTCAGAGGCATGATTGGCTGTATAATTACTAGTCGTTGCTTTTCGAAGTAAGGCGGGCGATGCTTTTGCTTAGGTCCCTGGTCAGCGGTAGATTACGCAGCTAGGCATCCAAGGGCGGCGAGATGAGGCAGAAAATGTAAATAACTATCCATCCATTATTCCTCGCGCGGATGGAGAAGCTCTTCGGATCACACTTAATTGAAGATACGTTTTCATTCAGTATGTCTATGCCATAGCAGAAAGGCGCATTGATCAAAGATGGCGGGAAAGCGGCTTCTGGATGCCCTCCAGTTCCTCAATGTCACCAAATCCGTTGCCGGAAAACACCTCGCAATCCGACAGCAGCAACTAGGTGTTTATACACGCACATCATCCATCACCAAAGGACTAAAAGAACAAGCAGATAATTGGGTGATTACTGCTCAGGCGGCTTCTGCTTTAGCTAAACGTTTCAATGAGACTTCATCGTCTCCTGATGGCCAAACAAGGGGATATTCGGGAGAGGACTTAACTGGTGGCATCGTTGAGAAAGATGCCATTCAGAAAGCTAATTCCCACGAAGTCATCAATGGGGATAAGCTGGATAATACAAGTCAATTACAAAGACAGGGGGAGTTTGAGATCCCAGCAAAACAAGCCGCTCAAGACTTGGAACAGACAGTGGCTGATGATCTAACAGTCAGCAAAGCTCAAGATACATTTTACAATCCTCCTTTGACCTCAACCACAGGTATATCGTCACTTCCCAGGGTTAAAATACCCGAAACAGTTGGTGTCTCCCAGATGAGTGAACCTCGTGTCACCTCTGGACCTATAAATTCGGACGTGTTCCATTCTCCTAGTAGCACACCAGCAGAACCATCCGAGGAAGCTTTGCAAGGCGTTTTCCGTAGCCCAAGAGTTGCAAGTCTGCTTCTGTCGAAGAAAAAGAACCCCTACATTCTTAACAGAGAATCGATTGACATTGCCAAAAATGAATCTCAAAAGCATCACGATGATGCTAGGGTCGCTAGTATTTCCGACTCTGCAACTACAGTTGAGAGGAAAGTCACGGAAGGACAATCGAGCTCTACATTGCCCGAGATGCCCGAGACTCTAGCAGAAGATATCAAAGTTCGTCATCATGCCAGGTTCTGCCAAACTACGGATTTCCATGCTAACTGTTGAGCAAGTATACTACAACAAGGGCCTCATCGGTAGAAGAGACTCCTTATAGAATGCTGGAATCGCGCGTCCCTTCTTCTCGTCTAGGCAGGATCTGGCAATATGGGGGCCTCGCTACCTCGATGGCTTTTGGCGCCTTTGGTGAGAGCTTCCGAAGAGCCACTGGGATTGCAGACGGGTCCAATGGGTCAATTATATTCAGTGCTGGTAATATGGAACGTCTGGTTGCGAAGCTCTCTAAAATGAGAGGCGCAGCTCTGAAACTGGGTCAAATGATGAGCTTCCAAGGTTTGTTCATGAAAAATATACCCGCATCTTACCTAGCGTTAGCTAATCACGACGATTAAGATTCCCGGATGCTGCCTGAGCCTATTGCCGCTGTCTTGCAACGAGTTCAAGACCGTGCGGATTACATGCCAGCATCCCAAAGAGATAAAGTCCTCGTTGCAAACTTGGGACCTAACTGGCGAGATCTATTTGAATCTTTTGAAGAGATCCCAATGGCCGCTGCTTCGATAGGCCAAGTCCATGGTGCAGTCCTCAAGAAAAATGGACAGCGCGTGGCTGTTAAAATCCAGTACCCAGGAGTGGCTGATTCCATTGATTCCGATCTGAATAACCTATCCATTCTTCTCACAGCAACCCGTCTGCTCCCAAAGGGACTTTTCCTTGATAAGACCATTGCAAATGCGCGTACAGAGCTGGGGTGGGAATGCGATTATGTCCGTGAAGCAGAATGCGCGGAACGATTCAGAATCTTGCTCTCAACTGATTCGTCTTCTTTCGTTGTTCCAGAGATCGTCCACGAAGCGTCGGGCAAACAGGTGTTGACAATGGAGCGGATGGATGGAATAGCCGTTACAAAAATAAAGGATTTCACCCAGGAGCAACGTGACTGGATTGGTACGGAGATTCTTCGACTCTGTTTACGGGAAATTTGTGATTTCCATTTCATGCAGACTGACCCCAACTGGACTAATTTCCTGTACAACGCGGAAAAGAATCGACTTGAATTACTTGATTTCGGTGCCTCGCGCGAGTATCCCCCCGATTTCATCGACACCTATGTCGAAACTCTCCTGGCTGCCGTGCATGATGATAGGGACCGATGTCGAGATCTCTCCGTGAAATTGGGCTATCTCACAGGCTACGAGTCCCAAGCGATGGTTGACGCTCACATTGATTCCATCATGACTCTCGCGGAACCCTACAAAGACTCTGCTCCTGACATTTACGATTTTCGTGACCAGACCATAACGGATCGTGTACGGTCATTGATCCCTACAATGCTTCGCGAACGATTGGCTCCCCCTCCTGAGGAAACTTATAGTTTACACCGGAAACTAAGTGGTGCGTTCCTGCTATGCGCCAAATTGGAGAGTCGAGTGCCTTGCAAGGAGCTGTTCAGATCTGTTGTTGCTGAGAAACGTAGGGGTGCGAAGTCATAACATAAGAATCAATCGATTCTTCACCTCCCCTCTGTCCCGTTTTAAGATCGTGTTGAAACATCCCTTTACCACCTTTTTGTATACTAGTAGACTATACTTACGATGTACTATATATGTTCATAAAGATGAACATTCATCCATAAACACCTGTCAATAGTTCAATTTAAGAAGCACCATTGAAATGCCCGTCAATATCGCCTTGTGTGTCTAAGTAATTCTGGAATACACTAGGTACACCCAGATAGACACAAAAAGGTGCCTAGAAATAGGCAATTGTAGAGGTGATCTCTAGATACGCACTAAAAATGTAATCATCACAGTTCTAACTAATGCTGCCGTATCTGTCTAGACTAGCCCTTTCTATGTATGTCTCTTTGCCATCGGAAACCCAGGGGGGAAGTCATATTAAACACACGTCTCATTTTGTTGAGCTGCTGCTTCATAATACAAGATTGTTGTTGGAATGTTGTAATATTTTCCGAAAGAAGTACCCATAAATGCTTCATCTGTGAAAAGGATGAAAAGAACTGCACAGAACAAGTCATCCACTCGTCCAGAAAGAAGATTATTCTCTTTTCTCTTGTGTATTTAACAAGGCATCACCGTCTTGATTTATCATACACCGTCACCAGTCGGCTTATACAAAATAGTGGTAACATACTGTTTACACGAATTAATATGCGTAGTAAAGTGAAATTTAAACTCGGGCATATTCAACATACCTTTCGCTTGTATCGCGTCGTAACACTAGTAGCCAGAACACCATTCTTGATACTGCTTGTAGCAAGATGATTTAGGACAGTGTGATTTGGGTAATTCAAGACACTATTGTCGTCTTTCATTGGGGTTGTTCCGTTCAAGATAGACCTGCCCAAGAAAAGAGGTAAAATTGGTGGAGTGGTAGCATCGGCGATGACATTTGCAGCTCTTTGGTATTCCGCACCTTCGTCTTCTCTATCAATGTCGACCAGAAACTGAGGAACCGTGTCGCGGAAGTTTCCCATTGGTATTTCCTCTTCGGGTTCCTCGGCTTCTTCTCTCTCCAAAGCTTCTTGGGTTTGCGCGGTCAATTTGTCGGGAAGTACTTGTGGTGGATGAACGCCTGTAGATACTATGGCCTTTATGGCTCGGTCACTCTCACGACGCGATCTTTGCCCCCGGAAATCATCCGCGACGACCTCAATATAATTGACCAAGTGATTCGTGAAATCAACAGCAGTTGGGAGGTTATCCGAAGCTCGCATATCTCCATCGACAATGAATTTGAGATGGTGAGTTCCTGGTCGAAGATGCAAAATGGTTGTCTTGATATTGTCATCCGCTTCACTGTCGAGTATATTAGGATCAGAGATTATAGACAACAAAAACAACAAAAGTGTATAGAAAAGAACAAGTTCGCATGTCATACCTTTTATGTAATCTGAATTTCTTCTCCCAGTTCACGAAAGTACCGGTAACAAATACCTGGTCTCCAGGACCTCCCCATTCAATCACAGTTGGCACAGCTTTGCTGCCCGGCCCATGCATGGCATAAGCCAGCATTTCATCTTCGACTTCATCTTCATCGACGTGCATGTCATCAAGGGATATTGTTGCTGTAGGTAATTTATTGTCCAGTGGTTCAATTGGTTCTGAATCTGCCTGGGAATCCACCGGTGCCATGACCGGTGAACATGGCGTGGCATTGGCATCTCCGATAGGGAGGGGCAACCGAGGCGGCCTCTGAAGGTGAGATGCCGAATAGTATGTATTCGAAGGATTGGCCGACGAGGCAGTGGGCATATAGCCTTCATCTCGCCTTGGGATCGAACGATTTGTTGCTGAGGGAACTTGGACAGGACTGGAGGTCTCTACAGCCGTTCCAGATTGATAGCGACTGTCAACCCCCTTTCTATTGCTTCTGTCTGGCACATCATAGATATTCTGGGTTGCATGGGCAAGATTTCGCGACTGTAGACGTTGTTGCACTGTGGCTGCGCCGTGAGATGCCGGTTGCCCTGTAGCGCTCTCTTTGGAGGCGGAAGGGTCTGCTGCACTCGCTTTTGTGCCGGATAGTGCATTGATTGAGGTCCGCCTGTTCACCCTTCGCTCTTGACTGGGCGCATTGTGAGGTCCCGCTGACTGAGCGTGCGGGTTTCCTGGCGGACTCTTGGAGGGACTGTTGCCCATCTAGAGCGGGGAATCGCGCCGGCTTTTGCGGGGATGACGGTTGAGGAAAATCAGAGTGCTAGCATTCGACGACGGAACGTTCGAAGAGGGACGAGGCGTATGGACGGTCGACGAGCAAAACCGTGTTTTCTCACTGGGGTTCTCGGCTGTTGCACTTTGTCGGGGAGGGCTTTCAGGTGGGAGGAGAAGAGTCGTTGAGAGACCTGCCAATCTGCATGCATTCTTGGCAAGATCCCAATGCGGGCGCACGACTAGGCTCCTTACGGGCTAGCTAACTTTGCCGGTTCGGGAAATCAGCCAACACCGCGCCAAGACCTCGTCATCAGTCTTGCCTTGTCTGACTCTTGCTTCATGCCGTTGCGCTGTCGATAGCAGCAGGCATGAAGAATTGGGCTGTTGTTACTGGACATAGGACATGGATTCCAACGTGTGGCTCGGCGCCATACGATTCTTCACGGTGCTTTTTTACTACATTCTATATCCTCTCTTCCTGTTACTATGGGGACTGTGGGCTCTATTGAAGACGCTTCTAACCCCATTTATGCATTTTGGGTTGCTTATCATATATGTTGTTGGCGCACCGTTCAAACTGTTGGCCCAATTTGAGGCAAGTTCATTTAGAACTATCAAAACCACTTGGTTGATTATGAGCTGACACAGGCAACGCAACTTTCTAGCCGCTTTATTTGTTCCTAGGTTGGGCGGTGTTGATTGGCGGAGCTACCGGATTATTGCTATGTATCACATATCAATTACTGGGACATACACTGAAATTGTCAGGCAGTCCGAGAAGTGCACCACGTACTTTCGCAAAACCTCCGGTGGGAGATTTACGTCGACGGAATGATGGCCAATCCATTTCAGACTCCTCCGACATCAATGAACGTCACTCTCGCGACCGCCAGCCGGATAGCAAACATGAAAGCCGGTTCTCACTGAGTGAATTTTATGCTGACTGGGTCGATCAAGAGCACCCCATTCCGTTCAAAGATACAGAATTAATATCAACGGCGATAATAGAAGAGGAGGAGGATAATTCATAATCTGGGGGTACTAAAGACAATGGCACAACAATTCTTCGCTCTCTAAGGCCCTGTCATGATTTTCGAAGGCCATGGAGTTATAGTGCACAGAAAGAGAATATGGGTTCGCCTGCAACAAACTATAACGGCAAGGATTGAACACCGGCCATGTATACAGTAATCCACACCTTACGCAGACTCTGAGATGAAACATGTTTTCAATCCCGCCAATCAACGAGAACCTCGTCCGTCCGGAACCTTTGAGTACATGTTGCATCCTCAAGTGGCGTCCTGAAACCTTGTTTATAAGCCATCAAGCCAGCATGTGCAATCATGATACCGTTATCAATGCAGTAGCGTTCATCGGTGGCATATAGATGGCCGCCTCGGTCCTTTGCCATGAGAGACATCATTTCCTGCAGCCTTTCATTACACCCCACGCCGCCAACTATAAGAACGTCTTTTGAACCGACATGGGCCATCGCTCGCTCAGTGATCTCAACTAGCATGGCGTATAACGTCTCCTGCAACGAGAAGCACAAATCTGCCCTAGTGATTGTATCACCGTTGTCGGTCTTACCATTTGTCTCTGCTTGAGTCAACTCATCCAGAGCAGCAGCATCTTTTCCGGCGAGCCCAAGCGAGATTGCCAAAGCTTCTAGGTGAGCTAGAATTCCGGAGAAAGAGCAATCCATGCCTTTAACAGCATAGGGCATTTCCACTAATCGGTGGCCCTTTTTTGCAAGTTGTTCGATGTTATAGCCCGGTGCGGGGTCATTTGAGATGTTTAATGTGCGTGCAAATCTGTCCAGACAGTTTCCAACTGCAATATCTAGTGTTTCTCCAAAGATGCGGTACCGCTTGGAGCTATAAGCTATAACTTGCGTATTGCCACCGGAGACATATAAGACAACGGGATTAAAGGCACCGGTTACTTGTCGACCCATCTCGATATCTGCATGAAGGTTAGCTCAATTTCTTCCCCTAAGTCAGTGACTGTCAATTGAAAATGATCACGCCTGTTGCACAAACTCCTTGGATTGCTAGGGCGGGGGCGGGCAGTGTCTGTAATGAAATAGGTATAAAATAGCTATACGTACGTCCAACACAATGATTTACGCCCACCAAGTCCTTTCCCCATAGAAGACTCAGCATGCGTGCGGCAATAGCTGCGCTCTGAAGCGGGGCTCCCATACCAGGGCCCTTGGTGTAGCAAACGCAGTCGACATCGTCCACCGTTACCCTAGCCTGTTTCATGGCTTGCTTTACCAGCTTAACAACCCACGAGCGATGGTGGTGGGCTGTATCTTTCGGTAGGAACCCTTCCCCTGGCGGCGATACATATGTGTGTCTGATATTTGCAAGCACCTGAGCGGGGTCGCCATTTTTGGGATGGAATATGATGCCCACGCCGAGCTTGTTGGCAGACCCCTCCAGTCCAATCGCAATCATTATGATTAATCAGAACAAGCCTGTGCGTAGAGCAAGAGATACAAGCCCTGGATTGTCGAAGTGCGGAAAATGCAAGCGGCACAACAAGGGAATAGAACAAACTCCTCAGCTGCCTTGGAGATCTGGCTATAGTCAATTTTTGGTGTGGTTTTATCAATGATGGAGACGCCCGTCAGAAAAATTGCTTATCGATTGGCCACGAGCTCCCTCGCCCACCAATGGCCGGCGCTTGATCCGCCGGCGCTTGGATTTATCCGAAGCGAGCACGGACTATACACACATCTGTATGAGAATTGCTTGTCGTCTTCACACACTGCAGAGTCTGCATCTCCTTGATTTGCAAAGGAGGTTGTCCGTGTTGCTGCTGTGTGCAATTTCTAGTTTCCTCCGGGAAGCTCGTCGCATACCATGTCTAACACTGACCATTTCCCCGACGCTGCCGACTTCCAGCGCCAGAGCGATGATTTCACACAGTGGCTTTCACAGCAACCAGGCGTGACAATAAGTCCCAGTATCCAAATTCGTGATCTCCGGCATCAGGGTTCTGGGAGAGGTGTTGGTAAGTTATCCATCGGTCATAATATTCTTCTTTGCACTGTCTGTTATGTTCGCTTTGAAAGGGGAAAAAAAAAAGAAACTAAAAACTAAAGTTTCTAATCAACCGTTATTCAGTCGCCAGCTGCGATATCCCAGAGGGAGAAGACTTATTCTCTCTCCCACGCCATTTTATACTGATGGTGGAAAATTCTCAGTTGAATGATATTCTCCCTGAAGAGTTAAAAGATCTAGGGCCCTGGTTGTCTCTTGTCGTCGTGATGATCTACGAGTACTCGCTCGGTGACCGATCTAGCTGGAAACAATATTTCCAAGTCCTTCCGTCGAAATTCGATACGTTAATGTTCTGGTCTGATGAGGAGCTCTCCGAACTGCAAGCCAGTGCTGTCACCGAGAAAATTGGAAGACAAGGTGCAGAACAAGACATCCTCAAGATTATCCTACCCCTCGTCCAGGCCCACCCCGATCTCTTCCCTCCGATCTACGGTGTACCGTCCTATGATACCGATGGAGGCGCGCAAGTTCTGCTAGAATTGGCGCATCGCATGAGCTCTCTGATCATGGCATATGCTTTTGATATTGAAAACAGCGAAGACGCAGAGAGTGACGGGGAAGATGGATTTCTCACAGACGATGAGGAACAGCTGCCAAAGGGCATGGTCCCATTAGCCGACCTGCTTAATGCGGATGCTGATAGGAACAATGTACGTTAACGGCCAGTCGAAAAGTTACTTTCTTTTTCATTTTTTTTTTCAGCGCAGGTTTGGCTGACGTTATTCTAACGTTGCATAGGCTCGTCTCTTCCAAGAAGAGGGCGCACTTGTCATGAGGTCTATCAAACCCATCAAAGCAGGAGACGAGCTTTTCAATGACTATGGCGAACTGCCGCGCTCAGATCTTCTCCGAAGGTATGGCTATGTTACAGATAACTATGCCCAATATGATGTCGTTGAGCTGCCTTTGACTGGCATTTGCCATGCTGCTGGCTTCGATAATATAGAAAAGCAAGCATACCCCCAGGTAAAGGCGTGATCTTTTCTTTTTGTGAATGTTTGTCCTTCCTGCTACTAATATCCAGATGTAGCTTCAACTTCTTGATGAACTTGAAATCCTCGAGGATGGCTACTGTATTCTACGGCCATCGCCAGAAGATTCCGTGGTCGACATACTACCAGACGAACTTCTCGCTCTTGTGAAAATTCTGTCTCTCGGACCCGAAGACTTGCAAAAATGTCAATCCAAGAAGAGGCCACCCAAGCCTTCTCTGACAGCCCATGAAGCTCGCATATTGCTCGACGCAATGACCTTCAAATTATCTCAATATGGGACAACAGTCGAACAGGATAAAGCAACACTACAGGGATTCTCCTCGTCGGTGGCTACCTTGTCAACTAGCCAACGCCGTCACAAGATGGCTATTGAAGTTCGTGTCGGGGAGAAACAAATATTACAGCAAGTCTCTTTAATGCTCCAAGATTTTCTTACTTCTGAAGAAAAGGATAATGGAAAGCGTTCTGCAGAGGACGGATCTCAGCAGCATCAAAAGAAAGCAAAGCTTGGGCGTCATTGAATGAGCTGCTAGCCAATCCTTCTATCTTGGGAAACGTTTTGGATTCGTGACTACCACAGGTAATGAGTCTTTGATCCGGCTATTATCAGAATTTCCTCTGATTCATTTTTGCTAATTTTTGTTTCTAATCATACAGTTTCGTTCAAAGCACCGCCTGGTATATATGTACATATTATCAAGACATCACTCCCACGCCACACAAAAATAACAAAGAAGCCCAGAGGGTAATCATCCTGCTCTACCTATAATGGAATAAAGAAAGAGGAGTGTTCCAGGATAGGGATAATCACGAGTGAGAATTATGAAGTGGACAAAAATTGAGAATGACCGAAAATAAACTCCAGTCATAAAAAACAAAAAGGAAAAACGGCGAGAAGAATTTCGTCCAGAAACCACAGAACAACGCCCGCTATGCAAGAACAAACAATCAATATAACTGGGTCATTAGGTGGAAGCATTCTTGGCGACTGCTCCCGGATCAGGATTGGAGCCCCCTGCTGCCCCAGATGCATTGCGCTCTCCGAGCAACTGTCGTTGGGCTTGAGCCTGCGCATGAGCATGAGCTTGAGCTTGGGCCTGCATCTGTGCTACTTCACGGGCCTTCGCAGCCATTATAGCACGATGCTGCATTATTTGAATGTCATATTTATCACGCTCAAAAACCAAATCTTCATCGTCATCGTCATCGCCATCATATTTGAACCGATCAAGGATGATGGGGTCAATGTCCGATTTGAATTTAGTCGCCAAATTACGACGGTCTATCATCACTCGTCCGCCTCGGCCTACACGCCTCCTGAATGACGGCATCTTGGTGGTGTCATCATCCATATCCATGCTTGCGAATCGATCGCGGAAGTATGGATGCAGGGAATCTAGCGCGACATCATTTGCATCCGATGAATCTGAAGATGGTGGTGTGGGCAATTGGGTCGTGATTGCAGGGCGGAATGCAGCTTCGAAGCTTCTCTTGGGAGACGGTGTGAGCGGAGCAGTCGTGTGATCAATGTACCCCTCGTTCCATTTTAAGTGCTTCTGCAGGTTTTGCTTAATGTCACGAATGATTTCATTCTCCTTCTCGGCTTGGACCTCTTCCAACAGCTGCAAGTCTTCGGCAGCTTGGGTTCCGGGTCGCTGAGATATGCGAAGATGTGATGGAACAGGACGTTGTATCGCTGGTACTTCGACTGGCTTCTTTTTCGGCTTAATGACGTCAGTTATAAGTTCTTCGGAACCATTCAGCCACTTCCTTACCTTCTGGTTGATAAGATCCTCATCGTCATCTTTGATTCCAAGTTTCCGTTTCATATCCTTGACTTGCGCACGTTGTTGGAAGACTTGCTTTTCAATGATGAACATTTCTTTTCTGGCAAGCTCTCGCTGCCGCACGAAAGCAACCAATTGACGCGCATCTTCCAGTTCTTTGCGAAGCTTACGAAGCTTTTCGGCGCTCTGTGCATCCCTACCACGGGTCTTGCGAATCTGTCGCACTTCGCGCCTACGGAAACATACATATGGATCTCCATCGTCGGTTTCTTGGCCCGTTTCGAACTGAAAATGAAATCAGATTGGCGTTCCATTCATGAAAGAACAAGGAAAATCTTACCTTGAGCGCCGATTGCAAGGGGCTATTGCCCTTGTTAACTCTCCTCGACTTCCAATGATCGTATATGTCCTTGGCAAATTTCTTGATGTGTTCATCTACGGCAGCATCGAAGGACTCCTCAATCTCCGCGAAAGACAGGACAGGTGGATGGTCTACGGCTGCGTATGGTTGTTTTGTTTGCGCTGTCTCTTCAAAAAATTGCATCACTTCTTCAAATTGGTCTTCCGTGCACGGAGGACTAGAAGGGTCCCTCTTCTCATTCATTATCTTGAGGAAGACATCATCTTCCTCCACAAGATCATATGTACATCCACAGCAATCCTCCACCGTGGAGGAAAAGCGAATATATGTGGCTGGCTGTGAGAATGTTGGAGGATATAGCTCATCATATCTAATGGAGCTAAGGACAGTTTCGGGCGTGGGGATGTTGGCTTCGCTGATTTTTCCGAGGGCTACGGCGTTAATGGCAGCTTGAAGGTGAATTTCCTAATGATGTTTTATCAGATTAGCTGGCTATACTGTGAAGATATGGCAGACGGTGGCATCGCGATTTTTTTTTCTGATGGCAGTACGGGATCACGTGATATGCATATGCACGGGCCGGGTAGGAATGGACGAGGGAAACACGTACCGATTCTTCGGCCTTTTCCACACCGGTCTCGACCTGTTGGAGGGCGGCCTGGACATCTTCGTCGATGAAGTCTATTTGATCCTCCCTCACTATGGGGATGGAAGCCTTGGAAGTGAGCTTTTTTGGGCGCGTCCTCCCCATACCCCCGTACCTAGTCATGTGAAATTCGGGACGCGATGGTGGGCGCAACCATGCGAAAGGGGAGTCAAAATTAGGATTAGACGATAGCTTGAGTCATGCGATTTGGCGTAGTCGTATTTTCGTGATGAAATTCGATGAAAGGTAGGAGATAATGATGATAGAAGACAGGCAGTCACACAGCGGTTTGTTGAGTTGACGTTGCCATCTGCCTGCGTGGCGGCCTGTTTTCGGCCGGTGCACGGCCTCAGGGGCTCGCTTGACTATCCAGATGCGGTTAATGCGGGGACCCGTGATATCAAATTCCTGGCGCTGCCCTGCCTTCGTAGTCCGTCTCAGCCTTGGCGCCGCTATCTATCTGATAACTCGAGGCCGCGCCTCGCATGACTACCGCATCCAACACTCCAACTTCTCTGCACCGAACGCCTCATCATTTAAGTATTCGGTCATATTCTGCTTCCACCTTGTCTACTTTTTATAGAGCTGTACTCTACGTACGGTTTGAGCTAGCCACAACCAGCACTAGCAGCATATAACGAAGCTTTTCTGGCGTCTCCAACCCCAGCGATGGAGCCGCACGAGCCCAACAGCGCCGCCTTGTTTAATACCAGGAGACGGCAAGGATCTATTGTCGGAAAAGAAGTCCTTGATAGTATTGTGTCAACTTCTAATTGTGAGAAGAGCCTTCTGTCCACTCATGTACTTCAATTTTCTGTCGGCTGAGCTGACCGTTTAACTCCGGATTAGTCGACCGAGATGAAGTCGATCGCCTGCGCAAGCGATTCATGAAGTTAGACAAAGTGGGCTGATTACTACTTATGATTGCGATGGATGAGGCAATGGCTGATATAGATATACAGGACAAATCAGGTACAATTGAAAGAGAGGAGTTTCTTTCACTACCACAAGTGTCATCTAATCCACTTGCTCCACGGTATTTTCTGTCCTTAACCCAGGTCTTAGAATATATATCAAATTACATATAACAAAATACTCATGCGCTTTTGCCTTTTACTTCAGAATGATTTCTATCTTCGACGAAGACGGCGGCGGCGATGTCGATTTCCAAGAATTCGTCTCTGGATTGTCCGCGTTCAGTTCCAAGGGAGACAAAGACGAGAAACTGCATTTCGCCTTCAAGGTGTACGATATCGATCGCGACGGGTACATATCGAATGGCGAGCTATTCATCGTGTTGAAAATGATGGTTGGCAGCAATCTTAAGGACGTGCAGTTGCAACAGATTGTAGACAAAACCATTATGGAAGCGGACAAGGATCAGGATGGCAAAATTAGCTTTGAGGAATTCAAGCAGATGGTCGAATCCACCGATGTGAACATGAACCTGACATTGAGTAAGTTTTACACATTCCACGTGCTTCGACGGAGGTATGACGCTAACTCTCCTGCTTCTTAGATGAGATATAAATTTTCTGGCACATATATTGTTCCAATTACCGTTACGGTTACTTTGTCGATGGTCAAACTTGCAGGGAGGGTAAATTATGCGAAATGACTTATGACTGTCTTAAATGGTTGCTCTGGTATGATCGGTGTAGTTGGATCGAGAATAAATACCGTTATAAGCGAGTAATTTTATAGGATACTTATAGGTACGAAATGGGGCAAGTCCCGTTAGCAGAAGGGCTCATGATATACCTCATTTGAAATCTAATGAACGATTGATAATCATAAAGATCGCTTTCGACAACCTGCTAGAGAAATAAACGATGGCTTGCGCGACTGTTCATTACCTATGAGACGACACAGATAGATAGTTCCTAGATTGGGAGTGGCCTACCTGTTGCAGCTACCGCATTGTCGCATCCATGAGGGACCAACACAAACTCAGGCCTGAGCTACGATGAGTCGTTTAGTTTTCAAGTACCATATAAAAAATCTACTTGTTTAGTTAGAAGAGATCTAAGGATATGTAGCCTGGGCAATCCTCTGAAAAAAAAAATAAATATAGCTTCAAATACACTCTAGAACGCTTTCTTTGAGTTAGTATGCAGATTATATGGTATTTCTAATACTAGTCAATACAGTGTTCCAAATCCGTTGTTACCTTTGAAGAAAAATGCTCAAATGCATGCGCGGACGTTATATGCAAATGCGAGGCAACGAAAAATTCGAGTTCTATGCACCGCCATCGGTAGTTACGATGAAACCCCCAAATCTTGGCTTTAAAAGACGCTTGTATTCAGCTTGCGTATAACGGGGGCTTTTTATAGGATCGTTTGTTTGATTACCATGATGATGAGACACTGATTCTTGGACTGACAAAGGGCGCCTTGCTAGCCAATTGGTCCCACTGATCTGTTTGGCCTTGCACTAGGCTTACTTTGGCAATATGACAGGTGTGGATCTTTTAATTTTGACTCGGTCGTCCAGGCACCAGGATATTGGGTATTTCTTTCTTTTTCTTACTTTGTAGGGAGGAATGATTGGGCAGTTCCTAAGTTTATCTATTGAAATATCAAAGAGCATATAAAATGTACGTTCCAAACCTTACATTATATCTGGATCTTGTTCCTATGTTCAGCGCGACACGAGCTTCCCCTTCACAGTGAAACTCGAAATATACCTTGGGCTTAGTTAGGCTAGATGATTCAAGTTACGTACCTATCTAATGTAATGAATGATGTCTAATCTTGGTGTGAACTGATCTCCCATGTTTTGCACAGGCTATCTCACGGAGAAACTCGGTTTTAGGCTGCATCCCAACCAATAGGTTGAGTGTAATGACCTTGAACCTAAATAGGTAAGTGACCCATAACACTTAGTCTATGTAAAATCCTGGCACTCGAGTCAGGTTCATGTTGCAGACGATCTGAGTCTGCATGCAGGCCGAAGAACTAATGTAGCTAGCTATACGTTAGTGCCACCACGATGACAGGCACCCGCTCTCCCCGAAGTCGATCGATATTTGCTTTTTCCGATTCGCCACTCAACCTGAAACTGTGTATAAAATCGGATATGCTTACTAGTACGGAATAGTGACTATACTGCATTTCATTCATCTGAGCTTGATGGGCAGCCCGACAATCCGGGTTAGGCTCCACCCGAATTATCTGGTATTCGGGACGGACGGGAACGGGAACGGGAAGGCCATGCATGCTGTCCATTTCAACGTCCAGTCCAATAAAAACTTTTGCTTTTACTATACAAAGTACGCACAAGAATTAACCCATGCTCACATCTTGAGGGTGAAAACTTAAAAAGGGAACTCATTCGCTAGTCCCCATCACCTTCAGCTTAGCGCCAGCGCTACGTATTACCACACGGATACTACTGACTGATCCTTCCTATAGCAATGCTACGTACATGGTCTCCGCCTTGTCAAGGCTGAGTAAATAATCACGTACTTAAATAAGTACGTATTACTCGCCATCGTACATATTGACCCGACGACTATGGAGTGCTCCGTACCTGGGACCATATCATATTTAGTTAGTCTGGACTTTGTAGGCAACTAACTATACGAAGCCGATCAAAGCCTCTTGGAGTTTGTACTAAGCGTCGCATTGAACTGACCCAAAAATTTGGGTCGGCGCTACTCGGAGATAAATTTGCACCACTCCGTGCAAATACGGTGTAGTACGTATTTAGGATTAACCTGGCAGGAGTCACTGCGGCCAGCCTCTCTATAATAGAGCTGCCCTGAATTCCAGCTCTAAACTAAGTTGATTAACTGATGACAGTAGTACGCACTTCACTTGGCACTGTCCATGTCCCACCTCCCCTTTTTTTTTTCTCCGGGAGCCGGATAGCTCGATTTTGGCACGTCCTTAGCCCCCCCGCCTTGAGGATTCTGCCCTGGCACTATGATGGTAATCAACATCGATATTCGATGGAAAAAGAAAAGCATGTTAAGAACCTTGACCACCTTCCTAAAAAGGTTGGTACTTACATTGAAGATCGTGGGGGGACTTTTTTTCTAGATTAGATTAATTGCATATGGCCTAATGCAATCAGCAAAAATTTCCATCTCGATCTAGTAACCTGCATGTGCACATGCCATAGAACATATTCCCCCCTTTCCAGGAATTTTGCTTAGCTTTGTTTACTTAGAATATCATGTACTCCGGGGTATTAACCTTACATGCTTATCAGACTGTCTAGTACTACTCTCTAGCAACGATGTTGTTGACTCTTCTAAAGTGAGGAGTTTTTGTTGATTCATTATTCCTTCGAGATTGTATCAATAAACTGCCGATACTTGCCTACAAGAGTAGACGCATCTAAATCAACTTCAAACAATAAAGCCAAATTTTGAAGACTCCTGAGGCATTTCCCTGCTATAATATTATAGACATAGATAATATACACAGTATAGCCAACTATTCATAGACAGAACAAGGATGTGGACCGCTATCTGAGCTGTATCCCTGAGCGAGCCAAAAACACGAATACAAGTCCCAGATCCCCGTTTTCAGTTCCGAATCCTTGCGCTCCTAAGCTAGAAAGTAAATACAATAGGGAATAAGATGACAAATAATTCAAATATAGTAACAACATTCGTACAGGTTAATCATACAGTTTTATTGGGTCTTCGAGACGGCGCCGGCGACAGCTCTTCCGTTCCCCGGTTTTTAGCCTTTTAGGGCTTTTCTTGGTTGAGACGGATAGATCGAGTTGGGTCAAACTAGTTGTCTTACTGTTCAACTAGATCAAGGCATTGACCAAGAACTATAAATAACCATTAGCATCCTGATTACCTAGTGATACTCAATACGGAATAGGGAAATAAAGGTTTTCTCTTGGCTCAAGGGTACGTACTATCAAGGATTTCTTCCTCCCATATACCCATTTGGTAATCCACCAATCCATGCGGCTCGACTGTGTCGCAGAACTGGATTATTGCTTGTCCCATGCTCTCCATAGCCTCGGCACTCAGTAGTGTTGAGGGCAGTGCTTGGCCAGCGCCCAGAATTGCTTCGGTCAGGTCTTTTTGCTTTTGACATAGGGAGAGCCAGCAAATATTGAAGTCTTCCCATAATTGGCTGTTTTTTTTGGGATGGTCTGGGTCGTCTTGTAAAAGTCCTAAAGCATGAACAATGCGGTTTTAGTTTTGGGTCTTAAACAAAACGTCTTTTCTTCTCGTTGACGCAATGCGTATAGATCGTATGAAAAGAAAAAAAGAAAAAAAAAAAAAAAAACAAAAATAACCCTTACCTAACTCCCGTGCATTTCCAATAAGCCACGTCGACAACTCAAGCAATAACCGACTAGCTTCGTTTAACTGGCCTCTTTGCGTGTACCCAAACACCGTAAGTAGCGCTTGGTGGTACTGATTACTAGCATCATGTGGATTTGCCACGTTGGGTGCTGTCCCTGCAGCCCCTGTAGGATTGAAATTGGCCATTATAGTTGTATCAAGTGACCCTGCCGTTCGTTGATCCAATGCGCTCTGTTGTTGTTGTTGCTGCTGCTGGTAGATAGCAAGCTGCACCTGGGGAGATAAATATTGAGAAGCATTCTCGTTGTGCCCTGGAGGCGAGAAAAACTGTGAAACACCAGGAGATAGAGCGCTAAGCGGCTCTGCATGACGCGCTGTAAATGCCACTGGCAATGGCATCGTATAAGGAATCTGTGCCGTGCCGGACTGGTCAAAATTATAAATGACTCCTGTGTCATACTGTCCTGGCTGAAGACCAAGCACATGTTGATTGGGAGGCTGCTGAAAGTGGAGTGCCGAAGATGGAATGCTTTGGCGCTGTTGTGCTGCTCGAACAAAATTCGGCCCTGCAGAGCCAGATGAACGGATGCCTCTCCTTCGTCTAGATCCAGCAGCAGCGGCTGTCCGTCGAAAACTCTCCGGTGACTGCGCGGGAGATACTTGTTGTTGTACAACATGCCGTGGAGCACCAGAGACAGACGGATAATTGTAGTGGGCATGTTGCTGCTCTCTCTGTTGGGCCCCTTCATCCATTCCACTTTGGCAATCGTCGTAAATCCCGCCTCGCAAAGGCGAGTACGGTGGAGATGGGTACAGGTCCAGTTTTTCGGTGTTTTTGGATATTGCCACAAGGCCAGATTCTTTTTAAAGTATCTTTTGTCACTTGCTTCGAATTCTCGAAACAAGACACAAACGGTCACACTGATTGCCAGTCAATCAGCTATCTGCTGCGGGGGTAATCCCAGTAGCCGCAAGTGCCGGTAGTAAAGGTATGGAAAGTTCTCACGTCAGGCAGAAAGTCCAAATGGCGTTCACCACTCATGTAACAGGAAACAGAATGGAGAAGGTTGGGCAAGAACACGAAAGAAACGCCGTGTTATCCAACATATATATAGAGCAAGCTCTCTCTCCTTTCGTTTCTTTTTCTTTCTGTTCCCTTGTCCACTCACTCCTAGCCTTATCCAAATATTGGTTTCCGCTTCACACCACCAAACTGAGTAGAGTAGAGTGATGTAGAGGATCGAGATAGATACTGTAGTATCAATGAGCTGATCCCACGCTTTTCAGCCACACCAACGTCATACAAACTATGTGATTGCTGCCAATGAATACCTGTTTTAGGTGTTTTGGATCCGGGTACCAAGCTAATTGGGCGTCAAGAGGCAATCAAGTGAATAATGGGGATCCATCTTTTTTCTATTGTAAGTTCAACCATACTTAGATCTCAGTTTTAGCTTGGTGGGGCTCTCGAGCGTAACTTTGGGGGTGATAACCCGGAGGTTTGGTAAAAAAAAGTAAAGAAAGTTGGTTACTACAACTGGGTACGCATAGCATGATACTACGGTTGCAAGGGGATCATTGTGTGACGATAAATGGATACCAAGGAACAGACGGGGGATTTTTTTAGTAAAGGATGCTTGCACGGACACGACAAGCAATGGAAAATGCGTTTCTTTTTGCATTCCTTACCTGTTTAGGCAGGCTTGGTATCTACTACTAGTTCTTGGTACTACGTTCCGTGCAGGGAGAATCCGGCCACGGCGTTCCGTGTCATGTACAAAATGAATGGAAATTATGGGTCCTTTGATCGACACTAGAGGGGAAAAAGCAAAGCTTGTTAGAAATTATTAGCACGCGCACGTACTTACAAACTTACAAGTTACAGCACCTTACTGTGCCCAGCACATAGTCCGTATGAGAGCCGAGTGTTAGTCATCAATAGGGCGAACCCAAACGAGGCGAGATGAGGCAGAAAAAGAAAGGAATAGTCATGCAGATTCGAATCCTCCAGGGTCACCGGGTGTATCTGAATGGCAAGCCACCGATCAAAGATTGCTTTTAATTTCTCACATGGGTGCGTATTTATTTTGTTAGCGTGCAGTATTCTAACTACTTTGTCATTAGCACTATATTTGGGAAGAAAAGGTACGAATCCATTCAAGGGCTCGAGTAAAACGGGGCTATGAAGGGGACCCCTATATCAGACCACTCTATTACTTTATGATATTAAATTATACAAAATTTACCATGTTGTTTCGACATGGAAGCATTGACTAAATGCGTAACTACTAGGTAACCGGCGGTGCCTAAATGCCTAAGGAACCCGATTCTGGAGGGCGCCGGGTAACTCCACCCTCTAGTAATTCTTATAGTCAGCTAACTATTAGTTTACAATAGTATTATTTATTAATTTCAGAATTAAGAGCTAGGAAAATGCCGCGGTCAGGGCGACTAGCAAGTTATGATATTAACACTATAACTCATTACTGCCATATCAGCTGCCTAGGTATTATTATTCCAGGGCTGTCGGAGATCGCACGGCGCAATATGTACGTATTTGTTGGGCCCAAATCAACATCTGCGAGAAACTCTAATCAGTAGTTATGGAACTAGTTCTATCGATCTATAATACATTTCGTTAATCCTCGATCAGTAGTACTCATCATGGAATCTGTGTATGGTTCCAGAAAAGAAATGCTGTTCAAAAAAAGGAAGGAAAGGAAAAGAAAACAAATCAGTGGCTTATCATTGCCTGCATTCGTGGTGGGCAAGCCCCAATCTCCGGGAACCTGCAGCAAGTCTGCAAATCACCGTATGCGTGATACCTATCTTATTAGAATAAGTTTCGGTTGTGGCGACTTATTGCGTCAAAGTAGTAAGCATGCATGGCATATGCCCATGCACTTCTTGTAAAAGGAATTTTGATTGGAGCCTCGCTATTGGATGATCTACGGCTTCATCGGACTAGACATGAGAATGCTTATCAAGAGCAAGTCGTGATCAACTACGGCCCATTTTTGGATAGAATTATATGGACGAAAGATTCATACATTTGTGTATACTTAGTGTTGGATATTTTAAAATATACTAGCATTTAATTTGGTACTCCGTGTAGCGACTACTCCGCATGGATTTGCCTGTTGGCGAGTCAGCTTCGTAAGTAACGATCTATAATTACCTTTAATCGTTCAATTCTGTTGGTAAGGCGCTTTCTAGTCGTACTCGCTTAGTCGTAGTGTATGACAGGAATAGAAAGACAGCTGAAAACTAATCTGTAGTTAATAGCTAATGTTTCATTAAAAGTTATATTACCCCTGTACTGCTTGGTACTTCTGCACACATCACCAATGGACATACCCGGTTGCTACATCCATACGAAGTGTACTGTACTGAATAGCTGACTATCAAAGCCGTTTATTTTCTAAATCTAAACCAACTTACTGGCGTACGTCAGTCTGTGCTACACTTACAGACGGGTAGATTCGTTGCCAAATTGGACAAAGAACATACCCTAATATCATTGTTTTACCCGAAAAAAACCTCAAATAAAAACCGAAAAGCAAAGAAGAAAGTAAAAACCAACGGGTTGAGAATTGTAACAAAAAATACTGCTAAGCAATTAATTGCTCGTTACGAGGTAATGGCCGTTGAGCTTGGCAGTAGTCCGGCTGGGCATCGAAGATTTAAAACACCCGGGTGAAAATATTTCAAACATATATTACCTATTTATGAGCTTAATAGCATGAGAATGTTCTTATCATTGGTATTATAATCATAATGAATCACTATTATCTAAAATCCAGCGTTCAGGCAACAAATGTATCCACCGGAAAGTTAGACTAAATAGGTACCCCGGAGTCAGAAGATGCCCAACACTGCAGCATGTAGCCGTACAGTTACTCCGTCCGTAGTTAGTTACATACTTAGCTATTCATAATCAATAAGTCATACAACCTGAAACAATAGCTTTGTTTGACGCAAGTTGCAGTAGCGTTGTTTGTTTTGAAGTGGGTCTGAATGCCTGGCATAATGAAGCTACATAGTACATATGTAGTACGTACGCCGTACTAACTCTAGGCCTATAAAACGTTTCCAAGGAGTGAAGCTTTGTCGATCTATGAGCCGACAATACTCTTTTGCAAGAGCTCTTAGTTTAGGCGTCTCTGAAGACTGAAGTACCGAACTTATCAGAAGAGAAGTCTTGAGATTTTTTTATTATGCATTTTATTTCGGTGCTCAATGGACGACGCTATACTATATAGTGACAAAGCTGATGTATATGTACTGCGAAGGAAGATTTAGTGGAATGCCATGAGCCAGACACGCACACTGTTTTTATGCGCATATGTACCCACATAATTCACCTCGTAGAATAACTGCCGAGAGGCTAGATTAAGTTGGAGAACAATTGCCTTTTTCTTTGTCATTTCCCTGGACCCGTGAGAGAATTTGGACGAACCAAAACAAGAGCAGGTTTCCAGACCTCAATCCCAGTACTTAAAACTCAAAATTAGAACATTGCAGAGCTGAATGACTACACTGTACCAAAGGAATGAGCAATTTTTCTGACATCTTTTCCCTTTGATTCTCTTGTAGGCAAAGTATACGAATTACGCATCTAGCCCTGTGGGGCAACGGAGAATATAGCTTGCCTATAATCCAATGAAACACAACGCCAAGTTCGGGTATCTCCGGCTTCCCGGCCCCATACCTACCCGGAGCTGACACTAACCTTTATTAGGAAGTTGCTTTAGCGGGGCTGCCCCGTTATACCCGGGAAATTCCTAATTCAGTTAAAAACGAGGGCCAATTAAAAATAACCATGCATTCTCTACCACGTGCTTAGCCGTTTCGCCGTTAGAAATGTATCAAACCCCTTGAGGTCTAAATTTAGAAATAATAGATATATGCAAGAGTCCTTTTTCTTTTATTACCAATCCTTTGACTTAAGCTGCTTTTGCCGGCTATACTCCGGACAATTCAATAGAAAGCAAACATCTAATCTACCTAGGTATGTCATGACTTCACCGTTCGTAATATAGTTACCTGGCTATCATCGGATTTGGTTTACTTGATCATGATCAGTCCACGTCAAATTTTTCTGACAAGGTCTTACTCCTAACTCATGACTATACTCCCCCTAAGTGCTACACAATGTCTCTGGTCAATTATGGGCGACCGCACTTCAGAACATTAATGAGTATTGCCGAGTCAGTACGAGTGGATACAGCACCAATCCTCAGTACGCAAAGTCCAGCATATCTATGCTGCAGTCTTGCTGAGATAATTTGGAAATTTGTGGTTATCTTCCTATTGCAGAGATTTTCTGTTTGATAATAAGTTGTACTCATTCCTGGAAAAGCAGAGATAGTATTCCGGCTTTTATTAAGGTGCAAAAATCTGGTTTATGCACCACGTTTAAATCAACCCTATAGATATGATCTTATTGAGCCAATTTTCCATTTCCTCCGCCATGGAGTTTGATTAAATTTATGGCAAGATTCCAGGTCTTTTTGCTGTGAAGCTCTCAGTTGAATAGCAGAGGTCAAACTAGTCAACTGCTACCCTTCACTGCAAAATAAAACCCAAGAGGATCTGGGTTGGCGTGTACTACGAGATCTCATTTGCTGAGCTCCGGGACCTACAGCTCTGCGAAAACAAAACTGGATCATCTATTAAAATTGCTGCTGGTGGCTGCTTTCAGAGCTTGTGAAGCTTAATACAGAGACTGGGTGTCTGTTATCCCGCCGGCTCTCCCTTGGAAGACTCTCTGATCATGGTCTAGATGGCTTAGGCAATCTATGCAAGAAGGAAGTTATTCAATATGTCTACACAAGACAAGACATATACTTGGAAATACGTCTCGCCGAGGTATACATCCAAGTAATATGCATCACTGCAGGAGCTGTCGGACACATTACTTTGTGACAATTACTCCTGATGGATTTATTATGCTTCATATCTCTCGCTATATTGGCTTCCTAGCACATTCAAGAGTTTCTCCTTCCTCATGGAGTCGGATATCATATAGCGGTATTAACAGCTACCTCGCTTATCGTTGCCAGGCATTTTCAGAACGGCTGCATAGGATGTATAATCCAGAAACTAGCGCTGTGTTTAACGGAGGTCAACTCGAACCGTTCCAGCTCGGCTGAAACTAAATTCCAGTAGAAGCTGAACCAATATTAGTACGACTCCCACGATGGTTAGAGCAGGCGATTTGGGTTGGCGTACTCAATATAGGAATGGGCGTTGCTTTTGACATTATCGGGATTCGCTGTTGATCACTTTTAACTTTGTACAAAGTCACTAGCATTCATATCTTTCGCTCTAATCAAGTACAGAAAGCGATGACTCAGAGCAATAGTGAGTACCGCGAGCACAGTGCTGAAGGAGATCAGATAGAAAACTCATGTTGGTAGTTCGTTTAGCCAATAGCGCAAAGTTTAATCGGCTCCAGGAAGGCTGCAGCAACGAGTTCATTCAACAGCGCCATTACAGAGTCAGGCAAACTCTGAATTCATAGTACAAAATTCGACTGGTCCAGGGTCGAATGTCGACACTATCACAACCGTCCTCTAATAGACCGAATCTAAGGTTTGGGAACTTATAAGCCAAATATGCTGCCCAAGCAGCAAAGGCGTTGCCATACTGACCTGCATTTATGCATGCGAAGAAAATGTCGTTTGAATCAGTTCTACCAAAACTGTATAAGTTCTGGTAGTTACGGTTATGTTCATCTGCGCGGAAGTTTTCAGAAAGAAAATGAAGAAAGACAACGTGATTACGAATAAGAATAAACAGATAATTTGGAACCAACACTCTTTCTCTAATAAGTCCTAAGCCATTACCAGACCAGACATGGAGGAGCATGCCACGTAAACGAACTGAAAGAGCGGTCGTCATGCCGTAAAAGTAATATCTGATTCAGGTTTAAGAATTCACACATGAATCAATTTTCTCGTGCGTTATAGTAATACGACATTGCATTGGACGTTACGATACCTCTTGCGATTTCGGAGGGCCATAGACGGCGCACTAAGGAGGGATGAAAAACTGCGAGAAAGAGGTTTGCCTAAGCTTGCAGTACGGACAAGTTTCTGGACTTGCATGGATGCGATCTGAGTATAGTATGAATGTGTTGGGGATGGTAAAGGTTGGAGATGCTGCCTAGCCGCCTTTCTAAATATGATCACGTTATTCTGTGGGTTGACGGCGGGCTTTTCTGGCTTCGGCGCATCGGTGATAAGATTTATGAGGCAATACACGGTATTATGATTTCTTGATGTCTTGATTAGGAAAGGGGAGGGGGGAGGTAAGTATTCCTTCTTTAAGAGGAACACTCTAGGTAGTGTTGAGGCATTGAGGTTCGTGTAACTCAATGCTAGCGATGGTTACTCGGTATTTTAGTAGTGGAATGATAATGTGTTATACCTAAAATTCTGTTAAAATAACTGCTTCTCATATCGAGAGTAGTGAAATCTCAATATAGATATCCCTTTCACCAAGGAGGAGGCAATATAATTGTAGGCTCTGGCGGCAAGTTCATCTTTATTATACGATCTTTAGACTCCTCCAGAGCTTAGAATGCCTGGTTAGCTATTCACAAGTGCCTCCCCGACTGGCGTGCCTAATTGAATGCTTGCTGTGCGCAATGCGTAAATAATCGCCTTACAGGCCCAGCTTTGAGCGTCTCTTTCAACAACCCTATAATAGTCTCGACTCCACTCCGACCACCATCCTCGAGGATTTGGAATATCCAGATAACTTTCAATATATCTCAATTGAGTGTCAACATCGTCGTTGACGGCCCTCTAGCGGTCTTGAAAGGCGTCCAGACGAGTGTATTCGAAGACGGCAAACCCAAGGCCAAATGCTGTGAGAGCAAATCATCGAGTGCCTGAGGAGTATCAAGCCATCCTTCCAGGTGAGATTATCCCCAAATCAGATAGGGTTAAAGCCTTATGTCTATGTACATGCTCCCAACGGTCTTTGATCCAGGGATGAAGTCTCCATGCCGTCACATGAGGATTTTGACAGGCCTATACTACTACTACGTTCCTTACACGTCTCAGCTTGTACTACGTACGGCAAGAGGCTTTCTTTGTCAACTTGTACGCGACATACAACAAGTACTAACAAACGGTCATCTGTCTACAACTCCTAGCCATAGCTTGTCTACTATTTTCTATATGTCGGAATGTCCTGCTATTCTTTGTGCCCGACCCTTGGTTGCTCATGTATTTAGATGTGTCCTTTCTCCCTAGCTAGTTCTTGCTCTTGTGCAATCGTACTTATAGTATTACGTTTTGACCGACGCCGTTTTATAGTCTACTATAAGACTTAACTTGGAAGGTTAAGGCAGGGTAACAGTCAATTATTTTTGACAGAAACCTTACTATCATTTCTCATACTTCACTTATGGGGATCTTAAGATCCAAGTGTTTATATAAATCCAAGATTCAATTGATGTCATCCCAAGAAATATCGAAACTAATAAGTTCCTATTGGAGAACTTCCGAATAGTTCTCTTAGATTTTTCAATATCACCTGCTTCTATGACTTTTTAGATTCTTCAAATTATCCATGTCATAAAACAGGTCCGTTTCTCAGCTAGAAAAAGCATTACATGTGACGAAAGGAAGGCCGTTTATGGGAAAGCTAGGGCTTTGGGAGCGCGGGCCCTAGCTTCGGTGCCGGACACCTATGGGAATAGCTTCGTCAAAGCTCAAAAGGGCAGTCGATTGCTTAGCGAGAGCTTTTCAAGTCCACGTAGGCTCGCCGAGCATAGCTACTTCCTTTTATTCTCTTCCTCATACTTGATGTTCCCTTCTGCAGGCGCCTAGATTGTAAGCAGTTGGTTGGTTAGCTATACAGATTGGATCATGTTGCGTCTATTTCAGCCGCCGGTTGGTTGCAAGCTAACAAACACACCATTCTATATCTTTTGCAAAGTGCTGGGAGCCTGGAGCGGCCTGTAGCACGACTATGTCCTAAGCTAGGCAGTTGGTGCTACGTTGATGTAGCTTGTTCTGTCTGTATCAAGGGCCTTTAGTTTCAAGTCAGCAATCTAGCGAAACTCCTGCAAGAATTGAGTTTGCTTCTCGGAAATTTCTCAAGAATTCCGACTGAGTCAATCAAAAAGGACATAAGCAGGTTCTCAAGTATGTACTCAGAGGATAGCTTGTGGTGGAAGGCCAAGTGAACAGAAAGAGAAAAACGGTAATCATGATAATATCACGGTTTTTAAAGCGTAAGCCAATTGATTAATCTAGGTTTCCGAATGTCGATGCACAGACTACCTAGGTATACACCAAGGTCGATATATATTTATGTGCCTAAGTATGTTGCTAGGTCATTGAGTACGAATGGTTTTGAGAAAGCCTGACACCTTGAAAGGAATCGCAAAGTTGATAGAGGAAAAGCAGAAGGTGAAACACTCTGATTGTCATGTGCACACGTAATCTCATATAATGTTCGCTTGCTAAGTATCATGGTATATACAATGCCTTCGTTCAGATTGAGGGCATTGTACGATAGCCCGTATATCGAATTAGGTATCTAGGTAGTCTACATCTTCGACACACTCATGCGATAAAAAAAAAAGATAGTGAGGTACCCCTTGTACAGTGGAACGAAAATAGAGACGAAAAAAGCTCAGTTTTATTACATCATGATCGCCATGGAATGCTGAAATAATACAGGAAGAGAAAGAATAGATAGTATTGACAACACAACCCCTTATCGCTTGACCCAGGTAGGCATCTTTCTTGCTTTTACATGACCAGGCTTCTTCCTCTCAACCCGACGAGCATCGACTGTAATAACACCAGCTGCAGTGAGGAAAAAAGTTAGCAATGTTCGTATTGAAAATAGAAGCAACAATAACATACCCTGTCGAAGGACTGGTTTGAGTGCTGGCTCATGTACCATCAATGCACGAGCAACAGCCAATGTGATGGCCTCTGCTTGGCCTGTGACTCCTCCTCCCGAAACTTTGGCCCATACATTATATTTATCAAGCCTTTGGGTGCATCGCAGTGCCCACAAAGCGCTTTCGCGGTCATGTACTCGGGGAAATGCGTCCACAATATTCTTGTTATTAACGAGAACCTCCCCATCACCTTCTACAAGGTAAACCACAGCTGAGGATTCCTTTCGTTTACCTTTTCCGCGCGCCCGACCGAATTCGTCCACTTCACTCGGGGCAGGTTTGTTGGCATAAGGGTTACCGGGACGAACGTAGCTGTTCAATGCGTGCCGAACTTCGTCGGGCACTATATCTGGCTGGATTCTATTGAGTCGTTGGAGAACTTTTTGAAAGTTCTTGTACTTTTTCGCGGGGATGGGTTCGCCCAAGTGCTCTCGAAATTGGGCGAGTTTGAACCACGCCATTCGGGGTGCTTCGCCGGCTGGTAGTGTAGGCAGTAGTACATATTTCGCTAAGAGCCGCTCTAATTTTATCCGGTGGTCGATAAATTTGGGACTGCCGGAGAAGTACGCCGGCGAGGCAGGGAGTATACGTGCCGGTTGTATGCTAAAATTTTTGAAGTCGATTTCTGGTGCCGCGCGAGCAATGCCGACTTCTTCAGCACAACGCCAAGGCGAAGTAGAAAAGTGAGTCCGCTGTTTCCTCCAACTCGTGAATTGCGACGAAATGCTGAGCGTCGGTGTTGCGGCAGTTTGGAAAGAGGACGGCCGTTGGACAGCTCCGTACACACCTTGGGCCGACCGCGCCAGGCATGTCGACCTTTGTAAAGCCATTATAGGATGTCCTACAGCTTCGAACTGGTTTTCGGGAACCAATTGGCGCTGCAATCCTAGCGACGAGGACGTGGGAATCGCTCGCTCAGCAATCCTGATGCTTGCTTGCTTGCGCTTGTCCGCGATGGCTCGCAGGAAATTTGGGCGCCCGGTCAGATCACGTGATGACGTTCTGGCCGTGGGACAAAAAAGATTCTCCGCCGCCGATGCTTAGCCTGATTCGCACAAATTTTCTGCCCAGCAAAGCTCTTTCCCGCCTCCCTTTTCTCCCAGCCCCTCCCCGCCCACCTCTTTTTTTCTTTCTTTTTTTCCCTTTATTAAATACAGCCTCATCGAAGCACTTCTTGCAGTTCTCACGATGTCTTTTGGAAAGATCTACGGTATTCCGGTATGTGCTGCTCATCGATACATGCATTTTTAACTCTCCACGACGGCTTTTCCCTTGCAAGATCGCATCATTAACGTACATTGTTTCTCAGGGCCACGGCCGTACCATCCCAGCCTTGGTGGCTGCCAAAGCCAATGGCCTCGATGTTGAGCTCGTCTCGACTCAGGCAGGAACCAAGACCCCTGAATATCTCGCCATCAACGCTCTGGGCAAGATTCCCTCTTTCGTTGGTGCAAATGGCTTCCAGTTGACCGAGGCCATTGCCATCGCCATCTACCGTACGTGTCATGTCTTTTCATTTCATTACGTCCATCTCCTTCGCAACATGATGATGTATTATAAGTTATCCCTGGCAGAAAGAATCTTCAAAACAGTTTACTGGAAGATCTCATTTGTTGAAAAACAACCAACTCTGATTTGCGATATTTTCATTCATTTATTTCTCTTTTTATTCTTGCCTTGAAAAGAACCAGCAAAGAAGAACGCGTTCCTTTGGCTAATATTGAGCTATAGTCACCTCCCAGAACGAGAAGACTACCCTTTTGGGCACGACCAAGCAGGACTATGCCTCTATCCTTCGTTGGTTGTCCTTCGCAAACTCCGACCTTCTCGGCCGCCTGTCCTCTTGGTATCGCCCTCTTGCTGGCCAAGAACCATACAACAAGAAGAACGTCGACGAAGCTGTCGCCAACTCTCTCGCCGCATTGAAGGTCCTCGAGACTCACCTCACCGCTAACACCTACCTTGTTGGTGAGCGCATCACACTTGCTGACATCTTTACCGCCGGCCTTCTTTCCCGTGCATTCTCCACCGTTCTTGATAAGAAATGGCGCTCTGAGTTCGTTGCCGTGACTCGTTGGTACACCACCGTTGTCAACTTCCCTGCCTATAAGGCCGTTGTCGAGAACCCTGTCTTCGTTGAGGAGGCTATCAAATACACCCCTCCCAAGAAGGAGGAGAAGCCCAAGAAGGAGGCCCCCAAGCCTGCTGCCAAGGAAGCTGAAGATGATGGTGAGCCCAAGCCTGAGCCCAAGCCCAAGCATCCCCTTGAGGCTCTTGGCAAGCCCACTTTGATTCTTGATGAGTGGAAGCGTCAATACTCTAATGAAGACACACGTCCCGTTGCCATGCCCTGGTTCTGGGAGCACTACAAACCCGAAGAGTACTCTCTCTGGCTTGTTGACTACAAATATAACAACGAACTCAAGCTCACCTTCATGGCCAACAACCTGATTGGTGGTTTCTTTGCTCGTCTCGAGGCTTCCCGCAAGTACATCTTCGGCGCTGCCTCCGTTTACGGTCAGAACTATGACTGCGTCATCCGCGGTGCTTTCATAATCCGTGGCCAGGAGCACATTCCCGCTTTTGACGTCGCCCCTGACTGGGAGAGCTACGAGTTCAAGAAGCTCGACCACACCTCCGAGGCCGACCGCAAGTTGATCACCGACTTGTGGGCATGGGATGTTCCTGAAGTCCGCGATGGAAAGGAATACCCCCACGCTGACGGTCACGTCTTCAAATAAATGAAAAAAAAACCCACCCTGCTAGCAGCCTTTTCCTCCTAATATACCAAATGGGATGGATGGACAAGTCTTTCCTCCCTTCTGTCATGCCTTTTACGTTATTAGAATCCATCTGTGCCTAGTCGTGTCTATCTTGGTACGATGTATGCATTTGATATGATTTTCCTTTGTTTCGTGACGAGAAAAAAAAGAAGAAAAGCTTATGTGTGATGTGTGTGATGTGATCTGATATGATGGCGATAGTCATGAGAATGGTTTATGAGTCGAAAACAACTATCAGTTAATACAGCACCCATCGAGTAATGATGTCAAAAATGGTATCAGCCTGTTCACATCATGTGATGTTTCGCAAATAAATAAGTCGTATATTTAGGTAATGAGTAGGGTATCTTCAGAGATAACTACACGACTTCTCTGTTTTCAAGACAGTATGACTTCAGACACGCACTAATAATGTGAGATGTGGCAATAGTTCCCGGGATGTATTTGGACTTGAGACTGGTATAGACATAATAACAATATATACATAAAAAAAAAAGAAAAGAAAGAAAAGAAAGCAGAAATCACCAACGACCGGGAAGAGATCATATCTTCTGTAAGCCCATATAAAATCAATGGACTCGATTTGATTGATACACGGTAGTATAGCCTGCCTCATTTCGTTTCAATTCATCGATATCTGCTCCGCATTAGCATCGTCGCCAACGCTAACATAGCTAGCTAACCTCAGCAGCGACAGCAGCTCCGCTAGCATCAAAACCGGTTTGAATCAGATCGCCATCGGTATCGGTTGCAGGGTTTTTAGGTCTCCTTAAAGATTTGTTGGCTTTGCGTCTTTTCAGCTTGCGGCGTCGTGGTCTATATCGATTTCGGAGTTTAGGCAAGGCTTGTGTACCCTCGTAGCTAAGATTATGGGGTACGATTTTGTTATCTGTATCATATACAAGGCCATCGTCTGGTGGTACGTAGTTATCGTCGTTCCCCTTCTCCTTATTATTCATATTCATCTCCTTGTTGTTGTCCTCTTTCCCTGCTTTTGACTCTGAGTCTGTCTCTGGCCCCGAGGCGGAGGACTCTTCTTCAGAAGCAGAAGATTCCTTCAAAACCTCATCACGACTAATCTTAATGCCCTTCTCGCCCCAAGAACGAAGTCGTGCACTGACATCATTCGACTTTGAGAGCATTGTGATCTTGGCCAACACCGTCTTCAGCACCGTGGTATCATCATCGTTAGGCTCATTGGTGAATTCGGGGACTTCAAGGATGTTGTACGGATTGGCAGCTGCTTTGATTGTGCTGTCATCAATCAACACGGTATTTGATTGATCCCAGCATCTGCTCGTGGCACCCGACATCTCCATATCATAGGTAGTGTAGGGTGCCCTCCTCAAGACATTGTAAATACCCCTGCCTGTTTGGAGCTTTCGGTTTTGGGGGTATGTACTCTGGATATCCTCATCGGCCCACACCTTGTCGAGTTCTTTGTAAACCTGCACTTTGGAATAGTACTGTCTTTCGTCGAGTCCCAGTTTATCCCGACCCCATCTTGTAACTAATTTTTCCTTTTGAACTTCGGTAAACAGTCTATTACAAATTGCATTCACTGTCTCCGGTTGGGAGCTCGACCATACCATGACGGCGTGTCGGGTTGTGAGTCGCTGCAGAAAGTAATCAAGCGCTGGTCGACGGACAAACTGAGGTGGAAATTTCTTGTTTTTGCGGTACAAGAGGGTCCCATTCAAGTCTAAAATGATTAGGAGTGGTTGATGAAAGGCCAGGTCTTTCGGTTCTCTCCGTGCCTGTACCAGATATGACGGCCGGGGAACGGGAGTCTCTGGCGGTTGCACCGGGTTCGACTTTTTCTTTGACCTCGGCTGTTCGCTAGACTTATTCTTGACCTTTTCCTTGTCCTTCTTCTTCTTCTTTTTCTTTTCGTTCTTTTCGTTGTCGTTATTACCCTCAACTTGCATTGCTGTATCTGGAGTAGCCTCACTAGGATTGAGATCCTGAGTCGGTGTAACACTTGTCTCCATAACTGCGTTGACCATGGTCGACATTGTACGTATTGGCTGCTGATGCATACCGCCAGCGTTGTTGAAAAATGAACCGTTTCCGGCGGCACCAAATATCTGTTGAGCCATCATCATCTGCTGCGCAAACTGCATTTGAAGTAACTGCGGCTGTTGTAGTACGGGAGGCTGATTGAATGGACTAGGATTTGACACTGCATAATTCGAGGCCAAACCGAAGTTGACCATGTTTGAGTTTGGATTTTGAGACATGAAACTGTTGCCTGCACTGTACTGACTCTGTGCAGGGTTCATGTTGTTATTGTTGTAAGTCGAATTGTAAAATGAGGAGTCCGTCTGGGACGGGGCTGAAGTGAAACCGGCATATCCAGGACCCTGAGCACTCAGCCAGCCTTCCCTTTCAGCTTTTCGTTGTAGTCGGTGTGACCGCCTAGTCGGTCTACGATTTGCATTTGGCTGAGTAGATGAAGGAATAGGCTGAGGAAGTTGATCAGCTGCAGCCCCATCTGCCTGCACCGTAGGAGCAGCAGCACCATTGACGTCCATATTTGTACCTGCCTCAGCATTCACAGTAATAGACTGATGTTCTTCTCGAGTCTGTCTCTGATCAGGCAAGGTCGAACTCGGGTCCTTCTTAGCCTTAGCGAAGGAAGAAATAGGGCGCTAGATAAACTCGTAAGTAAAAAGAGACTAAAGTGAGAGAGGAAAGAAAAGAAAGGTGGCAGGAGGCTGAAATAGTCCTGAAGGAGCAGGGACTGCAGTACCTTAGCGCCCAATCGGCGGCTATGCGCAAGACATTCACGTCGAGTGAGCGAGACACAGGGGTTCACGATATGGAGGAATACGCGAGACCGGTGCCACATTTAAGCGCCGTGTTTGTAGTGTGCAAATCAGATTGGGTCCTTGCCAGTCCATCAAGCGTCCCTGGGCCAAAAGAAACACTATACACAGACGCAAATGAGCTGCCCAAAAGGGAAGATGATAAAAAAATGCATGAATCGCGACGGAAAACGTTCGGGCTCGACGAGTCGGAGGCTGCGATAAGCTCACCGCCTGCGATCACTGGCAGAACGTTTTATCTCTCCGCCGCCAGTCAAACAGTATTTTTTCCTCCAACCTTCAAGTTATTCCACTAACTCAATCCACCATGGCAATCTCGGATTCATTAAATAGGCGGCTCCGTGCTCGTCGAGACGAGGACGAGGACGAGTTTGAGGATGATGTCTCGTCCGACCTAAACGAGGAGACCAATTCCGAAGACAACGAGCACGAAGACTCAAACTCCGATAACGACAACCGCGACGAAGACGACGAAGAAGAAGATAGCGATATGAGTGACGATAAAAATGCAGACGACAGGGAAGCCATCCAGTCCGAATTCCGGCAAATATCATTCGGTGCCCTCGCAAAAGCTCAAGACTCGATTGGGAAAAAACGGAAACGAGGCGACAGCGACAGCGCAGCAACACGCAGCGAATCATCCACATTAAACGACATAAGAGAAAAACTACGCCTAGCGCGCGAGAAAAAACGGGACCAGCAACAACAAAGCAGCGATACAATCAAGAATAAGAAGAGCACACCATCCCGATCCTCCAAACATGCACCTACAGTCCAATCATCCAAAGTGGCTGTTTCGCGCAAACGCATTGTCGTGGAACCACCCAGTGTCCCGAAGGCGAGGGATCCACGATTTGACTCTACAATAGTATCCTCATCTTCACGCCGCAATAAGAATGGCTCCTCCGCCACAGAGCACGCCTATGCCTTCCTAGACGACTACCGCGCCTCTGAGCTCAAACAACTCCAAGAACAACACAAGCGCACCAAGGACCCCGTGCTCAAAGAAAAACTGGCCCGTGAAATCCGGTCTGCGACAGACCGACAGCGGGCGCAGGAAAACAAGCGCCGCGAACAGGAAGTGATGAGCGAGCACAAGAAGAAAGAGCGGGAATTGATTCGAGAAGGCAAGAAGAGTCAGCCTTATTACTTGAAGAAATCGGAGTTGAAGAGGGAAGTCTTGAAGAAGAAGTATGAGAGCATGGGATCGAGGGAGCGTGCGAAGGCGTTGGAGCGCAGGAGGAAGAAGGTTGCGGCTAAAGAGAGGAGGGATTTGCCGTGGGCGAGGAGAGGGGAGCAGGAGTAGATATCAATCTATATGTCTAATGTGAATAAAAGTTCCGTCTTTCCAGTTGAAATCTGAAGGAGTAAAAGCTTGGTATGCAATGCTGGATCTTCGAATATATAAATGATATCTCCTATATGATGACATTTAGAAGAAAAAAAGAAAGCTTTGTACGAAATACAATAATTCCCATCTTTGCAAAGAAACAGAAGAAAAGGGAAAGAAAAAGAATATAACCTTGCTTCCCTACCAGCGGGATGATTTTAAGTAGACGAGATAAGAAGAGATATATCAAATAAAAGAAGAAATGTAAGAAAATCGCAATGGGAATACTGCGATGCTAAGGGGAATCCAAAAACAAAAGGAACAAAACATCAAAATGAAAGATATAAAGCGCCTAAATCGTATAAGATATAAGATATAAGAATGACATTGTCCATATGTCCGAAAGGCAAAGACAAAATCATGTGGTATAATAAAAAAAAAGCAGAAGGAAAAATCGAACAGGGCCAACCAGAGATCAATATGTTCGCCAATCCCAAATATTATATCCCCTTTCATACCTCATTCTTTCGTTCGTTGTGACAATCAGATTTTGTTGTGTGCCGTATGAATCAACCTGACATTGACAGAACGCGCATTCAGCTCAATGAGTAAATTCCAATTAGCCGGCTTAGCGTATGTGTCTTCGTGAAGGACAAAAAAAAAAAGAAAACAACGATGGGTCATTATGAATGGAAGAGATCCCATGCTCGTGCGCAAAGGGACAGGAACTCGTCCTTCTTTTTCCTTTGCGTTTCTGGCGAATCACGTCCAGCTCCAAACGGCCCGTACGAGGGCATCGAGGGCCCGGGCCCATTTCGATACCTCATATCCGGGCCCGAACCTAATGGCGGACTGCCATTGTCTTGTTCGTATTCGTTCCGCGTCCGGCGACGGGCAGTTCCCTGGTTTGGGGGTGGCACATATGCCTGCTGTGCGGCCGGGGCAGCACCTACATGACCATTCCCATAAGGCGAAGGGGGGGTGGTTGGTTGTTGATGGCCGGTGTAGTGAACAATGCGGGGGAGAAGATCCTCGCGGCCTCCGGAGAGCTCGTGCACGGCTTCTTCAGCCGATCGATACTCTCGGGGCCGTTGCTGTTGCGATGGAGCATTATTATTGGGAGAAGAAGAAAACAGAGGGATATTCGTAGTAGTAGTGGTAGTGGTGGTGGTAGATTGGGAAGAGTTGACACCGGAGCCAGGGAATGGCCCGTTACGCTCGCGCTCTCTCTCCTTTGAAGCCAAGTCCGATCCAAAGACATCGGAAAGCGGAGGTAAGCGGTTGTTCGTTTGCGTCGCTGGCACATGGTGGATGTGAGATGGCGAGGGAAGGTTAGGCGTATAGTTAATGAGGTGACGAGTGATAGGCGGTGGGTCATGGCGACCGGTAAACGTCTTGTTCAAAGGAGCGGACTGCACAACCCTTTCGTTTGCAAACTGCGAGGCGGAAGGGGGCACGATGGAGAGGCCTGGAGGCGGGCGCTTCTTGGCGAGCTTTAACGAGCCAAACGAACTCGAGTCGGGTAGCTTTGAATCGTTGCCGTCGCCTTTAGCGGATCTTTGCAGTCTCGACTCGATGATAGATCGCTGCTGCTCGCGCACTGCAATGCTCCGTTGTAACTGTTCTTGTCGTTCGGGATCGTGCGTCTGAAAGCCAGGAGATAAGCATGCTAGGCCAACCTCCTGGATCCCAAAGCCTTCGCGGGCAGTCATTGGACCTCCTGGAGCGCGCACCGACAATGTGCTAGCGGAAAGATCGAGTTTTCGAGGGCGGGGCCGCGAGTGTGTAGACATTGTGGGTGAGGATGGTGGCTCTTTTTTGACGATGATTTTGGGGGCGGCATTACTAGTCTGGTGGTTAGATATGTTGCACCGCAGAAAATTTCCCGATGAAAAAAAGAGAGACGTACGAATTAGGAGTCTTCTTCCCTTCAGGGCTCGACTTTCCTGCGGCTACCGCTCCGTCCTGTGCACCGGAGGGCAATCGAGAAGTCGTCGATGAAGCCGCGGGACCCAGTGAAGGAAAACCCTTGGGACTTGCTGCTCTATCAACGCGGGAAGTGGCCAAGGGTGCGGCCGTAGCAGGTGCGACAACTGTAGACATACTGGCGTAGATGGCTCGTTATTGATTAGTCGTACTGTTATATGTATCCACCACCGACTTGTATCCTTTTCGGCGTTGTTTTCGTTTTGTATAGACGGTATATATCAGCGAGGGAACACGCAGGGACGATGTCCCGAGGGACTGGCTAGAGGCAGCCGGAACAATGACGGCGTGCGTGAGGGAGTGAAGTTGTAAAGGTCGAGTCAAATTGAGTGTAGTTGGTCTAGACAAGTTGCAGAAAAGCGGTGATTTCAAAATTCCCCGGCAAGGCATACACGGTCAAACAGGCTAGCGAGGATGCCAAAGAGAAAAGAAAACAGGAAGCAGAAAACAGAAAACGAACGAGAGTCTTCCCCGTCCCTACTCTTGGCTGGGTCAATAGAAAGACGATAGGATGGGATGGGATGGGACAGAATAAACCACGGCGCTTGCTCAGTCGAGCAGAGGTGGGCGCCTAATGTCTCAGGGCGGGTCTCGACTCAGTTTTGGCTGTCTCAGACCTGCACGCCAGGCATGATTGGACACGAACCGGGGGGGGGGCGGAGGGGCTGCAGCCGCAGAATCAGTGCAGATGCCAGAGTCAGGCTGCAGAGAAGGGAAAAGGGAGGGATGGCAGCGGTGGAAGAATTCTCCCAATCCACCTGGCCATGAATCAGTTGAATATTTGAGGGACGGTGGAAGGCGGGCGGTGCTTCCCCGTGCAGGTCGCGGGCGCTTAATCGATTCGAGCCCGCTGTCGAATACCGTAATTACCCGTACAGTATGCGTACAATACACCCGGAGCCTGCAGGACCACCGGCGAAAGCGCGTACGACTGCGGTATGCATGCATACCGTACCGTTATGATGTGATGCTCGATCTGACCACAACGATTGGCAGCCATCGCCAGCCACGGCGACTCTGAGACGGCCAACACCGGCGGTGCGTTTTCTATTCGCCCTGGCTGAAACACGACTTAATAAAGAGACCGCGGCCAGCCAGTGGCAGGCCGGCGTTTCACTGCTAGTCCGGCTTGTGCAACTCGCTAGTCGTCACTATTGTATTTACGTGTCCTCTTTGGGACCGGGCGATCATAGTATGTGCCTGATATCATATATGTAAGTCATCACGGTAGTGACCCTTATCGTGCAGTCAGATATGCCCTGCCAGACTGTCTTTCAACCTGTCAAGTTTGAAATCGGAGCATACATACATACATACAGGACAAGCAGAGGAGTGCTTTACTAATCGGGCTAGTCCCATTCGAACCCTAACCCTGACCCTGACCCCGGTGTATCTGATACCTCCATTCTATCTATAGTCAATCTATATTATGTGTATTATACATATTATATGAAGTAACTACCTAAATTATTACTTGTATAATGCAATTTCTTTACTCTCCGACCTGCGAGGTAACAGGTAGATTGGCGTTGTACGGTCGTTGCATCTGAACATGCCCGAGATCCGTGCAGTTACACTGAGGCATGCTCCTTCTCTTTCAGCATCCCTACGAGAATTTAGTCAGCCAAAATTTCAGCTGTTAACTAACTAGTTAGTTAGTTAACTTGGTTAGTTAAACGAGAGCTCCGCGATGGAGCGCCATGGGTGTTTGAATGAATGTGGTTTGTTGCAGTGCTAACTGTTACCTTGCAGGGCGCCACAGACTCGTCGAGTATTTGGTAGTCTCCCTGCCCTAATTGATCTATCTCAATGACCATGGCTGACATTGATACAGCTGCTGCCCTTTCTTTTCAGTGTAATAACTTCGTAGAATATCTAGGTATCCTTGGCGCTCCTTTGCCACCCCACAAAGTAATTTCTGGTCTCATTTCGAGAGATCTCGACTGCAGATACAAAAAAAGAAAATTTTATCGGATCATGCGTTTCGAGGCGGATGATCCGATGAAATACCGGCTTGCAAACATGGTTCTCCTTGAATTTAGATGGTATTTCGATCGTATACGGGCATTGAAAGAGAGTGTTACTGCCCTGTTCTACAAAGTCCGAAAATGGTGAGAAGAGTGGCCAAAGTGACGAGGATCTCAATCAGAACTATGGGCTGGTTAAAAATTGATCGCTCTCTGAATTTGATATGGCGGTGATGGTCACAGATCCGGGACATTTTTGATTCTCCGTTATTTATTCAATTTCGTGTTCCCTAAATTTTCACATAATGTCTCAATGACGCTGGGCATCGGCAATAGAATATGATCAGCTCACACAAGACAGCATTCAATTCATTGTCATTCTCTTGAATAATAAATGCAGAGAGTAGACTGGAGGTCCGCAAAGTCCATATCGAAGTGACGGACCCATCGCCAGTTTCGTCCAATCAGAAGCCGCATCCAACCACCGCTTTCTTTATCGATAACAATTTTTTATATGATTTTTGCACTGCATCATAACCATCACCACAGCCAACAACTGAACAAATCCATACATAAACGATACCTGCCTTTTTTTTGTCGTATAATATTAAAGTCAATTTACAGCAGAATAGCAAGGAAAATGCCTGCTTCAGTCCACACCGAATACCAAGACCAGTCCATGCTCGATGTCGACGGCGAGCAACAACTGCCAACAGAGCAGGAAGATGGCGGAGAAGAAGAGGTGATTGAAATCGGGGAGAATCGGATTACTGTGGTATGTCTTGTCTATCTCCTCGCCTACTTGCGCTCAACGCGTGTATTATTCACCTATAAACGAACAACTGAAAAAAAAAAAAAAACCTAACATTGCAATATCCAGTTATCCGGCGCCTCTGAAACAGCCGCATCATTCCAGTTCAAGGATGAGGGCCACACGCTTGGAAATGCGCTTCGATATGTGATTATGAAAAAGTATGCCGATACTTGAATAATAGAAGAAGAGACTCTAACCGTGTGCGCACAGTCCCGCCGTAGAGTTTTGCGGTTACACAATTCCACATCCCTCAGAGACTAAGATGAATCTACGTATTCAGACTTATGGTAAGCGTTTCCTTCTACTCATCTCGTGCAGGTTCTTGGCCTTTTTCTTGGAAAACGGAAGAGCTGATGAATGAATAGATAGTACAACAGCCGTCGAAGCTCTCGAAAAGGGTCTAGATGATTTGATGGATCTATGTGATGTTGTCTCGGAGAAGTTTACTGCGGCGAGGGATGCATTTAACGCTGAGCAGGGTAATCGAATGGCCGTTTGATTTTTGATTTGTTGAATATATGAAAGGTGGAAATGGGGGGAGTCTTATCTTGTTGATTTGATAGTATTCTATGCATTGTCCTAGGTTAGTTAGATAGCGTTTTTCTTCGGTTTTGTAATCATTTATACACCATTCAGATACTGGCATATTCTACATCTTGTCTTCCGCAGAAATTTCTTTGATTACATCAAGAAAGGCTTGAATGCATCAGCCACACTGGAATTGTCTAAACACAGTTATATACACATTTCGCAGAAACAACCCCTTAACAAGAAACAAAAAAAAAAAGGCTCGAATATTGATATATTTCTTCCGAGACTTTTATAACAAACATTGGCGGGTGTTCAAATTGGAATTGGCAATAGCATTAGTTGCGGCCCTATAGTAGCAGTGTCAGCTAAGCAATTTATGTCTGTCAAACAAGTCGAATGATAGGGAAAATACCTCCAGGAACCCGGTGATGAAATTCCGTGGCAGCCTAGCAGCAGGCTCTTCCTCGGCTCGGAAGTACTTCATAACTTGAGAAAGCTGCTTCCAGTAGTTCAACGTTTCCTATACGATTGCAAGTGCAAGCGGTTAGCATTAACCAGACAAATTGTGTCATCCGAGCTTCTTCTTCTTCTTCTTCCTCCTCCTCCTCTTCGTTTCAGCCGACTCATAAATTGAACATGCACTAACCTGAAACTCGGCATGACTCTTGTACAAAAGCACATCGATAACCTTGATCTGGCTCACATAGCGGTGTTGCTCAAACTGTTGGCGAATCTTTGTACGGATTGCGGAGACTGGGAGGTTTAGGGAGTACATGGTCTGGATTTCGGGGGACTGTATATGAATGTAATATATCATTGCAAGTTAGTCATTTCTGCTGAACAAGAGGGTAGGTGAGGTTGATGGAACGAACCGCTCGGAGCCATTCTCGGTAGGACTTGCGCACTCTGGCCTTGGCGTCTGTCCAGTTGATAGCTATTGAAAATCCCATATAGTCAGTTTTTGCAGTTCGTGATATGGTGTGCGTCTGTCTCAATGACAGGCAAAACAAACTCGACCAAGGAAAGAAAGGCGACGGAGACACGGCATGACATACATTGGCGCGTTCGCTGCGCGAGATATGTGGGATTGATAGTCATGATGACTGGTGACGGACGGCCAGCAGAGTAGTAATATCTTGAGCGGCTCGAAAGGAAAAGAGAGAGCAAACAATGCTGGTCGCAATGGCAGGGTCAGTCTATCTCAAGGTGGAGTGAGGTTCGTCTGCGGCTTTCCCGCTCGCCGGCCTGAATAAGCGCCTATGCCGTATTCGGGATTGGTGGATGGAGAACGAGCTTTCACCGCCTGCCCTTTAAGAAAATTTTCATGTCAACTTGGACCATCATTGCCATATTTTTCTACAAACATCATTAACCACTCACACGATTGTGTCGTTGGACTTTTTCGGTGAGATAGAATTGGTTTTGGAATACAATTTGATTCCCACTGCTTACGACCAAGCCGAGCAAACTTGGAGAGAGGAAAAAATGGCGCCAACATCCTCCAAAGGGAAAACTCCCTCCACCAACAAAGGCAATAAATCAGCCTCATCAGGATACAAAGTCAGCAAATCCAGCTCCAAGGCCAAAGTGAAACGCCCTCCTCCGAAAGAAGTAAAATCGCAATCCCGCAGCGCTCCCAACCGACAGAAGAAAACGAAGACGAGGGAATATACAGAGAAGGAATTGGATCTACCAGCTTTAAATATGATTACGCCCGTTGGCGTGCAGACCCCGAGGGGAAAGAAAAAGGGAAAGACGTTTGTGGATGATCAGGTTAGTTTTTCTTGTAACTAGTAGCTAGGTTGGGGCAAAGTCTGACTGGCGGTTCTTTACTACTCTAGGAGAGCATGATGACCATCCTCGCAATTGTCAGCGCAGAGAAAGAAGGACAAATAGAATCCAAGATGATGAAAGCCCGACAAATGGAGGAGATTCGAGAAGCTAAAAGGAAAGAGGCAGAGGCTAGGGCAGACAAGCGGAAATCGAAATTGGTACGTTTCTTCCCCTTTTTTTCCCTTCTTTTTCCTTAAAAGGAACTAGTAACTAACAATTCCACTTGGAAAAATATAGGAGAATATCAAGGATGAGTTGCGAAACAAGAAGAAGAAGAAATCAAGCAATGGCCCTACAGAGGATAAAGAAAAAGGTCGGAAATCGAAAGAAAAGCGCAAGAGCGTTTCTTTTGCATGATAAATACAGGCATCTGTCTATACTGATATTTCCGTCTGTCTATTGTGGTTTCTATGTATATGTTGTCTATTGTCATATCATTCGTGTGAGGATTATCTGTCCTCAGGTCAGGACAGGGCGTAAAGGTGTTTTGAAGAGGGTTGAACGGTCGTTTTCTTTCTCCTCCGGCAGTATTATTGAACGCTCAAGCAGGTGCGATCAAAGATCTCGTCTTTGCTGATTACTCAATCGCTCTCGCTCTTAAAAACTAATTTTCGACGCACTGGGTAGAAACCACTTGGCCCTTGGGAGGGCTTGTCGAGTGATTCTCCGTGCAGCCCCCTGGTATCCTTTTGAAGAACTGGGGGGACCGTAAGGTCGATTTTCTGTGCCAGTAGGTCGAGGAAGTTTGCCGCCTATAAAGATTCTTTGTTAGTTTTATCCATTCAAATGACCGTGTCTCTTAGAAGATTGGGATCCCTACTGGTTTGGTAAACCAACGAGCACCTCCCAATTCAAACCAGCCGAGGTGCCCTCCCCAGGAGGTGGTTAGCAGAACACCGTATGGCGTTTGTTGGAATTCGTTGTATGGAATTGCTTCTTTGGCGGATATCTATAGTTAAATGAGTTTACGTCATAGTATAAAAGCAGACAGAAGAACATGAACATAATACTAACCGGGTCATCTTCAGCATTGATGGCCAGGAAAGGGATCCGAATTGACAGCAGGGAGTCTGTAGACGAGGCATCGCGATAGTAGGCACCTTCAGTTGGGTAGCCCCATAATGGGCATTGTATGGCTCTTCATACCACGTCAGTAAAAAGTTTGCCAACTTTCTAAGCATAAAAAGAAAGAAGAAACAACCACATACCTGTCGAATTCATAAATGTACTTCGCTTTTCTCGCGTCATCTGGCTTTAGCCGCGGATGACTCGTCAATTCGTCAACGTGTCTTTCGTACTTCAAGTTAGCGATACACACAGAGTCATCACGCGTAGGACAGGAAGTATGGAGCGTAACGTACTGTTCAAAGAGTCGTACAAGACTGGCGGCCATGTGTGTTGAGTAAACTTCGGCGCCGATCCATGTTCGATGAAGAGCAACACTCGTGACGTCTAGATTCCACGGATTGGCGCAGATTACGGCACCGTTGAGCAGACAATTTTCACCTTCTTCACCAAGATACTAAATCATGGTTAGTATATTATTCCAGCACTCATTATTCCTTCATAAAGCCGAAAGTCGAAAGACGGAAAGAACATACATTTACTAATATGTTGGCACCTAGAGAAAAGCCGATACCAAACAAAGGACGATTCGGGAACGTCTTTCGCAGCCACTTTACCAGCTGACGAACATCCCAAGTTGCGCGAGCATTGAACAACAATGAAGTGCTGATTTTCGTTTGTGCACAGCCTCGAGCATTGATAACGCAGGCCTCCCAGCCGCTATCTCTATCCAGCACGAGAGGCGCCAGAGCCGCCCTCAAATAGACCTCATGAGAGCCACCAGTCAGTCCATGCAGAGCAATAAGCATGGGTTTACTATCATCGGACGGCAGAGCCCCAAGCTCATCCTGAGAGAAGAAAGCGGTCCGCGCAGGCAGCCCCGAGGGAAGCGTAAATTTCCTCGCAGCATCCGTAGCTTCAGCATCCTCTGTCTTCTCAAACGGGGGGACAACAAAATCAACGGCAAACTGGCCAGCGAGGTCTGGGATTTCCTGTTCGAAGATCTTGCGCTTGTAGTAGATGGGGATTTCAACGGTCTCTTTGATCGTCGTCCACCCGGTTTGCAGATGTCCGTTGAAGAGGAATGGGTTGAGATTGCATGTTGCAGGGGTAGCTTCGCGGCATAGGTCTATCAGTTTGATCTGCGTCTCCTTGTCTGGTGCGTTGCCATCCTCTGCATTCTTTGCGGTGAGCAGGAGTTGGTTCTCTGCGCAGTGAACCAATGAGATCTTGGCACTCCGGGAAAACATCGACGGTGCCATGTCTAGCGAATGGAATAATTCTAAGTCCGAGACGCCAGACAGTAGAAAGTAAGAAAGTCCAAAAAAAAAAAAAAGATGCCTGTTAAAGAAAGCTAAAGGGAAAAAAAAAAAAAGATTGCTTGCTTAGCAGTACCTCGGCATAATATCCTGATCGGGCAACTGCACGGGCCAATAACTGCGATAAGATAACGACAGAGCAAGTCACATGCAACTCATAAAGCTTTACTTTCCTCCAGTTGTATTATATCTATACTTACTTATTAAAACCAACCGTCTACCACTGAGGTATGAGGCCTTCGTCTAACGACTATTGACAGATCATTATAGCTAAATCGTTGTCACCTAAATCGTGATACTTATCCGGGTTGACCGAGCAAACAAAGTTTCTCATTATCGTGGACTTCTTGATTACTCTCCCTCATTTCGTCCCAAGGTATAAGTGCCTGGATGGCGCTGTTGTCTTTATGATATCGCTGCAAGTAGGTGCAAATCGCCGGGATTTCATATCTAGCGCGAAAGTCAATCCACCATCTAGTTTCGCGAGCTCGGGTGTACCACAAGCACAGTAACAGAAGCGCTATCGGGTCCTTCTTCTCTAAGCACATGCGAAAGTCATTGTGCATCTTGCTGGCGACCCCCAGCGCACTATTTTGCGAAGCCTCGCCCCTTGGTTTCTCCAAAAGCCGAGAAAGGCCGTGTGCAACCGTAAAGTAGGGGTTGTTCTCGCGGCTCGAAGACTCGCTCAGCCCGCATACGTGCACTAATTCAGCCAACACGCTGTCGAGGCCTTTCTCAGGCAACGGTTGATGCATTTGTTGCAAGGTCTCGGACATGCTCCGAAACACACTGCCTGGCCGCAGGGGGTCCAGAAGGTACCACAGTGACATTTTGCCAGCCCCAAGCCGTAGCCAGTCTAAATCTGAGGGATCGGGTGCCCCCAAAGGCCATGCATGGTCTGGCAAACAGGCATTGATGGATGAGAAAGTTAATATGCCGATACTGCCAGCTGTAGCCCAAAGAGGGTCCTTGTCTTCTTCCTTAATGTGTTGACTCAACCGTTTGTTGAACAAGATAGTGCATTGGAACCAGTGATATGATTCCCGTAAAGAGCGTCGAGGTGCTGGTGTCACGCCAAGATAGCGATCATGAACAGCTGCCGCTGCCAATGACCCGTGCATCAAGAATGGACACTATAGAGCATGCGGTCAGTCAAGCAGATGTGACCTTGGGAACCATTGTCCGGACTCACGGTAAAAGACGCCCACAGCATATGACTTTCATATATGTCTACCATTACCGAACCACCGAGGGAGTATACGGTTCGGTATCGAAACCGATTAAAAAGCTCTTGGTCTTTCGAGTCTAGCATGAAGAACGTGGACCCATCATCAGCCCATATGGCATTGCTGATAGCTGGCCGCGGCGATGGCAACCGGGCTGCTCGGCATGGTATTTCCTGCTTTGCTCGTTTCTCGGAGAGTGGCTGTAGGTCGGGTACATTCAACCCAAAATTACAAAGGACTCCATAAGTCCGACATCGCACACAATGAGGCCTCGTTTCGTCGCACTGCAGCCAAGCAATGTTGGTCGTGGTTTCATCTAAACGCGGAGTAGAACTTACCTTCAACTTCCTCAGTTTACAGTTCCGACAGCCAAATCGCGATTTGCGTCTGCCCTCGCGCTTCTTCACAACAGGCTGGACACCAAAATCCATTATGGATCTGTGCAGGGGGAAATGTGGCGGTCAGTCTGGCCATGGTTCAACTCGCTGTCATGCAATCAGTGGTGGTGACTGAGCAGCGTCAAAAGTATTGCAGCAGCCCCACGGCAAAAATCGATATCTCCGGGCGTTTAGCTAACCGCTTTGGGTTGATCTGCGCGCCGCAGGAGCTACGGCGGACTATGCGGGCCATCCCAGTACTGTGGTGGTTATTTGTATCTATTTGGAAGGGATATTTAGTTAATGCAAAAGATCATGACATAGTTATATACGGAGCAACTACATGCTGCTTTGTTTTTTTGCATAATGTCCTGAGCATTGCATAAATAAAACACCGAAATACGAGGTATCGAAGAGCCAAATCCACAGGCACCACCTGGACATCTCCCAGGCGAGAAACGGGCAGAGCTTCCAATCTATTTTACTTTGAAAAGCCTCGCATCCGTCTCATTCTGCAAAGCTAAGTGGGTTATTTACCCTGCCACACAAATAACGAGCTTCGGTGAAATGCATAATGACAGCCATTGCCAACCCGGCTTCCGCAGTCCGCCGTAGCTATCCCGCGCTAGCCTCAGCTCGGGTTTAGGCGGCGATGATTGGCCGACAGCGGCTCCACGATCAAGGGCAACCACTGCGTATGAAATCATGGAATGCGATGGGCAATACAGAAGGTGAGCGTTGTGCCTGCGCGGACAATACAATAGGCCGTTAAGTCCGCCGCTGCTGTAGATGAATGAATACATAAATGACGAAAGTCGCCCGTGTCAGAAGAAGATTGTTCCTCACCTCAGGTAGATATCTCTCTTTCACTTATTTTATTCTCACTGCCGTATCCGTAATTCTACATCGGCAGTTCTTTATATCTGCTTCAATATGCGCGTCTTCGTCACAGGATCAACCGGCTTCGTCGGCACCGGGGTCGTCAAGGAGCTGCTCTCTGCAGGCCACACAGTCGTGGGCCTCACCCGCAGCGACAAGGGAGTCGAGCAGCTCAAGAGCCAGGGCGCCGAACCCCTGCGCGGCACAATCGAAGATCTCGAGCTCCTCAAGAAGGCCGCCTCTGAATCCGACGGCGTCATTCACCTTGCTTTCAACCACAACGACTTCTCCCAGTTCGAGAAGGCCTGCGCCACGGACCGCGCCGTCATCACTGCATTGGGTTCCGCCCTGGTTGCTGCGGGCGGCGACCGCGCCCTGGTCGTTACCTCAGGCACCATGATGCTGGCACGTGGTAAGCTGGGCTACGAGACCGATGGGCCTGATATGTCCAGCTCGATGGCCGCAGCTCGCGGGGCCTCAGAGCCAGTGTGTCTCGACTTCGCCAAGCAGGGCGTACGCGCCAGTGTTGTACGCTTGCCGCCCACAGTCCATGGCCCTGGATCGTCGGGCTTTGCGGGGATGTTTGTCAAATTCACGCTGCAGAAGGGCGTTTCGGCATACATCGGCGAGGGCCAGAACCGCTGGTGCGCTGGCCACCGCGACGACGCGGCCAAGCTGTATCGCCTGGCGTTGGAAAAGGGAAAGCCTGGGTCTGTCTATCATGCGGTAGCTGAGGAAAGCGTCACATTCAAGGAAATCGCAACTGAGGTTGGGAAGCAACTTGATATTCCCGTTATCAGCGTCCCAGCAGACAAAGTAGAGGAGCAATTTGGCTGGTTTCAGTTTGGTGCCGTGGCTGACAACATAGCCTCGAGCGCGAAGACGAGAGAAGAGTTGGGCTGGACTCCTACGGGCCCCGGCGTGGTTGAAGATACTCCAGTTATTATCGATTATGCGAAATCTCAGGGAGCATAAATATTAGGCATAGTCTATTTTTGCTTAAATGTCGACCTATGTTTTGTATTTCAAGATTGGACCGATCTTTTTTTTTTTTTTTTTTGATTGTGAATGAGAAACGAAATTGATGTTCCTAAACGCAAGATGATATATCTGCTATACCATGTAGTTGATCTCTTGAGCTAGTAAAATTGGTTTTGTGAACATAGTTCCAATGGATAAAATCTCAAGTAGTAATATCGCCCGATTCTATCACATACCTAGGTATACCTATTGTCCATGAAACAGTGAAAGAGGACTCATCGAGACCAAGAAGAAGAAAGGAAATAAATATGTACATGTTACATTACATCCTCCACGAGAACAATCGTCAAACCAGCTCAAGATCAAGCAAATAGTTTACCCAACTCCCGTTCATGACCGTACACAACGCCAGACTGCAGACTCCCTTGCATGAGGCTTTCATGCAAGCGAGAGACGATATATGGCATAACAGAGTCAGTAAACTCGCGCCTCATCAAACTCTTGTCCATCCAGTAGTGCCGGACAAACTGTCCCCTGCAGTTCGAGCCTTCACCACCGGGCTGACTCCCATCTGGACTGTCCGGCGAGCCATTCGCTTCCCCGCATGGAATCGTCACAACCTCTTCGGGGCGAGCGAACTTGTGATGAATATAGTCGCGGAATGCCGCCTGTTCGTGTGCCCAATTGTACGCCCATTGCGAGCAGTTGGCATAGAAATCGGTCAACTCCAGAGGACAGTCAAGCCATTCCTGAAACAGTTCTTGGCTGCGTGGACCAGCCTGTCCGAGAAGAAAGCCCGTGTTTAGAGAGAGCTCGCCGCGTTCGTTGAAGTTGTCAAATTGATGTACATCCAGCGGCGCAGCGACGATTGTCTCGTCCGTGATGTTCCAGTGGTTCATTAGCCATTCCAGTGGTACATGGGGGTAATGCACGCCAACATCCCCATCCATGAAGACGGCTACGTCGTGTGTCAATAGCGCCTCTTGCACAACCGGAACTTTCACCCATGTGCCATGTCGATCTTTAAATTCGGGAGCCTGGACGTAACGGTAATCATAGCCGTGAATGAGAGCTGTAAATACACGCAATTAGCATTGTAAAAAAGCCGCTTTTTTTTCTCCAAATGTTAGACGTTTGCGGGAACTTACCGTAGAGATAATGGTTTAGAGCACCAAAAGCTGATGGACTAGCAGAAGCAAATTTGAGAGGACCTTTGGCGAGCAGCTCGCCAACTTTATCCCGTGGCCGACTATCGACAGTGAGGATGATGATCCTCTTTCCCATCGGCGACTTGATTCGGGGCTCGCCTACGACAGTAAACACTTCGTTGTCGTCATTGGTGAAGGATGGATCCGTGATTTTGTGGACAAGAGGTCTGTAGAATGCATATACTTGATCCTGAATAGATGCTGATGTATCTGACCCTTTCCTTGAGAATCCACCACTAAGATAGATGCAGGGTTAGATGAAAATAATGACTCCCCTGAAAGATAGGAATTCTTGTTTGAGATATGAGAAGAAGAAATTATACTAACGGCAAGCGACCAAGGAGTATAGGGTCAGGACTTGTCCATTCAGCCAGAGCAAAAAGAAACCCAAGAGTCAATGCCAGTGTAGCCGCAAGACGCCAATAATTTCTCGGGATTAAGACAAAATCAGTCATTATGTTTATGCTAGGCAGGTTTTCTTGGAATGGACTAGATAATGTTGCTTGACAAGATGAATCCGCATGATCCAGATACATATACAAGCAAGGAACACAAGAAAGGAAAAGGAAAACGGAAACCCAACCCCCTGATAAGAGAAAACGACCACATGCCCCCCTAAATGTCTAAAATTCCAGTCCGAAAAAGGAAGATAAAAAAAAAAAAAAAAAAAAAAAAAAAAAAAAAAAAAGCAAAGAAACAATTAGATATGAGCTGCACTGAGACATCTCTTAGCGTCGGCGGCCTGAATGCGCAACATTTGATGTCTAGCCGGATGCGGCGCTAAGTCGCATGTGAAATGAAGATCAGTGTGTAGGAAGAACCAATGAATAAACTCATACATGCTAATAGATACTAGATGCTCTCCAATGAAATTATCATAACTAACCAACAATCACTCAGCCGTGACTCAGCAGCGTTTCATCTGGTCTTCTTCCGTTTTGGGCCCGGAAGTGGTTAAGCTCGTCAACCACCCATCTGTTTCGAAATGCTTGACCGATGATTTAAAAGTGCATCTATAGTAAATATAGGAAACTTTACTCTATCGATGAAAATAGATGGAGCTTAAAAACTACACTGAACAAAGCTGACATGTAGTAATGAACCAACAAGCTGGGCCATTGATCCAAGGACCCTGTGAAGATTAATCACAAGGATTTTGTTCGAGAAGGAAGTCTAAATCTCAACAGTAGAAGTCGTGTTGATATTATGTACATTAGATATAATCTTGACGACGCTTAATGCTATGTTGATACCGATTTGTTGAAGTACAACGTACACCCCGCGGATCCCCTCCCCGGGCGAACTCACTCATTCCGGATGGTTCCACACAAGGCTAATGTGTGCAACCTGTATGTAGACCAAGGCCGACTCGATCTTCAAGCCAGGTGGCACTCGATAGTAATTTTGGCCGGTGAATGCGGCTGAACGCCTGGGCACATTTGGACATTGCTCGGGAAGGGGGACACTCACATATCCGCAGGAAATCATATTTCCATGAAAAATGTCGGCAATCAAGGCGTCTTCTACCACGGAGATTAAGCATGTTTTCTTGAAGGTGCCTAGTCATGCACTGTAATTGGTCTAGAGTATCTTTGAAAGATATTCCCTGGAGGCGCCCCTGATAGAAGGTCAATTGAGCCCTGCACGGGAGTGACTCCACAGACTAGGAATGTCTTGCATCCACAAGATTTATGCTTTGTATAATCCTCTCATAGTATTTTTTACCAGAGTCCATTCTAAATCTAGCTATTCGCAGCAACACTCTATATTCCGACTTACAAAAAGAGGTAACCCAGACCGTGTATTTAGCCCATCTTCCCGAAACCGACCAATCAAGGCCAGCGATGAAGAGAATACGCCCCGTATAAGAAAAAAAGAAGATACTTTAAAAGAGGTGAGGAGAAATCAAGCATTCGTCAGATTCCTCATAAGCGGCCATCAATATTTCCCATAACAGCTAGCTTAGAGAGTGGAGAATGTGTTAGTGTAAAGGACTCTTCCATGTGCCACTACATAACTGAAGTCATTCCAGTTTTCTTAGAGATCATGCAACGTCTCACAAGAATCAAAGGTATTCTAGGCCATTTCTAATCACTCTGGGATAATTAACTCTCGTATTAGCTCGAGCTTATGCAATACAGAGGAAGAGAGTCATAGTGGATATCTTAATCAAGTCTCAAATACACATAAACACTTGCCAGACTCTTTGTGAGAGGCAAAGCCCTAAGGCAGCAAGGCAACAGCCCTGACAATGAGAAAAGCCTCAGGCACACATGAGCAAGCTTATATATCGTGCAACTACCGTAATTGGCAGGCCAATTACCCTTGTGTTACCTTTTGGCGTAGTGGTTGACGTCAATCCGAGAAGCTGAAGAATCCGAGGTGTCCAATTTAAAGGATGTCTAAAAAGGCTACTAAATTGTTAGTGATGCCTCATTACCTGTCAGACAGATTTTTCGATTGCTTTCCCGTAGACAACAGTGCTGTTCCATCACCAGTTTCACAGCGAGTTTCTTTGAATCGACTCTGCCAATCCTTATGGTCAACGCTAGTCCAGGTATCTCAGGCTCATTGACTAGAAATGTTCTTGCAAAATTCATCGAGTCTAGGTAGATCTAACACACAGTGGCTGGAAGAGTCGAAAAAAATACCAAACTTATGACCACAATTCAAACAGGACATCGACAGAGGACTGTCTGCCATCGGATAGTGGCGTATCAGGCATCAACAAACTCGCTCCATTAAAAATAAAAAATAAATGAATGAATGAAAAAAGAGATGGATGAGGATGCAATTGAGAAATCTGCTTGACCCGAATGCATCATCAGTTGCCCAACAGCCTCTTAGCTAAACCTCTATGGGGATTGAGAAGGTATTAGTCAAGCGCGACTTTCAAATGTTTGAGAGTCGGTGGTCTATCAGCGATGCGCTTATTGAAATTGTCGAAACAAGGAACGATATCTCCAGAAAGAACGGTGAACCCTGCAGTCACCCGTATGCCTTCTTTTGTTTGGTGAGATCCATGGATGGCCTCCCTCACTGTACCTGTGTATTTGAGGATGGTGCCAGTTTACCCAACAAAACCAATCTAGTTTCAATCTCAAAGTCACAGAACTTTGCATGAAAAGATTTTAAACTACCTCGAAAGGTTGATGGTATCGTCGGATCCGTCGGGATGAAACGTCTATATGTACCCTTTCTTTGAGACTTTTGTATCTCCTGGGAACAAATTTTACATTCCCTTTCTCTTTCGACATAAAGTGAAGGGGTTGCGTTCGTCCACCTTGGTTCGTCATCAATATAGAACCACTGTGTACATGAGATACATATAGTTCGGATAGAGCTCAAGTTATCATTGCTGTTCTTTTGTAAACAATCATCAATTTGCAAACCAGTTCTCCTAGGCGTTTGAACTGGAAGGGAGAGAGAACTCGTCTCTCGAAGTGTATAATCTTTTTCATCCATTGTTGCAGGTCTTGCCTTTACACGCTTTCCAGAGCAGTCCGTGCTCTTGCTCTGGCATCGTCGGGTGCGAGCGATATAGCAACCAGGCATTGAGACCGCCCACCGAGGCTGATGATCTGTGCTAGCGGCACTTCCGCATCTCGTGCAAACGAGGTCAACTTGGCGCCCATCAAACGTACTATGAAAGTAGTTTTGATGGGCGTCGTTGACCTGATCCAGGATATTTTTTTGATGGGTTAAAACCCTACTCAACAGCTCTCCCAAGCCCTCAGATGGGCCTTGCCCGAATCTCGTACTTGGGACAATTGTTTCGAGCTTCCTGGTTACATCATTGAAGCTCGAGACAGGAATATTGTAAAATAAGATCTCTTTCTGTCCTTGAAACCATCTGAGTACTGGTTCCGGTAGGTCAGAAGGTGACTGCCAGTCGGAAGTGCACTTCTCTAGGGCCCCTAAAGCCTCCGGGATCAGTTCTCGAAAGGCTTGGTTACTGTGGGGGGTACTGTTGAAAAATATATCCCAGTCCCCCGTTGCTGCTGATGGCCTCAGGGTCGTAGGAGGCATATTGTTGTCCACCTGCAGAATGGTGGGTTTGGGAATATGTCGCTCTTTTTCTAATGCATTTGCGTAGGCTTTCAGCTCCATTAACCTGGCTTTTCCTGGGACAGATTTGAACCATAACTTGTCCAAAAAGTAGTTCCTTTTCCAGATATCAATCTTGCGAGCCATCAAGGCCGCAGCTTTCAGAGCCCTGTCTTGTCTGGCGGAGGTCTCCGAATCGTCCTTCTTTTGCCAGTACATATAACCTGGATGAGCCAAGCAAAGTATAATCCGTCGGAATCTGTAGCGAGGATCGGCATTCCCGTAGTTACTTTCTTTTGAAAGCATGATAACCACGTCTTTAAACTCTCCCCAAAGCGGCAGGACCTCGAATTCTTTCGTTTTGACCAGGCGCTGCTGGACCTTCACACCCCAAACCACTTCGATTTTTAGCTTGCATTGAATACGTAATGCAATCTGTAAACGTCTCATGTATTTTCAGCACTTGGGAGGGAAAATCTCTAATAGCTGATGATTCGGATTCTCCACGTCGATGAACATGATCAAACATAAGGGTTTCACCTGTCTCATAGAGATTCCCCATCACCATAGATGTGCAGCCGTTCATCGGGTCAGCCACTTCGCCTTCTCGAATATTTTCCTTGCCCGTCGTGAAAGTCGGTTGATTGAGGTGGTGGGCAATTGGTGAGCTTAAAGACCCCGATGGTTTTACAAGGAAATCCGGTGATAGCGCTTCTGGTAAGACATCCATATGCTGAATTGTCTTCCAAGTTGAGATCTCATCTTCTTTGAACTTCTGGAACGCAGCATGCAGGTTTTTGATAGGGCAATCAAGTTCTATGAGGATCAAGTTAAGCAACTCGAGAGAGTATACGCGAATAAAGCTGGATAACTTACCTTTCATATTTCGATTATCTAATTCCTCCAGATAAGGCTCCAGTTGTTCAGCGCGCTGTTCGAGCTCACTGGGTGGGCGAGAAAGGATCAACTCTCCCAGAATGGTAAAACTGCCCGAAGAACTCTTTCCTGCTGAACAAGGGATTGACCTGGTGTCCCCAAGTTCTTCTTCGCTTGCATATTCTTCTGGAAACCCGGCCTCCTCGGCATCCCTTTTCTGTCCTAAGACAAAACCGCTTGTCGAAAAGTTCTGTCTTGATAGCTTTGAGCGAGAAATCAAGGGCACGTAAGTCATGCGAGTCGAATAGCGAATTTGCTGGTCTTGATATGATGGCGATATGTTAAATCAATATTAAGATGCACCACGGTAATTGGGACTAACCTTCATCCCCCAGACTGCAGAATTCACGTAGAAAGAGACAGTTTGCACACCGACCTAGCTGCTCACCTTCTAACCGAATGCATGTATTGAAAGGGCGTCTAGCACCCCTGGGTTGTTGAGTCCTCGTAAAGTTTGCCGACTCCTCCCTGCTACAGCACTCACATTGATTGTCCTGCACGATACCATAAAGTTGGATGGCGGAGCTATCACCCTTTGCTTACCAAGTTCTGTGATTGAATCTCGGCACCTAAAGTCGACCTCCCGCCCTCGACCACGAGTATAATGGTGACGAATATATGCTACATCTTGGTCAACACTGTGGTCCAAAATAGCATCAACATATGCGTTTCTTGCTTCGGGTGATTGGTTGAGTAGCTTTGGCCAGTCTTGGTAGAGGGAATTCCAGTTCTTTCGTGGCATGATGAAAGGCTATCGAACTATCTCAGGCGCTTGGGAAGAAGAAACAGGCCTGCACCCCGGGGAGAGAAAATCGCTTCCCCCGGCGGTGCCGAATTGGGCGCCGGGGCGCTGCCTGCAGGATATGCCAATGCCTGAGGCATCTCATCATGGCATAGCTGAGTCTTCGTCGCTTGATACTTGTTGCTTATGAATGGATGTGTTGAATGCAACTTGGGTGTGCTTTTTTTGATTTTTGATTCAACGTCGCGAACCGGGTCGGTAAATGTTTCAGTTGGAACATGGAGAGCGAAGAATCTAATCGATCAGCTGATAGAAAATGACGAGGAAGTAATTGATCAACCAAAACAGGAATAAGTGCGTCGCAATCGCCAACTATTACCCATGTCGTCGAGTTCAACGTCGCGACTGAAGTCGGGAAAACCTCGACGGTGACCAACACTATTTGACAATACAGATATAATAATAACTAAACTTCACGAGGTTTAAAAAAAGGAAGAATGCTGAAAAGGCCATCATAATCTTAATATAAGTAAAGATATAGAAATTCCCAAAAAAATGCTCACACCTGGAGTCGAACCAGGGACCTTGTCATTACTAGTGACACATTCTACCGCTGAACCATGCGAGCTATGTATGAGTTTCATTGATATTTGGTTTATTTATTATTCTATTATTTAAAGAAGCCAATGAACCTTGCTGTCACAAGCAATATTGAGTTAGTCTCGCACACTCCCCATAGTGAAGGCATACACCTCGGAAATGATCGTTCCTGATATAGAGATAAACCCCCAATACGCGTTGCAATCACGGATTATCTTTAATTAAGACTCTTAGTACTCAGTCTAATGCCTACGTACACTGCTTTAGTATGCTGCTTGGAATAGCCTAGTGTACTGCTCAATAAAAAGTTCAAGTGAGATAGTTATGTGGAATCTAGCGTTAGAAAGTTTATTTTCGTTATCACTTGACTCAAAATTAGAACGTGAAGTAAGTAGTCTAAATACATAGGTTCATGCAGAACCTAGATAGTATTAAACTTTGATTCAACCAATCAGAGCTCGCATGGTTCAGCGGTAGAATGTGTCACTAGTAATGACAAGGTCCCTGGTTCGACTCCAGGTGTGAGCATCTTTTTTTATATTGCTATTATCTATCCATATGTTTTGTACGATTATTGTGACGGTGTTGCAAGGGTCTTCCTCGGGGCGCCGAGGCGCGGGAAGCTCATTCCGAAACGGGCAAACATGAAGCTATCTGGAGAACCGTCTGTAGGGTTGGACCTACTGCCGACTGACCTGGGATCACGTCGGCGACGAAGGTGGATGGCTTCCTCGCATAATACACCGAGCGGCGGGGTGCCTATTGTAGTATATTCTCCCTTTCCTTTCCTTCCTCATTCTTGTTGTTCTAGTCAGATGCACTCAGCTAGTTGGCAAATGATTAGTCGATTTGGCCGTTATAATTAGCGATTTTCGCATTATTTTTTATGAAAACCCTCGTTAAGTTGTATGGGAGTCTATTGGATGTACTATTGGAATATGTAAGGTGGGATCCTGAATGTCGTTGGGAATAGCTCCGAAGTAGGGCGAGCACGCGATCTCTCCTGTCCTCCCGCCGCTAGTTGGGCTAGCGGCTCGGCAGGCACCGCTATAAAAACGCGGGCGGCCTCAGGCTCCATGAGGCAGCGATTAGCTGCTGAGCATACGTGTATATACGTTTTCTATACAACTATTCAAAGACCAAAGCCATTCTTAAGCTATATTCTTGCAAACCCCGTCACGAAATATGTAGGCCTGTTAATCACTGATAAGATTATCTCTGGCTTCAATATCCCCTAGTGAGCTTGAATCTGAATAGAATCAAATACCACCAACCAATCACAGCTCGCATGGTTCAGCGGTAGAATGTGTCACTAGTAATGACAAGGTCCCTGGTTCGACTCCAGGTGTGAGCATTTTTTTGGGAATTTCTATATCTTTACTTATATTAAGATTATGATGGCCTTTTCAGCATTCTTCCTTTTTTTAAACCTCGTGAAGTTTAGTAGAGTCGTTTTGATGCCGACGATTTGTGTCACGGACCTGGTTGCACCCTAGTTGTCACTGGCTGTGTCGAGGTATAATGTTGATTGACATACGGAGGTTCTCCGAGGGTTGACTGGTAATGAAGTATTAAAAGCCTTTTAGATAACAGTAAATTTAGTAACACAACTACAATAGAATCTATAGCCTTAGAGTATCAAAATACTGTAAGTATACTTTGCCTTGCTGATCCTCTCAGTGTATAACCAAAGTAACTTGTGTTAAAGAGCTATGAAGAATAACTAAGAACGTGATGAGTGGCCCTATCCTCCTATTATCTTCCCACACTTCTTTGGTATATCCCGTGGTACACCCAATAGTTGTTCTTTCTGTCGTACCTTCTCCCGGTATACCGCGCGGCGTGGTGCGGTAGAAGTTAACTTATACGGTGACCTTATGTAAGCAAGCCTGTGTCCCCAGCTGACTACCGCGAGGTTGTAGTTTGCGCCGACTACGCACAGACCAAGTGCCTAACCGTGGAAATGATTGGCTGCTGTAACAGAAACGCCTTTCAGTCTTCAGATCTAGTCCTAGATTCTGCCTAGTGTCTTGTAAGTTGGGTTCGTAACATTTTGTGCCAGCATAAACAAAAGGCTTAGCGCATAAAATGAAGCCATACCTAGTTAGAATGCAGCCAAACCTCGTTGTTCCAGGCTTTGCTCCTTGTTCCATTATAGACTAAGCCTAATATAGAGTGTGATTTCGACCACCGCCTTCTTTTTGAGGACATTTGACCCCACAAGTTGGGCACCGGAAGGCAGTTTGACCCCTTGCTGAACACCTCTAGTATGGGAGCTTATTGGAATTGTATTGTCGAAACGTAGGCCTGTTAAGTCACTTCACGAGGTTATCTCCAGCTTCAGTACCCTCAGTGAAGTTGAATGTACAGATGAAAAGTCTCCCCCCAAACCAGAGCTCGCATGGTTCAGCGGTAGAATGTGTCACTAGTAATGACAAGGTCCCTGGTTCGACTCCAGGTGTGAGCAACTGATTACAGTTTCTTTTTTTTTCACTTCAATGAAGTGGATCATAAGCATAAATGCGTTCAATCTAAAGATTTTTATAGTATACTATGCCATGTCCCAGGTTCCCGGATTTCGCAGATCACCACTTGGCGATATCTCTTAGCTATCGACATTGTACTATGCGTGCATGTTTGTATATGATCTTCATATTAAGACCACTGCTGACCTCAATGTTACCTATATGTACATGAATAATCAAAGATTCCCAGGGGCCAAAATAAGGCCCGATAGACAGGTTTTTACTCTAGTTAGTCCTTAACCTTATCCCCAGGCAATTATACTATCTTTCAACGGTCTACAATGATAGAGATGGACAATTACGCCACTCTCTCTATTCTTTGCACGGATACTCTGCCTTCCACATAGGCACAAACAAGAAAAGAAAGAGAGAAGAAGAGAAAGAGAAAGAGGTCAATGAAAGAATTATGATGGTTATGAGTATTCTCCTAATGCCATCACCCATTCTGTCCTACTCCGGTCCCAGCTTCCAGCCCGACCCTTCGCCAGTCTCTTTATCCCCTCTTTTTAGGGTCTCTCATCTCCTTGGATCTACTTCTGATAATATTTCTCCGTGAAGCTACCATATGGTTCCGTGGTGAAGTCATTCCCTCTTCTCCAGTCTTATGCAGGCTTATTAGTGCATGTCGACTGCTAGAGCTTGGGAAGAATAGAGGAATAAAGGGGAATGAATCTTTCTGAATAGGGATTCTATGGGCTTACCTTCAATCTAGAGGCAGGGGGTATATATAAGAAAAAGATTCCCCCTCTATATCATTATAATAGATTATATTCCTTTCTTGATGTATTTATAGGCTGCCGTATTGGCTTGCATATTGGACCCCCGAAGAACTGGTATGAAACGGTATGGCATTGGCTGGTTGACTCTCCGGTTCTCGCCATAGAGACAGAGAATATTCTCAAAGGCTAGTGACGCTGCTAAGGGGTAGTTTTCAGGCGGAAGTACCCCGTATGTCGTCGATGATTTTTTTTTGTAGTGGTAAATACCATGCTTACTTCCTTATATGGATTAGTGTTAGGGCTGGCTATGATAAGAGCGATAAGGAATGCAAACCTGGCAAACAGCGCGGTCGGCTGAGGCTCACAAGGTGGCATGCCTTGTGACTGGCAGTGCACTGCCCAACCAACGTGCATCTCTTGCCAGAGAAAGATAAGATGCAGTCAAATGCTTGCGTCTCGAAGATAAATACAGAACCAACTTCTCAAGTGCTAGGTAAAGCCACCACATTCTTCCGATACCAAAATAAACCTCATGCTTTTCCCGATTGCCGTTTGCGGAAATCTTGCCTGAACCACCTCCGTAGTCGGTGCAATTTAGCACCAAAAAACAGTCACGATGCATAGAGACAAAATGATACAGTCAGCTGTCGCTTGCAACTGACTACGGACCGTCTGTCAGACTAGAAGACGAAAGCTTGCACCAGGGGAAAAGCGCGCCATTGGTTAACCTTTTTCCGAAAGGGGGGATCAATAACTTAATAGTGGAAGAAAAAGCTAATGCATAACAATGATAACATCCTGATTCAGCCATGAGAAATGATAATCTTATTGCTAACCCGTCGTCTTCCGCGTTCGTAATTTAAATCCTGCATTGCATCTTGCTAATAAAAGGTCCCTCGTGGAAGGCTCGCATGACTTGGATTTTCTTTCTTCTTCTTTTGCATATACATGAATAAATCAAGCTGCCTGCCTGCCTGCCTACCTACCTACCTGTGCGTTAAAACTGTCAACAGACATAATACTGATACATAACGTGAATATATTCAAGTCTACGACTATCATGAAGAAATAGTGGATTCCTCTAGAAACAACATCGACCGATCTACACCATGGGGCTACGCTCCTTGAGTTTCTTGGCCAGACTCAGGGTGTCGAAAATTACAGATTACGATGACCCCAAAAGAAAATCAGAAAAAGACATGAGCGTCGATCAGGAAGCCAAATGCTTCATCATAGACCTCCCCACGGAGTTACTGGCTCTCATATCCGCGCAGCTGGATCCCCTCTCCGAGGCATGCCTGGCATTGACTTGTAGGCGCTTACTACTCATTTCTGGGGCATCGCTTGCCTCCGAGTGTCTAGGATTCAAAAAGGACTTTGCGCCTCTCTTCCACCACTACAGGTCTTCTCAAAGCTTCGCTACCGAGCGCTGGAAGCTGGTAGAAAGGCTTGAAGACGGGAAATGGCTAGCTTGCTCTCAATGTCTCAAACTTCATCCTCGCACGGCATTTCCCCCGAAGGAATTGAGACGCAGCCCTACAACACGGATGTGCAATCTCGGGGAATCAGCGGGGCTGGTCGATTTGTGTCCATGCGTGAAGTTGACTTTTCAAGATAAAGCAAATCTCGTGAAGCACCTGAGGCAGCGTGAGCTCTTGACGAGGCTGCCTTCAAGTATCTTCGGAAGTCGCGGTTACGATGAGAGATACCTCTGGCACTCATGCACAGCTTCGTACGGATCAACCGATCTCAAAATTGGCATATATCCCGAGCTCAGAGATGATGGGAAGCTCTACATCCGGACCGAGTATCGAATGGAGATGGAACCAAACATGCTGGGCAAAGAAAAGCACATCTCACCCCGCTTTGGCTGTGCGCATCGGTCAATGGATCTGTGGCTATACAGTGTCTCCCAGACCCTCTACTGCCACCGATATGACACGTTCTGCTCGGCATGCAAGCAGATATCAGGCTGCAGTAGATGTGATACGACACTGAAAACTCCGCAGAGGAGGCCGCACCACTGCCCAGAGACCAACAAAGTGTCATACTTTTTCTGGACCCAGAGATGCCTGGGAAGCTCTACAGATATCCCAGACAAGGAGTTTGCGGCGCAAAGGATACACCCGGTTGATCCATATGTCACCTGGAAAAATTGTCGAGAACTATGCCCATGGACGGCGAGGTTGCATCCTCCACCAAACCAAGCCCCTGCGCTTGGTAATGAGATTCTGGAGCCAGCGCTGGTGGACAATAGTGCGCATTTTGCTAACCAGATGTTTACTTCGCTTCAACTCGAGTAGCAGAACCTATCTTGATACCAAGGGTTATGTTTTTAGTTTATAATGATCTTTTGTGTCTACGATCCATATCAAGGAGTACGCGGGAATAGGGGTAACTATTCATGGTCAATAGGTAGAAGGCGCAGGTTTAAATAGTACTATTTCATTGCACCAGTATAGAGACCTTGCCAGTTTCAGAAAACTACTGGGTGTTGTCACCGAACTAAGCCGGCTCTACAACTGCATACAAATCAACTTCGTCAATATATGAGCGTGTTTGCGCAATGAATTTGGGCTGTGTGGCCTGAACTCTGGAAAAGCAACATTTCTCCGCCAACGTCTGACATCCTGCAAAAGTGTCTTCTAAAAATTGTTTTGGGATAGCTAGTGGCTTCGAAATTCGGGTGTTTAGCTGTTGCGACAGTCTACGGAGCGGAAAAGTGTTCATGACGGAATATTAACCAGTAAGCCACCAAAAAGGGACCCCTTAAAGGGGCTTTTGGTAATGCTCATTTTAGGTGTAAATAATGCCTTATATTTCGCTGTCAAGTGTTGTCTCGATAAGACGGAGCGCGGTTTCTCCGCTCCGACTCCGCAACGCGCGACGCATCATGGAAGTTGTCGATGCTTCTTCACTCATGCTATTACGACCTAAGAACCAGATTTTTGTCTCCATGGCAGGTTGGATGGTATTTCCGTGATAAACGGGGCCCTTTCACATGCGTGCATCCTGACAAAGCCAAACTCCAAGGCAATGAGTTACCCACCACCTTTCAGCAACGACAACGGGCTACATCCATATCCCTCGCAGTACTTGCAGCAGATCCCTCAAAATGCCGCCCATTCTCGAGCGCCTGCACCGATTCCTCAATCGCAACCGCAGTATAATGTCGGCGCCAATGTCCAATACATGAACTATACGACGAATTCCTTCGCCTACCCTCAACCCTTGGCGCCGTCCTACGCCCCCGCATATGGAGGACAGCATTCACCACCGCAGTCTCTGCCACATCAGCGAGGATTGGCACCTACACTTCCTCAATCGCCTCAACAGCAACAACACCTCTATCACCAGCAACGACAGCAGCAATTTGGCTCTCCGGTGACTCAGCAGCACCCGCATCAACACCACCCCATGTCGAAATCCTCACCACAGCAAAATCAGGCTCTGCAACGGCAACAGCAACAATATGGCTCCCCAATCATACAACAAACTCAGCCTCCGCATCGGTCTCTGTCGTATCCCTCACCACAGGCCGCACATCACCCTTCACCGCAGCAGAATCAACCTCAGCTCCAGCCTCAAGTTCAAGTTCAACAACGGCAGCAGCAATATACCCCCCCAATGGTTCAGCAGCATCAACTTCTACCACAACAATCACACCAGCCTACTTCGCAGCCTCGACAACAGCAAGCTCAACAACAAGTCCAGCAACCGCCCACACCGCAGCAAGGCCCTCCGATACAATTTGTGAACCCGAGTGATACATTTACAGAGCCAGTGCGCAGATTGCCAATACATGACGTTGCGGCCAGTGCTAGCCCTTTGTTGCCCTATCAAATTGGACCTCCTTTGACTGCACCCGTCACCCCACAGTATGGCACACTTCCTGCTGTTGCGCCCCCTGCCTCCGTGGTGTCAAATCATTCATCCTATCCAACCGCTTCCAATCAGTTACCAAGTAGCCACGAGCAGCATACACATAGGCCAGTGGCATTAGTAATGCCTCCAAAAAACGAGAAAACAGATACACCGTCTCGACCAGCCAACCAAAGTCGAAAGTCGTCCACACAACTGGCCTCGCCATTCAGTCGAACCCCACAAGTCGTCATTCCATCTTTGTCTAGTATTCAAAAGATGTCAGCACCCAAGGCATCTAACCAGTCCCCAATGGCTGCGTCTCAGACAATCAAAACCCCCCCGAAAACCCGTTTTGACAACGACGTCGACTACCAGACATTGCTATTAGCCCTTGCAGATGAATACCTGAATGCTGCGCATAGCAAAGGAACGATTCTTGCATTGTCGAAAAATGAGGTTGATCTCAAAGAATATTATAAATTGGTGGCTACGGGGCTAGGTTGTTTGGAGGCTGCGCTATCTGTTCGTACACCCAAGCAGTTTGTCCGGCGTATGTTTCTCTATGCTAAGAATGTCCCATACAATAGAATTTCAGATTGCCACCGCTCACAGAGGCCTTGACACGATTACGATACGCACGCATACTAATTGAGGAAACTGACAACGACGTGGCAGCAGAGACAGCGTTGAGTAAAGGAGTAAGTGGAGTTATTACTGTATTTAAGCTAAGAGCTATGTGCTAAATACCTCACAGATTGAATTATGTGAACGGGTTAGTCATTCATACCTTTTTTTTTTTTTTTTTTCCTTTTCTTAATCCTGGCTAAAAGCTGATTTCGAGGCAGAATAAACTTTTGGATCTCAAATATACGATGCAACAGCTTTTGGCTCGTATGCTTCATAAATCCAATCCCAAAGCGGCAGCGAAAGCTGTCGATAACATGATTCAAGACGTTGAAACGTACGTGACTAAGTACGAATATTTGAGTTGGAAGCAATAGAATAACGATGATGGTTTTAGATATCGACATACACACTGGGAATACGCCTTTCGCCTGCTGAGAGTCAGCCTTGCGCTGTCGTCTGCATCTCATCAAGACTTTGTTGTTGCTATTAACAATTTGCAGAAATTGTCGAACCTCGCCAGTCGCAGCGGCGACAAGCTGGTATCCGTCATAGCTGCACTGATTGAAGCGCTAGCACACTTGCAGCAGTCCACCAGCGCTGATTCCGTCGAGCAAGCGCAGCACGCAGTGGCGCTGGCGCGGAGTCATCAATTGGATCCGCGCGTGCAAGAGATTCCTCAGATTGGCTCCATGCTTCAGATGGTTGATATCTCATGTAGTCTGCTCGAGTATGATCTGACCCAAGCCTCCCAGAAGTTACAAGTCATGCAAAGCATGATGGACCAGCGAATAAACGATTCCCGATGGCGAGACGATGGATCGTTTTCAATTCCTTTGAATGCCCAACCTCCTCCAAAACTAGCTGAAATGGGAGATATATTGAGTGTTGAAGACGGCCAATTGTGTCTAACATTACAATGGCTTCCTCAGCACGACTTATACTCACTCTGCTACCTGCTAAGCTCAGCGACGCTGGGTGCTAAGAACTCTCACGATGGGCGCAAAGCTGAAAAATACCTGCAGGAAGGTCTGCGTATGCTTCGCGGTAAGCTCGAAATCTTTAACACATCTTTGTGGTTGAATTAACGAACTTGTCTGATATGTTTGTTTCAACAGGCAGTTTCAAGGAACCAGAAGAAAATACCGAGTCCCTCGTGGCTGCTGGAGAACGACTCGAATGGCGACGAGTTCTACACTGCAACATACTGCTGCACCTCACATTTTTAGCATGCGCACGAACCGATTGGGAAGCTGCTAGTCAAACGTTAAGAGATCTTAAAGGCGCTGTTAAGGAATTGGACAATGCGCTCCCAGAAACGATCTCCTGTCTTATGCAGTACGCTACCGGAGTTATCGCACAAGGCACTGGGGATCTCGCAGCGGCATTAACAGCATTTGACTCTCCCATACTCTCACTCACCTCATCAATGAACAAAACAATGCGCAACGACCCTCGCCGCGACACAGCAATCCTCGCAGGGCTGAACAAAATCCTCATAATCCGGGAACCCGCACATCCCTCACACTCTCGTCTCGACCAGGTGCTCTCTGTAGTCGAACCTCACTGCCTAGGCAGCTCCAACAAATACATACAAGCCGCCTACTATCTCATCTGCGCCACGGTGCATAACGAATCAACCATTCAAACCAAACAATACCTGCAGCAAGCACTCCACTCCGCCACGGCCATCAGCAACAGCCAAATCACATGCATGACGCTCACGTTCATGAGCTGGAAGTATTTTCGCGGCGTGGTCGGCGAGCAGTCGGAAAAAAGTGCGCGCGCCGGTCGAGCAATGGCCAAAAAGGCAAACGACCGGCTCTGGGTCAGCGTTACGGACCAGATGTTGGCGGAGACTCTGGAGCGGCAGGGCAAGGCGGATGAAGCGCGTGTTGTGCGGGAAGAGGCTGACAGGCTGTTGATGGGATTACCGACAGCGTTGAAGCGGACTGAATGTCGGTGATAGCGCTGCTGCGGCTTGCTATTTCTATCCCCCCTCCTTTTCTTTCTTTTTTTTTCTCTTCCAAATTTTGCGTCTCGGCATTTCTGCATTTGGGTAGATACCTCGCGGCATCTTTGAATTTAGCAATGGAGTTTTTCTGAGTTGTTTACTATTGGCTGATGAGAGAAACTGATATCCCTACATGATATGCTTAAAATCTACCTGCATGAAAATAAAGATATAACATAATTAACGATTAGTTAATTGCAACACGGATGAACAGTAAACTATTCCTAGTTTACAAGATTTCAGAAATGATATATTCCAACACAACCCAAAACAAAACCATATTCGAGCCAAAAACAGCTCTTGATCAACAACTCAACTCCCACAAACACCTTCGCCTTGAATATATGCATGTGCCACAAAACCACAGGTCAGAAAAAGCGCCATTCTCCTTGCGAAAAAGTAAATAAATGAATAATGTATCCTCCCCTCTTCTCAACCCAGGCCAGTATGGAGACGAGGAATCAACCTAATCCACCCCACATCCCCCTAATCCTCCTCGCCAACTGAATATCCTTCTGCATAATCGTCACCCTTTTAGCATGAATCGCGCACAGATTCGTATCCTCAAACAGATGCACCATGAAGGCTTCTGCGGCTTCTTGCAAAGCCTGGATTGCGTGCGACTGCCATCGCAGCTCCGCGCCGACTTCTGCGGGCAGCAAGTCAAGCGCGACTTCGCGCACGAGACGCGCAAATGGTAGTTTGGAGATGAGTAGGTCAAAGGAGCGTTGATATTGGCGGATTTCTTTGAGAGCGACTGTGCCGGGTTTGTAGCGTCGGCGGCGGCCGGTGGGGGTTGGGTCGCCGGCTAGAAAATCATATCATAGTCAGTGCGAATCTAATCACCAGAAAGTGAAAAGGATAGAGAGAGAGAGAGGGTTGATGGGAAGAGCTCACGCTGGATATTCGACGTGCGCGGGGCCTTCTTTCCTGCAGGCCGCTTTTCTATCCGGCTCTTCGCGGGAGATGTGGGCGTGGGCTTCTGCTTTTTGCTGGCGGATGGTGATTTAGGTGAGGGGACAGTTTTGCTTGCGCTTGCAGGTTGAGATTCTGTGGTTGGAGCCTTGGATGGCCGCCCTCGCGCGGCTTTGGGGGGCATTTTTTCCCCTTCCTTTTTCTTCGGGTGTCGCAATTCTTGTTGTAGGGGGTAAATAAACACGGAGGAACAGCTTAGCTCTCGGGTCGCAATTGTATCGCTGTAGCGTAAGCTATATGTAGCCTGATTGTTGGAGAAATAGCGCAGACTTGAATAGAGATATAGATTTAAAAAGCGAAGCCAAAAAAAAAGAGGAATGGCAGTCAAAAAGGAATCTTGAAATGTTGTCAGAATTCCCCAGCCACCTTCTTTTTCGCGCGCCTGCCGTCCCGCCGTTGCGCGTCGGCGCTAGTCCAAAACAGGATATATTGCTCTGGCAGCGCGGAGTAGCACGTGACTGCGGCCGTCGGCCAATCACGTGTTTCATCCGGATTATTCACTGGAAACCTAAGGCCACCTCTCCGTAGGACGTTTTGTCATTCATCAACTCCAGAGTGTCGACAGAGTGCGCGCATGCTCATTGTCCTGTTCATGGTTCCGCGGGTGGAGCAGTATTGTATATGGAATTTTGATCTTTTCGCCATCCAGCGACATTGACCGATCCAACGGCTCCATCATTCTCGCTTTTATACAAGTGTTCTCGACTATACAGTTGCAGCATGGCTGCGGTTTTTGGTAATGGCGGACAACCAGGACAGTTTCCGCTAGAGCAATGGTTTTATGAGATGCCTCCTTGCACGCGGTGGTGGACAGCTGCCACCGTGGTCACCTCCGTTTTGGTGCAATGCGAGGCCTTGTCTCCATATCAATTATTCTACAGTTTGCCGGCAGTATATTTGCGATCGCAGGTTAGTTTTCCGGGCGTCGTGGTGTCGTTGTCTCGGGCTAGGCTGACCAGATATATATCTATAGTATTGGCGTTTGATTACGGCGTTTCTATACTTCGGCCCCCTCAATCTCGACCTTATATTCCACGTCTTCTTCCTACAACGGTACTCGCGCCTCCTTGAGGAATCATCAGGCCGGTCCCCCGCATATTTTTCCTGGCTCCTCTTCTACGCCATGAGCTCGCTGCTGATTCTGTCGCCGTTCCTGTCTCTGCCGTTCCTCGGCCAGCCGCTTTCTTCTAGTCTGGTGTACATCTGGAGTCGGCGGAATCCAGATACGCGATTGAGTTTCTTAGGCCTGTTGGTCTTTACTGCGCCGTACCTCCCATGGGTGCTGATGGTCTTTTCGCTCTTTGTGCATGGGACCATCCCCAAGGATGAGATCTGTGGTGTCATTGTAGGGCACATATGGTACTTCTTTTCCGACGTGTATCCATCGCTACATGATGGACATCGACCTCTAGATCCACCGGCTTGGTGGAGGAGGCTCTTTGAAGGTAGTGGCGAGGACACGCAGGCTGCGAATATCAATCAAGACATTGCAGCGGCAGCGGCGCCTGAGGTGCGGTAGAATGAGCACTGCGTTTATTCTAGACTACCCCCGGGCTTGGGGTATAACCCTTGCATGTACATTGGGTGTTATATATTTCGGATTTGATACCCAAGCAGGAGTTTTGTTCTGATCACTTCCACTTTTGCGAAGAAAGCATGTTGGCGTTTTCCCTTTCTCTCGAGTATGATATCAGCAGAGCGTTGGTTTGAATAAATTGTTGCAACGATTATTGCCACTCACAAATTGCAAGCATCTCTTCCCCTGTGTATAGCGCTGCCAAGCGATTACGGTGTATACTAAGGTAGGTACCATATGGCATAGTTACAGTCGATGGAATGATCAATGGATATAGAAAATACGTCAAGGACGTTTTCTTTTAGTATGTCCATGGACGCTCCAACGAGCGGAACAGAACAGTTGGATGATCGCTCGTATCTCGTATTGAATAATATTCGTATGCTCGGTACTCCGTCGGCCAATGATGGTGGATCTAGCATGCTAAAACGGACTTGCCAACATGCGTTCGCCGAACCCCGCCCGTCGGGGGTGCTGATTGGTTGGTCATGGCGGCACACTAGCGGATATGTCACTCGTGCGACTCCATTGGGTCCACTACAATACAGGCACGGTATGGCTGTTAGTCACGTGATTGGGTACGGTACGTAGTCGTAAAGAAAGGGTGTGTCCCAATACCCGATGCAGTCTAGGGCCTATGCGCCTGTCGTATTCGCACCGCACATAATCGAATGTTTAGCAGCAAACCACGAAGTGAGCCAGATGATAATTACCTGTTGGGGCAAGCTACTCGCCGTAGATAGACGTTCGCTAATACACCGAACTGGACATCCTTTACTCCTATTCGTCCATTCTCATCTCTCTGCAGTGGGGGCTGAAAGGCGAGCGCTCATCATCACCCGTTATCTGAGCCACCACCACCACCAACGCCGCCGCCGCCTTTGATCTACAGACTCTCAGTGTCATCATCACGATCATCACACCCTTGTCACAAGACTCTGATGGGTGATGATAATCCATGGAACCATAGTCGTACTGCAATTATTTGCGTAACTTTATTTTGCATTTGTATTTTTTGTATTTGTGTATTTTCGGGACGGGCTTGGCAACGTCAAAGCGGTAAATTTACAAAATATGGGGTAAAATTACGCCACGAACTTGACTGATTGTGATTGGCCCGTATAGGTCCCTCGCCTTTGATTTAATTAATCTATATTATTAAATCTAATCTAATCTTCTAAGGAGTAAGCACAATGCGTATGTAACTAACAACTAACTATGTATCTAATAATCCACACTATTATGGGATGAGTATATGAAGTGTAGTTGGCGCGCATTTGCAGGGTTTTTGTATTTTTTTTTCTTTTTTGGTATTTAGCCTTGTAAATGCTGAATAAATTCGCCTCGCCAACTGCGACTGTTAATTGTCGTTTGTTGTTTGTCATTCCGGACTTGGCAAGTAGGCAAGATACGGCCGAAAGTATGTCTTCAACCTCTCATTTTTCTTTCGTTAGGGTTACTTATCTTCCGCTATGATTGGCCGATACCGGTGTATTTAATGTTATTTAAAACTTTTTAGCCAATCACAGCGGGAATTAAGTAACCCTGATGCCAAGGCACTAAAAGTGGCAAGTTTACAGCGCTGAGCGACGGGATAGGGCTTCAAGTCTTCTACAAGGAATCTATAGAAAGAGTATTCCGTATTTATGGGCATATGTTGAATGAATCAGATGGAATCGCTGCTGATCGACAGGCAATAATTCCAAATCAAGTGCCTATCACGTGTCTCAATCCGATTCGTTCCGAACTGATTACATAATATACCTGTTGGATTGGTTAACTAACTAGTTAACGATTGTCGTTATATCACATCAGCTACAGTAGGAAGTCAAGTGGAAGCAGTTGAGTGAGTTGAGCAAAGGCATTCTCCCTTGCGACCAGCATGTTATCAACAGTATGCACAAAATACAATGAAGTCGTATTGGCCAAACGGAGTGGCGCCGTGTAACGCGCTAGTAACGCGCTAGTAGCCCAGAGGTACGGCCAGGCTCCAGCGAAAAAAAGGGCTCCATAATTTCCTCTCCCTGACCCTGCCCCAGCTAGTGGCATCCACGGTAGATACAAATCTGACTTCGCAACCACCAGCGATGGCGCGGTTTTCCACTCCCTAGCAATTAATTTTCCTCCAAGACCTCTTCTCTTCCCTGTCGAGGCGATATTCTTTCTCTCTTCTCAACCTCCCCGTTTCCGTCGCACGGCCGTTGCGAATAGTATTTTAATCGGGCATTTCTTGGTCTGCCTCTCACTCGTGTGTCCCTCGGCGAACATTCGCCGCCATCTGTTGAACAAGCGTGTCGCTGCATGGATTTCACTGAAGGCAGTTTAATTTCATTAATTGAGCGAGCGAGCTACCTGCCCTACCTTTCGACTGCCACGCATCCATTGACGACCTGTACGTGACCGACGCTTAAGACCATCTCTCGCACTCGGACCGGTGAATACACCCTATTGTGTGAACACGCAACAACAACTGCTCGAAACTCCGCTTTATGCTCCATGTTCATACATAATAGTTGATCACCACTCTCATACTATTGCTGCAGGGAATCGAGTCTTTTTCTTCGCCTCCGGCACGACAGCCTCTGGCCGGAACTAACAATTCCCCACGACACAATGCGGCGCGGAGTAGTTCTCTTCATACTTGTCAATGTCCTCATCCTCGGATTTCTTATTCGAAGCGTCTTTACGCTGCTGACGCTTCTGCTGGAGGATGCCTCTACGGACGCTATACACCGATCTGAAATCCCCGAGCTCGACTCGAGTATGCTCGATTCTAGACCTCAGATCATCCCCAAGATCATTCACCAAACTTATATAAATGACTCTATTCCGGAGCACTGGTTGGGACCTCAGCAGTCCTGCATCAATCTCCACCCGGACTACGAGTACAAGGTTGGTGTTTTATTCTCTGTCTTGTTGAAAGCCTAGCTAACGTCGATAATCAGCTGTGGACAGATGTAAAATCGAGAGAATTCATCGCAGAGGAATACCCTTGGTTTCTCGAGACGTTCGACGGCTATAAGTACCCCATTCAGCGCGCAGATTCCATTCGCTACTTTGTGCTAGCTCATTATGGCGGCATCTATATAGACCTGGATGATGTGCGTATATCAAATGTTTCCAGTTTAAGTCAATCGAGTTTGTTGGCTGACTATTCGTAGGGCTGCCACCGCCGTCTCGATCCCCTTCTTTCTTACCCAGCATGGGTTCGCCGAACCAAGCCGACTGGAATTTCGAACGACGCCATGGGCTCCGTCCCCCAACATCCTTTCTTTTTGCGAGTGATGGCATCTTTGCAAGCCTACGACAGGCATTGGTTTTTGCCTTACATTACAGTCATGTACTCCACTGGCCCGTTGTTCTTGTCTGTGATTTGGAAAGAGTATATGCGCGATTCGTTTGGCATGGACCGAGTGCGTGTTTTGATGCCGGACGAGTACAACGGATTTCCCTGGAGCTTCTTCACCCACCACGTGGGAAACAGCTGGCACAGGGGCGATGCACAGTTGATCTTCTGGGTATGTCGCTCTTGTCCCCATTTATTGCAATCCGATATTGATCCGTACTAACATATCCATTTAGATGTCTTCTCATTGGCTCCTACTGACTGTCATGGGTTTTATTCTCGCTGGATGCATCGGTTTCTGTATGTGGCTTGTCTATGGACGTTTATTGTTGCTCGGCCAGTATCGACATCGGTACGTCCGGGTAGGAAACAGCAGTTCATCATCCACCAAAATGCGCCGACGACCATTCGTCATCATGCCCAGTTTCCTGCGACGCATAAGCGCGTCATCCAACTCATCAGATGAGGAATTGGGTCACAAGGAAGAAATATACTCCGAATGACCTCAAATTTTTGTTCTTCATTTTCTTCTTGTTTATAAATAATGATAGAACAGCGCTTGATTACTCTTTTTTTTCTTTGGTCAATACAGACACACATAAATAAGCACATTTGCATATCAACGACCCTTGGTTAAAATTCTTTTTTTCTTGCAGCAAGCATTCTTACTTTTACAAGGGATCATGGCCTTGATTATTATCATCACTAATACTATTTAAAATTATTATTATCACTGTTCTCCTCCTTTTTTGTGGTCATTGATCGGCGCCTTGTGAATCATTGTTGTGTTTGTTGCTTGTTGCTCGGTATTGGGGAAACATCTGTCCAAGATCGGCTTATTATCTACTAAACCTTCGAGGCAATCCAATCAATCAATATTGTCTATTTTCGAAGTTCACATTGACCAGAGATGAGAGATGTGTATATCCAAAAGATTTCAAAAAATTACCTAGGACCTGTCTTCAGAATGTAGGGCGGGCATCCTTGCGTATATGTCGTTTGACTGAACTGATATTAATGTTTGCCACGTAGTTAAGAACTTAATCGGAATTCCTGGCATTCTTCGATCATCGTCTACATGCCAGAAACAACACGCAGTCCTGGACTCACCCAGAAAAGGCCTTGAAGATAGAACTGTATGGGAAGAATAGACCGGTGCTAGGATTCAAGCATTGTTTCATTCTTGTTACGGAGGTAGAAGTAGAATTAACCTTGTGAGAGCCTACAAAGGGATTCTTTATAATAAGCTTATAGACAGAAAAGAATGATTCATTCCATATTGTCTGCCCTTGACTGATCGCAGCTTATCAGGCACGGTCAGGAATTTAAGGATTCATAACCTCTTCAACTCTTGTTCTCCATCTTCTCATCCCTTATCTCACCCAACTACCAGATATCAACCACAGACGAAGCAATGCATCTCCGATCCCTCCTCATCTCCTTCAGCGTGCTCGCTGCCGCAACACCAATCCTCTCTCCTCGGTCAGACACAAACACCTACAACATAACAACCGACCAAATCCTCAGCATCGCACCTAACTCATCCACCTGCGCCAACCCACCTGCCGTCGGCGAATGCGCAACAGCTGAGCAGGCCGCGCCAGCCATCAGCGCCTCGTTCAGCACGTACAGCGTCGACTCGCGCGCCGAACAGGCCGCTCTCGTGGCTCTCATGGCCTTTGAGACGTTGGATTTCAGGTATAACCGGAATCATTTCCCGGGTGTAGCCGGACAGGGCAGTGAGTTTCTCCCTATGTTTACGAAAAAAAAAGAGATATAAACTGATCATAAAAAATACAGCACGAAACATGCAATCACCCACTTACAACGACAAATACGCTGCCTCCATCCCCGCGCTGAGCGAGCAATACGCGTCGGCCACAGGCAACGTAACTGCCATTCTGGACCTGTTGGTGGCCGACGATAGCTACGACTTTGGTTCTGCAGCGTGGTTCCTGACGACGCAGTGCAGTGACAGTGTGCGTGCGGAGCTGCAGCAGGGTTCGGAGAGTGGGTGGGAAGGGTATATCACTTCGTGTGTTGGGACGACAGTGACAGATGAGAGGAAGGATTATTGGCTGAAGGCTGTGGATGTTTTGGGGGTTGGCAGTGAGTAGGTGTGACTAGAGGAGATATCTAGGTAGGATAGGTTTATTCAATTCTGATATCAAGGATGTTGTGATCCCGTGCCGTGACGAGCCCTAATCGCTGATACTTAATAGTTACGACTGACTAGGATAGTGATGTGCTGTCACCCTAGGTAAACAATATAACCTGATCTACAACAAGATAGACTATCTATAAACCCTCCTTCCACTCCTCTTTGCATTGCTCAAACCCCTCTCCCCGAAACCCCTCCCCAGCTCTTTGACGCGCCTCCTCCAATGCCTCCCAAACAGGCACAGATACAGACATCACCGTATCAATCTTCCATCCGCACCGAACGTATACATCTTTCAACCCCCTTTCCCTCTCAGCATCTTCAACACGCTTTTTCCGTGCCCGCATTTCCTCCTCATCCGCTCTATTACCTGGATACCCAAGCTCCTCAGGCTTCCGAGGGATCAAAATATCATCGTCAAATGGAATATTCTGCAGTGTCAGGAACGCGCGGATCCACACGTAGAGCGGATTCTGTGGCGATGTCATCGGAATAGCAGATAGTGTCTGCCAGGCTTCCGGGTCCTCGAAATGCTTCCATTCTGTGATTGTCTCTGTATACATACATAGGTACAAGATGTTGGCACATATGCACTATGAAAAGAGAGAGGAAGGGGAAGATGTAACGTACGGTTGTCCAGATCATAGATCAATTCCGTCCCATACAGTCCGCCTCCAGCACCAGGGCATTCCGACCTGTCCAGAGATCGCTACGGTCCTGGAAGGTTGGGTCGCGCGCAAACTCCCATGCATCTTCACCTTCGCCTTCTACTTCTGCTTCTGCTTCTGCTTCGTCGTCATCATGGTTCCCGCCACTTGCGTTAGGCACGCGAGCGAGATAACACAGTGACCGAGTGTCGTAGTTAAGCCGGTAATCTTCGTCGGTAACGTACGGAAGCCGGCATGCTAGCTGTACTGCTGCCTTGCTAAAGCCGTTCTGCGCCGCCGCATGGTGATTAATCGAGTTGCGGGGATGCCGTTGTGTCTGTGGTGATGGGAGGATCAGTGTGGATGCGGGGATGTAGCGGAGGTCAACTAGGAGGGTGTAGAAGGTTGTTAGGGCTGAGATGAGAGGGTTGTGTAGAGAAGTCATAGGATTGTGGATGGAGGGGTCAAGGTGGAAGCTCTTTTATGCTTGCCAATTCGACGAATTTGCTGACTGGTATCTACCTGTTCCTTTTCAGATAGTGTCTGTTGGTTACCTAGGTAACCTCAAGGTTATCTGAAGTTATATATCTCAGTTAAAAAGGTATGCAGGAGTAGGATGGGCCAAAGATAGAAAATGTTGACGATACTTGTCTAGTCTAGTGCCCGTCCCTGCGCTCAAAACCGGATGTAAGCGTAGATAATGTACATCTTAACTTGATAACAAGAGACTATATCTGAACTATAAAATTCTATTGGAGTTAAATCTGTATATGTAGTTGGAATTTAGTCTGTATCATGGTTGATGCTCTGCAAAGATATCGTACAATTTCAGCAACTGATTCCACCTGGAATTCGTGCATAGACGTAGTCCAAAAACGTAATTTAGACAAGTCACTGACAAAGGCTACAAGTATGCTGGCCCAGTTTTCCATTAATGCCCTCTCTGTATGCGTCGGTCCAAGTAATATAGCAAAACTAATAATTATATTAGAAATTAGTTTCCCGTTTTAGAGATCCAGGTACTTTCTTCCACAACGGCCTGTCCACTGCGTGCGCCACTCCAACGGACTTGGGCGTATTTCTTCGTCGATGAATGAAAGGGGGTAAGCAATCTGATATTTCCAGATATCCCAGTCCGCTGAAGGACATCATAAAGTAGGGCATGGTAAGTCTAGCTGGAGGTAAGACTGGCAGCCGAAACAGCGGATATGCTGAATTTGAACTGACATAGCACTGTAACCCTTTTAGGAAATGCGCTGCATTAGGGTTAGCTAGTCATGTGACATGTTGGACATTGATGTATATATATGATAAAATTGTGTAAATTCTGAACATGGAAAGTATGATCCACTTGTATTTGTATTTTTAGCAAAGATTTGATAACATCTGCAGCACGGTAGAATGATCCCTGATTAGGCAAGATTGGGCGTGCCTAGGTATCAAGCGATTTTGGAACAACGCATGATTATCTTTATGATTATAGGTTAATTATCGGAGTAACTATTATTTCATGCAATATGTTGTTGCATAAATGACTCTAAAGTGTTGAAAAGGAAAAATAAACGCTCCAATTTTTCTAGACTGTGGCAAGTCCCTCCGACACCTGAATCATCTACTTCAATACCTACTATTCTGTGGGAGGGGGATGTACGATCGAAAATATCCCTGAATATCTGGGTCAGCAAAGTGTGTATCGCTTCCGTGCTGCAAGATAGTGACCAATCATACACGAGTAACGTCACAACATGCCACAAGCAGAGACATACAGTTCCGAATCCGATAGCAGAGAGACGTAGATATAATCTAGGTAGCAGGGGTTTTCGGCGTCTGCTTCAATAAGCTCGGCGACGGGTCTGGCAACCGGGGTAGCTCCTGAGTATTGGCATCGTCTGGAGCCTCGACGTCTAGAGCTGATTGATTCTGCCTATCGTAAATCCGTGTAATCAAGTTGATGGAGGCTAGACAGAAGTTGACGATAGTTATGGTCGTAATCACGGCCTCGAAATCGGTCCAGCTCATTATGGGACCGTGTGAATGCGTGCGAATATGCGTACCAGGATATAGTCCGACTAGAAGATGTGAAATATGAATCTTGGAACAGAGCTGAATTCTCCAAGGAGATGAGAAAAGGATCATATAATTAGGCAACACTCTACACCTAGCATGGATCTTCCGTTTGTTGCCTGGCTGATAAAGTCACTTCTATCAAGCTGTATTATTGCGTCAACGTATCTAGGCAGCAGTATCTACATCTTCTCGCATCTCACACCTCACACAGCTCTTCAAGTAAACATGAATCTCTGATACGTCTGCGTCAACTTTCAACGTCAGCGATCAATCCTGATAAACTTCCCCCTGGAGAAGATATTCAAATGTCTATCAGTACCGGATCAGATTTGTCTTGCACTTAGCTGCAAGTCTATCTATGCTCAATATCTGGACCTCCTCAGAGCCCAGAATTTACAATTTTTGCAGCTTCTTCCTCCACAAAGTAGGCCAATAATGCACCGTAAAATCGACGATCTTCACAGCTGGCCTCGCATTCAATTACTCCACCGGTCGGAGGACAGACGTTGGAAGTATTGCGGTGGATGTTGGAATCTGCATGGACGCTCTGCCTGGCGCTGCCCTTTGGAACTGCTGCCACGCTTGGGCTGGAATTTGCACTCTCCTCGAAGACCCCCATGCATGCCATATGCTAGGAAATTTGATATTTGCCATTGCTTGACCATGACATTGCCCGATAAGCTTCATTTGATAGAGACAATCAAGCTTGCCAAGGTCAGGGACCCCAGTACACGACAGTCGTATTTTATTGGGATGCTCTATCATCCTATCTACGGCAGATTGCGCCGCTCTGTTGGGCATGACTGCACTTTTAGTGGCCATCCTCTGGCAGAAATCGACATCACAGTTCGGTTTTCCTGGGATGAGTATTTCCATGCTCTGGAAATAATCTGGCTGTACGATATCCGGAGGAAGAAGACTTTTAAGACTTTTTGAGACACATGAAACAAAGAATCCGTCACCACATTTATCAGTGCTGTCTTCCAGTATGCGATTAAGGACACCGTCCATGTGTCCACATAAGCATACAAAGAGGTGGCTTAAACAATTCTTTAATGAAGCCGGTACAAATGCCCCGTGGCTGCCCAAGTGGTTTTCAACCTATACAGCAAAGGACCCATGCAAGTGCTATACGGGAGGGGAGTTTAAATCATACAATCATATTTACATAAATGTTAAGAGCCAAATTTGCTAGATAGTCACCAATGTGGACCGGCTGCTGGCACATTTTACATGGACGAGTATAGGTCTAGAGGCAAGATGATGGCCTATATTTGACCGACCTAAGAAAAAAGCACTGGCTATTGAAGTTCTTGCTCCGGACCGAGCCCTGAACTCTGATACCTATGGCCAATGGCCCTCTGACCAAAACGCAAGATGCAATGTTGCTTACCATAGCAGGTTACCAATGCGTTATGTTGCCTAATTAGGAACCACTAGGAAACAGTTCCCAGTATTAGAAATATAATAACACAGTAATTTTAATCAAACCTACCAAATCTGGTTACAGATCTAGTATTGACATGTACAATCGCACTAAATCAAGATGTATTTTATCTGGGAACATTACTAAATCTTGTAATCACTTAGGGTTTATAATCATCTATACGAGCTTGTACTCATAAGTTATAATCTTTTCATAAAGTATGCCTTCCTAATTAAGAATCAAGCTTATGGTTAATTATTTCTTTAAATCTGTGCTATGCTTACGCATCTACCTATCTACCTGCCTATATGTTGTGTATTTATACGTTGCTTACAGTGAGTGCCTCTGAATTCACCTTGTCAAGCATGTGATTAACTAGTTACTACTTATTTCTAGGAACTGTACAGTTATCTATCTAATCTAGTTATATCTCAACATTGGGGAATGTATATAAATTAGAGATGTTCGGAGACACTAGTAAAGTTATGCGTCCTGATTTGGTAATGTCCCCCATTTTCTGCTATGGTAGGGGTTGAGAAAATATATAAAATCGTTACAAGATAATAATTATTCGATCCTATGCCATCCACGCTATAATTATGTACATTGCAGATTAATTATCTTGAAGTATTCTAAACATTACATTTTAAAGATCACATTATAGCACACCCTTGGTAGAAACAATATCTCCCGCTCCCACCTCGCCGGCAACTCTCCGCGCGCAAGCAGTACGAACCGCAACAGCCAATGCCTTGAACGCACTCTCTGCACGATGGTGATCATTCGATCCATACGAGCAGCCCACATGCAACGTAACGCCCGCCGCCTGCGCAAAGCTCTCAAGCCCATGCGTAATCATCTCCGTGCTCAAATCGCCAATCTTCTCGCGCTTGAATCCAAGATCAATCACCGCGTATGCCCGGTTTGACAAATCAATGACCGCCCAGGACAGCGCCTCATCGAGCGGTGCGTCGCCGCGTCCGAAGCGGGCGAGTGATGCGCGCGCGCCCAGCGCTTTTGTGAATGCTGTGCCTAGGCCGAGGAATGTGTCCTCGGTTGTGTGGTGGTCGTCGACTAGATACCCAGATATTAGCTAGTATTCTCCTACTGTTGTCAGATTGGAGGATGGATATACTGTAGAGATCCCCCTTGGCGCGAACCGCCAAACTCCATCCGGAATGTTTCGCCAGAGCATGCAACATATGATCCAAAAACCCGATTCCGGTATTAATAGTTATCTGCTGACTGGCTGTGAACTGTGTCGCATGGGGCGCATTTTTGTCTGGAATAACGCCCTTCTTTGCAGCAGCCCTGTCCTCGGCGGATTCTGGCTCGGGGAAATGGTCGCTTTCTTCGAATGGGAGCAGCACGCCGCCGTCTAGCGAGAGGGAGACCTGGATTTTGGTCTCGTTCGTGATACGTGAGATCGACACCGTGCGGCGGGGAAGGGAGGAGGATGCCATTGTGCCGGGTTATAGCTTTGGGCGCTAAGCTAAAGTTGGGACTGGACTGGACTGGAGCTGGAGCCAATTAGGGAGACTTGCCCGGTCGAGTTGGCAATTGATCGGTAAGTTTCTTGGGTAGTTGAGGATATTCTGAAGGAAGAAAATTCGCGGCGTGAGTCAAACCCGAAGCTGATTGGCCATGCGGGGAGGTCGGACGGGCACATCTCTTATTGGTCGGACAGCCGCCCATGATGAAATTGGGATTCGCCTCTGATCACTCTCTCTTCCTCTCTCTCTCTCTCACACACTCAAACTGACCGACTCACGTAGCTTCTACCTCCGACACATCCAACCCACTGGCTGGCCCAGCTCATCTTTGGTATATTGACAATCAGACCACCCCACTCGGCATTTGTCGGATCTGTCGAAAAAGAAACGATACATATGTTACACCAATTCGATCGATCGATAGCTTTTTCGTCGGTGTCATAATCGAGCGAGAACTAGCGTGGTTAAAACTTGCAGCAAGAAGCATTCCTCACATCATGCCGCCACCATCGAATCAGCGAGCGCATGTTGAACCGCCCGAGCAGGTCACGACGGAGGCGGTCAAGGGATTTGCTGTAGGCGCATTACGGGTAGGTGTAGATGTCGACGCCGAAAAAGAAAAGAAAGAGAGGCTAAACAAGTCTGTAGTTTGGCTCCATGTCCATTCTCGCACACATGATACTGATCATGCCTCATCCGTTTACATTCAATAACGCTGCACCGCCTGCCTCCGAAGCAGGCCGAGCAGCATCGTCTCGCTTTTCGTCTGCTGGCATTCGAAACAATCTATTCTACCGACCGCTCTCGTCACTATCGGAGAGCATAGGCCCGTTGTCGCGCGTTTACCGCGGATTGACACCGCAATTCAAGACGTTTCTCCAGATTGCGGCCATGACGCTCGGCGGAAGCATCTGGGCTGAGCGGCGAGTGAACGAGTATCTCAATGCGCTCCGGAGACTGCGACGGGCAGAAAGGAGAGCCGAGCAGTAGTTAGATGCAACAGAGGTAAGCAAAGATCGGGTAGTCTATGGCTTCACCGAACGGCAGCTCTCTTACAGGCAGGCCATGGACGGGGTTTGATATTGGTTGGGCAGTTCCTGCATGGTTCATGCCTATCCACGGACTCGAGTGCACGTGTAAGGCGATGTTGATGTTGATGCATCGAACGCAGAGCGTCCCAACAATGTAGTCCTCGGACATACATACTACATACTCCGTACTTGGTATAGAATGATTTAGGTTTATCTTGTGCATACTGCAGTGTCGTGTCACCGTGGAATGTCGGGCAGGGACTCTGTGATAGCCACGTAGCTGGATTTCTTCTTCTCAACGGAGTACACGGAGTACCTAGGCACTAATCCGAATTATAGTATAAACAAATACTCCGCATTGTCTGCTGATCATGGCGCCATCGTGGCGATTTCTGTCCCGGCCCAGCTGCATCTGATAATCTCTCAAACTATACTGCGGGAAATATAACAGCTGCAACTATAGCTAGTTAGTAGGTAATAGAAGAAGGTGGCCGCTCCACCGCATGTGTCTCTGCTTCGTCATCTTCCTCGTAATTGCGTCTTAACCGGCTTTAATGAGCAGCTAGGAGATGGATTGCTAGCACGAATTCACCAAACAATCAAGCCAATCATGTCTCGTGCTCGTCAAGTGTCTTACAACCATCAAGGGACTAAAGAAACGAAGCATAGATAAGGTGCCTGAACTTCCAGGTTCGCATGTCAGGTGTCGATGTCTCAAAAACCGGCCTAGCTCCAGCGCCACCGGCCAATCGCGGGCTAGCGCGCCGCCGCTGGCCAATCACACGCGCGCAAAGCAGCAGCGCCAGGCACGCCATGGCCCAAAGCGGCATGGCGTGGCCTGCTTAAAGCTTCTCGTCGTCGTCTTTTCGCTTCTTTTCGTCTTTCTTCCTCTCGCCGTGAGTCTCTCTTTGCATTTCTTCTTCTCATTTATATTCCAGATTCAGTATTCTATATCCTGTATTCTGTATTCTGCCGGTCCCTGCACTCTCCCTCTGCCTCTCCCTCTTCTCCCCTGATCTCCCTTCCCCTGCAGATCCCCCAAGCATCGCTGCCGCATGCAGCCTGGATTTGACATCATCCTAGTAACCAGTCCATACTATACATACATACATACATACATCCATACATACTACATACCTTCTCTTAAACTCCATTTGCGGACATTGACGTGACAACCAACTGCCCCTAAACCAGCTGACTTGTTTGTATACTCCATACTACTGCGCTGCTTCTTGCTTGGCAGTTCCGCATTCGGCGCCTTTCTCTGTCTTTCCCCTCTAGGCTTTCCTTCATCTCTAGTACAACCCTGGTTCCTTTTATCCTCATCCTCTCACGCTCTGCTTTGCCATCGCTGCACATCTGTATCCAGCTGCAGCCAAGTTCCTGTGCAAAAAGGCACAGATCTATACAGTTATTGTTGAACTCACAGCACCTGTGAAAATATCCTTGCCATCCATGGCACTCTAATCACCAGTAGGTTGCATACTCTTTTCCCCCATTGCATCATTGTCATATATAGCTTTTATATGCTCGCTGCCCATTGTTCATCCCATGCAAGCCCTGGCTGGCTGAACTGCACTGTTAATCGCTGTGACAGGACCGACGACCCTCCATCGTCGCTGCTGCAAACAGCTCTGCCTGCCGAGCATCCAGCCACCATGGCTGAAACACTGCTGGGCAAGAGTGGCCGGAGAAAGAGCTTCTCTTTCTTTCACTCACACTCTCACCAGCTGTCCTCCTCCTCTTCCAACTCTTGCTCTGGCTCTGGCTCTGGCTCTACCTCCACCGCCGCCGCCGCCCACGACCGATCTGCGTCCGATGAACTGCCCACATTGAAGCGAGCGCGTCGCAATTCCTCGTTTTTTGGCAGTCGAGATCCCAGCCCCAAAGGACCAACACCAAATGTCCTGCGCCGCCCGCAGACCTCAGAGTCCGAAGTCATGTTTGGCGCTCCAGATGCTCTGAAACAAAAGCGCAAGTCGCTGCAGCTGTCGAAACGCTCTTCCGTGTTCGGCTCCTTCCGTTCCCTGCAGTCGTTCGAGGACGATGACAGAGCCCTGGCCACCCAGAGATCACGTGGTCCTTCCATCGACGACAGCTACAACTACAACAGCAACAACGCCGACGTCAATATCACCAACCTTTCGTCCTCTCATACAAGAAGGCTGCTGGGCCATGTGGTTTTGCATCATGGAGAGGTCCAGACAGCCGGCACCATGTGGCGGAAGAGAAACCACTATCTGGTGCTGACGGACACGCACTTGATTCGTTTCAAGAGTCAACACAAAGCAGCCGATTTCTTCCCAACCATCACTGTGCCTTCTACTCGTCCGACCCCAGTCAACCGCCAGTCTGTCGTCTCTGTTGCATCGTTGCAGGACCATACCGTCTCTGCTCACAGTGGCGACGTCGCTGCCATTGCCTTGAATAGCATTGTGTCTGTCAATGGACTTGAGGAGGGACGAAACCAAACCACCATTGAACTGTCCTACTTGGATGACCGCACCAACAAAGCAGCCCTCATGGCAATTCAACTGACCGACCCCGACGAGCAGAACCTTTGGCTAATTGGTATTCGCGCCGCCGCCCAGTCAGCTCGCACTGCAGAGCCCTTGCCTTTCGAGACTAAAGCGGTGGAGTATGTCGCGCGAATCTTGGAACAGGACCGAGACTACGACCCGGAGTATTTCAATATCTTTCGAGTTGTCCAGAGATCTTCCAAGCAAAATATCCGAACCTCGGCCGATGATTTGGGAAAGCTGTCGGCGACAATGTGCTATCTTGCAATTGGCCTGCACAAAATCCACTTGATTCCTCTGCAGAAAGGCTCTAGCCGGTCATCTCTCATCTCTCTCAATGAACTTGATTTAGGGGCATCTCTTGGCTTGATGTCATTAACGTTTTTGATGGTGCACTCTGGCGATGATAGATTTCAATTGACTTTTCGGTAGGCTTTTTTTCTAGTTTCTAATTCTATATATCCATGCTGACTATCCACCCAGCGTTCCATTACAAAGTCCAATACAAGTGAACTTGGCCTCTGTTCATTCGACTGACATCGCATTATGGATTCGGCAGCGAACCGAGTTTTTGCGTCCGCTCTGGCTGCACCAACCGTACGAACTCATGGTTCCTCCCGATGTTGCTGACGAGGACCTTTCTCCGGTCACAGCCCTCGATGAAGATTTTGGCTGCTTTGATAGAACATTGATTGCATATTCGGCGAGCTACGACATTGACACTTCCAACATCCGGTATACTATCGATCTCGAGTGTGAAGATGCTCCTTGTTTAAGGCTACTTTCTCCTGCCTCAAAGAAACGCAGTCATTACAATGTCCTTGAATTGTTAGCTGTAATGCGTGCACTGCGGTATAACGAATCATTTTGTTCGATTTCATTCAGTGGTATCAGTCTCGACGCCCTGCAGAGCTGTCGCGACCGCTTTGGGCCAGATTGGAATGCTTTCACAACCCGAGCTGGAGCCCAGGTTAGTATTGCTGGCCAGGATCGCTTGTCTGTGTTGTCTCAGGAGATCCGGGCTTTGGCCTTGAAGAGCAGGCGGTTAAGGAGACTCGACTTTTCATTTTGTCTGTCTCGAATTCCGATTTCCGATAGAGGCGCCCGTGACCCCGGTTGCGGCATCCCAGAAGCAATCTTCCCTCTTTGCCGCCGACAGCTTACCAACGTGGATTGGATTGTTTTGAATGGTATTAAACTAGGTGATTCTGATTTGGATTATATCGTGGATGCTGCTTCACAAAGAGCTAGTCATCTTCGAGCGTTGGAAGTAGGGGACTGCGGGCTCTCTGTTCACGATTTGGACCTTGTTTTGTCGACCTTGACTGCCCAGGAGACAACGCTGGAAGCTGTCAATATCTCTGGAATTCAAGGGCGTCTCAGTCCAGAGCTATTTCATCAGCAGATTGGTTACTTTGGACAAATTCGAAAGATAAACCTAACTCGTGTTGCCAGGACGTCTGGGGTGGAGCCACTTATTGCTCCTGAGACGTTGTTGAATTGGCGACTGGAGGAACTTTCTCTCAGTCAAACGGCAGTCAACAAAGAGACCGTGGAATCGATTGCCGCATATTTAGTCAGCGACCGTTCTTCATCCCTCCGGATTCTTCGTTTCGACCAGTGCGGACTGACAGGTGCAGATGTCGCTACTTTTCTACACTGCATGACTCGGCCCGCGGATCAGGTTCGCAATTTGCATCTTCATGTTAGCGAAAATCATTTGGATACCAATTATGGCCTGTTATTCAAGGCTATCGCAGATAATAACACGCCAACGCACATGTCTATGCGCATGATTGACTTTAAGAAGGAGGACCATTTCCGGGAACTTATCGAGGCGTTGAGGAAGAACACGTCGTTGAAGTATCTGGACATTTCGAAGGCCTCTCTTCCGTACGATGCCGGACCTGAGACATGCGAGGCATTGCAACTAATGTTTGAAGAGAACGAGACCTTGGAAGAGTTGGATATTAGTGGCGAATATGCCCATTTGGACGTCGCTCGGTATGGTATTGGGCTTAACCAAGCACTGACAGGATTGAAGAAAAACAAGTCCTTGAAGGTACTCCGAATCGAGCATCAGAAACTAGGACTACAGGGTGCCAACACTTTGGCTTCTGTTTTGGAGGAGAATACGAGTTTGCAGGAGGTTTACTGTGAGAACAACGACATGAATCTCCAGTCCTTCACAGTGCTCGTGAACGCGCTCCAGCGTAACGACTCGATAACCTTTCTCCCTGATATGAATGCTGATCGGCACCAATCTCTGGAGAGAGTTCGCAGGGAGTTTATCAACGTTAAGCGCGATGCGTCGTCACACCAACCGAATCTAGCCACCACTTCTATTCGCCGCTCGATTCACGCTGCGATAACGATTGGGCAGCCGTCTGGGGGTCATAAACTTGCCAAATCAAACCTCGCTGTTCGGGCCCAGAAAGACGGTCACTACTTGCCGGCTGCGACACTATTAGAATCTTCAAGCTCAGAGTCCATGGGCCAAGAGGTTGAAAGTACACTCCGCTCTTTGAATAGAAAATGGGACATTGAAGTTGACCGACTGCATCGATATCTGTACAAGAATTACTGCTCGTTGCATGGTATTCCGTTTGATTCTGCCGAATACAGGGACTATTCTGATGTCAATATAGTGGATGATTCTCCTCCAGTCACATCAGCAAGCCTCACGGCGGCGCTAGGCGAGCTTGACATTAATGCCATCCCACATGAGTCAATTGTTATACCTCGATTTGATAGCGAAAAGGACGCCATGGAAGAGCATAGTAGTTCGGGGAGTTCATCGCCGGTGGTTACCATGTCCAGCGTCAATTCTACGCCCACTGTGGAATCACTCAAATACATGGATGCATTGCAATCTCTTTCCCCGGCGTCGAGTGCGTCAGATAAGGCCTTCCTTACTACTACCTCTACTACCACGGCTACTACGAAGAACTATTCCGCTTCACAGCACTCATCGTCTCCCCAATTATCGCTACCAGTGCCACCATTCTTCGGAGCTCCGCCGCCTCCAAAGGACAACAGAGCAGCCAGTATTCACAGCAACGGCAGCTCGAGCAACATGTCAACAAGCACGGGGCCTCGAGCGCCGAGTTTTCGCAGTACTGGCGGTAGTGGTGGCAGCAGCTCGAATACCTCTTCATTACGGAAACTGCTCACCAGTCGTCCGACATCTGCCATGCGAGGAATGCGTCAGATTAGCAACAGCAGCCATATGAATAGTGGCAACTTCTCCTCTTCTCGAAAGAAGCCAATGACTAAATCAGTTATTAGTGATGAGCCGCCGCGTATCATTTGGTCGCCTCCAGAGGTCAATTTATAACCTCAGCTACCACATCTTTGATTATTCTCACGATGCCATGACAATCATGAAACCCTTCCACCCAGCGAATAACAAAGCAACTTGAGAAGCTACAAAAGACGATTTTGAATTACTATCATGAAATAAATATTTTGACACCCGCTAGTCGGTGTCTATTTCTTCATTTTTAATGGTTTCATCTTTCTCATCAGTGGAGCGATTGGATTAAGCATTTGAAAAATCTTCAAACTCTTCCCTCATATCCCGTACCTGTTATCTATGGCAATCCATCTTTCTCTCCTCTGCGAAAATCGATATTCTTATGGCCTACATTCAGTCTTGAGCAACTAGATGTTGCATCCTTTTTTTGCACAAAATTTCGTTCTACATTCCGCCTATTTTCTCTATTTTTTCTAATCTTCGTGTCATGTCGTGTCGTGCGTTATCGTCATTACCAGTGTTAATGTGTGAGTCAAGTCAATCAGTCATCGTCATTCCTCGGAGTTTTCTTCTTCATCATTATTTCTCTAAGAAACATTGTGATACCATCTCTTTTTTTTTTTCTTTTTCCCCGTCGGTGTTTTTTGCCTTGGACTACTTCTTCAAGTCTCCCCTCCTACTTAATTGACTTTAAGTTCGAGAGGCAGACTTTTTCAACTTCTTGTTGGTCCACCCGGTTCTGTTCTTGCTTCCCTTCCTCTTCATGGGTGTATCATAAATTGTTTCTTTCATATCACTTTCGTCACCGTTGGCCCTAAATGTTGGTTGGATGCCTAGTTTAGGTAAATTGAATAGGTAGTCAATAAATAAACCAGTGCATGTGTACATCCTACCTATACAGCAAACATGGGCAAGCTTCAACTTGGATGCATCGTCAGAACTGTGTTGTAGGCAAATAGGGCTGAAAAACATATATATTTCTTTGATGATTTTCCATGTTACGACACGCAAAAGATTGAATTGAGTATATATATACTTTCTGTAATCATGATTATCATAAGACTTTCCCCGTTAGCACATATGGCAGTAACAAATCATCCCTTTTCAGCTTTATACCGAAGTTTTAGCAATGATCAATGATCAATGCCATAAGTTATCATGTCGCACTTATCGCGTACATATGAATATTCATTCGTTCATATAAAACCTTTTCTGAAAGCAGACCAAACATAAACGACATAAGAGAGGGAAAAAAAAAAACAAAAACAAAACGACTAGAAGTCAATAAAATTAAACATCCCACGTCTCCAAACCAGTCAACACACATCCCTCGCCCTCTTCTCCTTCTTGTCTAACCCTCAACTCTCCAATGCGATAAACCGTCTCACCTTCCCCTTCCAACACGCGCAACACATCCTCTACACGGCTCGAATCAACAACCAGAACCATACCGACGCCGCAGTTGAATGCGCGCGACATTTCATGCGCGGACACTTTACCGGTGGCCTTTAGCCAGCGGAATACAGGTGGTAAGGACCACGCGGATACGTCGATGTGTGCTGATAGGGTGGATGGAAGCATGCGCGGGACGTTCTCGAGGAGACCGCCACCAGTTATGTGAGCCATGCCTTTGATGGCGGTTGATGATGTAGATGAAGATGAAGAAGATGGGACTGTGAGGGCTTTGAGAAGTGGTTTAACGTAGATTCGAGTAGGGGTGAGGAGGGCTGTGCCGAGGGTTTGCTTTTCTCTTTTGGTCAGGGAGGATGATGTTGATGTTGATGGGGAGAAGGTGAATGGGACGTCGTCATCATAGCCAAGGCCGGAATGCTCGACAATCTTGCGCACTAGGGAGAATCCGTTAGAGTGCACGCCGGCAGATGCAAGGGCTAGCAATGTATCGCCCGGTTTCATGGCGGATGTGTTGGGCAGAAGGGCGCGGGCGTTCTCGCCGTTGGTGTTGATTGCGCCTACTGCGGCACCGACAGCATCGTAGGCTTCGTCGAGGAAAAGGCCGGGCATCTCGGCTGTTTCGCCTCCGATAAGCGCACAGCCGGCCTGGAAGCAGCCCTCGGCTACGCCCGTGACGAAAGACGCTGCTGTCTGGACATCGAGCTTGCCGCATGAGTAGCAGTCCAGGAAGAAGAGGGGTTCTGCACCCTGCACAACTAGGTCGTTGACATTCATGGCTACCAGGTCGATTCCGACGGTGTCGTGGACGCCCACGGCGTGTGCAATTTTGAGCTTGGTGCCAACTCCGTCGATGGCTCCAATCAACGTGGGCGAGAGCGGGTGGTAGGCCGGGTTGGCTGCTGCCAAAGAGAAAGTGCCTCCGAATCCACCGATGACTGCATCAGAGCCTGGGCGGCGCGTGCGAGCAACGGATGCCTTGATTTTGTTGACGAGATCGTTTCCGGCGTCAATCGAGACTCCGGCGCTGGCATATGTGAAGCCATCATCATTCTTATTTTGTTGCTGTTTCGCGGCATCACGGAATGCTCGGTGTGCGATATCCTTGCGATAGTGCATGCCTTGGAAGTGGATGGTGGAGATGCCGACGTAGGCCTTTCGTACTGCCTCTTCTAGGGTCGATGCAACGGAGGTGGCTGCGATCACGCGGCCGCCGGTTGCCTGGAGTATGTTGTTGACGAGTGAAGTTCCAGCGTGGAATATCAGGGTATCCTCAGGAACGGGGTCTAGGGTGATAGGACGACCCTTTTCGTATGAGCCAGGGTAGCCCTCTGAAACGCCAATGACTGTCGTGGAGAAGTTGGGTTCGACGGAGATTGACACTCCGTCCAGCCAGTGCTCTGTGCATGCGACCATGATCTCGGCCAGATCGGTGTCCTTGCTTAGAAGAGGAAGCAAAGTCTCTGTTTCTGGATCGCCGCCTCGGACATTGTACTCGAGGACTTTCGGGCCGTTCTTGGTCATCATCAGTCCTGTGAAGAGTATTCCGACGAACGGGAAGCCTTTGCAGAAGAAATTGTCAGTAGATAATTAGCAACAAAGCAAGTTAACAGTGAATACGTACCTTCCCTCCGCATTCCGTTGATTGTTGGCTGGAGAATATCCCGATCAACTTCTGCCATGACTTCTTTCGAAGCAATAAGTGTGGGTGCGTAGCAGCCCATGCCTCCAGTATTAGGACCCTGATCTCCATCAAAGATACGCTTGTGATCTTGTGCTGGCGGGAGAGATTTGATCGTATAACCATCGCTGAATGTGAGGATACTAAGTTCGTCACCCTCGAGATATTCCTCAATGACAACTTCATCGCCGGCTTCTCCGAACTGATGATCCAACATAATCTCGCGGAGAGCTGCATGTGCCTCCTCCTTAGTAGTGGGCAAGACCACGCCTTTTCCTGCTGCCAAACCGCTGGCCTTGATAACGACATCGTGTGTAACCGAGTCGAGGTATTTGCGCGCCGCTTCGTAATCGGTGAAGTTCTCATATGCTGCTGTGGGGATGTTGTGTCGTTTCATGAAATCCTTCGAGAATGCCTTGGATCCTTCCATACGGGCAGCAGATTTGGTTGGGCCGAAACATCTAATGCCAACTGAACACATATAACCCGATTAGACTCATTGTACAAATATTAAAAGGCGGCGACTGCTAGACATACCCGCTTGAAAGTAACCCTGAATACCATCAACCAAAGGCGCCTCAGGCCCCGGAACGACCAAATTGACATTATTCTTCTGCGCAAAAGCGACCAGGCCCGGGTAATCGTCCGCCTTGACTGCGGCATTCACGATCTTGGACGGTGCGCCTAGTCCAGTGCCGCCGTTTCCAGGAGCGACATAAACGGTGTCCACAGAAGGCGACTCGCTCAGCTTCCAGGCAAAGGCATGTTCGCGTCCGCCGCTGCCGACCACGAGAACTCGCAACCTCTCTTGGAGCATTTTCGATTGTGTTGTGCTTGTCGCCGGAGGACCTGGTCGATGAGTCAGTTTGAACATTAAAGGTGATTGTATATAACAAAAATGACTTATAGCACCCCAGTAAGGAATCGAATACAAGTAGAAAAATAAAAATAAAACAAGGAAACAATCAAGGCTGGTCGCCAATTAATCACTTCTGCTTGCCGGACAACTGAAGGAGGGGTAAAGCAGCAGCAGCATCAGAAAGCAACCCAATTGCCGTGGGTATAACGGACATAAAAGGCATACAAGCAAATCATCAAGAAAACATTCATCGATTGAATTGACATACCCCTTCAAATTGGCTTAGCGACAGAAAACAATCGGTTGAGAGCGTCCAGACTGCCAGAGTTTGCCCGCATTTGGAGACTTTTTTTTTTTCTATGGGACGGCTAAAGGGTTTCTCCGACCCCGCAATCTATATCAGATCAAGGATAGGGCAGACTCATAGAAAATACAAGATATAATTACACTATGCATGTCTAAATTCTAATGATAATGCATGAAAGTATGTCCATCATCTCTCTTTTGAAAAAAGGGGGTAGAAGGAGGAAATGAATCACTCCGAACCAACTTTTCTCTCCTTGAAAACGACAACACCCTCTTTTTCGTCCAGCTTATTCTGGTACGCTCTAAACCTCTTGCCCTTGAGTGCCAATTTTCTCAAGTATCTCGCGTAGAAACTCCTGTTTTCTTGCTTCTTGGCTGCGAGTGCAAGCTTGCGTCGTTTACACATTGAGCGATAAAGACTCATAGTGGATAGCGCGCCATCATTTGGTAGTTCGGAGAGTGTGTATTCTACCTCCCAGTTATACCTTCGACGCAAGGTTCCCATCGGTCGTAGAACTCGGCGGCCGTTGACTATGTTTTGGATCGAGAGCTCCATGCAGAATAATTCTTCTGGCTCGTCCGGTCGTTTTTGCTTTTGCTCTTCCTGTGTTCCTGGCTGTTCTTCTAAGTTGTCCGCTGGCTTCTCCTCTGGCTGCTTCTCATGCCTCTCTACTTTCTCTTTGTTTTCTTCGTGGGTGGAGGAGTTGTTAGTGGTAGACTCAGCGGCAGCGTCGTTAGAATCGTCTACAACGGATTCGGACTTGCGTATTAACCGGTCCAATGCGGAATCAAGAAAACCTTCCCTCTCAGCATCATCGGTTGCTTCAGTCGTGGCTTCATCTTTAGATTCCTCGGTGACAGCGTCTGTATCTTCAGCAACTTCATCTTGAACAATGCTCTCCGGATAAAGCAGCTGTTGCTCATATTGCTCGATTTCCGTTTTATTCTTTTCCTGGATAGCCTTGATCTGTTCATCTGTGACTGGCTGCGCAAAAATCAACATTGAAGGCTGGTCATTCTCCAGAGTTTCGAAATGGAAACGCAATGACCGCCCAGGATACTTGGCTGTAGCCTTGTCAAGAATTTTGTTCCAAAGCTTGATACTTAATTGAAACTCCTTGTCGCCCACGCCTGGGTTTGACGTGCCGTGCAATGCCAAATCCATCTCGGATATAGGGATGTACTGGAATCCAAAGATACGCTCGGTATTGTGAAAGGCAACAAAAACACCGTCCATGCGACCTACGCGCACCTGGAGCGAGTACTTGAGGAATGCTGCTCGAATCATGTCGTAATATTCGCGCTCATAGGATTCGAAATTGCCGAATCGGTCGTGAATCTCATAACCCAATCCACCCTCATAATTCGACGCGTTCATGCGAATCGATACAACAGCACGAGTTTTAAGATCAAACATGCCGGTTCCTGGAAGTCTGGGATCGTGTGCATCCAATTGTGAGCGCATTATGAAGTCCCCTAGCGTGGAATAGTGGTGTGATTCTGGCAAGGTACTCTCTTCTTCAGGCGTGATCTTGTTGACGTGAGTTCGGCGATATCGCTCAAATTCTTCCTTGGGCATTGTAAGAAGCTTTTCCAACGATTTACCCAAACTCATAAGTATAGTCGCACTATCAAACTCTTTATCCGCGTCGATTGCATACACGCCTTCTTCTTTGTAATGAAGGAACACTGCAGCTGGTCCTCTCGATAGTCGCGTGAAGGTTTGCATAGTCTCCGGAAACCCCTGCGAGACTGTGCTCCGGTCAATTGGGCGCCAATTAGACAGTAAATAGTGGAAATGGGACAGAACTCCCGTCATGCTCGACGACGAGCCGACATATTTCTTCTTTTGCTCTCGCGCAAGCTGCATTAGGCTCTCGTCTTTCGACGACGTCACGTATTTCTTGAGAGTTTTATAATCAAACTCAGTCACAGGCATGATGACTCCTACATAAGGGTCAAAGTTGTAGACTCGTGACCTCGGGTCTCGAAGGTGATATACCCCGGGACTACAGCAAAATTCAGCGTTGATCATCTCCATTATTTTCAGCTCGTGAAATCCTTACTTAAATAGAACCCTATCCAGCCCGAACGCCAGGTTTGGTACTGGCGGGGTGTCGATATCGAGTGCTATGAGAAAAAGAGACAGCAGTTAGCTTTGCATTACAGTACGGCTAGTTTTCTGGAATCTTACCTTTCAATTCCAAATCATTCGCTCTGAAACTCCCAGTTTGCATATTTACACCAGCTGGACGAACAGTACCTGCCATTCTTTTTCTCGGTGGCTTCGTTTGCACAACCTTCTGTCGTGGTGCCGCCTTTCTCTGGGCATTTGAATTTGCTTCTTGCCCAGCGTAGCCCTGATCTATTTTCTCTGATTCTATTTCGGAACTCGATAGGTCGCCCTGTGTCCCAGTTTGGCTTGGCGTATTTGTTCTCAATGCTTTGATCCTTGCGTGAACGTATTTTAGAACGAACGCATTGTCGTCTAGTCGCTTTTTCGGTCTCTTGCCGTATCTCTTGGGTCCTACCCTGCGTACGGGTTGTTCATCTGAAGCCTTTTCTGTGGTAGAAGACTGATTCTTCTCGACATGTTCACCACTTTGCTCATTATGCGGAGGTCCATCATGGGATTCGCGGAACGAATTGGCATTATCAACAGATAATGCGTCGGTAATTGGTGTAGAATTCGCCTTAAATCAGAAAGAGGGGGGGGGGGAAAACACGATGTCAGCACTTCTCTCTTGTATGCAAGTCACAAAAAGGGGAAGGGCTAATCAATAAAAAATTAGACAAAAGAAATGCATACAGTTGAATCCCCATCCGTCCCTGATATTTTTATAGCATTTGTATCTTCCTTAACAGGATCTCCATGTGGCAAATTTCCTTTGTCATTCTCGTTGACAGGAGTTGTATAGTATCGACTGATGGCAAGTCGTTGCGGAACGAAGATGCGACTGCGAACAGGTCCCGAAACAGACCTTAACGTCGTGTGCAACATTCAGATTCAAAAGGGCGAATGCCGAATCAAACGGGAGAAACAGACGAGGAAGACAAAATATGGACTGTAACCACGGGGATTTAAAGTAAAAGAACCCGTCAATTGGCAAAACTTGGATTTTTTTGGCGGACCTTAGGCACTTTTTCTGCCGCGAACGCGCTCTTCCTTACTCTTGACACATACACCGCCTGCCGTATTGACAATGAGGATATGCTTCAAAACACTAAGACTGTTTCTTTTTATTTTTCAATGGTACAATTATCAGTAACATGACACATTGTAGTAGAGCTCTTTACGCTTTTAAGAAAAGGTTTCTCATAGCAGTCATAACAAGAGATGACGTTTTCAACAATCAAAAGAAATAGGATAGAATGAAGAAATTGAAAATATCGATTAAGTTTGATCAGGCCAAGGTTAGTATGGAACAAAAGCAGACTTTACAATCAGATGAAGTAGAAAGGGAGACCAGGGGTGACAATCAAAAGTAAAAAAAGGGAAATTTCTTTCATCCTTCAAAGAAACTTTCGTGTCTCTCTCACACACTCTCTCTTTCTATTTCCAATATTTGTTCTGCTCACAATTTCACAACTCCCCTTAATCCCCCCCTTTTTCCCTCAGGTTTCAAGGGTTCATACTGTAGAGAAATCAAATCCACCACCGCAATCCGTATCATATTTTCGTACACCAAGCTAGGAAGAACAAACATGACAGCACCCGAGTAAGAATTTGACAAATTTGCTAACGGCTAACTAGTGGGAACAGTAAGAACCAGGACATGGCATAGCAATTAGAAGAAAATGAGGCCTTGATTTGCGTACCTTAGAAACACTTGCGGTGGACAATGGAAGGACCGCTCTCGTCGTACTCCTGCTTGGAGACCCACATTTGTTGGAAGGTTGAGAGAGAAGCAAGAATAGAACCACCGATCCAGACAGAGTATTTACGCTCAGGAGGAGCAATGATCTTAATCTTCATGGAGGATGGAGCAAGGGCGGTGATTTCCTTCTGCATACGGTCGGAGATACCTGGGTACATGGTAGTACCACCAGACTAAAAATAAAACAAAGAAGTTTAGCCCCGAGAACTTTAAAAGGATGACAATGAAACAAAAAAAAAATTTTTGGGCTGTGAAAACTCACCATGACAATGTTTCCGTACAGATCCTTACGAACGTCGACATCGCACTTGATGATGGAGTTGTAGGTGGTGACATGAATACCACCGCTTTCCAGACCGATAACGCTAGGCTGGAAGAGAGCCTCAGGAGCACGGAATCGCTCGTTGCCAATGGTGATGACCTGACCATCGGGCAGCTCGTAAGACTTCTCCAAGCTGGAGCTCTGGGAGGCGGTTTGGATTTCTTGCTCGAAGTCGAGGGCGACGTAGCAAAGCTTCTCCTTGATATCACGGACAATTTCACGCTCAGCGGTGGTGGAGAAAGAGTAACCGCGCTCAGCAAGGATCTTCATGAGGTAGTCGGTCAAGTCACGTCCAGCCATGTCAACACGGGAAATGGCGTGGGGGAGGGCGAAACCCTCGTAGATAGGGACAACGTGGGTGACACCATCACCAGAGTCCAAAACGATACCAGTGGTACGACCGGAAGCGTACAAGGACAGAACGGCCTGGATGGAGACATAGAAGGCAGGAGCATTGAAAGTCTCGAAGACGATCTGGGTCATCTTCTCTCGGTTGGACTTGGGGTTGATGGGAGCTTCGGTCAAAAGAACGGGGTGCTCCTCAGGAGCAACACGCAATTCGTTGTAGAAGGTGTGGTGCCAGATCTTCTCCATGTCATCCCAGTTGGTGACGACACCGTGCTCGATGGGGTATCTCAAGGTGAGGATACCACGCTTGGACTGTGCTTCATCACCGACGTACGAGTCCTTTTGACCCATACCAATCATGATACTACATTTCACTCATTAGACCTGCATTCTCTCGACAGACCTGCACCGAGCAACACAGCCTGCAATTGTGGTGGTGGTGGTTGTGGTGCAAGATTGAAGGGACGAAACCTACCCATGGTGACGCGGGCGACCAACAATTGAAGCTAGGACGTTCTATCAGCATGCCACGTTTTCATTAAAGTTTGCACGGGTCTAGTGATACGCCTGGATGCAAGGGCAATGCGGCGCCATCACGATAGTGACCCGGCCAGACCGTGGAGGGTGAGAACTTACGGAACACAGCTCGGGGTGCGTCATCACCGGCGAAACCGGCCTTGCACATACCCGAACTAAACACAACAAATCAGTCATCAATCCCATCCATTGTTTTGACCAGAATCGAGTAAAAGCCCATGGTTTTATCGAGGCACGTGGTTTCGAGCGACGAAACACCAGCGCATCAGAGGTCGAACGGCAGGCATCCGAATTTCGACGACCAGCTAGCCCAGCGCTCGAAGCTCCTCGAATCCAGGAGAAGCCAGAACAGCATTTGCAGGGGAAAAAAAAAAAAGCAAACATACCCATTGTCAATAACGAGAGCAGCGACTTCCTCTGTATGCAAGAAGAAGAATTAGCATCCACGTAGACTGAGACTCCGGAAAGCGCGCGCGAAGAGGTGGCGCTGGGAAAGGAGGGGGACGGTTGTGCGGGCAGAAGCCGCTGAGGTGTCAATAAACAGTGTGGGCGACGGAGAGCTGGCTTACCTTCCATGGTGAGGGATGTGTGTGTGTGTGTATGCTAAGGGGGAAGAACAGCGAAGAGAAGAAGCAAAAGAGGGAGAGCAAGGGAGAAGAGTGTAGGATGGATGGCAGAAAGGTGGATATAGGGATGTCAGGCAAGGAAGCGACTGAGTCTTGGGTAGGGGTGGATGATAAGGAAGGCGAGTGGGAAGCGAGAAGAAGCAGCGGCGGTGGAGATGGTTGAGTGTGTTTTGGTGGTACTAGTCTGGGCTAGTAAATTACGGGGCAGCTGCGCTTCTGGTCGCCCATGGCCCATAATACGGATACGCCAAATACGCACACCACCCCAGGACAACGAACGAAGCGTGCTGGTCAATGCCGGCGCCTAACGACCGCCAGGCTCCAGCTTGTTCGTCTGATCTGATACAGGAACGCAGCTTGTTGTTGACTGCTGTTTCGGCCTATACCGAGTCGAGTCTCTTACTGCCACTGCTACTGCTACTGCCACTGCCACTACCACTGCCACCGTCGACAGTGGGACTGCTGGCGGAGGCACTACTGTTACTGATTTGGCTAGTCCTTCCTGTAGGCTATCATCGCCCAGCGACCCGGCCATTTGTTTGGATTGAACGCACAGCTACGGAGTATTCTTTGCTGAACCCGTCCTGCGGCCAGGCATATGCATTTGCCTTTCCGATGAGAGGAGAGGCTGTGATACGGGTACGATGTTATTAATAGGAGGAGGGCATTGCCGCATCGATGTCATCAGTATCCAATCACAGCGCGGCATGCCTGGTGGTTGGTGCAGGCCTGGACTGCATTGTCTGGTCCGTTTCGTCAGTGGCCCAAAAACACCGCGCATCCTCTGGAAGGATATGGAGCTGCCTGCTGCGGTGGTGGCCATTCACTTGATACACATGGCACACCGTCAGTAGGCATCCGCATAAGGATACCCTCCAGCAAGTGTGACTAATTAAAAGTCTGAAATGGAGTGGCTGGGAACTTGCGTGCAAGCAAGAACCTCAGCGCTTACCGCCTACTTCCGCCATGTTGCTAAGGCACCAACGGCGCCCTGAGGAGAGCCGCGGGGTAGTTTCGGATTATCTTAAATCCGGCGGTGCAGCCACGCTTCTTAAGTAATCAATGCCCCGCCAATCAGCGGCGTCCCATTGGTAGAACTCCAGAAGAAAGCCGTGGAAGGAAGCCGCAGCCACGAGAAATTACTACGAAGTTCTTGACTTTTGTTCCATCCAACAAAAATAAAACAGCACAACATATCTACACACGCCCCGTTCTCAATCAAACATAATTCTATACCCCAGCAAATCCCTATCATCATGGACCGCGGATTAAGTGAACTCCTCAAATGGAGTGTCGAAAACTCAGAAGCCTCGAGGCAGTCAGTGACCAACTCCGACGACCCGTCTGCGGCTCGCATTTCATCGCCCAATGGCTTGAACGAAGCGGCATTGAGGGCGCTCATGGGCGGCCCCTCGGATGCCGACCTCATGAAGGAATCTATTGCGGCCCTGCTCTCGGACGAGGTCGACTTGGAGAACAAGATGATCGCATTCGACAACTTTGAGCAACTGGTGGAGACGATTGATAATGCCAATAATATGGAACCTCTTGGTCTGTGGACGCCTCTTGTGGGGTTTCTTCAACACACAGAAGCAGATATGAGGCGCATGGCTGCGTGGTGTATAGGGACTGCAGTGCAGAACAACGAGAAAGGTCAGGATAAAGTACGTAAAAGCTTTTACCTTCCCCAAAGCGCGTGAAACGAAGCATCATACTAACGCCTGGACCCAACATTAGTTACTCGTTCTTAATGTCCTTCCTACCTTAGTATCGCTTGCCACGACAGATCCGGATTTGAAAGTCCGCCGAAAATCCATCTACGCTATTTCCTCTGCGGTTCGCAATTATCAACCCAATATGGACGAGGTCGTGTCACATTTACCCCCGCAATACAAACCAGCGGAACATGTTGATGCCGGAGATATGGAAGCCATCGACAATATTTTAAATCGGCTGCGAGGTGGCCCAGTTTGAGCATGCCATATGATATGGAGATATGAAACCTGAATTGAGAGAGTGCCTATCAATGCATACATGCCTGGGCAGTTTTACTTGCGGCGGCGACCAGCCAGTCTAGGCAGCATATCTGCAGGCAAGGCTATTAACTATCTCTCAGCAATGCTTAGTAACAGCTGCTGGAGGAATTTGATACTCACGGATGTTATCTAGGCAGTAAAATTCGTGCCCCATACGAGATATGACAGCGACCAGCATACACGGGTTAGCTCTGTCAAATCACGAGTGAAGCGCCAGAAGTAACTAAGTCAATTAGAAGGAAGAATCAAAGTGAAATCAAATTCTCATATTGAATCAGTTAACCTGTAGTTACATGTCCATAAAAAGGGATAAACTAGTCATAAGAAAGAAAGCTAAGCGTCATTTGACATCTGTACGTGACCGCACTAGTCCCTTTCAGGCTACACCAACCAGTCCCGATCGGATAAAGACGAAGGCTACAGCTCCGCAGGGTCGCAACTCAACAACAGCTCAAAGCAACACGACGCAACGTACATCTAACCAAATCCACAAAATCAAGAATACACACATCATGGAATCAGAAAACCGTCTTTGGCGATTCACAAAGCCTGAATGGCTCAATAACTCAACCGTCCGAACAGCCGGAGTCTATACATCTGGCGCATTGGTATGTCTACAACTTCCCTTCCTTTCTTGCAATAGAGCTAGCTAATAAACGGCGGTGGAAACATAGTTCTCGCTCGGTCTCTTCTTCCTCATCGATGTCTCTGCCTTCTCCGCAAGTTCCAAGAACGGGTCGAATGTGCATGTGAAATTCGTTGATTGGATTCCTGGCATCTGCTCCGCGTTAGGCATGCTGGTGATCAACTCAATCGAGAAGTCGCGCTTGAGTGCCGATAGCTTTAGTTATAGTGGCAGTGGAGTGACTTGGAAAGCGCGATTTGTGCTCTTTTTGGGTTTCGCGTTGCTGGCTGGTGGGTTGGCTGGCAGTGTGGTGAGTTTGCCTTACCTCCCCCGTCGGTTTCGTTTTTCCCGCTTCCTTTATAGTTTATGATCTGGATGACTGATTGAGGTTTGTTTAGACGGTCATGGTTCTCAAATATGTCATGAAGAATTACCCACTGCCGACGTTGTACTTTGGTATTGCGAATGTTATTGCCAATGCTTTGGTTATGCTCAGGTACGTCTATTACTCTCCCGCCCTTTCCAACCCCCTTGAACTCGCTTCAGGCCTGGCTCAATGCTGATGTCTCTTTTCAGCTCTGTCGTTCTGTGGATCTCCCAAAACATCGAGGACGATTATACATACAACCTTGCTCTATAAATTTGTAGAGAAAGTCCGACTCTACTGTTTCGTTATCCCCATTGGCCTAGGCTAGACAACTATCATCCATTGTTGTCATGCCCTGATACAATATGTAACTGAGATTTGGTCTCTTTTAGAGCTCTTACTATTCGCTGCAACTTTTCGACTTTGGGGCGTCTTTGTCTGGTTGGATTATTTATAACTTATAACTTGTATGAGAATGAATCTATGTATTTTTTGTTGATTAATGCGTTCAATGGATCAAGTTTTTATTTTCTTTTTCTCTTTATTTGAGTTGGGTAGGTATCAACTTCACGGATTGACTACCTAGGTATTTTCCATGTATCTATCAATGGGCAAATTTTAAATCGAGGACTTGTGATATTCTCATTGACATTAGATATGTCCTTTACTTTACTTTCCTTTTTCTGCATTTCTATTCTCCGGCTCTTTCTTTCTGCTACTATACATCTTTGTTTATTGGAGGCTAAGTGAACCTATTATTTTCTTCCTCCTAAAAAAACATACCTGTGATTCCACCCCCCCTCCCTTCTCCCTATTGCAACGGCCCAGGTTCAGTCTTTGATCTGTATAGGAGATGTTGAGAAATTCATTACTAGATTGTTCCATGGTTCTTACTAGTCAACAGGTCTATGTTATCTTCTAGATCCTTGCTTATGAGAATATAAGAAGGGTCTTCGAAAAATAGCAATTATGCATTTTGAAGCGTTTTCAAGCACCTGAACAATAGAAGGGATAGAAAGAAGAGAGAGAGGACCTATTTACATCTTCACCCTCCTCAGTTGGTCTGCATTCTTACTACCTCCCTGGCTATGCCTTACAAGGACACTCAGCTTGTAATTGGCGGCGGGAGCCCCATGACTCCTTTTATAGCCTGGAATTGTGTGACCAAGTCCTGAACACTTCGACAACGAGAAAGGTCAGGCACCTCCACAGGATGTAGCGCCAGGGATGGAGTTGATATCGTGGTGCCGGAGGTGGAGGCCTAGTTGGTTCTGTCGGAAGTTGGGGTGCACTGATGATAATCGGTGGTGGAATTGGACTTGTGAATGCATATGATTCTGGAGTGCTTGGGCTATGGCCTGATCCTATGAGCGATGGAGTGGCTCTTCGTGCCGGAGTTTGTGTTTCTGGATCATCAATACGATTCCTCTCTGAAGAGAGTGGCATGACTGAAGCGTCCTGAGTGACAGGAGACTCATAACATGACTCCAACCCATCGGAATGGGACGAGTCTTCTTCACGGCTGGTGATGCTTTCCAATGGTGTTTCATTCTGGTCGTTCTGGGGAGGCGCCCTTGCTTGGTCTTTTCTGTTGGCACAAAAACGAGACTGAAATTCGCTCATTAGGAGCTTAAGATGCTCCAGAGCCTGGTGAACTGCTCGCTGAAGGGATTGGCCGGCGCCGTACATGGCTTGATTTCTTTTTCGACCAACGGCGAGGAGAAACCGTGGAGCGTGGCCCAGAATTCGGTGATGGCCTTGGAGGCTTCATTCACCACATGCATCCATTCATCGATTCCCATTTTCAGAAGTTTCCAGCGTTCAAACGCAGCTTCATTATTGTCTCGCCTTTTTGCTTGCTTGCTCACCCGGCTGCGAAGCTTATTCAAGCATCCCTGCAGCTCTTTCTGCAGAGTCTCCAATGAAGCCACTGAATCATAGAGTTGTTGGTCATTTGAATCCGTCTGCTCAACCATTTTATACAGCTGCGGGACCATCAGTCCCTGGACCAGCCGATATCGATCCACAATCGTATTGAGGTTGCGCTCCGCTGTCTGCTATGCATTTCGGGGCTCCGGCGGCTGATGTATGGAGTAGTTTACTTGACGGACAACGCCTCTAATCCAACGCTCAATCTCGTCTTTTGGCTACTCCAGTGGACATTGTGATAGTGAGCGTGGCGTAATGGTGATTGGCGCTCTTCATGACTTGATCCGCAGATCCAACCACTCCTTCGTGCACCTGGACTAAGCCATCGGGGCGGAGACTGCGAGTGCACATGGAGCTCAAGGCCTGAGCTTCAGCCCTCAAGCAAACACAGCGACTGTGGTGTTCATAATATCTTGAGAAGAGATTGTCTTTCTCTGGTCGCTGAATGGTGTGCACCCCGATATTCTGGATGGTTTCCTGCAGATCCAGGCTCTGCCTCAACTTTGATCCTAGTCGGGTTATTGCACTTTGAAGTATGGGAGGTGGATATGCGGGTTGGCCGGTCATTTCGAAGCCACGGTCTGTTATTTTACTCTCCCTATAAGGCACAACCTTCGTCCCAAGGACCACGTCACCCAAGCGAACATGGGTGAGCCGCCTCCAATCCTGACAAGAAGCATGAACCAGATTGCTGGGAAAGTACTTCTCATATCAGATGCAATCTTTGCTGCGCGAAGCTGTCCGTGGGCTCCAGCTGCTGGACAGTTCATGACCACGAGATGGTTGCCAGTGCGTCCGATATCACAGCCACGGACAATATAAGTCGAATCATCTGTCTCGTCGGACTTCGTCGAACATTTTGATCGCTTCGTAGAACTCGCTTGGGAGGATACATATCCAGCCGATGAGGTGGTTGATTAGGGCTACGGCATCCTCTTGTGCTGCTGACTCGGACTCAGGCATTATGGTTTCAAGAATGAATATTAGATCCAGATATTTGACAGAAAAAATTTCCGAAGAAAAATACGGAGGAACATGAGATATTTAGAATACTTAGGTGCTATGTACTATTACTTATATGGGAAGGCTGACTTGAGCAAGCAGAAACTACCTACTATATCAAAGCTTTGCCCATGATTCGCTGCTCATACAAGAAAAAGGGGATTTGAGACCCGGGTGATGCGGCTCAACTTGCATGGATGGCAGAGGAATATGTTCAGAAAAAGCAAACAAGAATGCGCTCAAGCCCCCCTAACCCCTGCGCAAAGGGTTCAGCTGTCTTTCATAGGTTACACAAATGTTGCCCTGCCTGCAAAGCATAGAGGTTTGTTTTTGTTCCCGCGCAGGACTCGACATGCATGCGATGCGGTACCTGGATCTGCCAATGTATGTTGGATTTCCGACTACGTGGAGATCATTGACCTTTGATAGTTTGTACACACCAGACAGGGTTTTCATTAACTCATTACTCATTACTATACTTCAAACCCTGAAAACGCTTTGCATGCAAGATAATCAGCACAATTCTATATACAATCGAGTACATATATACAAATAATCAGCTATTAGGCATCAACCGGAGCCCTGATTCAACTGGTCATCACAAAACAACTTCAGAATCCCATCTATTATGTTAGTTGCCGTATCCTTGGACAAAATCGGTGTTGCGCAGCGACGAGTATAAGTGCTATCAGGTGTATCACTATGGCTAGTCTCAAGAAAATCCGTGGTGGCTATTTTCAGGTAGTGTCGGAGAGCGAATGTTGCGGCTCTGTATGTTGCGTGATACATTGCTTTAAATTCTTCTTCTTCTGTGGTGGCAGCGGTGTATTCTGGGATGTTGGCGTCTTGGTGTGGGTAGCTTTCAGGTTCAGTGACGAGGGCAGCGGGCTTGGTGGGCCGGTTTGCTTTTCGGTGATACCCATATAAACGCATGCAAGTCAGAATTGTGCGGGTGATTAGGTCTTTATTTCTTGTCACGAGCGCTTCTGCATTCGCCGGTGGCGACGATGATAATAGCTGTGACTCTGATTTCGAAGCTGCATCGTGCATGCTCGGAGCCGGCACAACCGACTGACTGCGAGTAAGCTCGTCATTAGGCGTATGCATTGTCGAATTCGGGTTTGGCTTGATCTCTCTACGACCAAGCATGCTTTTCGACGATCCAGGTCTAGCCTTCTCGCCCAGACTAGTGTTCTCTCTAGTTTTGCTCAAGTGACTGCCGCCGAGGGAGAGCGAGCGAGCTCTACGCGACTCCAGCTTCTCTAGTTCTGGGCTGTTGAGTTCCTCTACTTCTCGCTTGATCTTTATTGAAGACAGCTGCGATGATGCCTGGGACTTTGCATTGGCCATCATCCGAGAAACCCCTTCACCACCCCGTTGTCGAACACGACGATGGTGCTGTGCTGCTCCTTCGAAGAGGGACAATATACGCTTGCGCTTGGGGCTCGGTGAGCGTAAATCTGGCAGGAAATGCGCAAATGCATCCTTGCTGGATTCCGCATCATCTTCAGCCGCGCTTGAGGGCGGCGAAGGCAGGTCTTGTACCTTCCGTACATAAGTCGCTGCCAGCGGCACAGCATATAACCGTAGGTCTCTTTTGATCTTCAAGTTTTGTTCATATGCACTGCCATCTCCTACAAGGGAAGACGAGTCTGGAGGTGAAGGTGGGCGGGTTTTTGCGTCATAACTAGGTGATAGTATTCCGTAGATGAGAAGGTCCGATACATTGTTGTTATTATCGGTTTCCGGATAGGTTCGGTTTGTTGGCATGTCTACACCAACCAGCAAGCCCACTGGACATTGGAACGTGTTAAAGCGCTCAAAGGTCTCCCCATCCTCCTCGTCGTCCAGCCAAATGCCCGCAACTAGCCGGGCTTTGAGCCATTCCGACGTTTCTTCAGTGTTGGCATGAAGCTCGACACTGGGTCCAGCTCGAGCATAGAGAGGGATAAGCGCTGGGTTTACCAAGCTGCGTAGTGAGAGCCTGGCTCCTTTTGGTAGGACAGTTTCTTGCCGTTGGGATGTGTTCACAAGCTTGATTTCTAGGACAGATTAGAAAGTCGGTCAAAAAGCAATGACGCCTAGGCAGCTTACGGAGGTCAGGGCTGGTGTCGGTGCTGATACTGCCCGACCAGACTTCCATTCCGTCTATATTAAAGCAGTCTCAATCGCATCACCCAAAATTGCGTTCACGGATTTCGTTGCACATAACCTCAGCTATAACAGATTGACAGCGTGATGCGAGCAGAGCAGCGTTGTTCCCGCATCGCGGCACGCGTCGCGGCCATACGCCAGATCACGTGCATTTGGTGATTAAGTAGTTATTGAACCTATCAAGCATTTCTCGCTGTAGAGGGGAATACAAATTCATGGCAAAGATCAAGCAAGTATGATCGACTAATTGGTTTTTATATCATTTCTTCAAATTGCATCTATAGCCTTCCAACCTAATAAATCATGTTGTACATCGTGGCTTGATCGCACCCAGTAAATCATCATATTGCTTTACAAGAGCAAGGAAGCATAGTAAATCGAAAAGAAAAGACCATGCCCAAAATACAAAGTCAATGCCGATTGCATTCTGTCTCAAATGCTAATTCCGTAGCTGACTATAACGGTCCAGGAGCAATCCAGTGCGGCAGAGAACTTCCCACGTTCCTTTCTCTTGCCTCTCCGTCATTAAAATTCTTCCTGTTCCTGGAAAAATGTAGTGAAGCTAATGATAGTCCCGTAGATTAGAAGACCGCCAAGGATGGACATTATCATCGCAGGGTATCCGATAGCACCGCAATGAGCCAGGACCGTTGGAAGGGCTGTTGTTGTCGAAGCAATGGAAGTTAGTATATCCGCATATCAAACCATTGTAATATTTGTTCTAAAGCAGAGAAGGGATATTCGTCTAAATATTGCCTACCTATACCCATAAGCACCAAAAACCCCGTTAAGAAGCGACCAAAGTCTACGATCGCGTTTCCTGAGCTCTCAATAAAGTCATCCGGGTTACCGCAGTGACTGCAGATCCAATTCGGCAACGGCGCGATGATATATGTTGCGACGACGAGGAGCGTCAAGTACTGCTGCCATATTGCGGCCGATAGGATGACCAGTAAGAAGCCAATGGCCAAGATCTGTAGGGCTCTGCAGGTCAGTAGCTGTTCTTCTTCCCCCACTCGCGGAAATGAAAGCCGCCAAACTCACAAATGACAGAACTATTATCGTGCGCAAGCCTTGAGTAGCCATCTCGACTACTGGATCTGGGGTGTATTCACTGTTCGGTGTTCGCTGTTATTTATAACAATGCCGCCGAGTGAGCGTAGCGCCGGAGCCGGCTTAAAAAAGCTTGAAGATCGATCAGGTCGCGATGAGGATCCCATGCGATGCCTCCTGTATAGAAGATGTCTCGAATCAGACCGTTGTAGGGCTGAGCTATTATATCTGGTGCCTGGTGATGTCTGCCTCCGCGTCGATAAGAGAGGCGGATCATCATGGATGCCGAAGCTTGGCGCTGGTCACGGCTGCAAACAAAGCAAACCTGCTCTTTCCCCATGGACCAACACAACAGCTCGACAATCAACACTGCTTGCTTCTCCCTGCTTTGGCTGTCTCAGAGCTCGCAAATATTCACCTGCGTATAATCGATTTCGGGCAGTCCTTTCGGCGGCATGGACCATTCACAGGATGTCCACCTCGAAGAAGTCTTTTGGCGATCGCCTCAGCACGTGCAAATGATGGGAGGATATCTGCATTCAAATAATAGTAAGAGGAGCTTTGCCTAATTGCCTTTCTTTTAAGTACGTACCGAGATCTAACACCCCTTTGTGCAAAAGTTCTTTTCTATTTTGCAGAGTCCCCATTCTTTGACGCAACCTCCAACAATGCATCGCTAGCAATCCAGGCAAACTACAACGAGGCTTTTCGCCATTTTATAGAGACGCGGGACTCTTTTGAAGGCAGGCTCAAGACGATGCAGGGATTGGAGTTTATGGTAGCATATGACCCGTTAGAAGCTGCAGCGCAGTCGGAGACTCAGTTCGCCCGCGAACCATCGAATATCTGGGTGATTCGCAAACAAATGAGACAGAAGCGGCCGGGAATGGAAGACGACGTCGTTGTGCTCTCAACATACTATGTTGTTGGTGATGCAGTTTACATGGCGCCTGCAGTCTCGAGCGTCATTGGAAATCGAATAGTGAGTATGAATACGAGGGTACTTTTTATATTCCCCAGAGCTTACAATGAGTCGGTTTAGCTTTCCGCTGTCACATCACTTACGAGACTAATGCATGTTGCTTCCCCTCTTCCTATCTTCACACCGTCATATGGCCATACATACATGCCACCCGGCCCCCGAGCGGCAGACGCTCCTCAGGCAGCATCTCAATCTCAGCAAAGCAAGGAGTCGACCCCAATGCCCGAGTCTCAAAGTACCGCGAAAGCATCTTTGACTGCTGGCACTACGAATATTAAAGACACCTCTTATCAAGACACGCGTGGTTTAATGGAGGCGTTAAACCTCCTCTCCCGATACGGAGATGAATACATGGACGAAACCCCATTAACAGGCGAACCGGGTTCATTCATATTGTCCAAATCCGCCGATGCTGCTAGCAGTACTTCTGCTCGGCGAGGTCCCAAGACAAATATGCATGCGCCTGCAGTCCCTCGAAAACCTGGGACTCCAGCGGTCGGAGATACCTCAACTCCTTCGAGAGGCATGGAATAGGCAAAGTGACTTTTCTATTCTCTCCCCTTTTTCTCTTTTTCTCCCTCTCCTTTTCACGGGAGCGATAATTAGAAGGTTTTTGGTTGATACCCGGGAAATTCATTGCTTCCCATGTTCCTTGACTTTATTTTCGTTCCTTGTTCATATCTTCTTTCAATCAGAAAAATCTTGAAAGTGGGACGATTCTTCCCGGGTCCATGCTGTAGATCATCCATGCTGTAGATCATCCATGCTGTAGATCAAAACAGCGTAGATCTTTTTGAGCTTTTTGGTCTCTCTGATGCATTAGATCTAAAATTTTAAATATCTTGACTGGTTTGCTTTCTGATAAAAAAGAATGCGGGGTTGGTGAGACCGGGAGTCACGCCGGTGGATACCTATTTTCAGTATTTTGTGACTTCTTTTTTTTCCCCACCCCTGCTCCTTATCTAGCCCTACCGTGAAACCTCATAGCCTTTGCTTCATACTCATTCTCTCATGAGTCTTTGGTATTAAGAGTTTGCGGACATTGGAACCTTGGGAATTGACGTATATATATTTCTATCGAACCCACTGTCACGCCCCGCATCGAATCATCCAGGTAACTGCGCGCAGAAGGCGGTGTTCATAAAACATACCTTAAGAAAGAGGTCCAAAAAAAAAGGGGAGGGGGCCTTGGAAGCAAGCCAAAATGAGTGCAACAGAGTCCCAAAAGGAGAAGCCAGCTGTTGTCTGTGTTTTGTAAGTGATCCTTACCTGACCAGCAAAGTGAACAACTCTAAGTTCTGTAAACAGCTGTGGATCAGTTGCAGGAAATGATCCTAGACACATGCAAGCAGCCAAGGAGCTTGCACGGGCTTTCCACGAGCAGAACGTCCAGCTCGTCTATGGCGGTGGTACCAAGGGTCTCATGGGCCAAGTTGCACGCGAACTCGTAGCTTTATCAGGGCCCCAAGCTGTGCATGGAATCATTCCCAAGGCCCTAGTCAAGATCGAACCAGGCTACGACCAGCAACAAGGAGAGAACAACAGCAACAAAACGCAAGAAGGCACCGGCAAGACTCACGAGCGCGTAGTTCCGCAGAACGATAAGCGCACCGAAATCATCGAAGCTGAGTTCGGCATTACCACTATTGTCCCAGATATGCACACCCGCAAACGCCTCATGGCCACCAAGGTGATAGAAGGTGGTCCGGGGTCGGGCTTTGTCACTCTGGCAGGCGGATTCGGTACGATTGAAGAAGTCATGGAGATGACAACCTGGAACCAACTTGGTATTCACAAGGTGGGCGTAGTGCTGCTAAATCTCAATGGGTATTGGGATGGGGTGTTGCAGTGGATCAAAAATGCGGTCGAGGAAGGGTTTATTAGCCGTGCGAATAGCGATATACTTGTTTCAGTGACGGATGTGAAGGATGTTTTGCCCAAGTTGAGAGACTATAAGGCTAGTGTTGATCGGTTTCAGTTGACATGGGGAGAGGAGTAACCCATTTCTCTGTTCAGCATGTCCATATGTGTTACTGCTATTGTTTTACGTATACAAAGATCATCAGGTATAGATAAACACGAGGAATATATGAACGCATGAATATACACACGTCAGGCAGACCTGTCACTGATACTTTACGTTTTAATCAAGCATACCTTTTCATTCTCTCCACATCGTAATATAGATGAGGGCTGATGATCTATCTGAAAAAGAATGAGAACAAATGTATTGAAAGGTTCATTCACACTGATCACTGCGTATCGACCTCCATTTCACCACCCTCTGTAGCTCCACCGTCCAACGCCTCCAGCAAAGCGGCAATATCCTGTCCATCATAAAGCTTAAATTTCTCAAGTTTAGTATTCTTCACAGCCGAAGAAGATGCTGACGTCGTGTCCTTGGGCACCAAACCCACAACTCCAACCGCAGTGTTATCAACCGTAAGCTCCTTATCCTGGGAAAGAGTCTCCCTCAACGCCTTGAGTCCATGATTAATCAGCTCCTCGCGAGAAGAATCCGCAAACTCGGCCAAGTTCCTCTCCAGATAGGTACGAGCCATCTGTGACCGGGCGCCAATCGCACATGCCACCATCTCCTGCGTAAGGCCCGAGGGCTGGAACTCGAACAGATGCGGACCTGCGTCGTCGACGCCTGCAACAAGAAGGCCGACACCGTAGGGCCGCTTGCCGTAATGTTGTGTGTTGGTTTGTGCGCGGTCCCCGATTTGGCTCACAATTCGGTCTAGCGGGATTGCGCGGCCGTATGTCATCCGTGAACCGAGGGATTGCTGTTTCATGAAGTTGGAGAGGACGCGGGCATCGGACGAGAGACCCGCGATGGCGATGCCCATGTGTGTGTCGATTTCGATCACTTTCTTCTGGAAGGAGGATAGTTCTTCTGCGTTTCGCTATATATAAATCCAAAAGAAAGACATTAGTTAGAAAATCATACTTTCAATGTAAAAGCAGAGGAAAATATATTGGATGAAAAAAATATACCTTCAATCCCACGAGAACAGCATGTGTCTTGCTAACTAATCCGACCACAACGGAACCTTGCTTGACAGCTTCTTGAGCATATTCCACCTGGAAAATACGACCTTGCGGCGAGCTGTAATTACGGTCAGAAATCCCATTCCTTTTCAGTATTATTTGTTTTCAAAGCTTGATGATGAGGCTCTGGGGCATTTTCCCTTACAAGGTCACCGAATCGTTATCGTAATTGTTTCTGAACATCGTTGTGTAGAGATGACGGTAGGAAGAAACAATATAATAGAATGTGATTTAAGATATCCTCTCTTCTTTGCAGCTGTTCTCGTGTCAATGGAAGAACGGTCTGCGGTAATAGTGTTTGATGATGCGAAGGTGACTGTTGTTCTGCGATGTTCCAGGCAGTAACAGCGACGCGGAGGTAGCTGAGGCCTCAGGCTAGCTCTAAGGCGTGCTAGTCCTGTTTGGGGTAAGCTTGCAAATAAGCAGCCTCAGGCCGCTTTTCCGCGAGATCATCTACAAAATCACATCCATTTTGTTTTCCCTTGTCACCTGAATCACTTGCTTGGGTTAAATACAATAAAGGACTTTGCAATCAAGAATTCACATAAATACGAATCAGACTCAGAAATAATCAACTCATAACTCGTTACCTAAATGCATCGCCGTGCTGAACGTGGATATCAAATCTATACATGTTAACATCTCATATTGTTTCAATTTCCCGTCCCTGTCATCCATGGATATATGCGTCTATATAAGGGAATCATATCTCATAACAGCCATAAACCCCATAGAACTGAACCTAGATAGCATTTCAGACACGAACCTTTCAAATCGACATAACGACAACGGAACGAAAACTATACTTACAGAAAATCAGATAATTCGATGAATTCAATGTATACAGGCTATACGAGCCACTGGACATGTTTTTTTGTAAGTCGGTTTTGTTGAGGTCACTTATGTTAGTTGTTAGCTTCGTTCACATATTGGAGCTCTGGTTACTTACCTGGACACCACGACTGGCCATCCGTCTTCGTAGGCGAGATAGTTATATCCGACTAATGCGTCCTATATAGATAGATGTGTAAGAAAGCTTGTCTGACTGATAGTTAGGGCAAGGCACTTACTTCATCCGAAACGCCTATGCTCATATTCACTAAAAGTCGGTTAGTGCGACATATATGCAGAAAGAAGCAGGAAAAGTAAGCATACTGTAATGGTAAAACAAAACATCCTGGTCAGAATCAATACTGAGCACGCCACAGCTTCCAGGAGCATAGACTTGACCATGATTATTAGACCCATAAACGGTAGTTCCGCCGCCGTCCAGCAGCGATACATTATCCTTGTCTACATATGGACCGGAGATGTCTAAGGACCGGCCCATTTGGATTGAATATCTGAGAGGACAAGAATTGAGAAACACACTCATATATATAGAGAGATAAATAGATAAAAGAAATCACTCACTCGGTCCCTGGAGTAGGAAGATCATCGAGTTCCAGCTCACAACAGTAGCCCCTACTATACCACAGATAGTAATAAGGGGCTTTGTAGCTAATCCACGATCCCTCTTCCGCAGTAAAGTTGGTATTCAAAGATAAATGCGAGGCATCAGGTTCCTGTGCATATTCCACGGACAGCAAATCATCCGACAAGCGGACCTGCCATATATCTGACCAGTAGCTACCAAACGCCAAATACACCTGGTTGCCAACGACTGGATCAACAATGACACTGGGATCAAGAGCGTTAGAGATGTTATACGGATAAACACCCGCATACTGGCCGGAGACGGTGTTGATCAGAGCCCCGTGATCAGTCCAAGATCCTATTTTGAGGGAGTCTGAAGTCGCAACGCCAATAGAGCTATTGCGTGTATCGATCGTGGATACGCAATAGAAACAATAGAATGTGCCGTTATACTGAATCACAGTCGGGGCCCAGGGTTCAAACCGGTCTCCTTTGTCAATCACACTTGGTCTTCGATCCAAAACTTGACCGGCAGGTCTCCATGGCCCACCGAGATTGGAGGCTCTGAAATACTGAATTCCGCCACCGGTTTGGAAAAGGTAGTATTCATCGTTGTGTATAATGATACTTGGATCTCGGGCTTGGTGGTTTGTTATGTATGCAAGAGGGAATGTGGATGAATTGGATAATGTCTGAGCTGTCGATGTCGTTGTTGTTGAAGTCAGGATTACTAATACCAGTAATAACGTATAGGGAGCCACGCCCAAGGCCCCATGGGCCGACAGCAACATTGAATCGAGATATATTTTGCAGGGTTTGCACTGGTGGGTTGTATTTTCCATCTATTTCATGGTGGAATCTGAACATTATTTGCCTTATCATTCCCTCATATCGACGGATAATGATAATTTATGAAATTTGAAAGCAGAGGAAGATACGAGGAATAAGTATCATCTATAGCGAGTAGATCGCAAGTGAAGAAGTGGATAACCTTTTGTAAGAGCTGACTACGTACTTGCAAGTCTTGGAGTCTTGGTACTCCGTAGACCATCATAATTTACACCGATACCGAGACTTATGGTAGATCAAACAGAAAGAACAGAAAAGTGGGTATGAGAGGGAGGTCAATCAGGAGGAATGACACAAGGAGAAGAAATCGATAGTGACGGTCTAGGCAAGGGCATGTAGCCCTAGTCCAAGATTTTTGTTCCCACCCCAAACTCTCCAAGTCTGGTTAATTGATCTCAAGAATTTCTGTTGGCTGTTTGAAGGGTGCCCCTCCTTGATTGAATTAAGCACCCCAGCCAGTCGGAGTCGATGGTAGCCCAAATACATGCACGAGGCTGACGGCAGGGAATAAATAATCTATGTACAGCCTCAGGCAGGAAAGGAATGGCGGAGGTTGTTTTAGGGCTTATCGAAACCTAATCTACCCGCGGGGCTATGCTGGTTCGGGTAATCGAGGTTCCACTTTCTCTCGAGTTACCTGACCCGGACTAGCCTGACTCTTTCCAATGCGTAATTGACTTGCGAGTCGTAACCCATCTATATACGTACTATACCTGGTAAATGCAAAGATCATCGTCTATTGACTACTCATTCGAGCTCAGGCCGAATTCTGTCAAGTGAAGTCGTCACTCCGGGAAGGCGGCCGGCTTTGGGCTCTTACCCTTTTCTTCGCTATTCTATCTCTGATTACATAGGCCAACCGTCAACGTTCTAGATCTACTAGTATCCCGCACTAAAGTTGTGGGTAGTTGGATAACAAGAAAAGATTGCGTGATAATGACTCTAAGTGCCCGTAAGGCATCGATCTCATATACTTGCTATGCAGTATTTGAACGTTCTATAGTATAGCACTGCCACGACCAACACTGCTACCCGTGGACGCCACACACATTCATGAGTCATGGTCCAAATGCTGACAGCACTGCCACTGCCACGTCGACTCTTAGCTGTCTAATCGCCAGTTGTACCGCAAGTTGGGGTTGTATTGAATGTAATGTAGTGCCTAAAGTCTGGGAACTGTCGACTATCCCGGTACCCTTGAATTAGGCAGCGGGCATGACGAGCAATTTTTCAAAGTAAGTACCGCGATTATATAACTGGAGAGAGGAAACAAACACCATGGCTATTGATTGTTCAGTGCTCATTGACCTTGCTTTCGCTATCTGACACGTCATAAATCTCTCGAAAAGCCAACTATTTGATTTGACTTCAATACATGCAAGCGTTCCGGACGATCCATGACCCACAAATCACTTCTTATCCAATTGCTTCAATGTGGTCTGTAACAACGCAGCTGTACGTACTAGTGCCGTAATAGATGGTGTTCCCATCATCTGACGATTCTCCAGTACTCAAAGTGTCTCCGTATTGCCAAAACATATCGCCCGCCATGCCCGCTGTGTCGAGAGAGGTGGCTTGCCACGGTGCCTCAATTGCGCATTGGTTATAGCTTACTCCGAATTCTTCGAGAATGCATGGCTTGCCTATGGCTGCACAGGTGGCTCCGTGCGTTGATACCCAGCTGCTACCCCAAGTTTCGGCTTCACCCCCTAAAGTTATAGGTCAGTTAATTCGTCAGGAAGTTCTTTCCCCCCTAGCATTGCAATTTCCATTCACCAAGAATTTTCGCGGATATACGTACAACTGTCTGGATATAAATGGATAGTACCAAAGTCGATAGTCGGAATTGAAAGGAGAGCGGTAAAGTTGGTTCCTTCGTTAAACGAGTACGGATATGAGCCATCCGATCCGGCAGTCAAACCAAATCCCTCTAAGAGAGAAGTGTAAGTTTATATCCTTGCATCTTAACTAGCACTGATCGTCAAGAAAGTTTAGTAGTTCGACTCACCAATCCCGGTCGTCACCATGTGGTTTGGATCCAGAGATTTGATGTAAGCACTCGTGGTCGCCGCCCAGTCAGTGATGACCGATGTATCGCATCCATTACAGCGTGGCTCATTGCCAAGTTCCCAGGCAAATATTGCCGACGACGAACTATACCGACTTACCACCGCCTCGATGTACGCTTGATAAACTTCCTGAATCTCAGTGGTGTTATACCAAGTTGTCTGCGAGCCTCCAAACGCAGTTACATACGCATTCATGCCCCCATAGTCATTCCAGTTATTGACAAAAGGAATGATAAGCTTGACATCGTAGGCTTCGGCAGCGCTGACAACGGCATCCAGTCTCTCAAGACCATCAGCTCCCGTATTTATTGTTGCTGTGCCATCCTCAAGGAGCTGGAACCAGACCGTTCCTGAGGATGGAATGATGTTGACATCGTTGAAACCCCAGACTCGCAGAATCTTTAGGCCTGAAGATGCGATGTCACCGAGGACGTGGTCGACATCGCTGTCATCTGTCAGAAAAGGGAGCCAGTATGCGTTGGTCCCGACGTAGTAGTTTGTTACTCCGTCAATCGTGAAGTTGAGTCCGTTCACGCTAGGAAATCCAGTTGATGTTGATTTTGGTATTGATGAAGAGATGGAGGTTGATTTAGTTGTAGTTGATGACGATGATGATACTGTGGACGAAGAGGATGTCGTAGTCGTAGCCAACGTAGTGGTGCCTTTTGATCAATAAGTATACAACTATTCAAACAAACAGAAAGCTTGCCTACCTGGAACACATTGACTATAGAAAGCATTTTCATATGTGCATACATATCCTGAAATACAAACCGTAGAGCCGGAATAGCCACTTCCTCCACACTGACCGTAGGCGCCTACAGTCTGAGCTGACACAGTAGAGCAACCCAGAAGGGTAAAAACCAGGAGGGCAATTGCCTTCATTTCGCACAATTCGATTTCTGGATTTTTGCGAAGTGAACAGCGATTGAGAATTTTATCCCATGGCTAAGGATAAATGCCCGAATTTATGGCTCCACGCATATCTCTCACATTGAATTTGCGGAGAAGAAAATCGCAAAGTCAATCAAATATTTCCCCCTTCATTTGCCAAATAATAGCAAACAACCATGCCTAAATGCTCATAAGAAGGCAAGCATATCTTCCCATGGTGACATACAATTGGTGTGTCCTGCAGTAGGCCTCATGTTGTCGCGGAATCGCGGCAAGGAGGGTTGCAGTGTAGTGCAGAACCGTGCCGGGCGATGCTCTGCTCTGCTTTATTCAGATACGCTGTGTTCTTCTTAGATCACTAGGTAATTCAATATCCAACAGGGGTGAGCGGTTGTAACCACGTTACTCTGATCTTCCAAGGTTTATGAGCCGTCACTGTATACCTAGATATATAGCATGTAGAACCTATAGTACTTACACATGGTGCCCAGGTACACGCAGACAGTGGTAGTACCTTCCAACGAATCTGAACTTGATCTTCATTAATAGGATATTGAGAATTATTACCCTTGTATACCGCGTATTCTCGTCCCCGATCCTTGAATAAGGAGCTAGCTCTATGACTGGGGTCTGACGGTCTAGGCAGACAACTTCCTTAACTACATGGCTAAATAGATCAACGTCTCGCATTTGACTCGTAGGTATGTCAAATTAGTTCGAAGTCACCTATATGTAAAAAGTCTAGAGTCGGGTTTGCATGCTAGAATTATTAACAATTGGTCTACAGCTTTCTTTTGGGCCATGTGAAGGTGGTTAGTCTTTCCAGCACTAGCCGCAAGACAGCTATGCAAACCATGCATCACAGCACACTATCTCTATATGTACCTATTAATCCATTCTTTCTCTGATGATATAGCACGTGATAACTGAGTGAACGATTCGTTCTTTTGCGAACGGCAAATATAAGAGGAAAGATAATAGATATATTCGTAGTCCAAAAAGGGGGCATCCAATCATTCCAAAAACAAGTACTATGTAGGTACTCATCCCTGGCTTAATACAAATGCGTCTATACTAAACAAGGGTCTAATGTCTGTTTCTGTTCCTCTTCAAATATTGGATGATAATTAGTTAAGAGAGAGACACAAATAGAAATGAGGTTAAACAAAAAAAAAAGAAAAAAAAAGTAAACCCGCAAACTCTTTATTTCCATAGATACTCAGACCACCTATCTTATCTCGCAGGGTCATAGTCTGCCGGAACACTTTTCGGAAAGTTTCGAGACCCATGTACCTCAACTTTAGGCGCCGAAAGCCTTGGCGACAAGTCGGGGGAATGAGCCAGATGGAGGCGTGGGAGTCACAGAGCCAGATGGAACGGGAGGCTCACCGGGGAATCCAGGCCGAGGGGCGACTGAGGAAACACCGGAAGGCTCAGGAAAGGGGAATTGGCGACGCTCGAAGGGTGGCACGGGGAACGAAGAACCAGAGGGCTGCTCAGGAACAGGGAATGGAGGAGTCGGGAAACCAGAAGGCTCTGGGAACGGGAACTGACGGCGCTGGAATGGCGGCACAGGGAATGAAGAACCAGAGGGCTGCTCGGGAACAGGGAATGGAGGAGTCGGGAAACCAGAAGGCTCTGGGAACGGGAACTGACGGCGCTCGAATGGTGGCACGGGGAATGAAGAACCAGAGGGCTGCTCGGGAACAGGGAATGGAGGAGTCGGGAAACCAGAAGGCTCTGGGAACGGGAACTGGCGACGCTCGAATGGTGGCACAGGGAACGAAGAACCAGAGGGCTGCTCGGGAACAGGGAATGGAGGAGTCGGGAAACCAGAAGGCTCTGGGAACGGGAACTGGCGACGCTCGAATGGTGGCACAGGGAACGAAGAGCCAGATGGTCGTTCTGGGAATGGCGGAGCAGGAGGGAACGGAACCGCAGAACCAGAAGGCTCTGGAAATGGGAACTGGCGACGCTCGAATGGTGGCACGGGGAACGAGGATGGCTGTTCAGGGAAAGACGGGCCAGGGACGAATTGGCGACGAGCAGCAGAGACAGACGGAACAGGTGGTTCTGGGAAGGGCTGCTCTGGAGAGAATGGAGCAGAGACAGAAGGCCTGGGTGGAAATTGAGGAGCAGCTAGGGCCGCATTCACCACGGCAAAGGCCGTTGCTGCAGAGATAAACTTCATTTTGATGATAAGGCGTAACTTGTCTGTATTCAATTGGGGTCAATTCTCAATCCCATAAATTCTAAGATTGAAAATAGTAAATCCTAAGGGACTCTTACCAATTGATATCGAACGAAGAAGACCTCTATCAGCTCTATCCGGCGTTTTTCTTTTTTAGGGTACTTGTTGATCTTTTAGATGATAAAAAAAATCCTAAGCAAGAGGCAGATGGCATAGACTCTTATATATTCATGGCTCCCAGGCGAATTGACGGAACAGGGAAATGTCTTGCAGACCAATGTAGCCGTTCCGTTTGCAGCTTGGGAAATCAAAAACAATACTCCGCATATGTGCTTTCTTTTCTTTTCTTTCCTCAATGATGGCACTCTAACCACTAGTTAGTTAGTTAGCATTCAAAACCAAGAACAATTGACAAATTGCACCATGTTTTACTCCGTACTCCGTTTGGTCCGTTGATCGCATAGAGTAAAAGAATAGCGTTCATCTTTCCTGATTTATCTGCAGAGCAATAAATGGCAAAGCTCTTCAATGGTTGTTGAGGGGGGATTTCATACAGAGAAGCTGGGCGAATTGAGTCTGTCATCCAATCATCTAAGCTCGAGACTTTGGGGCAGATTTATCCGTGGTGGTGTTGATACGCATGATGACGAGACGATTTGCAATCACTAGAGCCCTGACCGAAGCCTCAAGGGTCCCTGAAGGATGTCGCAGAATCATAGCATGGAACTCATACCGCTTCAGAATATAGTTTTTATTTCTGAAAGGGAAAATGCCGTGTAACAGTTTCAAAATTAACTATACTCCGACCTCCGAATTGACTATTGGACACAGCCTCCGCGCTCGATGTCGTTTTGAAGTAGGTGAACTATTTCATCGGTGTTAGGAGACCCTCCCCTCGATAGATATTCAAACTAATCTGCAAGTAGATCCTTAAAAGGAAGGAAGGATATACCCATTCCAGGGCTTATTCCGTCTAATGGATATTAGAACTTACTCTGCACCCACAATATCGCATTCTCTAGCTATTCACAAACATATGCAGTGCCGTATTGCAAAATATCTGTCCATAAAGCACACCATAAGAGACCGCAGTGGGTTTGTCAAATACTATCTTCGCCGGCCAGCCAGAGGCCAATGTTACTCCGTCAAGAGGAGGATGGGACCAATTTTTGACAGCTGTAGAGCAAAGCTCTATGATTGATCTACCTGCGAGGATCGCGCGGACGTAATTGGCTCTCGCTGTCAAATCCCAGGAGTTTCAAGCTCTGACAGAGCGAAATTTTAATTGATTGATTGTAGATCGTCAACATAACGCGATGCAATGATTGATGCGCATCTCCACTTGTTCTCGGAGCTCCGAGCCGATAGTTCGTCATTTAATCGGATTGGTATTTGCATTGATTTTGGGTAAGGGTGGAATGTTTTCTCGTTGATAAGTCGAACACTGCCAGAGTCTTTGAGCGCGACTTGCGTGTTTGTTTAGTTCAGTTACTCCGTAGTTACTCCGTGGAAAGTACGTGCTTCCTTCGTCACGTGTGTTGCCAGGGGCCCCATGAAGAAATAGACTGACAACGCTACAATTAGTGCTGTATCAAAGGAGCCTCCGGTATTTAATTTTAACAGCTTTTGTCCTTTCTCCGATCGTTGGTAAGAACAATGGCTGCATTCTGCCCTCCTCGCTACTAATAGCCCAATATCAGTACAGTTGTAAATGCAAATAGAACCCAGAAAGATCGTAGCAAAGAGCTCCAGATCTTGAGACCAATGCTTGAATGTGATACAGTCAACCATGCCCGCAACCTCCCAGTCGAACGCCTAATCTAGCCATCACTGGGTAAACGCCAAACTCGACAGAACTGGATAAAAAGCTTCGAGAAAGCTCATCAAATCATCACGTAGGAAGGGATTAACTTGTGTTCATACATATGTATATATGCGAACACGAAAGAGAAGGAAAAGTACGAAAGAGAGGTACCGTCGACTTTTCTTCACCTGGTCAATAATTCATGGGCTGTGTACCACCGCTGGAACTCCCATGGCCGTTTCGAGAATCATACGGGCCGTCTGAGCTCATATGTTGATCGTCCAGAGAGCGATAGAAACTAGCATTGCCGCCAGCAGCAGATCCGCCACGTCCACGACCGCGCCCACCACCGCGAGATGAGTTTCCTCTTCCTCTTGCGGAGCCGGAGCCACGGCCCCCACGGCCACGACCTCGGTAGGTATCACTCTGGCTGCGGGACCCATATGGATGAGAGCGTCCATATGAAGATTTCTCATGAAGTGGTTGATAAGGATTAGAGTCGTAGCTATCCCGAGCTGTGTTCGTTATGTCTTCATCTCGGCGGGCGTGAGGATGCCGTCTTTTGCTGTTCTTGTTATATGGACCCTCCCAGTCACCCTCATTTACGTTATCTTCCTCAACCCTTAAGATGGCCCTTTCGCCGACAACAGTATCGATGACTAGAGAATCGACCGGCTCTACTGGCTGCCAATTCTGAATTCGACTGGAATCAATGGGACGTGCACCTTTCCGGAGTCCAAGTACAATGACAGGGACTAAACTCTCTGTATAGAAAGGCTCCTTCTCTGGCACAGGTTGAACGCGTGCTGCCCACAGTTTGCTATCCCAATGGCCCAGGCCTGTGACTCGCCAGGTGAGCTTCTTCCCAATACCACCAGCCCTTTGAAGAATGGATTTTGGCGCCGGACGTGGAGAGATCAGTATGATGTTGGCCAATGGCTTCACTTCATTATTATCTGCCAACCCAACGGGTAACGTAGGTTGTAGGTACTTCGAAACTAATCGAGATGAATCGGCATTGTTGATGAGATAACCCGTGTGAAAAACAGATCGACTAATTTTTAATCTCCCGTATGGCGACTGTGTAATATTCCTTACTGGGTCGCGATATCGCTTATTGTGCTCATTTATCAATTTTTGCACTTCAGCAACCTCGTTGACCGGATCGAGATGACGCGTGCCTTCTGCAATGTGAATAACCTCGGCAGTAATTGGCTTCCTACCATCTCTCATATGATGATGCTTCCCATTCAATGTTGAAAAGAACTCACGAAAGCCTTTGACGCTGTAGAAAGAATTAGTATTAAACGCAACGGCTTCATTTATTTTTCACTTACTGCTTGACTCGATCCTCGTAAACTCGGATTTCCTCTGCCTGACTGTATGTTGACACCAGAGCCTGTAGGAATGATTGCTTGAACGACATGGTCGATGCAAATTGCTGCCCGTTGGGACCAACTTCTGGCTTCAGACATATCAGGTCGAATTCGAGTTGGCGGCTTGCAACGATTCGTTTGATGATGTCAGTGAAGTTGGCTTCACCGCGACCAGTGAGTAGGACCGTCAAAGCGTCTTTCTGCCTCATGCTCAGTTCGACCAATTGCACCACATTCTCATTCCACCATCCCTTCCATGCTCGGGTTTCTTCAATGTCGGCACCTTCGCCTGTCGCGCAGAGAATGTTTTGATCATGCCACCAGCCTCCTCCAGCGAAGCCTTCCCAGGTCTGCAGATAGCCGATGGTCGAACCGTTCCATAACTGTGGGTTTGGCAGAGGGCTGCTGAACACTACACAGAGTCAGATAAAGTCCTAGCAGGTAGATCGTGGCTATCACTTACATGTATTGTCGAAATCGTAGACATGGATTGCCTTTATTTGCGAGATGTCTTGACGATCACTGGTTAGCGCAAGTAACAAAGCACAATGCTCGATAGACAAAAGGCCTCGGGGCCTTTAAAGACGTACCAGGAATATCCTTACCAGCAACAGACCACCTTTTTAAATTCGTGATGGTCTGTGCTGGTGCTGGCTGCGACAATGACATGCTGAGGTGACTGTGAGAACGGATTGCGCCCACGACACTTTTGGCAGATCTCAGCATGACATCTGACTGAGAGATGATAAGATGAGATGAAAGACCCTAGAGCCGGTGCGTAGCTCTTTCAATTCGCAAGGACGAGCTAGGAAGGAGGAAAGGACCGACCGAAGCTTTGCCGCCGGGGGGAAAAACGTGACTTCCCGATCTTCTTCGCACTCACGCCTCGCACTTTCCCAGCTCGACTTTTGTTTGAACCATGGACACGCAGTGAGCGGGGATATACTCGGTTTCCCGGCTGTTTCATGGCTGACGATGCTAATGTTCGACAAGAAATTCTTAACAAGACTCTCCAGGAGGTAGCGCTTGAAGATGAAGACGGCTCAGCAAGCCCTTGCGTCATATGCTTAGACACCGTCAGCGAGCCAGCGGTTGCCATACCCTGCAACCATGCCAATTTTGATTTCCTGTGTCTCGCGAGCTGGCTTCAGCAGCGTCGTGTATGTCCCTTGTGTATGTGTCCTCCCATTGTATTTCCGGCTCTCATCTAACACTGGTCTCGTAGGCAAAGCAGAGTTGACTGCAATCAAGTACGATCTTCAATCAGCAGGAGGCCCGAAGCTTTATGCTCTTCCATCAGACCCGGAAGCTCGCACCGCTGCCTATGCAGCCCGAGTAGATCACGACCCCGCGTTTCACAGGCATCGTCCTCGTCCAAGACCCTCTCAACATCGGACACCCTCTATTCGGGATACCGACGACGCTCTAGCGTGGCGCCGTCATGTTTATCGCAAACAGCTCTTTTCGCTCCATGTTGGCTCCAACCGTTTGTCGCAATACCGCGAACTGACTCCGCAATTATTCAACCATGACGAGAATCTGGTATCTCGTGCTCGCAAATGGATCAGGCGAGAGCTGCAAGTTTTCGAGTTTTTGAATCCAGATGGTACCGAGGAGCGCAACGAAGAGTCAAATGGGAGACCAAGACCCGGCGAACAGAGACTTCATAATCGACGAGCCAATAATGCGGAATTCCTTTTGGAATATATCATTGCCATTCTGCGCACAGTAGATATGAGGGGTAGTGCAGGACAGGCGGAAGAGCTCCTGCAGGAATTTATAGGGAGGGCAAATGCTCGGTTGTTTTTGCATGAGCTAAATGCATGGTTGAGGAGTCCTTATAACTCACTTCAGGACTGGGATCGCCACGTGCAGTATCGTGATATCAACGTCCCAAGCAGGCCTCTTTCTGCTGTAGGTGATGAGCGCGATTCAGGCTCTGATCTACGGTCTGTATCCAGATCACCTCGAGTTGAGCTTGGAAGAGTCGTGAAACGTCACGGGCTGCAATCATCCAGGGAGAGGGCGCGCCGTGATGATCCTGCAGCACGAACACGACGATTGCAACATGCGCGACAGAGATATCAACCTGACTGATCTCACATGCGACTCATGTGAAGCTCAAATAAAGTAGACTTGGACAAAGGAGGAAGATGAATTATATCACACTGCAACTACTATTAATTTATAAATGAAGATAATGGTTGCATTAATTGTATTTCTATGTTACATTTAATCGTGCCTAAATAAACGGCGTGCATTAAGAATGATACAAGTGGCTGTGTGAGATACACTTTGAACGGCTGCAAGTAAACGAACAGTAAGTAAACTTGCCGACGTACGGAAATCCCACCTAACAAAAGTTTTCGAAATGAGAGAGTGGCGAAAATCCTAGATTGGACGAACAGGTATACACTTAGGCCTAGGCAGAGACAAACTTCTTGACGGCTATAAAGGGAAAATTCGGAGTCAGTTTCGGTATCTATTGGCAAGGGAAATATTCAGGACGGGACTGGACTCACTCTCAAGCCAACGAGTGTACTCTTTTTGTTCCTTCACGGTAATATATTCAGGAATAATGTTGGCCAATTCAGCGTTGAAGCCACGCTCTTCCAAATAGCGGTCAAATAGAGCCTGGAGTTCTTCGTCAAGGTTTGCGTAGGAAGGACCGCTGTAAAGGCTCTGACGGAGCCAGTCCTTCTCAGCAGTTTCAGCCTCGGCGAGGTCGGCCTTAGCGAAGTGTGAGACTTCATGGATCTCGAAAAGACCATCTTGAGCGGTGGTTTGAATAAGGAGAGCACCGTTGCCAGGCTTTTCGATGGAAATGTTGACACGAGCAGGGAAGCCAGGCACAGGCTCGTCATCGAATTCCCGATCGGAAGGTGCAATACGATCTTCAGGGCGGGTAGCAACAGGCTCACCAGGCTGGCCACGGTTCACAGATTGCTCGTACTCGCTCTCTGCAAGGTCATCGAATTCTTCCTCGGGGAGGTTCTGGAGATCGGACACGGTGAAGGTGACTCGAATGCTAGACGGAGAAATTTGAAATCAATAAACTTATCCTAACGATCGAGTTGCAATTGATCATGAGCAAAACATACTTTTCATTGCCAAATTTGCGAGACAGCACAATCTCTTGCTCTCCCGCGACATCTTTGACCTACGATACCAACCTGTTAGAGCCAAGTCCAATCTTCCCAGGACCCATTGTCAGATACGTACCTTCCATGGGCTGCTTTCAAAGAACGCTTGAACGGCTGCATTAGACTCATCCAATTCATCAGAGGCCTTCTCATGGGTGAGTTCCTCTTCCAATTTTCCGTTCAGCTCGATGTCAACTATTTACTCGGCTTGTCATTAGCGAATGGTCTTGTACCATCACCGAAAAAAGAACAACGCACCTTCTCCAGCAGGCTCTCGCAAAATCCCGGCCGTTGAGAAGGCAGGGTATTGATATCTTGTGACGGGCTTCTGTAGCAAAGACGGTCTCTGGAGAGCTGTCGAAAGTCGAGTAGTTGTAGGTCGCGCAGCGACGGAAAAGGAACGGGAGAAGGCACGGGGCGCCGAGCGAGTGAATGAACGAAGCGACAGCATTTTGTCGTTGCGGTTGACTTTGAGTATTGGGGGATAGTATGAAGTATTGCGAGCAAGGGACGGGATTATGCAGTTGGGTTCGCTGGGAAGATGAAGCTTGTTGTCGCCGCAAAGTTGATGATGATGATGTTAACTCAAAAAGTCAAGGAAAACTTCGGGTGGCGCTATTCCATTTTCAGCTGCCTCTCATGAGAGCTCGCCGAGCCGCCAGCCAATCGGCGTCGGCAAACATTCGACATTGTGATGTCAAGCCAGGGAGCCACCGAGTTACATAGTGTGGATGGTCTAAATATGAATGGAAATCGTAGAAAAACAAGCTTCAATCGATGTAGACTAGTGTATGTATATGCAAAAGAAAAAAGCATAACAACCAATTTTATAGATCTAGTTACTGGTACAGTGGCATAACGTCGTAAATGCATATATCGCGTGCAGGTCAGGTATCTCGATTATGACAGGCCTTTCGGTGGAAAGGTAGATGCTTGTTTTACGCTGCCCTCAGCGAAGCGGATGAACTTCAGAGAGCTTAGACTCGACCATTCACCATTCCACTGCTTGAGCTGCCGGCAAACATCCTCTTGTGTGACGTCGGGCATCCAGAAACCCGATCTATATTCCTTCTCTTCTGAGAGAATACGTTGCTGGAGATTCTCTTCCCTTTTACTCGGCGGTCGGCCCTTTCTGCGTTCTTCTTGCAACTCTTTGATTTCGTTGTCGCTACGATGGATCCATCTTCATGGGAACGTAACAGTCAGCCAAATGGAAAAATAAAACAATGCCGACAGACGAATAAGACTGCTGGGAGATATATCCCCTCGTTGTAGAACTTACTCATGTATCAGGTCAGGGATTGCTTCGTCTTTAATGACAAGGGGTTCAGAGGATTCCTCCAAGCATTCTTGAAAATGTGAAACCCGGTCCACTATCGTCAGCAAGTCAGCAAACCGCAATCCTATTTTGAGGCGTGCGGGACCTCTTTTTCGCAGGACCAAAATTACTCACAAAGGCTTTGCCGCGCTATCATCGCAGAAGTTGCAACTCGAGCAATGCGGTCCTCTCGTGTCGCAGCGCGGCGCAGTACTTTGGCATTGCGACTGTCCTCGTGTAAAGCATTGAGTTTACCACGCTTTTTGGACAGCTTCTTCTGAATCTTGCTCAGATTCTTGATTGGCATCTTGCAAGTAATCAATACGAGAAAACCTTGTCGAATTGACTTCAAATCGCGGGGAGTATACTTTTGTTTAGAGACTGCTGTGGACTTTTCTCTCTTTTTTTTATTCAGCAGAATCGAAGGCGGTCAGGGTGAAAAGCGGGGAGCCAATCAGATCGCCCGCCGCACAGCTCATTCTGATCGCCGCCAAGATTCAAGACGGCAAGCGGTAAGATGGATCCCGCCATCGCGTCTGCAAGCGCGTCGTGCATTCCGATCATGATCTAGCAATTCAGCCCTTGCTAGATCCTCCTCTTTTGCCTAAGTATTTGATGAGCGTTCTCTCTTGTTTTTCACCATTATTTTCTTATAAGTATTACTGCATGAAGGGCTTCGGGCTACTGTGTTTTTTTTTTTCCGGATGTGGATGTAAACAACAACCGCCTACCGGTGACTTACGCCTGACATGGGAATCAAAGGTACGCTTCCTGGAGTGTTCGCACGTCAGACTCAACTAATCTTTGTACCATATGGCCAGGGCTTCACGGTCTACTGAAATCTATTCAAAAACCATGCAACTTGAAGAAATTTGACGGGCAAACACTAGGCGTGGATGCCTATGGATGGCTCCACAGAGGTACCGCAGCTTGTGCCACGGATCTGGCTCTGGATAAGCCTACAACAAAGTCAGTTCCTGTATAAAAAAGGTCACTGGACTTCAATTGAATCAGACTAATCGAAGCTAGGCATGTCGATTTTGTGCTCAACCGCGTTCGTATGCTGCTGTTTTTCGGAGTTACGCCCTACCTAGTGTTTGACGGCGGCGACCTGCCTAGTAAATCGGGAACGGAAGCGGACCGTTTCAGGAGGCGAGAGGATGGTAAAAAGCTAGGGTTGGAATTACAGAGCAAGGGCCGGATGGCTGAGGCGTACCAGGAGTTTCAAAAAGCGGTGGATGTCACACCCGAAATGGCTCGGCAGCTCATTGAAGAGCTGAAACGAATGAAAATTCAGTACATAGTTGCTCCATATGAAGCAGATGCGCAATTGGTTTACTTGGAACAGAAGGGCATCATTAACGGCATCATCTCGGAAGATTCCGATTTGTTGGTTTTTGGTGCAAAACGACTTCTATCCAAGCTGGATCAACATGGGGACTGCATTGAAATCAATCGCGTTGATTTCGCGGCCTGTCGGGACATCAGTTTTATTGGATGGACTGATGCTGATTTTCGCCGAATGTGTATATTGAGTGGTTGCGACTATCTTCCCAATATTCCGAAGATGGGACTCAAAACTGCGTACCGAAGCATGCGAAAATACAAGAACGTGGAGAGAGTTTTGAAAGTTCTTCAATTTGAAGGACATTTTCAGATTCCTCCGAAATACCTGGATAATTTCCGACAAGCAGAAAACACCTTTCTCTATCAGCGTGTTTTTTGTCCCGCCGCCCAAAAGCTAGTCACCCTTACCCTTCCTGAGCCTAGTATGGACCTTGATGAGATGCCCTATATTGGTGCTGACGTCGAGCCAGAGATTGCCATTGGCGTTGCACACGGTGATCTACATCCTGTGACAAAAGAGCCAATCAAGCTGAACCTGTCTTTTGCGGCGAGGGCTATGCCAAGCTTGATGAGAAGACAAACTCTGGCATCTGCTGCTGAACTCAAGCCCAACAAATCAATAGACTCTTTCTTTACACCCAAGCGGCTTCCTCTCGCTGAACTGGACCCTAACACTCTTACTCCATCCCCTAGTCAGCAGCGCCTGCTTGAGCGGCATGCCAACAATTCCTGGCAACCCAGTCCTATATCGAACTCTTTCGGACTGACACGCTCTGCCTCTTCTGTCACCATCAATGGACGGAACGGCAATCCTAGAACTGTCGAGCGAGAATCATTTCTTGCACGCGCTGCAAAAATGTCCACCACACCTGCGGTGAAACGCCAACGACTCTGCTCTGATATAGATGATGGCGACGCACTTCCGACGCCGCCTGAGCAAGCAAGAAGTCGCTTTTTTACCAACTCCTCTACCGCAAAGTCCAGTCCCAGTGGCCAGACGCTTTCGCGAACAAAAAAGTCTCGAAGATCTACTTTTGGAGTCTTCTCAGACGAAGTGGCCGAAGATATAATGTGTCAGCTTTCTTCCCAAACGCCTGAGTCTGCGAGCTCAGTTGAAAGGGTAGATAAAAATAGCTTCCTAGATTCAGCTTCGACACCTACAAAAATTCAAACTTCCACTGTCGACAGCAGGGAAGAACCAACAGGCTCAGGTGTAGTAGAAACCGGCACTGATGCAGAGGAGCACAATGAAGTTGTGAACAGAAGCACCGACAGTAGCAATCAGTCAGTGTGTATCGATACAGATCCAGAGTTGTTTAACCAAGTGCTGGAGGTGCATGTGCAGAAACAAAATGCGGCTTTGCTCTCGAAATTTGTGTTCGAAGGGCATCCTGGAAAGCCAAGTGTTTCCTCGCCCACCGTTCCCAAGAAGCCAGCAACCACTCCATTACAAAGTCGGCTATCGACAAAAGTTTCTGGCAAGTCTGTCACCCAAGGCGGCTCACTTCGTCGGAGACTCACACCGCTTCAAAGATTGGGACAAAGCGCATTGTCAAAATCGAGATCTTTAGACAACTTTATAACTCGACGAATGCTGATCAACGCCTCTGGGGACTCAGGCTACGAGTCAGACTTGGGAAGAGACAACACACAAGATACCGAGCTAAAAGCAGGTTCTAGTCACCAAGGCAGTGAGGATCAGATCATTCCTTGTAGCGACGAAGAGACAGAAGACTCGGTCAATGATGGTGGGGGACCGAATGCACTTAACCTGAAGCGGTTTTCTTCTAAGCCAAAATAGTTGTATATTCATACGAAACTTATCTGTCGGCTTGGAAGCATTGTATAGGAGTTTTGATTGCACGGGGTTGGGATTATTCAATTGGGCTATTACTGAATTTCTTGGTTGACTGAGCTGGCACTGGCGTAAGGTATCGATGGATGTCGCAATGGGCACCTAACATGAAGTTCATAAGTACAATATGAACCTCTTTTCGATTATTTATTCCAATTATGCATGCATTATACAAGCAAAACAAATGGATCGATCGGGGCCCATGCGGGAAATGCCAAGCCTCCGCCCTAAAACGCAGCTGTGGGTCCACATCGTCCCCCCAGGCCCCGCCAGGCAGCCGCGACCTTACCTATTGCGGCTTAGTGTCTCGCTGGATGTGACGTTTTCTGCCAGGCGGCAGCGCTGGTGTTCCCTAGCAACGCGCAGAGTAAACAATGCTCGTTGGCCCAGCCACCCTTGCACACCTCTCAACACCAGCCACCGGAACATTTCTGCTTGTTGTAGAGCTGCATTGCTTGCTTCGTTGCCTGCTTACTTGTCCGACCTCCTCAATTTCTCAGGCAGCTCAGCTTAGTCCATTTGAAGTGGACTATGGAAGCGTAGGAAGTGGGAGTCTTTTTTTGCCAAAGCAAAGCTACGGTCTTTTCTCATTCTATACACACTTACTCTATCCTTCTCTGCAATCAAACTACCCTCTTTACAAACACATACGCCCTGAAATTACGCTTGAAAGGATTTACTTACTGATATAATTGAATCTGTTTCTTCCAGACATACCTTTCTCCGCATTTGACATATTATATCAGCCGTTCGCTGCATTCTTCAGCAATCCCGCATTCCAGAAATAACGTTGTTGCTGTCAACTCCGTATCGGTGGACATAGCACGTGGGCGATCACCGATCTGACATTTTTGTTCATTCCGATCTCTATCAACTAGAGAAAGAGAGAGAGAGAGAGCAACCAGCTCCTCCAAGTGCTGAGCGGCAGTCTCGCTTCAAAAGTACCAGACTCCTTCTCGGAGGTCCGAGAAGCGAGGTTATCTTGGGGACAGGAAGGATTTATTAATAATATAGGTTGTGACGTGGATATTGTTCAGCGATGCCGCTCAATTTCAGAGGGGGCTTTACCCGTGAGTGCTTACCAAAAATGAACGAAGTGGATTTCGCAACTAGGCTGACGTTGGACACACAGGAATATGGCAAATGGTGGGATACCACCATGTGCTCATGATTTTCATCGCGGTTGCTATCATATTACTCTGTAAGTTCTAAGACTTGACTCAAGAGACAGGCATGGCAGCACATGCTGACGGTCCCTTTCCCGCTTTTCTAGCCATGTTATTAGCGGGCTGTTCGTCGTCATCGCCGCAAATACCTACGATATTTCTTATATCAATATACTATGAGAAATATACACCGAGCTTTGATCCCGCCCAGGTGGATCCAGGTGTGACGACGGCTATTGCGAACATTGTGGGAGGTACAACCATGGAGGTTCGAGTGGGATTCTTTGGTATCTGCATTATGCCCGAGGCGGGATCTTTCATCTGCAATGCCAATGCTACGGCGCTGGCTGAGGTTGTGTCAGTTGACCAAGATCCCCTCAATTTGATCTGGCTAGCGGAGAGGTTTAAGGATACTGTTGTCTTTCCATATTTAATGTGAGTACTACCCCCTACACGCGTTAACATTGAAAATCCCTTTGATATGTGCTAATAAATAAATACAGCATCGTCGCTATCGTGCTCGCCTTTCTCTGTTTCATTCTGCTCGCAACATTTCCCGGGTGGCACGAAGAGATCGACGCCAGCGGCTCAGAACGCGAAGTGAGACCATTCCCGTCACGGCCAGTATCGCAGGTTGCCTTAACCCTTATTGGTATTTCCTCGGTGTTCGTCCTAGTTTCAGTGCTGTGGCAACATACCGCTTCGGTTGCCGCGAGTACGATGGTGCAAGATCTGGGTAATGGCAGTATCAAAAGCGGCGTCGGTAGTTCGGCCATGGTTCTGGGCTGGTTTGGATTTGGGCTTCTTGTTGTCGTAACAATAGGGTTGCTAGTTATGATTCTCAGTATCAGTATCCTAAGCAGGTTAACTGATGAGGACTAACCAGTATATCCTTGATATATCCCCCAAAAAAGACGTGGAAAAAAATTATGAAAAGACACGAAAAACGACAAAGCTTCATAGAAATTGTTCAAAAATTTACGGCTTATACATTGGATCGCGGCAGATGTCTTACTCCTTTTTCACTTTGGAATGGTTTTGGAAGTCTTACGATGCACACGTTTTTTTCGCCCTTCTATGTTCTATTGGGCTCGGAGTTTCTACTTTAATTTCCTTCTTATGTATTTATGTCCTCTTTTTGATGATCATGTATTATGTGTTACTGGATGTGGGAATCTTTCCAACGTTATCATGCAAGGAACTATGAGAGAATAATCGATTGATGTCGACGTCAGACCTTGCAGATTTGCATATATCTAACAAATCAATATCAACTACAAATATATCAATTGTTAGCGCTACATTCTTGATACAATAAAAGTCCTCTAAGATAAGCCACAACAGGCAAGATTGCTCGTGAGAAGTAAGCATGTCTCATCTATCTTCTCATGAGCTATATACAAATGAAGAGTCTACATAGTTCTAGGTACATACATCATCAGAGCTATAATATGTACCCCCATTTATTTCCCACTACCAACTGAATGAATCCTCTCGAAACGTAATCCGTCGATATCCCCTACGCATTGCCAAGTATACAGCAGCGCGCGTTTCGTCTGCCATTGCACTCGGCCCCGAAACGACAACAAGTAAAGAGTAGTTTGCTTCGCTGGCATCCTGCGCATGTTGTAGTACTAATTCTTGGATGTTTGGTCTGCCGTGATGCAGGTTTAGAAGTTCATTATCCTCGCTGTCATGAGCACGTAAGTTGTTCGTGATATTTGGAAGCGAAGAGGAAGCAGAAAATGAAAAGAAAGAGATTGATGATGAAGGAGAAGCGATGGCGCCACTGCTGCTGGTTTCTTGTTGCTTCCCCGTAATATAAAATGAAGCGTGAAACTCTTCGTGTGACAAAGCATCTCGTAATTCACGAGAGGCCACATCGTGCACAAAAGCCGTCTCTCTCGAGGCCCACACGAGGTGTATTCTAGTGTGAGTAAGTAGTTCCGAGTCGTCGTTTTCATTCTTGTTTTTGGACATCATCATCTTCGACCGGTGTAAATTCTCTCGAATATAGGGTACGGCGCACGCAATGCCCGTTCCACCTGCAATCAAAAGCACGGGCTCGTGTCCACCAAGAGAGAATGATTCACCATACGGGCCTTCAAGGAGAATCGTAGGCGAAACTGAGCGGTTGGGAGAGTCAAGGCATTGGTCTCGGAGAGAGCGAGTCCATCCGTTGTAAGGACGAATCCAAAAAATTAGCTTAGGCCGCTCGAGGATACGTTTAGCATCAGAATAACTATCCTCGTTACCAGTATGTCTCTGGGAGATTGACGCATTAAGAAGTGGTGTTTTTGAGTTTTCGATTCCATCATTGCCTATCTCAGTTATCGCCGTTGCTATCGTGTCTGAATGTGAGTTCTGGTCTTCAACGGTATGCTCCCACGAACCAAGAGTGAAAGGATGGCTTTCCCAGCCTCGAAAGCGAAATGGCTGATACAGATAGTAGAAGCTAGATGCAGTAGGCTGATGCATGACAGAACCTGGAATGACTTCTAGCCTCACTACGTTTGATGCTGGGTCATAGGTCGCAGTGCTGCGTGTAGTTTGAGTTCCTCCTAGTCGCAATCGAATGTGTAAATTGCAATACACCACACGAGTCAAGCGTAAGAATCTATCTGAAACCCAGATAAACGCAACTGGCCACAGATAATAGTCGTAACCCTGACCCTCAAATATTATAACATGGCTTAAAAAACAGTAGAACCTGGTTAGCTTGTGTATATATTCTTGTCGGAATGATTTCTGTTCTCCCGCTTTTGTTAAAACGTGGTGGTACATACTAGAAACACCCAACAATAGTCGCAATAGAATAGGCAATATGAATTAGTAAAAAGACCTCATAGGATCGTTGTCTCATCCATTTAATAGCAAGCGGTAAAATGAGCACCATGGCTACTATAGCCTGTGAGGAATACACAGTCAGTACGTAGTCATACAATTAATGCGAGCGACGTGTCCAATCTAACCAGACTACCCCAAAGAAGATACGATTTAATAAGCTTCTTTTTCAAATGATTTCCAGAGTCTAACAGAATTCAGTATGGCCCAAGACTATTCGCCAAATAGAAAAGAGGTACGACCTGCTTACCACGCACGAATAACGTCAGATACGCAAGAGTGTGAATCACAGCCTGTAGAGTCGCAATCCATGCGACATGGCGATGAAAAATGTTGAACTTGGCGAAGCTCCAGCCGGTGGACCATATTAAAATGTTATTTCTTCCAGCGAATATTAAGATTAAGAACAAGTTGGCAAATGACATAATGCCAGTTCTATCTGCAATGTACCGAAGGAGTTGTCGTGATGGGTCTGGCCAGCTGCAATAAAAGAAATATCAGCTTATGCGTACATAAATGAAACCAGCCAAAGGGTTGAGCGCTTACTAGATGTTGTCATTGGAGAGATAATAAGTAATACTCATAAGCATAATGCTTAGTATCCAATATCCTACAACAAGGATGGCATCAATTCGTGTCGGCAAGTCAAACCAGAGGATTTTCCTCTTCAAGGGAAACGCAATGATGAAATGAGTATTGATCCATTGGTACACTGCGGCCATAGCCTTGTATAAACCATACGAGAGGCGCCCGGACTTTCTGCCTCTTGTGTAACGAGATCGAAGGACATGCTGAAGAAGCCGGTGTAACATTCCAACCATGACTATGCATCCTCAGTAAAAATATCCGAAGTAGCTGTGTGTGTATTTGGCCTTAGTTACTGACAATGGCAGGTGTTATGTCCGAGACGGAGACTCACCTATAAGCATAATGTGCCCGCAACTCCGTTTGCCATGTACTCTGAGGGATCAGGTAGAATAATCAGCTCTCTTTCTTTTCGCATCCTTGTTGTGTTTGAGCTAGGGTTCTGAGAAAACCCACAATGGTACGAAAGGTGCGGTTGTAATATGCTGTAGACAGCAACACCGGGTAATCAAGCTGCCCATTACGAGGAACTTCGCCGAATTCAACTCTTCTCATCTGCTCTATGCTCTCCTTCGTGAGATTTTCCGCCACATTCTGCCTGGGAATCAACCCGACATTTGCGCTTTCCTGGCATAATGTGTTTAATTGTGCGAAACCAGCCGCCCTCTCCTTCTCATCGCAGTATATTTCGGCGCCTGCATAGATCGAAGTGACTTTGAGTGAATTTTGGCATCTTGCTAGCCATAACCCGGCCTTTGGCTCTCCTATGAAGGAGACGTAGTTGAGAGCGGTATAGACTGCGGTGACACAGCGCTCATTCTTGGGGATGATGTTGGCCGTGTAGACCGTAGGAGCCAGCAGTGTAACCACAGCTAGTGAGTGCCACCAGCCATACATATCTCTTTTCAGTCGCTTCTATCAAATGCAATAAATGACAGGCGCTTCAAGAAACAGAAGCGAGTAGGTGTGTGCAAGATTTTATCAATCTTATCAATCAGCGGCTAGTCGGCTGCATGCGCCGCAGCGGGACTGCTCGGCACAACCCGACAGGACACCGCGTGCCCACGCAGCAAGATCTGTATGGCGGATCAGGTTGATATGCATCTGAATATATAAATGTATCATTATTGCATACACTAACAGGCTACCATTTGACGCGTAACATAGAATAACCAAGCCAACGCCTTTCCGTTCCTCCGTCAGTGCAGTCAAGTCTCGAGCTATCATCAAGCTAAAATATATTAAAACTCCATCGCATCACTTATCGTCTCTTCGCCGCCTCGTTCTCGTTTTCTAGGCTGTTCGTCCTTCATGAGATTGGCCACAAAGGAACGGAAATAGTCGACATAGGGTTTTAATCTGGTCTTTTCATAGTCCTGCATTTTCCTCTCAGAAGAGCTACTGGTTTCACCATTCGAAGCCGATAGCGGGGTTTCGCCGTCATATTCATCGATTTCATTAAGGAGTTCCGTCACTGTTGGGACCGACAAGGGATCAAACTCTTCTATGTTTCGCCCGTCGATGGGGACACAAATACGGCCCGTGCCAGGATGCACGACGAATGGGCTCTTCAACAAGTGAATCATCTTCTTGGACACCTCGGCATCGAGTCGTGGGTAGGTGTATTCAAGAACGATGTCGTATCGTGCGTCTCTGAGTGCCTTTGGATCTAATCCACTTACCGTTTTGGCCAGCGTGACAATGTCATTCCATTTGTTTGTGCTTGAACGCTCTGGAGTTGAGTCCCATTTTCTTCGAAGAGCGTCGCAAAGCTTTTTGTCGGGCAGCAATGACAGCAACCGCTCCACTGATTCATCTTGAAGAAAAATATCTTGGTCAATAAGCGTTGTCTGGTTGAAGTGTGGCTCTAGTATCTTGACGCTTCGAGCAATATGTGGATGCAATGGTCTTTTGAGATTGACTCGTTTGCCGCTTTTATCATTACCCTTCACGACTTCCAGATATCCAGCAATGGCCTTCCTCCGGTCATCGGAGAGTTGCCTTGCCTTATAATCTCCTACCCAGGCGTGGGCACCACGACGACCAGAGTATACCCATAAGATGTGTTCAAAGCCGAAATCCTCTCTCAATGCAGTGTCAACCACTTTGATTGCCATTGTGATAAAAGCCCAGCATTTATGACAGATATTGGCCTTGGAACAGCACGTACGCACATCATCGTAGTCGGTCATATCGATATCAAAGACGAGTTCCTTAGCAACTGGTTTCATCTGCGTACCGGGTCGACTTTTGCGGTCTCGAGGGTTGGTACTATATACAGGCCCAATCTCGAATCGAGTTGGGTTAAATCTTAGAATTTCCTGACGAAATCTGGTCATGCATTTATCAGCATTTTTATCATCAAACCCCTCCCCCCCCGCCCCCTCCGCATAGAAATAAGGCGTACATACAGATCTGCAGTTGCATATGACTGATATCGAAGCACGGCTTGATTTTGTAGGAAGACAGCGAATTCTCTGTTAACCATGTCTGGGGATGGCACCACCCCATGATTTAGCCACTGAAACATCGTTCGGAACGGGAAAAGACGTTGATAAAAAGCAAGCATGGTTTCTGCATCTATTTCTGGGGATTCTTTGGTAGCACTTTAGATTGATTTAAATTAGCATCCGCACTTCATACCAAGTATATTGAGGATTGACATACACTGCGGGAATTGGAGGTGGAGAACTCCTCATTTTAACATCTGCTGCACTCGACGCAGGGAATTCATCGTCGTCATCGTCATCTGCAAACAAATCTTCAAGTTTTACGTTTGCTTCAGCCTTTTGTTCTGCTGGCGTATCGGTATTCTCCGCAACAGGAGGAGCGTCTGGGAGAACTTCATTATCGCCATGATCGCGCGGTACGGATTCATTTGAGGAAACCGAATGAGGCATTTTGATGCAAAGCAATAGAAAACAAAAAGAAATAAGACCGGTAGTTGGCACAAAAAGTATTGCTTCCCTCCCAGTTACGATCAGATGCTCAATCCGAGCGTTCTGCGGTTGTCTATCAGCGCGGTTAGTCAGACGCGGGAAGACGCGTGCGCGTCTTCGTAGCCCTAACCCTAATCAATATTACCCGATAAGACTTATCATGTGATTTACGAGCATTTGCGACGCATCGTCACTCCTTTTCAGACATTTGAAACGTGCGAATAGTGCCATAACGATCGGTAACGGTATGCAAAGAGAACAATTTAGCCGAATGGGATTTTGTACAGGAGACGATCATCTCCAATGTGTAGCCATCGTCCGCAGGCGTACCTAGGTACGAAATGGTCCCTGAAGCTGAAAACGGAAATACGAACGAACTTCTTTGCTTTTTTCAGGGCATCCATGCATCATACACCGTCAGCTCTCCAATCGAATTACTATTGATTTTGCTCCCAAATGAAATGGCCGCTTGAGGACAATTATCCATTACCTTCGCTCATACTTATGCTCTGTCTGTTGTCTGGCTACTCATATGATGAGCAAACATGAGTACTCATGATTTCCAATTCAGCACATGTTTCTTATGTCAGCATTCCAAAGAGATCTCATACGACTTTTCCATGCTACATGATCCACATTCCGGGCGTCACCTCTTTGAGACAGATGAGTGAAATTTTCGAGCTTGCCAAGTCAACGATGAGGTGGGTGGAAATTGCAGGTTTCTAGTCCATGATGTCACGACTAAGACAGGGAAGATGACGGCGAATGCAGTGAATTTTTGGTCAACTTGTGCAAAGAAACAAGCTGATACTCAGTCATTGTGATATTGTCTTTTGGCCTACTCCGGAATAAGGTGACTGTATTTTCAAGTTGGGATTCTTCTCATGCGGCAGACTAGCACGCCAAACTTTCCTGCCCATATTCTAACCGTCAGTCTTTCTTCGCACAAGCTGTGAAATTGATATTTTAATCGTGAAGATTATGGATGATATGAGAAAGGCGTTCTACTCAGTGGCCTTTAGCTATCTCATTGAAGAAAGCTTTGCATTAAACTTCTCATGTGCGATTTCCATCCATTGACGCGAAAGCTCTTGAGGTCTACTTCAAAAATAGACTTGATCTCGCCATCCTCCGAAATATATCGCAGATTCTATATTCGATACGATTTAGGCGAGATTTCCCGATCTCTTAATGTCCTCAACACTCATTGCGGCCGTAAACAGGCTTGACCGTTGATGCTGTCAGCCTTCAAGCTATAGCAAAACCTGAGTCATTCATTTTAGTGTGGCTTACTCGCTGTGACACTGTTGCAGAATCGAGCTTCATTGGATGAGCTCAACTGACTGAGTTCAGCAAAAATCGATAAGGTGACATGCGGACCAGAAATTTCCTCTTCCGGAAGTACCTGGCCACCTAGCATCCGTTTTAGAAGGCTACCAACAATACCTCGATTGCCTGGTCCAGATTTGAAGATGATGACATGATTTATGTTTCTGGATATGTAAGGTCCCATCCAGCTTTTCCTCCATCGCTTTACACAACTCGATTGGCCAGGCTTGTTGATGTTTCCACTCCAATGCCCTAATCCAGTGCCAAAGACTCCATCGTCCACTACTACACAATCGTTCCCAAGAGCCATGAAAAAGCTCGATTTTTCCGCTTTCGTCGATTGCGGAAGGAACACCTCTCTTCAAGTGTTACTGTTTGTCTCAATGGAACATCCTGACAGCATTGCCCACTTGTACCAGATCCCTTCTTCACTATTATATAAAGCATCCCATCGACCCTGGACAGTAAATTTCGTCTTCTACCTGATCACCTGCAAGTTTATCGCTGGGATAGTCGATCGCTATCAGCTCTAACACATTCGTTTTGTTTGTTGCTCAATCCTCAGCGCCGACAATTTCAATCCAACAAGGTACTGTTCAACGCCAACATGGTTAAGGCAGGTCTTGCTCTTCTGATGCTCGCCGGCCCGGCTTTTGCTGGTGTCATTGAACGTGGTGAAAGCCAAAACTCTGAGGGTGGCAAGGCTCCTGGCTCTTATGCTCCTCCCCCTCCAAGCAAGTCGACTGTCGCTCCTGAGCCAACCACTTCAACTTGGTCTGAACCTGAGCCACCCCATTCCACTTATGTCCCTCCTCCTCCACCACCACCAAAGTCCTCCTCTGTCAGTGAGAGTGAGCCGCCTCACTCGTACACTGAGCCGGCACACTCCACTGAGCCGGCGCACTCGTACACGGTGCCACCTCACTCGGAGCCATCTCACTCCACTGAGCCGGCGCACTCGTACACGGTGCCACCTCACTCGGAGCCATCTCACTCCACTGAGCCGGCGCACTCGTACACGGTGCCACCTCACTCGGAGCCATCTCACTCCACTGAGCCGGCGCACTCGTACACGGTGCCACCTCACTCGGAGCCATCTCACTCTACTGAGCCACCTCACAGTGAGTCCAAGACTTGGCCAACGTACAGCAAGCCCACTCACAGTGAGCCACCGCACAGTGAGCCTACCTACACCAAGCCTACTCACAGCGAGCCGTCTCACTCCAAGCCTACCTACACCAAGCCCACTCACAGTGAGCCTACCTACAC